TTTTTTTTTTTTTTTTTTTTTTTTTTTTTTTTTTTTTTTTTTTTTTTTTTTTTTTTTTTTTTTTTTTTTTTTTTTTTTTTTTTTTTTTTTTTTTCTTTTTTTTTTTTAAAAAGAACTTTTCATCATCTACTGTATGTGCGACTGACCCGTCTTATGTTCATCTTAGAGCACGTATTTCATTACCGGATGCTTTATTGCATGCCAGCATACCCTTACCTCAATCTTCTCGTCCCGGTAAATGCAGACTTTTATGTCATGGATGAGTCATCTAAACAATGCCTCTTCTATCTCTTTGCGTATACCTTCTCAACAATTCAAAAGATACTGCCAGATGAAGGAAAGCTAAAATTACTCCGTCACATCGACGTTGACGTTCTGAAGATCCTGTTGACAATGATACTCAGACTCATGGAAGAAGAAAAAGTAAGGTCAGCGATTGAATAAGTGTACGAGATACAATATATTTACAATATCATACATTATCGAATGAGGTCTCTCGTCTTCACTTTTGCTTTCTCGCCTACCAGACCGGCTTTTCCTTGAATGATAAGCTGTTTATCAACTTCAAGTGCAAGTGTAAAAGGTGTTGTGATCTGATGATGGGATTGAGCTTAATGTTATTATGAATCTGTTTCGGGGATATGATCTTGCCTATTTTCCTTTTTAACACTTGGAAAAGTGAGATGGGAGTGTTTGATAGAAAGGGTAAATTTATAAAAATTACAAACTCGACGTTGGGTTTGGTCCACAAATGTTGAGTGTAAATTGGTGAATATTGTGGGCGATAATTGCCTGTGCGAATCAAGCTGCAAGGAGAATAAAATAGTGCAAAATGAGAAGGAGATCTTCGAAATTTAAAGAATTAGAATCGCATGCTTTAGAACAGGGTACACTTTGAACGATCAACAATGCAACGCGCGAAAGCTCGATGTTGCCATCACGATGAACCTGATAAACGAGGCGAATAAGAAATGTTTACAAATGCAGGCAATGGCATTGTTTCGCATTTTGGTCGGCACAAAATACATGAATTGCAGGGTTTTTCAAAAATTTTCTAACACAGGATGCCAGGCAACACCTCGCTGGATGTAGTTCCACAATTCCAGCTTTGGACAGCTTCTTATTAACTTTCCGCAATGGCGCTGTTGCTGCATCGTAGTAGCCAATCCTTCCAACCAAAAGAGCACGAATTCAGTGGACCGTGACTTTTGAGCGTTTATGGAGTCGTCAATTATGAAATCAGACCGTCAAGACCCTATATTTGTAGATTCACTATGCAGTCGGGAGATGGATATCGCGCTTGAATTCGAGACAGATGACAAAAATTGTTGGTGACGGTAAGCTTCCACTTCAAAAGTTTGAAATACAATTTTGAGGCAGCTTAAGAGGAAAAAAAGTGCATGACGTGAATCCTCTCATTAGGACACAGGAACGGGAGTAAATCATATCACTGATGAACATCCCGAGGCTCGTTCACAGTGCCCTGATGTCTTTACCTTTTTACCGTGCAATTTGTGGCGCAGGGGATGTCCGTTTCGCACTTGCTTGAAAATGTATCTTGGTGTTTCAAACAGTATCAGCTCCTAAAGAAGCCCCGTCGACTCGTCAGATTCGACAGATGCATCACCATTCGTCGATCTGAGGTAATTGAAACGGTCATTCGCTTTTACTCGAACAATCTTTTGATAGCACGGTTAGCGTAAAAAGTCGGATTGCCTCTACTAAGAATTGCCCCTACTGGCACTGTGCTCTTCTCTCTCCATTTTCCCTCTCAACGTGCTTGCTGTACCTCCTAGATCTTACATCGGAAATTTTATCCAATCATCCCCATCTTACTTCATAAGTACTGCCTAGGATCGTCGAGGCGCTGCGCCTTAGAAGCGGGACGCAGCGTACGAATCAAAGTCAATTTTTACTTCTTACTTTGTCTGGATGAGGAGCTTGGCCCAATGAGGGAAAGTACGAATAACCTCGAATGTGTTTGAGTATACACTGCTTGTAGTGAAATCTTAGGAAATCATCTCGAGGAAGTTCAAGATCGTCCTTTATCCGAAAGCGCGATTTCTGTATATGTTTCCCATGATACTGGCGTAAACTTGTGTTGTAGAATACATGTACGATATAGTCTCCTTTTGTCCCCTGCGTAATAGGTGGTATTTATCAGAGTAAGAAGGAAAGAAATAGCACAGTAGAATACTTACTTTAGGATCGGGAAAGAGAGACCATTCTGCCTGGTCAAAAGAATGGTGCAGCGATCCTGATAGCAGCATTCCAAAGCCCACCTCATGCAGAGAGCTGGGTCTGTATCCTAGGATCTCTTCGTAGTACTATGAAACTCTGTATGTAAGCAGATTTGATTCCTTCAATTTATGTCTGGTAATTCTCACCTCGGGTCGACTTTGAGGCAAAATGTGAGCTGCGACAGTGTTGGCTTCGTCCGAAACGATGCACCAGCCATCGCGAATTAGAAGTCGACTTCGGAATGCCGACTTTCAGTGTATAATAGAGGTTAGCAGACTGCTCTCTCCTTGTATCGCTCAAAGGTGGCAGGTCCTTACCTGATTCCCGCTAGATCCTGTAACAGAGGATGCACTCATTGTGCCAGAGTATGAGTCCTGCACCGGACCTCTGTGCTTGTGATGCAACCTTGGCCCTACGATCGGTGTACAAGCCCTCTGTGGCCCATCTGTAGAACATGAGAGAGTATGCTAAAAGTTAGAAGGTACGCCCACGACTTAAAAATAATTGATTCTACCTACCGTCTTGGACGAAGAAGTACCTTGCAGCTGTTGGTATTTGGCTGTAATCCACATCAGCTCCGCTCTGGTTCACGAGTTTACCCACTTCTATCACACTCGATTGGACGCAGAATGTGATGTATGCCCAATTCAATACCTCCCCGCGTTCAAGGAACTCAACCGAAAAGCCGACGATGCGGTCGCCACTCTGGTCAAAGATTTCGATTATGCCCTTCTGGGGCCAAATAGCCGGTGTGAGAGAGTATTGAGACTGTTTCAAGTTCGCCATTTATTTTTTTAGTGTTGGTCTTCGTGAAGGCGATGCAAAATGAAGTCTTTACATGTGATATCAAGTAGTCGAATCAGCCTTTGTCTTTTTGTCGACATTGAGGCGCCGTTGATGGTGTAGCCACGTGTTGGACAACAAATTTGGGTTCTTTCAATTGCATGAAACGCCAGCAATTCCTTAGCTCTGGGTTGTATCACTTTCTTCGCAGATGCATGGAGAACTTTTGAATCTGGTACGCGTTTCACTTTTACCTTGAAGACTCAGAAAATTTCACACTTAACGCGTTTGTCCAAGTCTTGCAGCAGATAGTTCATTCATCCAGGTAGAGAATTTGCAACAACAATTATGAAGTACAAGACCACGTACATTTACGACAAAATCACATCGTTGTGCGGCGAACGAGACTTTACAAAGCCATGTTCAGATGTCTCTCAGCAAGATTTTACCATTCCTCTGATCTTCTTCATATGAGCGCTGTGAGAGAACTCGTGCGGGACATATTCTAGTAGCAGTATGTCGAGCATGCTCTAATGGTGATGCACGAGGAAATGTTATCGATTTGTGTAAAGTGCCGTAATCATGGCCTACTACGCAGTATCTCTTCCTTTCCTCACATAATTCAAGGCACGTTAGCCAATTCGAAAGTCAAGAAATCGATTTTCTCCGCTTTCTCAGCCGCGTCTCGATTGCAATGATGATGACAAACACGCAAAAGGATATTCTTATTCTCAGTATTATTCTTTTTTCTCGTTGGAGTTATCTGTTTCTCTGATTGCCCTTTCAAACCAATGCAGCAATTACTATGGACCAATCCTTTTCAAGTTTCCTGGCTGCAGTGTAATAAAATCTGCTTTTCTCTCCACTACATCGAGGATAGAGTGCTATTCAACTCTTTGCCTTCGGAGATGCAGCATAGCTGAAATCTCTCTACAAACTCGACAAATGTTCCGAGAAGAGCTCGACTGCCTTTGGGCCAGTGATAAAAAGATCGCCATATGAGTCAATGTGATTGCTTCCTGGGATGATCAGGAGCTCTTTCGGCTCCTTTGCAGCTTGAATTACTACCTCACTGTGATGCATTGATTATGCCATGTCACCTTCAGCCATCAGCAAAGGTCTTGGACTAATCAGGTGTTGAAAATTTGAAGGAGTCGTACGCCAATACTTGATCATAGCTTTTTGCAGGCATCTTCTGACCGGACCTTGACCTTGGCCCATCGAGTTCCACAATATCCGATTGCATCTCGGTAGAATGGATCACTTTTCGGTGTTTGCTCTTCGGGTATCGTGAAGGGGTTGTAGAAGTCGGAAATGGCAGATTTGAAAAGGAAGAAAGACAAAGAGCAGATCATAATGAAGGAGATGGAAATTCTTAAATTTATTTTAGTCTTCTTTCAATTCTCCTGCAAGGAATGTAACGCGTTGCAAACGTGTAAGAAATTCATTCACACTATAGTGACTCTGCACAATGAAACGAAAGGTAGAAAGGGATGGAGATAAGGAGGCGAGAGATGGGGGATGCCTTAATGCCGGTTCAATATTCCCCGCCATTAAGCGTGGAGCGAACCCTTCTTTACCCACCTCTCTTCATTCATTAAAATTCTCTTTGCTATCATTCAATATCGGATCTGACACGAGCACTTCTTCGCTCTCTTTGCATTCTTTATTCAGCGCCACAGGCGGTTGAGCACTCAGTCCATGAGGCGGAAGTGGTTCATGCATATTTACGGCGATTGCATATGGCTTACGAGGCGCTTATGTGTACATCATCGGTAGAAGAGAGGAAGAATTAGACGAAGACGTTCAAGACTTCGAAGCAAAAAGATCAGAAGTAGTAAGACGAAACAATAACATGGAAGCGTAAGCAGCAAAAGATGGTAAAATTATTGACATTCAAGGAAACCTGTCTAGCAAAGAAGAAATTGAAAAAGGTAGCCGAACGTATGGTCAATATGAAAGTCATCTAGACATTCTTATTTTATGGAGCAGGAATCTTTCGTGATACCGACAATGAGCAATTAAGAAGATGGTCAAATATCCTCCTATCACTACTAATTCTTTTTTTTTCTGATGGCTGATCAATATATGCTAGATCGTTGATTTTATCCTCTCTTTTAATATCATTATCACAGTCCTGCACAGAAGCAGTTACGAAATGTGTCTACGAGCCCAATTATTTTCAGTTTGAGCTTTAATTTTCGTGCGCTGGCTTCCGTCTAGGACTGTATCAGCGGATTGAGTAAAACCCTAAAAGCCCTACCCTTCCTTGCCTAGTTTAAACATGAAGATACCTATTGCAGATAAGGCAGATCTCGATCGCCGTGAATCCCAAGTGACAGTAAAATTGCTGTTCCACAGATCCTTCTTCTTTAAGGTATTGGAGTGAAATTTCTGGAAATGATCATGCAGCGTTGGGCACTTCCGCAATTTTACGCACAAATGAACTACGATGCAGTGCACATTTTAAGGTTCATTCCCCATGATGTAGCAAAACTACATAATAAAGCGAGAAAGGTGGAAATAGCAGTAATTGAAGCAAAAGACCATCTCGAAAAATACCATTATCGCATATTTGTTTCAAAACGCAAACAATTGGGCGATAGTCGGGGTGAGGTGACTGTTTAAGGTATAGATTCAATGAAGTTTATTGTCCCCACATTCGATCAGCGTATATTTCTCTTCCCTGCTTCCAGCCCTACCTCGTTATTGGACAGGAACAAACTCCTGTCTACTATTCGACGAGCCTCATGACGAATTAATTGGCGCGAAAGGATACGCAACGCAGTACGAAAGCGACGCGGTACGAAAAATGAGTAGCGAAACAATAGTACGATTGTTTTTTTCTCTTAGCGTTCGAAAAGCACATCAAGTGCCGAATCTAAAATCGTCCCTCAAAACAGTAAAGTAAGCGCGAGGGCGAAAGGAACAATGCCTGAAAGCTAGTTGGGTTTTTCCCTTGTTCTCACAGGAGTGGTCCAGTAGGGGCTGAAGAAGGGAGATCACTCTGATATACAAAGACACGGTGTCTACAGATACGAATCAATTGGTTTCTTCGAGATCGTCCATGCCCTGGCCGTTTACGATCTCACACTCTACTGAGCAAATTTATTATATGACGGATGGATATGTGTGACAGAATAATCTGTTCGCTTCCTTTTTGCTCCTTGACTTTGCAATGTCGTCCATTTGTAGTTCTTATTTGCGCCTAATGAATGTGACTTGCTTTTTGTCGTCGTCACATTCATTCTTTGGGACATACGACACAATTTTAGCGCGATGCGATTACAGGCACAACTAAAAGCCACAAAGAAAATTGAAACAGCTTTGCAGATGATCTAACGCGCTGACGAAAAATGCAGAATCTTTCCCAACGAATGATCGCGAAAGTCTTCCAAAGGCAAAGAATGTTTTATCAATAAATACTTTGAGATCGCAGACAGGGTCTTTGGGGCAGGCGCAATCAAAGTTGTCGAGGTTCGCACGCATTTCCTTGTAACATTCATTGATTTCATTGCTGAAATTACTAGCATTCTGGCGTCACGGTCGTAGAGTTATTGCATGCATTTCTTTTCACATCTTCACTTAAGATCCATATGTCAAAGGATCAAAATCTAAGCCGTGAGGCCGAAGCGCGGTTACTCCGTGGCTTTCGAGACTTTTCTTTGAACTACTTTGTACTGTTGCTGCTGGCATCGTTAATGCGCTCCAGGTCATCGCTGCAACGCATGGTCTCTTTTGGTAGATAGTGAAGTTTCAATTAAACAAGTGTGTGGCAACTTCGGTATGACATATCCTCCAGAAGGATAACTTGCGAGATCATGAATGTAAAACTGCTGCGCAAACGAGAGTAAGAGTAAGATTCAGAAAATATCCCGAACAAGACAGCTTTGCTTTCCTTGTTAGAATGCTTAGTTTACTTCTATAAGAGACCAGTACAGGGAAACCTGACGCTCCGTTCGATGATGTTTCAAGACCACCGCTGCGCACCATTGTTATAGCATCAGTTTTCTCAATCATTTTTCCCAAACAATTTACGTTGTCCTCCGGCAGAAATAGAGAAACATAAAAATCCCTTTGTCTCGTTTCTCATCCCCTTGGTACCGCGCGTTCCGAATTAAATTCCCATTTAATCTCTTTGTTTCCTCATAAGACAATCTTGGCTCACCTTCGTTACCCAATTATGACGCATGGTCCTCTTTGCATCAACAATCATGGCCGAGGATCAAAGCTGAGAAGTACTTATTGCAAAACAAGTCAGCCAGTCTCGTTCCACGTCCGACAAAAATTAAAAAAATCATACCAGAAGCGTTTTTGCAAGACTGATAACATTTCATGTAGGTGTGGTGGATGTGCAAAACATCTCCCGGCAGCACTGAAGAAGATTTTCCATGGAGTAAGAAACTATGAAAGACATTGAAATGTAGACGAAAATGCTGCTCTTGCTCCTTCAGGAAGAATTGGATTATGCAGCACCACGGGAAAGTACGCGAGCGACCTAAAGCAAATCAAGACCCAGTGATATTTATCTTGGAAAGTTCATCTTTGCAATGCTTCTCCAATAGGGAAAGCGACTCCATAGATATTTTGTCCATTCTTTTGACGGTCAAGTTCTCGCATTGAGTTAATGTTTCCACTCCAATGAGGGATCCCATATAAAAAAAAAATTCTCGCCCTTTCGAGTCGCTTAAGTATGGACGACTCATTAGACTGCTTGCGAAGCTTGAGTAACTGCGCTTGGACAATGGGATATGCCTCACGATGAAATGTCTTTGACGTCACCGCAACATCAAGAGTCTTCAGAAGCTCGAAAATCCATTGAGCATATGCTTGACCCAGATGAAAGCACGCAAGTCTTACCTTCTCGCGAGCCTGAGAAAAGTCGATTTCCGCAGTTGACAGCTTCTCCAAATGCAACTTGACAAGTTCACCTGCGCTTTTTTCTTGACCTTCTTCTAGTCGCAGGGATCTATCAACCTCTCCGCTTTTTCTTGCATTTCCCGTCTTTATTATTTTCGTCAGCATCTCAAGAAGTTTGAATGCTCTAATTTTTCCTGCTTCTTTAGATGAAGTTGACATGGGATCGTAGGGACAACCCTAGCAGGCTACCCATTCTTTTCGTGGCTCTCACATCAATTTGCAATGTTTACATGTACAAAACGTTCTTGTACTATACATGCAAAATTTACGTGTCTTTATATAACTACATCTTACAAATCTGAAATCTGTCACGTTCGTGTTATCCAAATGTATCTATCTAGCAAATTCTTCATGATGAGGAGTTTCAGATAAATCTGCAAACATTTTGGAGCCTAAAGACCAAAAGGAGTCATAGCAATTAGGTTACAATACTGGAAAATTCTGTTATACTACAATTATTCCTGTGGCTCCTTTTGTTACTACGTTTGAGACTCTGAAAATGAATTTTGTTCAAGTGAAAGATTGGGAGAAACGTCCAAGGACATCTCTTCGATGGTGGTATTGTGATTGGAAAAATCAGTATGACGAGTATTGCATAGATGATGAAGAAGGTGTATCTGAAACGGTAGAAAAATTGGCAAGGGCATTCACGCCATCTTTGTCTGCTTGTTGTTGTGGTTGTGGTGGTGGTGGCGATGATTCGAGCCAAAGTATTTTGACTTTTTCGATAGCTATAGTGAAAAGCCAAAGGCTATACTCATATTTATTTTCTTCTCCTTTTAAAGCGGTGCAACGTAAGCAACAATACTTTTATCAATTCAATCGCTTATAGGAAAAGTGAGAAAATCAGTGAGTAACAAAGTCCCTGCAGGTGGCTTTGCTTGGCTTGAGCGGATGATCAATTTCTCATTTTTGCATTTTGGTGTAAGGCAGAATTAGCTTCAGATGGCGAAATAAAGGCAGAAAAGAGTGGGGATCTGGAATGATATAGATATATGGCATCGATTGAAAGATTGAGAAATTTTTCAATATCGTGCTCGGTCTTGAGGATGTGCACAATTTTCAAACTTGAGTGGAGACCTTGTAACATCAAGAACAATTCTTCGGGTAATGTGTTTGACTTGCTCAGAATGCATTACTCTCGTGTTAACGGTCATTTTTACATCCACAATTTGTATAAGATAATACTCTAACCCTCATATGCGTCTGTGCACGAATCCGGTTTGAGAGAAAATTCGACCTGGTTTTGGTTACGATAAGCCCGCGCTACCGCATGTCTTCGACAAAGCGTACATTGACATTGACAGCCGCTAGCTTATATGATTTATATGGAATTTCGAACGATTGCTGAACCACGCGTACGAGTTTATTTTTTCCCGTGCGAATGGTTTTCTAAGACACGGTGTCTTTGTGTCCAAGAATCGAACTATAGCGTTCTCCACGCTCTACAGACATCCTATAGGAGCAAGTAAGACGCACAAAAACATTGGTAGCACTTGCTTTCCCTCGCTTACGCTATTGGTGAACAACTTTTAGCCTTCACCCCTTGATATCCCATTTCTATAGAGTAAAATAAGGCTCCCTATCAACTTTTCATCTTAAGCTGAATATCTCTATTTTTCCATGCGAATTCGTGAACTATCTCCTCAAACCCCGCAAGTAAATTTCCTCTTGTGCGGGGACGCGTGCGCTTTCACGCCAGTCCAACAAAATAAATGTTCAAAACACTATTTCTCTTTTTTTCGAAAATCTTATTTCGTCTCGCCTGCAAAGTAGTATCTGAAGCTGCACATCCAAACATCATCTTAAAAAAAAGTATATATGATAATCGGAAATATAATTACAAGGTCAAGTAAAATCTCGCGTTTTTTTTCAGATGTTCCATGAGTAGCTTCCATCAGTCTAGAAGAAGAACTACGATGCAGTTGCATGACATGTAGGTCTTGAAAAAGACTAGCAATTAGCAACATACACCGCCTTGAGTAAAAAAAAAGGAAAAGGGAGCGGTCCCGTTCTGAATGACGCAAAATGTAAATACAGGAACAAGAGAATCGGCTTGACGATTTGTACGATATCGGTCGTAGATATTCAATCAAACTAATTGCTAGCTCTCTGCCTTCGTTGGATGTAATTCCACATCTCTTTTGTAGTTTTTGACTTCTGGTATAACTCAGAATATTATACCAAATCCCTTGATTCTGACCGACATCGCTACTGTCAAGTCTCACTAAAATTTTCACCTCGTCTGCTGTTTTTGCCGTCTTCCCTTCGATTTTGACAGATATTCGTTGCCCGCTGGGATAATTGAGTTCTGGAAACCATTTAGACACCACTTTTATAGGTATAAATATCCTCGGGCTGTCCCGACCATAAACGTGTATTCTCCGCGATGAATTAGACGGCAGCGTTCGCGGAAGAATTTTAAATGCAGGATCATCTTCGTCAAGCTCGGCGCTTGGTACAAGCTCTACAAGTTTGGATAGATCGTGAGCGTCTGTCTGGAATAGTGCTTTTCCCTCCAATGCAGCTTTGCTTGCCAGCTTAGTAAACTTCGACAATTCAGTTCCCAGACGGAAGTCAGCGAAGACTTGAACCCACCTGCCCAGTGACGTGGAGAAGATCATCAATCCAACGCCTTTCAAAGACTCTGCCATATCTAGAGGTAAGCCTGGTCCTTCCCACAATGGTTGATTGGAACCAAACTCTAATTTCAGAAAGAACTGTAGATGAGGTGAGCTTTATACCAACGGCAAGGTAATGAAATCCCAAATATACTTACAAATTCTTTTTCCTCATTCACCCTCGAGAAAAGCATTCTTACATCATTGGCAAAAGGTAAAGGTAGGCGTTCCCCATTATTTAGAAAAGCTATGATTGCGCGACCTTGCCGAGAAAGGGGTAAGCTGCCAATTAGTAGCTCCCCAACATCTTTCTCTTTTCCCAGAAATCGAGAGGTTGACCTGCTGTGTTCCTCGATTGCGAGCCTGAGCGAATGATGCCAGATTTATAATCAGTAAATTGCGCGCAAACATCTTTGGAACAGCGAAACTTACAATCTCTGGGCGAACTCTTCCTTCGGAAGATATCTAATGAGCCGATCAGCAAACTTTAAAAGCCACTTTGTGCGATGAAAGATTGAGTGGAATTGGAGATGGATCTGGGGATAAAGCATGGTCAGTCTGTTGCCATTGCAAGAATTTCAAGGACTCTACGAGCAACGATTGCACGTTCAAAACTCACATCTAAATCTTTCAGAAGTAATTTCAACCCACCATACATCTTTTGATACGACTGAGGCATACTGGGAAATAAATCAGTCTGGCGAATTGTGGCTATCAGTAATGCAGCATCGGCTTTCAAGACTTTCATGGCACTTACTCCTTCACTTATGCCTCCTACTAGCAACTGTATCGACAAAAACAGAGGCTGTTGGGAATCGTTGTCGACTTTGCAGCGCTTAGAAAGAAACAAGTAAATAAAAATGAGTATGTTGTGCTTCTTTGTAATGAGAGAGAAAAAACATTACTTACTTTTAAAATCTCTTGCAAACAATATTTTGGTATGAAAAAGCCTCCAAAATTACTCGCCTTCCAAGAGAAAAATGTCTGTCCTCTCATTTTGCTCTTGCTTCTCTTGATTCTGAGTTGGAACTCTCTTCCAATAAAGAAAAGTCGGAGAGAATGTAAAAATGTGCCACAACAACGAGATCTGAAAGATAGGAAAACACTTACCCTGATTGTAGTAGTCGTGCAACCTCTTTCAAATATAGCGTGTACAATCGGTTGTACTCATATTTAATTCTCTCAAGTTCAAGTCTTGAGTGAGTATATGGGTCAGCTCTCAAGATTCAAGAAAACTGACCAAGCTGTCAGAGAACTCACGAGTTTTGTCCACTTCGACACAAAATGCCGTAGTAGAGGTACGTATTGTGTAAAGCGCAGGCGATCGGTGCAATAGAAGGATTGGGACGGAGCTTGTCCTGTTGTGAATAAGATTGGGCCTGTTCCATGCAGGGCGTGGAGTTGAGTCCGATATAGGACACAGCAGGCAGACCGATCTCTGCGCGGAAATGCAGGTAGCTTTTGTCTTTTCGATATGTGCCCAAAAGGCATGACAGAAATGCTTCAAAAATTGCGCAAACCAAGTTCGATTCTTTGGAGGGAAGAATAAGTGGTCAAAATCGTATCAACATTTCTGGCCAGAATGTAAAACCCACTTACCTTGCGATGGTGCTGCAAGAATGTTTGCAGGCAGAAAGTACAAGGAACCTTCTTTTTCCAATTCGAATGCGGCATACTGATGAAAGAAGCTTTCAAGACGTCGCTTATGTTCATCGCTATATACAGCTTTCGCAATCTCTGCATAATGACCTTTGAATCTGTGCAGTAAAGATTGGGATCTACCGACATAGACAGCAGATACATCGCGTTTCTGGTTCAAGAGCACACAAATATATGTGCCTCCAGAGTCTTGCAATGGCGACTCTCGAGGGTCTCGCAGCTCGGCCCCCGTACAATGCTGAAGTTTACCCATGAGAACCCCGGAAATAAATTTCTGAGCGGGAACTGAAAGCGTACTAAAGAAAGTGTGTTGGAGTTGCTCATTTTCACAAAGTAAAGCTCGTGCTTCTGACTCTTCTAATAATGCCATCTTGGAAGTTTGTCCGAAGGATGCTCGCGAAAGTCTTGCAAATGCGGAAAATACCCTACCAATAAGAATCTTAAGATCATGTATAGGCTCTTTTGGGGGAACACAATCAAAGTTGATGGGTTCTGAGTACGTTTTATGGTCACCTTCGTCGGATTTGCCGGTGAAGTTCTTCATGCTTCGCCTTTTTGACTCTGAACTGATCGCCTCTAGTTCTTTCCACACTTTTTCATGAGTTAATTCCGATCCATATGTCATAGGATCATAACCTAGCCTGTGAGGTCGAAATGCAGCCCTCTCGTCACTTTCGGCAAGTTCCTCTTCTGAATGTTGAGTACTTTCGCTGCTTGCAAAGTTTTCGAGAGATTCATCGTTGGAGTGCACGGTCTCCATTTCTGAGACATCCATTTTTTATCAATGAGTTGAGGTCAAGCACACGCCTCAATAGCCACACTGAGGGGACTTTCTTTTTGTGAGATTCCGTGTAGCTCTCTTGCACTGATGACAGTGAGGATGGGAACAGAAAATATCTGAACAGCTTACCTTTGCTCTTTTTATACAGACGCATCCTTTCTTTTGTTAGATTGCAATGCGACAAATGCTTTGCTCCACAAATGTTGAATCTTGGCCTGAAGCACCTACTTTACCATCCGGTTCTCGCATTTATTTTCTCTCAACAATTCTTGCCAGACTTTCCTTGAAAGAAAAAATAACATGATTCCCTTTGTTTCATCCTTTGTTCTGGACTTTATCCTTTGTTCTGGCTTTTTATCCTTTATTTTGGCTTTTTTTCCCTTTGTCCCACGCGGTCAGGATCAGACTTCTCTTCCAACACCCTTATTTCCCAAATTAGCTTACAATGCCTCTCCTTTGTTCTTCATACATTGGTGTGATGCATTTTAAATTCATCTTTCTTCCTTGTTTCAAGATCAAGATAATACGAGGGGCAACGCGATGGGAAAGAGTAATCTTCCGTGATTAATCTGGCACAATTTAGTGAAATGTAGTGTCGAGTGCGTTCCTGCCAGTCTTGTAACATTTCCTGCACGGTATACAGACTATTTCCATTCAGCACTTCTGCGTTCACACCGTCACTTAGGGTTTTATTTCCAAAACGATATATTCATTGGTAGCCAAAGCACTGCCACCAGAAGCTCGAGAGAATCAGTGAAAAGCTCATAGTCATATTGCCTTGCGTTGTCAGGCCAGATGAAATTTGGAATATTCAACTCAAGATTACATAGTTTTTGCTGCATAGCTTTCGAATAAAAACGGTCGTCAAATCGGAAGGCGCATGTCGGTCCTTTGCAAAAATCTCTGCGGAAGTATCCTCCGCTGCTTGAACTAATAAGAGCGAGATCTCTACAGTGCGCATTACTGACAATGGAAGAGTAGCCGTTTTTCGCATTCGTTTCGGAGTTGCGGTGTATTCTACCTGAGCACGTCTCAGTGTAAGATTTGCCAGCAGATCGTGTACCTGACGATGTTCTCAATCGTGGAAGCCAACCATTCAGCGCAGCTTTGATTAGTTAATGACAATCTTTTGCTCAGTATACGGCCTGATACACCTGTAGGAGAGCATTTCCGGACAATAGTAAACCAGTGCCAGCACGAATCATGTGCGCTGTTTCGTGTTTGTCTGTATCATGTCACACACATAGAGATCAAACCTACAGAATCTGGAACACTAACTTCTATAAAGAAAAGCCTACTTCACTGTACTCGTTGAAGTGAAGTATAGATTGATTTGCCCTCCCTCTGGTAATAAAGGAAAACAGAACTGCTTTCTCACAAGGAATGCACGTATCACAACACGCCGAATCGCATACTTGATCGTTCAGTAGTTGTAAAGAGTGCAAGATGGCACGTTCAAGGCATTTGAGAAATCGGATTGTTGAGAGCGCAGGCTACCTTTGTTTCGACAAGTTCTTGTACCCAAACATTTCTTACGCCAGAAGGAACATTCGTCGGCATTCCATTCCTTTTTCCTGGTGAAATAATATAATCTGAATTGAAGTCTATGTATGCAATTTCCTCCTCAAGGAAGTTATCGTCTGCTAAACGAGCGAATCAATTATCAACAGCGCCGAGCTGTATAGATTCTCTGACATCGAAAGCTGCGTCTTCGTGACTGTCTTCTCCGGATCAGGCTTCATCGGTCTTGTCGCTGCTTTAGTGATTTACTTAAATGTGATACAGATGTGATGGCAATGTAATATTCCGCAACAGATCCTGATAAAGCCACCTTAATTTTTCCAGCTTTGCGTGTCGAGGACGTTTTGGCAGCGGTTCTGGATAGGCTCAAAGACATCTCGACTTGAATCTCATTAGATACTACGCCACTGATTGGAGATGAGTCAACTTTTTTCCAGCTTTACAATTCTACTGTGAGCATCAGAGATTGTCCTAAAAACCCAGTGTAATCTATTCTCCTTTGTCGGTGATGACCTAATCTAAGAAGTGAGTGTATGGAAAGAGAAGATGATAGACACGGATTCAATCGAGAAATCTTTTAGCGCCTAGATATATTACAGTGAGTTTTCCATCTAATAATAAGTATCCTGCTGTGCGTCTATTCTCACTCAGTATAGAACCTTCCGGGCTAAGACGAGCCAGCAATAAGAAATCGCCGCGTGGCGCTAAACTGATTAGATGCTCCAAGCTCATTTACGTGAAGTGGGAGAACGTGAGCCTAAGTTGACTTGCATACATCTTAATAATACATACAAGCAACTAGGCCTATCTGCTGTGCCGTGCGCTGCCACGCTAGTTAGACGGTACTCGCTGGAACGAATGGGAAGAGATCCAAAATCTCGCCTTCTCTCAATCATCTTACCTCGCAAACAACGCGGTCAGTGAAATATATATTGAATTCAGCCTCGATCTTTCACAAGCCATAAATATTTCCAACATATTATCATCACAATCGAAGCTGCGCTCGGGTGACTTTCTCAAATAAATTGCACAAAGTGTCTCTGTGACACCACTTGGCTGCGATTTTTTATCAATCAATAGAAATGACAGATCCATCAGGTGGAATGAAGGTACAGTTGCAACCGCCTAATCGCAAAGCATCCACGGCATCAACGTCTATTGTAAAAGTCCCCGTCTCCGAATGAAGAGTCGAAATTTCATCGTCTTCTTTACTTATACATACACGATTATCGCTTGAAATAAATGTTTAAAAATGGCAAATACTATCGTCAGCGAAACAGGAATACGAACGGACGAAGGTGTATCAGTCGACAGGGAGGATGAAAAAAGCCTCTTGTACGAATGGTTTACAATGTTCTGGAAAACTCTGCACGAATCTCTGCAATCACAATCAAACAGTCGCGGTATTCCTTCACTCGATTACAACAGGGAAGGGAAAAAAATCTGTGAAGGGAACTGTGAAGAGAAACAAAACCATTTGATCGCAGCGTCTCTGGCCAAGGATCTTGCTGCTCATCAGCAAACCGAAACACTTTTCCACGCGGATAGTAAATCTCAAAAATCGAAAGTCAGCATGAAAAAAAGTAGTTTTGGACAGACAAAGGAGCAGAGCCAAATATTAAACACGATTTATACCACTTCCTTGGTAAAACGGAAGAAATACGATCGTCTCAAAGCTCTGAGAAAGAAGCAAAAAGTTCACTTAGCCGTGGCTTCGGTCATATAACTGTAGACCTTAAAAACCAATCCGCGACATTCAGACAAGCCGAGCAGAAGTTGAGTGGTTGTTCTCATTTATAAAAACCTTCTGCGATATAGTTTGATCAAATCTGGAGTCTTCTGATTACCAAAATACCTTCAACATTGGTGACTGACGCCGATAATTTACATAAATTAACCCGCTTGAGAAACGACTTTACAGTTTAAGATTGATGAAAGTTTTGAATGTTCAATTAGGTAGGCACGTGTTTGACGAAAATACAAACTGGCAATGGCATCCATACCATCTTTGCCTGCTTCTTTATGTTGTTCTTGTTATTGCTGTTATGGTGGCGATGGCTTCGGGCCTAAGAATTTTGACTTTTTTGATAGTTAAAGTAAAAAGCAAGACGCTATACTCATGTATTTTTTTCTCCTTTTAAAGCGGTGCAACGTAAGCAACAATAGTAATTGACCTCTTCTTTTATCAATCCAATCGCTTATAGGAAATGTAAGTGTATCAGTGAGTAACAAAGTCCCTGCAGGTGGCTTTACTTGGCTTGAGCGGATGATCAAATCTCAATTTCGCATTCTGGTGTAAGGCAGAAAAAGCTTTAGATAGCGAAATAAATACAGAAAAGAAGGGAATCTGCAATGATGTAGATCTATAGCATCGATTGAAAGATTGAGATACTCTTCAATACTGTGCTCGGTTTCCAGGATATACACAGTTTTCAGACTTGAGTGGAGACCTTGTAACATCCAAAGCAACTCTACGAGTAATGTGCTTGACTTGCCTAGGTTGCATTATTCTGGTGGCTCGCACAATTGCATCTCTTTCCCTAAAAGTTGATGACTTTTTACAATATGAAGAGTAAAACCACAGGCTTTCGCGGGAGACTTGGGTTGAATTACAAAGCAGCACCGTTTGAAATGTTTAAGACTTGCCCCTAACCCTAACCTCTCAAAAATTTCAGAATACTAATGCAAAGCAGAAAAAAGATCGACAAAGCGTCATTCTTGGCTTATCGTCATTGATCGAGCCATTCATTATTCGCACTTGTCTGAAAATGAATGAATTGTACGACACCCAGATCTGATTCTTCAAAGCACCAATTTGCGTATGGATTTCTTCCCTGCTTCCAGCCCTCCCCCTGATTGGACCAGTCTTAATCACTGAGCGACGAAGCTCATGAGGGATTCATTAGTGTGAAAAAATACGCGAAGCAGTATGAAAAAATGAGTGATGAAGCAATATTACGAACTTTTTTTTTCTCTTAGCTTTCGAAAAGCAACCCATAAAATGCCAAAACTAAAATCGTGATTCAGATTCAGAAATGCGAGCGTGGAAGAAACAATGGCTGAAAGCTAGTAAAGGTTTTCCCTTGTTCTCAGAGGGATGGTCTAGTAAAGATTTAAGAAGGGGTATCACTCTTGTAGACAAAGACACGGTGTCTGCAGGTACCAATCAATGAGCTTCTACCAGATCGTCTATGAATGTGACGTGCTTTTTTGTTATCGACAAATTTATCCTTTAGGAGACATGACAAAATCTTAACGCGATGCGATTGCAGGTACATCTAAAAGCCAGAAGAAAATGAATCCGTTCCGCAGATGATCTCACGCGCTGACGAAATAAGAAATTTTCCCAACGAATGATCGCGAAAGTCTTGCAAAGGCAAAGAATGTTTTACCAATAAAGATTTTGAGATCGTAGACAGGGGCTTTGGGACAGGTGAAATCAAAGTTGTCGAGGTTTGCACGCATGTGCTTATCACATTCATTGACTTCATTGCTAAAATTCCTATTATTCTGCCGTTACGGTCGTAGAGTTGTTGCATGCATTTTTTTTACACCTTCACTTAAGATCCATATGTCAAAGGATCAAAACCTATACCCGTGAGGCCGAAGCGCGGTTCTTCCGTGGCTTTCGGAAATTTTTTTAGCTACTTTGTACTGTTGCTGTTCGTATCATTAATACGCTCCGGGTCATCGTTGCAACGCATGGTCTCTTTTTGGTAAAAAGTGGAATTTCAATTAATCGGGTGTGTGGCAACTCCGGTATGACATCTCCTCCGGAAGGATTATTTGCGAGATCGTGAATGAAGATCGGCTGCGCAGATGAGAGTAAGAGTAAGATTCAGAAAACTACGCGAACAAGATACCTTCACTCTACTTGTTCAAATGCTTAGTCTTGGTAAAAGGCCATTACAGGGAGACCTGACGCTCCGTTCGATGATATTTAAAGACCACCGCTGCGCACCATTGTTATAGCTTCAGCTTTCTCAATTGTTCTTCCCAAACAATTCACGTTGACCTCCGGCAGAAATATAGCGAGTTATATGAACCCCTTTGTACCGTGCGTTCCGAATCTAAATACCCTTTGTTTCCTTTGTTTCCTGAATAGACAATCTTTATATTCCTTTGTTCCCAATTCCCACTCATGGTCCTCTTTGCATGCACAGCCATCGCCGAGGGCCGGATTTGAGAGGTACTTATTGCGAAAAAAAATTCAGTCAGTCTCGCTCTCCATCTGACGAAAATTAAAGACATCATACCAAGAGCGTTTTCGCAAGACTGAGAACATTTCATGCAGGTATGGTGGATATGCAAAACATCTCCAGGCAGCATTTGCACGAGTAGATGATAACGCGAAGTACTAGCGCGTTTTTGCCCCTGGTTCAGTGCATGTATGATCGACTCCGTTTTATATTCGTTTCCTACTGCAATTCTTTTTCTTTTGTTGTCAAGCGTGCTGTTGTAATTTGTTTTTGCATTTTTCTTCATAGATTTTTGCACTTCTTTTTTACTTGATAAAGACCGGAAAACTCACGAGAACCCACGAATTCTGGCAAGCACACATTGGCGGTAGTCCTATTCTGCAAGACATGGATCCAAGGACCCGCGCGGCTGCACTCTCATAGATTGTAGCTTCTATAACCATCCCGTGCAACAATCGCATCTTCTCATCTTTCACCGCAAAGGAGTGCGGATAATATTTGCTATCCTAGATCAGGGGCATGTGTCAGTAAGGTCAGGGGTTGATGGGTGGCAAATGGAATCAGTGACGAGAAGTACTTTGTTGGAAGACTGACTTCAACTTTAGAGACAGTAGGTACAGTGAGGAATTCATGGAGAAGGAGACTATGAAAGACGTTGAAATGTAGACGAAAATCATATTCGTACTTTTTCAGGATGAATTACAACATGCAACACCACGAGAAAGTGCACGAGCGACCTAAAAGCAAATCAAGACTCATTGATGTTCATCTTGGACAGTTCATCTTTGCAATGCTTCTCCAGTAGGGAAAGCGACTCCATAGAGATTTTGTCCATTCTTTTGACGGTCAAGTCCTCGCATTCAGCTAATGTTTCCACTCCAATGAGAGATCCCATATGAAAAAATTTTCTCGCCCTTTCGAGCCGCTTTAGTATGGACGATTCATTCGACTGCTTGCAAAGCTTGAGTAAGTGCGCTTGGACAATGGGATATGCCTCACGATGAAATGTCTTTGACGTTACCGGAACATCAAGAGTTGGTAGGAGCTCGAAAATCCATTGAGCATATGCTTGGCCGAGATAAAAGTACGCAAGTCTTACCTTCTCGCGAGCCTGAGAAAAGTCGATTTCTGCAGTTGACAGCTTCTCCAAATGCAACTTGACAAGTTCACCTGCGCTTTTTTCTTGACCTTCTTCTATTCGTAGGGATTTATCAGCCTCTCCGCTTTTTCTTGCATTTCCCGTCTTTATTAATTTTGTCAGCATCTCAAGAAGTTTGAATGCTCTAATTTTTCCTGCTTCTTTAGATGAAGTTGACATGGGATTTGCAAGTGCTGTCCGCTTACGTTTTCTGGACTTCCCGTTTTGTTCTACAGACCTGACACAAATCTACGAAGAGGCAGTCAGTTTTTTTGTCTGCTCTATGTTACTTCACCAATACTCACCTCGTAAGAAATACCTTGGTATTGGATATTAATGGCGGGAATTTGATGCAATTTCAAGAGATTCTCTTGTATGAGTGCCTCACAAAATGCGCGATACATCAATGCCACTTTGTTCGGCGTGTGTGCCCCATCTGCTGCTTGAACATACGCAGCAACAGATGTCACGAGACTATCTATCCCAGTGGTTTGATAAAGTGTTTCTTGTCTAGGAAGGTAGACGCGCGTGGTCATCTTGAAAATAATCTGGTTGGAGTAGATGACGGTAGTTGAGGTTCACCAATCGATCAGGGTGCTTTGAGCGGAAATTCCCTTTTAATATCGCAAATCTATATATGGGTGTGTTGCTGTGGGACTGAACTTCAGTTCGCTATCTAGGAAATTGAAACGTGGAGTACGGCACAAAGGATATCTAACACCGACGTTTTTGCACAAAGGGATATTTAAGCAAAAAATACATCGCGTGCTATCTTTTCTCAGCTTGCCCTTGTCCGCGAAACAAAGAAACAAAGGGAGGGCATGAATGGGAGGGCATGAAAAATCCGCGCTTAGCGTGTCAGTTCAATCGCTGCTCAGCGATGCATTTAGCTAGGTCTTACTTCAATTTTGGTAGCATTGACAAAGGGAGCCAGCCGTGAGAAATCATAGAAAGCCTGTGCAGAGTCCTAGATCTCAGGGCTGACAGCGATTCTGCCGAACTTTGCAAATATTCCTGAAATGCCGAACTTTGATAGTCATTTGTTAAATTGAGCACTTTTAGAGCCAGGTCATGAGGAATCGCGGCATCCATGCTTTCCAAAATTCACTAATATGGATAAATACAATTATGAGACACCGCTGAAGAAGATAGTAAAGGGCAGTCCAGTTGCAAGACGCACGTGTACACTATCATGCCCCTTTTTGAAAATCTGATGCCTTTACTTCCAAAACGCGTGTAGCGGCGAAATTGACGGGTCCATCACAAAGGTAATCTTTATGTCCATCCAAGATCTAATCATGTCCACCCCCCATCAAAACTCTAATCAAATAAGCGCCCATAATTTTGCTATACAATATATGTACATATATAAATCAGATGTTCGAATCCATATACTATATAAAGACCCGGCTTCGAATTAGACAAAATTTTGATGCATAAAACATGTTCTTTGCTCAGATGAATTGTGAAAAGTTTCGTTTCATTTCTTGCTTAGGCGAAGGGGCTTTTGGAATAGTGTACCAAGCAATTAATCTCCAGACAGACAAAGTGAGTACTTTTTGCTATCGAAGATACTGTCTCTTTCTCACCTTCTTTCCAATCTTCAGCAAGTTGCAGTCAAATGTATCAAAACAAATCAAGCACTTGGTGCCCTCGAAAATATGAAACGGGAAGCAGACATTCACTCAAAGCTTAAACATGTGAACATTGTCGCATTAAAGAGTTTTGCACTCCAGAATAACTTTTTACAATTGGAATTAGAATTATGCGAGCAAGGCACTTTATGTGATTTTCTCTTTTGCAAACAAAACATGTGAGTGATGTGATTATCAAAAAAAAACTGAAGAAATTGAATTAAATTTTTTTGTTCTTTATTAAGCGACCCTACGACCAGAAATAGTATTTGCGCCCAGCTTTGTTCGGCTGTTCATTATCTTCATGAAGGTGCTTTAGCAAAAGACGCTGTAATTCATCGGGACATCAAATTAGAGAATGGTAAGAGAGAATCTTCCTGCGTGTGATATGCAGCCTGATTGACCTTTTTTTCCTTCATCCAGTTCTTCTCACGCGGGGAATGCAGATAAAACTTGGTGATTTTGGACTTGCTATCTCAAAGCCCCGTGATAGTATCGGCAGATGGGGAATAGCTGGAGTGAGTCTTGTACGATATTCAGGATCAATAATTTATTTTCACTGACAATTGTTCTTTTCCCCTCTCCGATGTGATTTCAAGACAAAAGATTATATGTCGCCTGTGCGTATCTTTCGTAACCTCTCTATGGTTTACATCTTATTAATTTTTTCTTCTAAAAATTTCAGGAGATGATTCGTGGTCTCAAGTATGGAAAGAAAACAGACTTATGGTCACTTGGTATTTTACTTTACGAGATCTGGACGTGGCGGTAAGCATTTTTGGAAAAATTTTAAATACATGGAGAAATCTCACCTTCCACTTTTACAATTATACAGTACTTTTCAATGGTCTAAGGGCGTATCACTTGAGAAATCGATTGCCGCTATGCTTTCAGAGCCTTTGAGCGATGATGTGTCTCAGGTGCTGGCGCTATTTCTGCAAATAGACGTGAGTATCAGATTTCTGTTTTCAGTCTTTATGCTTACATTCTACCTATTCTGCTTCATCGAAAAGCCTATTTCACGACGCGAGGCAAGTACGCCTTTGGCATTTTCATGGATGTTAGAAGCCTTGATGAACGAACATAATAGGTGAGTATGTCGAAGGTCACAAGTGAGCACACCGCTGATCTGTACGTCTATATTTCAAGTCACACAAAGTTTTTATCAGGCATTGAAGACGAAGGAAGCGATAAGTCTTTTCAATCAGCAAAGAGTGAGAAAGATTCAGAACTCATGTGAGTGTACTCGAGAGAATTTATGCTTTTTTTTAACATGTGTACTAATCCTGTCATGCTGGCTTTGAAAAGATTTCCTGAATTCACCTTTCTCATCAAGCATTGAATCGTCTGTCCAGGGGATACTAATGCTGAAAATGGTGCGCACTGCTTGCGTTTGGATCAAATAAGGCTGCAAAAGGCCTGGCTGTTACTACCCATGGGCGAGCAGACAGCATCGGAGACTTGACTTTGACTTGTGTTACATTTCGGACACAGTACAAAAAAGCACGATTTTCGAGCAGATATTCTCCACGGCAAGTCGAATTCTGATTGTAACATTTTAGATGATTAAAACATCTGATACTGATAAACTTCACTTCGAGATATGAAGACCGAAAGAAAAACCATGATGCACTTTGATGAAGAGCTAGCTAGATTCTCCTTTGCGATACAATTGCCTATAATTCGCGCGAAGATCAATCTGTCATGCCGCGTTCCTGTGTCTCTCTCTACTGAGTCGAATAGATTTGGTGCGACCCTTAACCTGGACCAAGGTAACGACAAAGCCAGGCACCATTTTCCTTGCTCCACTGACGACAGCCGGATTATCCAAAGGTATTTGACGAGTGATACAATGCACTCTTGGTTTCCCATCAATTAGATCCGTTCTCCAAGGAAATTGCCCTGCGTATTCGCAAAAAGAACAGTATATCTGTGTATTGCCCAATTTGCCTTTTGTTGCTTCGCGATCAAATTAAAATTAAGATAAAGGACGCGACGAGGACAAAGGAGAGATTGGATTGCCTTAGCATTGCACTCAATAATGCGTGGGATACGCAAATAATTTTAATGAAAACCCTTTGTTCTTTGAAAGCTTGACAAAGGGAAATGATAAATGGGAATTTAGTGGCGCGTTCCGTTGTTGACTATTTACACACATTTTCAGCAGGAAAGTGGCTTCAACCTCGCGCATTGCTGTGTATATTCACAAAACGAACAAAGGGAATGATTTTCCGCGAAGCACTTCATCGCGTGTCTTTAGAGAAGATGATGTGTGAGCTTGTCCGGAAAACTTACTGTGCGGATTTGATTCTATTTCTCTCGCCCAGTGAAGTATCATAAAAGGGCGTAAAAGGGGAGGAATTAAGGCGAAAATTGTGAAAAGATGAATCGATGGCACAATCTCCGCATACTGGAGACTCTGATCTTGCAAAAAGAAAGGGACACAAGAACATAACAAAGGCACATAACAAAAGTAGTATTGGCCATAAAGAGCTTGCTCGTAGTTTTTCGTTAAAATATATTCTTTCTTGGTCCATGTAAAGAGTGTACAATAATCAATAGAGTCTTCTCACTATACAAGTAACACACCAAATTCACTCGTTTCCGCTCAGACTTTCTCTATCACCAACACAATAACACTACACCGCTTTCCATACTTTACTCTGCAAATAACCATGGAGAGAATGTTCGAAGAAGATGATGACCTTTATGTTGAAGATTTTCAGGAGAACGATGATAGTGATGATACATATTCGGATTTTGTTGTTGATGAGGTCAATGAGAATGAAGCCGACGATGCTGAAGATGACTATGCAGGGACAAATTCAGTTTCAAAGACTTTTGCCGCAGTACAACGGCATTACGAGCCTCTCACCTTTGGACCAGAGCGACTCTTTGAGAGCAGCAAATTGCAGTTCAAGACTAGGACTTTACCAAATAGTAGACAACAAGGCGAGGTGATCATCGAAACCATAAGATTCGCTACGCGCAAACTTTATGCAGATGGTCAAATCGAGTACATCCTCTTCAAGTGTCCTAATCCACACAAGCCTGCGATGGTGCTTGCAGAGGCGGTAGATAGAGCGTTGAATGCTTTTGCGCGCCTTTCGAACGGCTATCTACATTTGCCAATGAGTCTTGCGCTTATGGAGGACGATTCTGTTCGTGATATCTTGCATTCTGGCATCGAGACGGCAAATTTTTTTTCCGGACATTGTCAAATTTTGCAGCATCATTTCTCAGCCGTATTTTGAAAGGAGAAACTTTTACTCTTTCGGTGCCAGAGAAAGCCAAAATCAAGGCACACAATAGCAAGTTAGGGACAGCAGGGGGTACATACCTCGTACTGACGACGAACAAGAACAACGAAGTAGCAGGAGTCTATGTTGGGCGAACAAACTCATTGCAAAGAAGAATGAAAGATCATCAAATCAATCTTGCCATCGCAACACATACCTCAGATTCTTTTGCGCACATCGAATCGCATTTCTATCAATCTGCGGCCCGCGAGCTTCATCACGGCGGAGAGCTGTATTTCATCGCGGCAAACATTTTTCCCATAACATCACAGGGTGAGTTCTCCTCAGATTTTTCGCAGAGCCAACCCAATTTCCACTTACACGACTTTTTCCTTACAATCGCAATAGACGCACATGACCATGTTGCAGTATTTGAAGCTTTGCTCTCTTGCATCACGGGCAGTTTCCAACTGAAAGAAGCTTTTCTGGAATTTCGTGCCGGTTTTGGCATGCCACTGGTCAGCTTCATTGGTTACAACTCTACCCCTTGTATGGAGAGACCGGAACGCTTCAACCAATACGCCGAAAATGTGGCAAACCCCACTCTTTCCCCAATGATACTTGAACTCCGCAATTTATATCTTCGGTACGGATTAATCTGCTCCGCAAGCAAGACTGTGTAAGTTTGTAGGTGTCTTTTCTGAGAGATGAAACTAAATTCTAATATTTTCTTTGAAAAAAACAGAGCTGCTCATGCTGCAAGGCATGACGATCAAAAAAAGGAGATAGAACAAGACTACCGCCACAAGCATGCTGCGTATATGATGGAGGTAGCAAGATTGCTAAAAAATGGGTGAGTGTTCCGTTGGTATTTACTGTGCACATCTATGACAGAAGCTAACACTTCTCGATTGCTAGCGAATACATGTTGAGGCTAGTGAGAAAACAAAACCGTGAACCGAGACAAGCGTACTATAGCTGGATAGCAACCAATTTGACCGATATATTATTACCACGAAAGCAAATGGAAAACATCCTGCAGGTAAGCATTTTGTCGAAACTTTAGAAAGCAGGCCAACAAGCGTAATGAAGGCTGATAAAACTGTGATTGATTTCCATCTGCAGTCAGCGAATGTCAGTAACTACAGTGGATTACCTTTGTTTGTATCTCTTCAATTGCTCGTCGGAGATCCAGATTCAGCGGTGAGTTGAATGGCAATGACGTGAAACCACTAAAGCTTTCGACTTATACATTTCAGTCTTTGATACCAACAGAGTGACGTATTTCTCGGCACTTCACCGAAATACGGTGAGATCTATGGCGGGTTGAAGCTTTATCTGAAAGATTTGGATGTGAGTTGTATAAGGGTCGAACTGTCCGGGAAGTAACAAACGAACGAAGAGAAACTGACTATTCTTCTTTGAAAGCTCTTTCTGCAATTTGAAACTGTTTTCCATCGAAGAAAATGGCAATTGCGTTTGGCAGAAAGGTTGCTTCATTGCTGCTCTAACAAGGAAGCCGAGAGACGCATGTAAGTGCTTGCCGGGGGACGTGAATCAGTAAGCATAAATCTGACTCCCTTTACTCACTTTTGTATGAAAAGCACTCTCCTTAGAGAGAAACAAAAGGTGTCGTCAAATATCGTGACTGAAAACAGCAATTACAGGGAGTTGATCGAGGGTGAACTTCCAGTTTCAGTTCAAGGCAAGACAGTCGTTGAGCGTCCAAAAAATGAGATGAAAATCACGTTCCCAGTGTCACCACAGACAAGAAAGTACTTAGAACGAGATACAGGGAAGAAAGAATTTGTAAGTCTCATTAGTAGGTATTTTCCACCTTTTTGACACTAACTTTCCTACTGCACTAGTACTTTGTTAAGCTTGTATTCGGCTCTTCTTGCCCTTTGTGGGATGGAACTGGCTTCCCAGAAGAGGTGAGTAGCCCTCTTAGGGGAGTGGGCTTGTCGCTGTATTCCTTCAGTTCGAATACATGGATTCCAATATCAGCAAATTTTCGCTTCAGATACGTCGTTTCACGTTTGACTGCATTCGCTAGCCAAGCAGCTATCGTTGCAAGACAGTCGATTACATATCATAGCGATCGAAATGCCCCAAACCATTTTTCTGAGCCTGAATCAGACGAGGAGGAAGATTAACCAGCATTTCAGATTTTTCAAAGAACTTTGCCTTCAACAGGGTATTCGCCAAGGATTGGTGTACGAGGTCAACGAACACCTACAATTCTCATTCCACGAAGGATGCTAAGGATGTGGTTTCCAGATGGAACCTACCCACAAGGGCTCCTACTCTCTGTAAAGATTGAAGCCACAAGAGCCAGATCACCTGACGAGGTGAAAATATTTCTTCGTCTTGACAGCACAGGGCAGAGTGATAATGAAGGTGTGTGGTTCAATGCCTTACGCTACGCGAAAGACGGCATACCCTCAGCAGCAATTTGGCGCTACATTCAAGAAACACAACGTGGAACTCGAAATCTTGATGAAGAGAGTCAAGTCAACAAGATGTTGTAATCCCTTAACAAGCGTTCGATGTGAATAAAAAAATACTAAAATGTTACCGAGTAGCGGCGTTATCTTCTTTGTCTTTTTCGTGTCAAAAATAAAGAACAAACAGCTCTGTAATAGTGCAGTGATGAAACATAGTATGTAAAGAGATTTCCATCTAGGCATATCCAGAAGGTCTAAAATAAGGTGGTTGTCTCTTACTCATGACTAAGAGAATGAGAAAGTGCTCTAAATAACAGGCTACCAGGGAATATTTCTCCCTTGAATATCCTGAAAAAAAAAAAAAAAAAAAAAAGAGTTGTGTGTCTGTTTATTTCATTCGTTCTATATTGCCTGGACTTCGTGGGCTATTCTTACAACATGAGTCATTGAGACTTTTGCTTGTTATAAAATTTGTCGAATCACAGACGGTCTTGTAAAAGCTGTAGCACATACCTCTTCCATGAACCTAATCAAGAAAGTATTTTTGAAAATTTGGATCTCGTGGAGATGCAAAACTACATTTGTTTCTATCGGTCCCAAAATCCAATCCGCATGGTAGGTAATTGAATGCAACAAAAACGTGTTTACTAAGGATGTCTACGAATTTCAGTGGGTGTTGATTTTGTTCCGATTAATGGCCTCTTTTCTACAAGTGCATGAACATGTACTATTGAAAAGATAAGTGAGAGTTCATTTGCGAAAGTCTGCAGCTCTCATACAAAGTAGATGTAAATCGCCGGTCTCATTCTTTTTCCGGCTTATATACTATTATCCAACAAAAAGCTTAAACAATTCTGCGCTTCTTGTCGATCTAGCTCTAGAAATTAGTGGAGAATTGTCCTCACTTAGTAAAGTAAGTAAGCCAATTGCTTCAAGTATCCAAACTGCGTGCTTAGCTATTAGCTCAGAATAAAAATCTGTCACCAATGGCAGGTCTTTCTAATTGTCGATAAAATACATTACGTTGCCAAAATTTGACTTTGGCCTCATTCTGAAGAAAATACTGTCGTTCTTCCTTCCCAATCGTATTTCAAGGATTTAAGTGAAACCACCTTATCAAGCAAAATAGCTACGCTACTTGTATGTAAAACTATGGCAGAGGAACTGATTTCTTTTACTAGTACTATCTTTGGTTGAGCGGTGTCATTTCTTGCTTCTTCTGAAAACAATATTTCTTCAGAGAAGGTTGGCAGGAGCTCATTGAATAAGTTCTCAAGCTATCCAAAATATTGCAAGACGCTTTGGTGGGCATTGACTGATTGGCACACGGTAAACAGAAAGAACGCTCAAATTATCGTTCATCCGAAGATTAATAAATTAGAATATCAGCGCTAATCGCTCTTTCCTACAGTGTCTGTGTTGTGTATTATTATACCTGTGCCCTCATTTGCGTGTGCTTGGCCGGTACGCCTTTTTTAAAAGAGAATTGGACGCGCTAGAGACACTTCGTCTGTGTAAAGGCGATTCTTTCGGCCTTTGGCGTGCAAACTCATGATGTATCGTGCCATTGGATAGCAAAAACAATTTCAGATACAGCATTTCCTAGCGTCCACCTATTCTAGCGAATTATCTCCGCGCGGAAGAGCGCACGGCATTGCGTAAGTGATACGCTACTCGGACCTTCTTGTCATTCATTAGAGAGTAGAAGCTCGTAAAAACTTTGAATCACTCAGGTGCTAGCCCAAAAGTCTTGAATGCTCAGCCTGTGTCAAAAGATAGCAATTGTATCTTGTAACAGACTTTGTGCACGACATGCTTTCATCAATCTGAAAGAAGCACAGGGTTTGTTCAAGGTTTCTTAACAGTACAAAGATAATTTGATCGCCAGTCAGACCCCACATGATTGGCATCCCGCTACCACCTACAAAGATTAAGTACTCGAAGATATCAGAGATCGATGTGGGATTTTTGAGGTCCCGGAAGTGTCTTTTCGAACCAACACGATCACTGTTGAGAGGTTTCTTGTCACAAACAAAAGAAATTTATTGAAGTACTACACGCTCAATCCTGTCGAATGTAGAAATTATCGAGACAAGATAAAAACTTCCATTACGCACGCAATTTGCACGAATATAAAAGAGTAAGATACTAACAAGTTGAATTATTTTTAAAACTTACTTTCAAGGAGGAGCTAAAGTCAATTTAGCAACGTTGCAGGTGACCAGACCATTAGCCACACTAGACAAAACCCCCTCGATAGTAAGCGTAACATCGGAATAATTGATGCTAGACCTGCACCAACTTGCGTCTGTACCCAAAGCAGTGATATCAACATCTTCGAATACCAAATTGCCAAAGTCCCAAGCAGCTAATCGCAAAAGTGTACTACGAGGATGTCTGTCTTATGCATCCCAGTATAGCCAACATTCAATTTCACTAATTCTTCAGCGGCTAGAAAAGCGCCTACTTAAGTGCATCATTTCTAGATTTCCGATTTAGACTTTTTTTAGTATGATCAGAATTGTAGCATATCAAGCAAGATCACCGAAAGCAGGACAATGCCTGTACTGAATACACTGACCATCGGAAGAAAAAAGAGCCGCAATTCTAACATTTTGACATTTTTGGCGTACATCTTGCTGATACCGTTCAACTACGTATCTTCAAGGTAGCATAGCATATAGAGTGTTGCTACGGTGGATATCATGCTTGTGTCGGATTGGTGTTAGGATATGATCTCGTTGTGATACAGGTAGTATACTGGATCAGATTGGGCTAAAAATTTACGACTACAGTGCTTGAAAATTATGAAATCTAAAAATGAGGGTAATTCATACCAAAGTTTTTAGGCTAAGATAAGAGATTTGATAGCTATACCGCGTGTTTACTTGTTTCAGGTACAACACAGAGTATGGTCCCGCGCAAGACGTAGCGCACAGTTGCTTATGTAATTCACCCAGGATACACAAAAATGATTTCACAGATCAGAGCACTTCCTTTGCAAGATCACATCAAGGCAGACGGCCACGCTTGGCGAAGTAGAATACGCGAGCCTTCGTGGGAGAGTTAAATTGCAATGCAGCACCATTTGAGATGTTGAGGACCTGGCCTGTTTTTGCGACAAAGTTCTCACCGGTATGAGAGAGAAGCGTATAAGCAAGTCTTGTATCCGTCTCTTTGTCTGCAGGCTAAAGGTGAATGTAAGCTCATCCTTCATACGCTAACGCTGGGAAGTATCTAGACTATGTAAGTAATCTCGTGAAGGCTGTCAAATAAAAATTAAAATTAGAAATCTGCTCTTGCTTTCGTTCTTATTTTACATCAAATTTGTTTGTCATGAAGAATTGGTCATCTTTATTCCGTGTGAGGATACGTAATTTTTTTCTATCTTCTCAGGATAATAATTAAAAATGAAAAACGCCAAAAATAAATGGCGCTAAACCTTTGAGAGCGGGACTTAAAAGCGGCTTTTTTTCATACATGCAAGAAAAAGTAAGCTGCAGCGGGAAAAGAGGGTGTGAGTCAATTTTTCAAAAAAAGTCATTATCTCTTTTCTCCTAATCACTGAATAAAAGTCCGAGATGGGATACATCGTGTATTCAACTCACAAAAAGGAAGGGGTTCATTTTACTTTCACCAAATGTAAACAAAAGACGCATTATGCAAGCACGGTAAACATAGATCTTGCATTCAAGTGAGGGATTTTATTAAAAAAAACATGCATATCAACATGGAGATATTTGTGGTACATCTTCGGGGATCCGTTTTTTTGTCTTATTTAATAGAATCTTTTGCTCTTCAAGTGTCATTTTTGCCGCTTTTTCGAACTCGTTTCCAGCATTCCATACCAAGCGGTACCAAAAAGAGCGACAATGATTCCAATAATATTGATTGATTGAACTTGTAAATGGAGTAAACGAAAAGCCAATAAAATTGTAACGACTTGTTTTAAGTTTCCAACTACAGTCATAGTTAATGGACCGGCAACTTTGTTTGTTTTAAATGAAACGAAATTGAGTAAAAAAGCCACAAATCCATTACCGATAAGAAGTAAGGGTAAAAACCAGTTAAAGTGATCTGTTGATGTATTTGTAGCAAAACGAAAATGAATTTGTTGCAATTCACCTGAAATTTGAGAAGCTAATAAACATTGTACGCATGCTAAAGCTGACATCACTTCTAACAATTCCAAAGCTGTGTAATGAAATGCATGCATTTGTATTGAGGATCGCCATCTCTGAAGGGTTGTTTGTTGTATAATTCCATATTGTGATTCTTGATTTTCAAGTTTTGTTGTCTTTTTTCCACCTTGTAATAAATTTGTAACAACAGTCTTCAAAGCTGCAAGAGTTGTTCCTAAAACAGTTAAAATGAATCCAAAAGTCGTTGCATTCACATCACCAAAACAAGCAAAAGCAGCACCAAAAACGATTGGTAATAAAGCGAACAGACTTGATCTTTGTGGTTTATTTGATAATAATAAGAATCCCAAAACCAATGTAAAAATTGGACAAGTTGAACGTACAATTTGATGAAAAGGAACAGAGACTAAACGTAAACTTGCGTTACTTATTGCAATATTTGCTGCGTATAAAGTTGAATAAAGAAAAACAATTATTATTCTTGTAAAGTTGAAATTTGATTGGGAAATTGTCGTAGATTGTGGATTGTTTTGCTTTTCATTCAATTCACCTCTTTCTATTTCATCCTTTGATTCTCTTTTCGAAGATTTAAATTCAACACCAATCCCTCTAAGGAATAGACAGCCAATCGTTCCACTTCCTGCATGTAAGGCTGTTATAAAATACGGAAAAGGGAAGTCGATCATGATAAATTTGTTGTAAAAAGTTAAAGCAAGGTTGAGTAAGAAATAAGAAGATATTATTGCGAATGTTGATATTTGCTTTATTCTCCATGATTCTCGAGTACTTTGAAGTAATTCTTTTCGTTCTATATCTTCTTCCTCTAACCATTTATAATACGGTTTTGAAACTGGGATGAGCGGCGAAGAGGATGTAGAAGCTGAAGGAGATATTTCGTCATTTATTTGATAGAATGATGTCGTTATTGGTGATGTGTTGCGATAATGTATAAAAGGATAGCTTTCCATCTTTCTTTCTTTTTTGCTTCGTGTTCTTTGAAGCGTTAGGTCAAATGACAGCTTCTATTCTTTTTCTTTATAGGGTATGATATATGAAGGTGTTAAAATATAAATGGGGGTAAAAGAAATATAATAAAAGGCTGTACGAAGAGTCTTGAAATTGTAAAAAGTTTCCTTTCTATTATCTCCACCTCCTTTTTCCCAAATTTTCCCATTAATTTTTGTTTTTGTTTACGCCTACCTACACTGCGACAGAGTATGTATGTATGCATGTATGCATGTCAAGCGTACGCCTACTTTTACGATGACGATAAATCACGCCCTCATACTTCATCTTTGATTTCTAACAAAATAGGGACACGATAAAGAACGAAATTTATCGGGACATTTTTCCGTCTCGATCGGTTTGTGTAAAGAATTATCTATGTTTCTCACAATTTCGAATATTTGTACTATCAAAGAACAAATAACTCCACAAGAATTGTAGATCGTACGAGCATGTGCATGTGCATGCATAAACTATATAGATTAATAAAAAGGTTTATTCACAATGACGAATACCTTCTTTAGAGTTTTAGAACAGTAAGACATTCTTTTCGGCTGTCTTTCAACCGTCTTAAGGAAGATTAAAGCACAAGCACTCACATATGTACATGGAAGCACAATCTTTTCATGGGTCAAGCGGCCATTAACACCCTTTTTTTATTTTTTTATTCACAGTGCAGCTCTGCGCAGCGGCTTTTCTCTCTCTTTTTCTGCTAAGTGTAAATTATTACTCTTTACATTTCAAATTCCCCTGATCATGCCAAGACTTTTTTTAGCCGATCAACTGTGCGTGCGTGCGTGCGTGTGTGCAGGTTTCCGCGAACCTACGGACGAAAGTCCCCGCGGTGCATTATGTTACTGTTATGATGTATTTTTTTCTTTTCTTCTCTCCACTTTTTCTTTATCAGGTATGCATAACTCCTCCCACTTTTCTTATCGAAGCACAAGTGTTGAAAGTGTATATGTAATGATATACTGTATGTAGCCGTAATAAATTGGCGAATGGCAATCCTTGCTTGCATGATTTTCTATAATTTGAGCCCAAACCGTCAGCCTTTTTGCCAGCTATTTTTGCCCAAACGGGTTTGAAATTATGAATGAATTCTTAAATAAAAAGGTGACATCCTTTATTAATACTACAAACCATCACCAACAATCACCTTTTTCTGTGTTGTCAAGATGAAAGCGACAGCATTAAGACAATTTTTAATTCTTTTAACAGTATGTGCAACAATGTACTTGTTCATGACTGGAATCGCACAAGAATTTGGACTTCGAATTCATCTAGCAAGTACTTTATTAGGAACATTTATTTTCTTCCCATTCTCGCATACACGTACAATCGTTATAACCCCAGAGGGCATACGATCAAGAAATAAAGAATCTCTTTTCAACATTTCAAATGAACAAAGAATTCCAAGAATTATTCATCAAGTTAAATTAGGAAATTTAAAAATGCAACCAAAATGGATAGAAGCAAGAAAGAGTTGTATAGATTTACATCCTGATTGGCAATTTAAACTTTGGGAAGATGAAGAATCAGGAAACTTTGTCAACACACAATTTCCAAATTTATTAGAAACATATTTAAATTATCCACTTGAAATCCAACGTTCAAACGTTTTACGTTATTTGGTTTTGCATAAATTTGGTGGAATTTATCTAGATTTAGATTTAGGTTGTAAAACACCTCTGGACGGTTTACGAAATGAAAGTTTTTTAACTCCTCCTGCAAATCCAAGCGGAATCAATAACGCTTTCATCGCTTCAACACCCGATCATCCTTTTTGGTCTCACGTTGAAGATTATTTAATCACTTTTAATCGAAATTGGTTTAATTCTCCTTATATAACAAATATGTTTTCGACAGGTTGTCACTTTTTAAGTACGATGCATAGATTGTATGGCGATCAACCTTCTTTAACAATAATGGATCAAGCTAATAAATTAAACGGTCACGTGGAAACTCCTCTCTTCGAACATCTTGGTGCAAGTAGTTGGCATAAAGGTGATGCAAAAGCAATTTTACGTATCGGTCAACAAATTGAAAATATAAAGAATCACTTTTTTTCTCTCGTTATCATTCTCTTCTTGTTTTCTTTTGGCATCTATTTTGCATTTGCATCTCTTCGTCGTTTACGCCATGCACGGAAGAGAAAACTTGGAAGATATGAAGATGTAGAAGCAAGCAAAGAGCTCGTTGTTCATCACGAATAATTATACCCCATATTGTACAATAAGTATTTCATTGCGTTTTGCAATTTAATTAATCCGTTCAATTATACTGTAAAACTGTAAATATTGCGAAAGGGTATCAGGCGATAGTATAAGTGAGTGATACAATAAAAAAAGGTAACTATGAAATACAATGCAAATAAGGAAATCACTTTGCCAGAGGATGTGCATCATCTCTTTCCACTTCATCGTCCGTTAATTCTTCTTCTGGATTCACTCCTTCATGACGTCCAGACATTCCCATCTTTTTAGCAAAATACCAACCGTCTGAATATGGTTCTATACGCCAAGGTGCAAATATTGAGAAAATTGAATGATGTGAGAATGGTCCAAGATTGAAATAAAGAGCAAGATTATGCATGAATCCGAGATCGTAAACGTTGCTGAATGATAATCCTTTTCTCTTGCTTACTTCTCGATAATGTGTGTTATCGCTATTTTCTACACTCGTTTCTCCCCATCCTATTATCAAGAGTTGCCATGATGCCATTACAGCTAATGCAAATCCCATAATTGCACAAAGAGCAAAAGTTAGCAAAGGGAATAGACGTGGAGTATATTCGAATTCCCAAGGATCGAATGAGATTGCTTCTCGTACCGTTTGCCCCTGCCGTTTACAAAATCACACTCTGCTGAGCAAAACCATTACATGACGGTTGGGTATATGTGACAAGATTATTTGTTTACTACCCTGTTGTTCTTTGATATTGCGATGTGGTCCATATGGTAATTTTGACTTGCATCCAATGAATGTGACCTGCTTTCTTGTTATCGACAAATCCATCCTTTGGGAATCATGACAAAATCTTAGCGCGATGCGATTGGAGGCAGATTTAAAAGCCACAAAAAAATTTGAATCCGCTTCGCAGATGATCTAACGCGCTGGTTGAATTGAGAATTTTTCACAACGGATGATCACGAGAATCTTGCAAAGGCAAAGAATGTTTTACCAATAAAGATTTTGAGATCGTAGACAGGGGCTCTGGGGCAGGTGCAATCACAGTTGTCGAGGTTCTCACGCATATGCTTGTCATATTCATTGATTTCATTGCTGAAATTCCTAGTATTGTGCCGTTACATGCATACAGTTGTTGCATACATTTCTTTTTACCCCTTCATTTAGGATCCATATGTCAAAGGATCAAAATCTAGGCCGTGAGGCCGAAGCGCGATTCTTTCGTGGCCCTCAGGTTTTTTTTTGAACTACTTTGTACTGTCACTGCTGGTATCGTTAATACGCTGTGGGTCATCGTTGCAACGCATGGTCTCTTTTTGGTGTCAATTAGACGGATGTATGGCAACTTCGGTATGACATCTAACTACTTGCGAGATCATGAACGAAAATCTGCTAGGCAGACGGAGTATGAGTAAGATACAGAAAACTACGTGAACAAGATAGCTTTGCTCTTCTTATTCAAATGCTTAGTCTTCTTCGGTAAGAGACCAGTATGGGGAAACCTAACGCTCCGTTCGATGATATTGAATTACAACCGCTGCGCGCCTTTGTTATAGCATCAGCTTTCTCAATCGTTCTTCCCAAACAATTTACGTTGTCCTCCGGCAGAAATATAGCTAATTACATGGATTCCTTTCTCTCGTTTCTTACCCCTTTGTACCGCGCTGAGCGTTCCAAATTTAAATCCCCTTTGTTCCCTTTGTTTTTGAATAAGACAATCCTTGTTTTCCTTTGTTCCCCAATTCCCACGCATGGTCCTCTTTGCATGAACAATCATCGCCGAGGATCAAAGTTGAGAAGTTTTGATTGCGAAAAAAGTCAGCCAGTTTCGTTCCCCATCTGACAAAAATATAAGACATCATACCAAGAGCATTTTTGCAGGACTTATTATAACATTTCATGCAGGTATGATAGATGTGCATAACGTCTCCGGGCAGCATTTGAGCGAGTAGATGATAACGCGAAGTACCAGCGCTTTTTTGCCCCGGCTTCAATGCATGATCGACCCTGCTATTTATTCGTTCCCTACTGCAATTCTTTTTTCTTTGTCGTTAAGCTGTGCTGTTGTAGTTTGTTTTTGCATTTTCCCTTATAGAATCTTCTACTTTTTTGTATCACTTAATCAAGACTCGAAACCGCACGAGAATCCACGAACTCTGGCAAGCACACATTGGCGGTAGTGCCACTTTGCTAGACGTGGATCCAAGTACTCGCGCGGCTGCACTCTCATATAGATTGCAGGATCTACAACCATCCCATGCAACGATCGCATCTTCTCATCTTCCAGCGCAAAGAAGTGCGGATAATATTTGCCATCCTAGATCAAAGGCACGTGTCAGTAAGACTTTCTTTCCCAAAGCGAAGATAGCTTCGGCATGGTTCCTTGACTCACTTTACAGTACCAACTCCATTCGTATCGATCGTATGATTTGTGCAGGTCGTCTCGAATCAGAAAGCCCATAGACGCGGAGTACAGTTGTCCTTCTGATTGAATACCGAGAAGCATGCGGTAGACCTAATAATGGATTGAATAAGGATGTGGTAAGCTTCTGCGCATCTCTTCAATTTAGTTTAAACTCTGCACTTACATCGAGTCTGGTGACTGGAACAACATGTGCTGATGTGCACATACTGCGTTCTGCTTGAGTAAGGAGACACCGGCCATCTCTAGCCAGCAAAGAGGAACGAAATTTTGACTTTGGAGATGCAGATGGTCAGAATGTCAGAATGACTGTCATGAAGCGAGCCCATGCCACAGAAATCTCACCTGTCCACTTCTTGAAGATGTCCGTTTCGAATCACTGTAAGTGCTTTCTGATTGAGTTGATGCGGGTCGCGGAAGCGGGGATTTACCTTCCGGTCCCCGAACGGAGGTGAGCGAGTCGACATTCGTATTCACCGGGATGAATCGATATACAACATCGGGCCATGCACCCGGTTCTGTTGAGAGGTCAAGGTCATTGCTTTCTGCATCGACCAACCGGCCATCCTCCACATACAGCTGCTGGATCATATGCTGTACGAATTGAAGTGAATTGTCTCCTCCTTGTCGAACGAAGCACAGAGGAATGGTGAGCTCTTTCTGCAGCTCGTCTGTGCATGGTGTTGGTCGTACGCATATCCTTGGCTCACCCCACCATGAGCCAGCTTTATCATAAAACGCCATGACTTGATCGTGACTGAGTGTGAAGAAAGATTCCAGCTAGGAGAAAAGACTTTTGCTTGGGGCTTTTACTGGATTTCTTAGCTCGACATAGATTTGTATGCCAGAACGCGTCTGCACTACAGAGAGCAGCTTTAGCGTTTCCTAGCTTTTCTTCACTGCTCTCGCGCGTGCTAGCAATCGAACTGATGCTCAATGCAACGTTTACTAAGGCGCGGGACTCTAGTTGCGGTACTGACCGTGCACTGCCAGTTGAGTATTGTAATACCTCTTCTTGAAAGGGGCTGTGTGTCTTTTGAAATGAGTGTTGTTTGGGTGTGACGAAGGTAAAACCAGCAATTCCAACGACCGAGTCTGAATTCCTTGATTGTGCTTTTTTGCGTCGGGAGAGTTTTGAATGTGTAGGAATGGGTGACTAAGGGGATTCTTATACTTCGTATGCTTCCGCTTGAACTGACGGACAACTTGTTCGATCGACTACCTTTGTCGAGGAAACCGCATCGTGATACTTCGAGAAGATAATCTCATATCCGCTATAAATGGTATTGAAGCATCATCTATTCGCAACGTAGTATTGCAGAAGCATGCAGGCGGCAAAGGTGCAACTTTCAAATACAAATAACGATCGGCCACAAGAGATGTGGAGATGGGCATGAGCAATTCAAAGCGGTCGAACTTTAACCCCTCGTTTTTTCTCCCTTTCGCGTTCCTATCATTTGTGCAAAAAAATTCTAAGATCCTGAAAGTGTCATAAGTTAACCCGGAGAACTCCTAAAGCCATTTCGTAGATATCGATATATTTCGATACCGCACGCGAGTTTGCCAGGACGCAACAAATCTGAGCAGGCAAGGTATGGTTAGGGAACAGCATCACCATAATCAATGAGTGAGGCAATTGTAATCAGCGAAGAGAAATACTCTTTGGAAGACTGACTTTAAATCTTAAAGACAGTAGGGACAGTGAAGAATTCATGGAGAAAGTAATCATGAAAGACATTGAAATGTAGACGAAAATGCTGTTTATACTCTTTCAGGGAGAATTGCAACATGCAACACCAGGAGAAAGTGCGCGAGAGACCTAGAAGCAAATCAGGACCCAGTGATGTTCATCTTGGAAAGTTCATCTTTGCAATGCTTCTCCAATAGGGAAAGCGATTCCATAGATATTTTGTCCATTCTTTTGACGGTCAAGTCCTCGCATTCAGCTAATGTTTCCACTCCAATGAGGGATCCCATATGAAAGAATTTTCTTGCCCTTTCGAGCCGCTTTAGTATGGATGACTCACTCGACTGCTTGCAAAGCTTGAGTAAGTGCGCTTGGACAATGGGATATGCCTCACGATGAAATGTCTTCGACGTCACTGGAGCATCTAGAGTTGGCAGAAGCTCGAAAATCCATCGAGCATATGCTTGACCCAGATGAAAGCAAGCAAGTCTTACCTTCTCGCGAGCCTGAGAAAAGTCGATTTCTGCAGTTGACAGCTTCTCCAAATGCAGTCTGACAAGTTCACCTGCGCTTTTTTCTTGTCCTTCTTCTATTCGTAGGGATCTATCAGCCTCTCCGCTTTTTCTTGCATTTTTCGTCTTTATCAATTTCGTCAGCATCTCAAGAAGTCTGAATGCTCTAATTTTTCTGCTTCTTTAGATGAAGCTGGTACGGGATTCTCAAGTGCTGTCCGCTTACGTTTTCTGGATTTCCCATTTTGTTCTACAGACCTGGCACAAATCTACGAAGAGGCAGTCAGTTTTTTTGTCTGCTCTATGTTACTTCACCAATACTCACCTCGTAAGAAATACCTTGGTATTGGATATTAATGGCGGGAATTTGATGCAATTTCAAGAGATTCTCTTGTATGAGTGCCTCACAAAATGCGCGATACATCAATGCCACTTTGTTCGGCGTGTGTGCCCCATCTGCTGCTTGAACATACGCAGCAACAGATGTCACGAGACTATCTATCCCAGTGGTTTGATAAAGTGTTTCTTGTCTAGGAAGGTAGACGCGCGTGGTCATCTTGAAAATAATCTGGTTGGAGTAGATGACGGTAGTTGAGGTTCACCAATCGATCAGGGTGCTTTGAGCGGAAATTCCCTTGTAATATCGCAGATTTAAATATGAATGTGTTGCTATGGGACTGAATTTCAGTTCGCTATCTAGAAAAATGAAACGTAGAGTACGGCACAAAGGATATCTAACACCGATGTTATTGCACAAAGGGATATTTAAGGAAAAGATACATTGCTTGTTATTTTCTCAGCTTGTCTTTGTCCAAAAGCAATACCCTTTCCGAAACAAAGGGAGAGTATTGTACATGCTAGGACATGAAGAACCCGCGCTTTTAGCGTGTCAATTCAATCGCTGCTCAGTGAGGCGTTTAGCTCTGTCGTACTCCAATTTTGGTAGCATTGACAAAGGGAGCCAGCCGTGAGAAATCATAGAAAGTCTGTGCAGAGTCCTAGACTTCAGGGCTGCCAGCGATTCTGGCGAACTTTGTAAAGATTCCTAAAATGCCGAAATTGGGTAGTCATTTGTTAAATTGAGCATTTTCAGAGCCAGGTCATAAGGAATCGCGGCACCCACGCTCTCCAAAACTCACAATATGGATAAATACAATTGTGAGACACCGCTGAAGAAGATAGTGAAGGGCAGTCCAGTTGCAAGACGCACGTGTACACTATCATGCCCCTTTTTGAAGACCTGATGCCTTTACTTCCAAGATACGCGTAGCGGCGAAATTGACGGATCCATCACAAACCTAATCTTTGTGTGCATCCAAAATCTAATCATGTCACACCCTTCAAGACTTTAATCAAATAAGCACCCAAATTATTGCTATACAATATATGTACAAATATAAAGCAGATGTTCAAATCCATATACTATAAAAAGACCCGGCTTTGAATGAGACAAGTTTTGATGCATCGGAGATTTCATTTGAATACTCTGTTGATCCATATGTCTACATTCTTAGTCAGTCAAACTTTTCATCGGGCACTGAAGGCAAAGAAAGCATTAGATCTTTTCAGTCAGCGAAGAGTAAGAAAGACTCAGGATTACTGTGTGTCATCATTTTCAATAATGGTTTCGGAGTTTACCTTTTTAGTTAAGCATTCAACATTTTGACCGACATTTTTCTTGCAAGAAGTTTATTAGCATTCTTATGCGAATGAATTACAAATTCAGGAATTGGATGTTCTCAAAACTTCGCAAGATTCGTTGCAAATCCAAAATAGTCTGAAATGGGCGGTATGAGATACAATCTTCCACCAATAGCAGATGATTTACTTATTCTTCATCTTATTATAGTCTTCGGCTTCATACGCTTCTGCCGAAGACATGTTACACTTCTGTGTCTGCATCAATGAACCATACTTTTTGGCGCACAACTTATCTTTAACGTAATTTCAGGCTCAAAGAGTAGTGTAATAGCCTACCTCAAGATTTAAAGACTTTGCTCGCTGAACTTTGCCGCTTTCGCCGGTGTTTGCTTCCTTTTCCGCTCAAACAATGTATTACCATATGGTAAATGATACTCAGTTTAGATGGCTTGCTAGTATTCGCCTTTTCATTCTATTTCTATGTCTAGTGCTTTCCCTACATTGCCCTAGATCGGACTTTTGACGTAGTCTTATGCTGAGTGTTCTTAATAACACTGTGATCTGCCTTTCCCCTTGATACAGGATTGAGAATAAAGGAAAGCGCGCTAATTTTCGCTCGATTAAATCTTTGTGATCGCGCACGTTTGTTTGCTGTTTGTTTTACGTTATTTTTTGTTGTTCACACATCTGTTGACTGCTTGAAACGTGCCATGATCAGTGATTCGTGGACGCACATGCACCTTCGAACGACCAAAAATTTTAGCACAGCCAAGTCAATGATGAACGTTTCGAAAGAAAATCAAAGAGATTGTTTTAAGTTGAAATATAATAAGGCAAAACTTACGGCAATAGACATGAAAGGTCTACACGTACATACGCCCGGCATATCCGAACAGTAACGCAGTTTTTGATCGCTGTAGACTGAATGGAAAAAAGACAGACCGGTATAAAAATACATATTCTTATCTTTGTCTTTTCAAGCAGGCACAGGAACAGCTTTTGTTTGCTTTTTTAGTCTTTTGTCAGTATCTTACTTTTACATTTGTAGCAAAGTTAAATTGGCCAATATGCTCAGATCCTCAAATGTCATCACCATCTTCACCCAAGTATATTTCTCTATGCTTCTCTTTAGCTAGAGAACAGGAGTATCTTCTTACGTTACTTACCATTTTTATAGATTCGAGACTTCAAGCGAAGATGTGACCGTGATCACGACCAAAAATCCATTGCGAGATTGCATATTTTTTTTTATTTCAACTTATTGATCTATACATTCACATGCTGCAGTGTTCGTTGCGTATAATGCATGGATCTCCTTCCGTTCAATATAATGATATATCCGCTTCGCTTGGTTAAGAAAAAGGGTGAATAAAATAGACTCAATTAGAAGAAATGAGAAATACTCTACATCTGATCTAAAATGCCTTCATGTTCAGCAGTTCCGTAAGAAGAGGGTTTTTGCCCACCTTTTTGAGGTGCACTCCCACCAACGCGATCAGTTTCAGAATAAGCAGGTGATGGATGACTATGTTTATAGGATGTTTCTCCAAATTGAGGTGTTTGATTATACAAATTCCCCTTAGGAAAAGTTTTTCTATCGTTATTTTTAAATTGATCAGAAGTATCAACTGTACGTTGACCGCCTCCACTGCTTCCACGAGCTCGAGCGTTTAAAGAGTTGAAGTTCTTTGCCTTCTTCAACCAAAGGCATTGCACTAGCAATGGTTGCAGCCAAAAAGATTCAGATAAGAATTGCAGAAGTTCTCATTTTCATAAAGAGTAATTGAAAAGAAAAGAGATAAAGAAGTTGAAATAGCTGATGTGTTTATAGACCGGCAATAAAGAGGATGAATGATGTTGGGTGATGATGGGATCGAATGGGAAAATAAGGCCTTCTTAACTCTTTTCTTTAAATTTCTACCATTATTTCATGTTTATTGTTTGAAGTAGAACCTTCATTCTATTACTCTATGGGGAGCAGAACACAAACATTTAAGTCGGAAATCAGTGCTTAATTGCTAGACATATGCACGCCTTATCGGCTTGCGCTAGAGTGAATTTTCATGGCGTCAAGATACGCCTTATAATAGCTCGAACAATAGCTCGAGGTTCGTATGAAAAGATCAACGCGCCGAGTTGCGCCGCATGTACATTCGGATAACGTATGCATGTGGGCCCTTAGTGTCTACACGCTAAAGCCGGTCGGAAGACGTAACTCGGTTCCACGGCGTAAAGGAAGCAATAGCGGAGAAAACTTACTCGTGTGCAGTTGGCGTTATCGGCTGACGATTCATAATGATACTAATGCATGCTTGGGTCGCCCTCAAGAACACTGAGGTCGAAAGTTCGGGCTCTTTTATCCCCTTAGCACAATAAGAAGTATTAGTCGAATCTGAATTTCAGGAGACAGATAGCAAAAAAATTGTCTGGCGCCTTTTGCAGTAAATCGTTCTGATCAACTGATCCCTGAAGTTCTACATCGTGAGAAAGTACAATAAAATTTAAGAACATAACTCTCCTTTCTCAACGAAAGGCTAGAAAGTGTCATACCTGTTTTAAGCATTAAAGCTCCGAGCGTCTTGCTGTCAAGCGGTCCACCAAAACCATCGAAAAAAGGTGGCTACACCAACTTCGCCTGCCATATTTATTACATTGCCTACAAACTTACATCGACTTCTCACGAGGACGTGCTCTCTCATCCCACCTATTCGCATGGCTTATTCACTAGCTTTATAGCCGCAAAGTATGAGAAAAACTTTGCTTTGCAGAGCATTTGTGCCATTTGCTAACCTGAAGGTGGTCCCATTTGCTTGATTTTCTTTTGTTCTTGCTCGGCCCTTTTTTGATCCATTTTTTGTTGCAACAGGGGGTACTGTAATATTCAATTCCTTATCCTCAGCTAAAAACGGCCAATGTGCCTCTCTTTGAAGCAAGAAGAGTCTGAATTTTTGCAAGATGTGCTCAGCAGCCATGGGAAAGGAATGTCTTTCAACTATTAGAGGCTCTTTTGCGTTAGTCATCTTGTAAGTAGTCAGATATGCTGCTATACTCGAAGGAGGGGAACTCAACATCCTCGAAACCTCATCATTGAGCACTGGCGATGAAAGAATGAGAGCAGTCTTTGGTCAAGCCTGTTGCGATTGGATCTTGTAAAGATTATCAAAGATGGGGAACAAATGCAAGTCTTACATGAGGGAAAAGAAGTAAGTTCATACGTCGAAATAGATAAACGTGTATTTCATTACGGTGATGCGATATTTATTGAGCCCGATAGTATGATTCTCACGGATGGAATCGTAATCGGCACAAGCTTTAGTGTTGTTGATGAATCTTCAATAACAGTCGAAAGTGTTCCTGTATTCAAACAATCCGGTATGTCCGTTTATGCTGGCTCAAGAAATTTAAAAAGTCCGTTTTTTGATCAAGTGACAAGACTAGTTCATGAAAATTCACTTTCCATTTTCTCACAAACAATCTCTGAAGGATTTTCTACATCAAGGACGGCAAGTGTGAAATCTAGCTTTTCCTCTAATCCTACTTACGGCCGCGGTTGTATTGCTTGTATTTATGATCGCATTAGCTTTATCTATTACGACATCACTGATTGTTGGATTAATCGCTTCAACATTTTATTTGACCACAGCATTAATCACTTTACTACGTTATGTTCGTCATCAGCTACATCAAGTTGCAAACAATGATGTAATTTACCCTGGTTCAGCAATTTACTTTACTTTGATTTCAAATCCACTTTTATTCTTTACGTTCTTTTCTGTATCCGCCAAAGACGGTCATAGCCGAATTGAGAAATCCTCATTCGACACTATCAATAGCAAATCAGTTTTTGAAGCCTAGACAAGCTTAAGAAAATGTTTACAATAAACTATCTTTTATCATAGTCATATTGTGTCTGTAATTTAATTTTTCAAAATTATCAATTTCTCACTGCTCTCGAAAAAGCACAATTTTCATAATGAATTGCATGATTCTGTGTAGACAAGTTTCCTTTTGTTTGCATAAATGTAAAGATACTACTGTGCAAATGCATGCAAATCTCTTCCAGGGTATTATTGTGCTCATACATGTAAAACCATGCTTTTAGAAGAGGCTGGGTGTTTCTCATCGTGTAAGCTAGATCATGCAGAGAAGCTCGTTTGCTTTGACTAGAAAATTTTGCCATTCATTTCAAGAGAGGGATGAATGAGGGGCAAGCATGTCCTTTTCCCTGTTGGTCTAAGTATACAGTTTTGAGGAGCATCAAGGATCTTGACTCTCAAGTCGGCACTGTTTTTACATTGACTAATGTATGTCACCCCAACTTGATTTCCTAGCTCTATAACGTCCGGAACTTTTCAATACTATGCGAACAGTAAGTTTACAGCTTTTTCCCGAGGCAGGAGTACCGTGCTCACCACAAGTTACTTTTCATTGTCAGCAATTCGTCATCACACAGAGCGGGCCATTATCTTCCGTTCGCCTTAACATACTCTCTTTAGGTGAAATAAGAGGAACATGAGTGAACGTGAAAATCATGCTACTTTTTCGCTGGCAAGAAATCTGAGAATGAAACTGTTGGCGAGATGCAGCCTTTCAGGTGATTCAAGAGGGATCGTATTCCTCGATGAGGGGCAGCCATGGACAAGCCTCGAAGGTATCAAATCTACATCAGATCTACATACGCCACTGATCGGATATGAGTCCACCTTTTCTCAACTTTACTATACTATTATGAGCAGTGGAACTGATTAGATGCCCCAAGCTCGTTTACGTGAAGCGGGAAAACGTGAGCCTAGGTTGACTTGCGTACATCTTAATACTTATAAGCAACTAGGCCTATCTGCAGTGGCGTGCGCTGCCACGCGAGTTAGAAGGTACTCGCTGGAACGAATGGGAAGAGATTCAGAACCTTTCTTTCTCTCAATCATCTTACCTCGCAAGCCAAATTGAATTGATTGTGATCTTTGTCAGACTTCAATCACCCTCTTTCATCGGCCATATCAAATTGATTGCCATCATCATGAAGGCCAACGGTTCCTTCGCAACATCAGAAGCGAATGCATATCGGTTATCCCTCTCGAAAAATTCCACAGGTTCAGGGAAAAATTCGCGTGGATATGAATTGGGTTAAAACATCTTTTTTAAAGTTCAGCAAGACATCCACTATCTGGTCCTGCACTCTCACAAGCAATTGCAGAGAATCCACCATTACTCTTGACGTGTAGGATGACAGTTGAAGTACTAGTGACATGAGTAACAATGGTACGCAGGACTCAGGTGCGATCATTATCATCGTCATTGATATCGCTAATGATATTAAGAACGAATGATTTATCGTTTGGTGGTATAATACATTACAATCTTAATGTTTGTGCATCACCAATAAATACTCCGCCGGAATAGTAATGATCAGAAGGTTGATAACTATGACCAACGGCAAAAGCTTTACCAAGATAAGAATTAGGCAAAATTCCCTCTAATAGCGCAACGAATATGAAAACAGGTCCGATCTAAGTTTTCGTACCCTCTTTATTTGCAGCCTGGATTTGTGAATACCTCATATTCCCACGTAATGAGTGACTCTACACAACATCTCGATGTAAATATCATTCTTTCGTATCACCAGAATAGAACGGTACTCTGAAAATGGAAAGATGAACAAACACAGTTCCGCTAAAAGCTGATCTCAAGAATGAAATACTTGGTTTATGTATGAGTATAGATTCAACAATGCAAGTCGTTTGATTTCCTTTATGGATCTAAACGTAAGATATCAGAAATACGAGGCGAGATTGTGATCTGTTTAGCCGTAAGAATATTTATGAAAAGGTAAAATCTAAAGAATGTATAAATATAATCATGAAGACAAATAAAGTCGAAGGAAAAGCTCGTGTAAGTAGTGATTGACAAATCAAACATACAGAAAAGGTTGTTAGACGATATCAATTCCATACGTGTAATACCTCCCTTCCTCCCTTGTCTATATTTGGTAGGCTTAATTAGGCTCAACAGAACACGTTTTCTATGAATAGTGATGAAAATCGGAGCATCATACTCTGACAAATAAGAAAGTCGTCGACGACCCATCCGGGCATACGTATATAAAATGATATATACATCGATCATTTTGGTCTAATCATTATACAAGAAACGTTGTTTTTTGGCATGAGACTTCGACATCTGCATCCTTGATACTTCGTTGCCCGGAAGAACAGGCAACAACGGTAGCGCAGATCTGTATTCTTTCTTGACATTTAAAGAAAAGTACTGTTCTCGTCAATCCAAAGCTGAGTGCAGCGATCTTTATGAAAGGTGCATTCCGGGAAGGCGCTATTCAGAAAATCCTCAAAACTCTCCATATGTTCCTGCGCCAGATCCACATCGTTATTATGGTTTCCAATCAAAGATTGCGGTGAAGATTTGCGTGACAACATCACCTGTTCTTCGTTCTGAAGGAAGTTTACCATCTGTCATTAGATGAGCGTTTATTGCTTTGATTAGCATGTCTGTACATTTACTTCTGCTCTCCTTGCTGCTTACTCAACTTCTCTGTTATGGTCGCAAGCGTCTTAGTTACATCGGCCGTGAAAAGATAAAAGGGACTGATCAGTTCGACTCTTGCGAACAGCAGCGAGCATAGTTTCATAGCAGCAATAGATTCAAGAAGTTCGTCGCACACAGATAGATTGCCGTTTCGTATCCGAGCAGCTGTTGTTTCTACATAACCTTCCATGGAAGCGATCGTCCATCCTACATTGAACAGCAACGGGGAATGACACACTTCTTCAGCTTCAGATTTCAGCATCGATGCGATGTTGTTGCATATGCGACCGAAAGTAGAATGGTGTTCCGCAATGCGACTTATTGCCAGAAATCTTTCTCTCTCGGTAGGCTAAGAATATTCAATGCTGAAGCGTTGATCCTGTAAAACTTTTTGGAGGTCTCCCATTGGCAGAATGAAATAAGAGATGAGAATAGCCCGTCTCATTCGATTCTTGCAACGCCATAAGACTCAAACCGGCTCGAGGCGATGCAGCTTTTCTTCTGAGAGATTGTCGATTACCACAGAGACTTTGAAAAGGCTACACGAATCAACAAGGGTAGGTCTGATCTACAGCCCATCATATCACCGTGATACCGTCTATCCGGCGATCATATACAAAGCAAAGTCAGAGAATATTCCGTTTCTTTGGTCCGGAAATCAAATCGCGACTGCAGCTTCGCGTGCGTTTGAGCTTCTGATCGACCTCTCTCGACTGTTCGACTAGGCCACTGTTTCACCAGTCTTTGCACTTACGTTAGCGAGCTCGCTCTGGCAGGCGCATATCGCCTTCACAGCTAATAATGGAAATGCTGTGAATTCTATCGCAAGCCAGCCTTACACCAATATGAGTCCTTACTTGACTAGAGAAACAATGGCATATTCGATGTTGCCATTGCTTAGCAAGAAGCTTTCTCTGGAAGATATCTCGGAGCGGTTCTTGCTGCACTTGATTCTGCACAGGATAGAGAAATAGTTGCTCACTACGATACGAGCAACTTTACACATGGATGGCATGACTCGCGAACGCTGTTCTGACAATGGAGAACCAGCACATGAGCCTTTCCACATCGAGAGAAATACGTGATCTGTCCAGTGTAATGTCATTAAAGCAATGCTGAGCTCGCCAAATTGTCTCTAAATGCTCTCATCGCATGTAAGTCAAAGGGTATTCGTATCAAGATGTGTATCTACGTACAATACTATTCCTCGCGCTCAGGCCGAAAAAGCATCGATGATTTCTGCAAATCGCATGAGGGACCAGGATTCTATAGGAACGCTAAAGGTGTCCTAAATCAAGCCAGAAGCACAAATTCTTAGAATGCAGATTGCAGTAATGTGATGCAACTGCATCTAGTGTGGCCCAAGTCGGAGTGGGGAAGTTCGAGGTAGCTTTGAATTACGCAGGGTAACGGTCGATACTGTGCGTGACATGCTCAGAAAGCGCACGAAGACGGGCCTGACCTGAACGAAATGTAGCGACCTGTGCTATCAGCTCTTTCTCCTGAGACCAAGCACGCTGTTCTAAGGTTTGGTTGGCAATTCCTTTGAATTCAGGTATGATATTACTTTTGTTTTTCATGTTCAAATCAGCCTGTAGCAATAGCCAAGAGGGACTACCGCGTCTTAGCTGCTGTAACAACAAAAGATGGCTTTGTTGTTGGATCAAAGCTGTCTCTTTCAGTAAGGCAACTAACATTGTATGATTCACAGACGAAAATCTAGCATTTTGAAAAGGCTCATTTGACGTCGATGTTATACGATTTCGTTCACATCCTTGAATAGAACAAGTCGACAATGTCTTGTTCGCCTTGGCTTCGACCAGAGACTGTGTGCGGTCCAGATCAGCGTCCAGATCAGCAAGCAGGTCAGCCTTAACGTGCTCCGTCAACGTCTGCAATGGAACAAAGTATTCGGTCACTGTCTCACGCCATTCTTGCTGATTTTCTTGCATTTGTTCGGTAAGGATTCGGGTGAGACGTGCAACAGTGAGTTGTATCGCGTGAACAACGAAGTCAATCATGATTGGCACTGCAATTAGAGCCCAAAGAATGAAAAAACTTTTACCGGCTGGTGTAGTTGGAGAGAAATCACCGTAACCTAGTGTGAGAAAAAAGACGTATGAAAAGTAAAGAGCATCACCAAATGTCCAGCCTTCCATCTTGGAGTACAAAGCGCCGCTCACCAGCCAGAATGCGATCAGCAAGAAGAGAGAACGGAAAATCATCTTCCGTTCCTGGTTATTCTGCAATTTGATTTGACGTGTCCGCAACCTTTGCACTTCCTCCATCAGCTTTGCATACCTTTGCTCAGCGCACGTGTCTGCTTCTGCAGTTCCCTGACAACTGTCATGATGATACTGCAGATTTTCTCGCCCGTTGCGAACTTGAAAAGCACGAGCGGAAAAAGTTGCGATCAACGAAATCTGATTAGAAAAGACTACGATCCCAGCTACACTGAACGGGAAAAGCATAATTTTGGTACTGGTGTGGGTTGGCACGTAGTCTCCAAAACCAATTGTTAAAAGGGAGACAACTGAGAAATACAAGCCGTCAAGATATAACCAGCCTTCTATTTTACTGAAAAGTAAAGCCTGTATCGCTAGCAATCCAACAATAGCGATCTCTGAGATAATTAAGGTCCGAGCTTGCCAATGAATCGTGTTCGAGCATCCTCCTCCCGGTCCAAAGGCTAGATGAAAGAATAATTGGAAAGCTACGAACACGCTCAAACTCAAAGACATAATTGCACACCAAAATCCTTCCACATATGTGTACTCCGGTCCATTCCTCCTCAAAGCTCCGAATGCGACAAGATTGCTGACCCCAACCAATACTTTGAATATCCAACCATACGTGGAGATGATGATAGCTGAATGCCAAAATCTCTGCGCATGAACTGTGTAACGTACCACTAGAGATGTGTTCGCCAAGATACTCGCCGATAAACTGATCGCAGAAAGAATGAGTGACGCCGTCGGGTCAGATATAGGATCTCCGTTTTTCGCATACCATCGTTGCGTCAGCGCTGGGACATCATACAATGTTGACACAGGCGCAAGAAGAGCTGCGAGTAATGGTGTAGCGTCTACGAGCTTCCGGAGTGAGTTGCACAATTCATCTTTCCCTGGTAAATTGAGATCTTGAATGTTAATCAGACCCATCCTGTATTGCATAGTATATTTCAATTAGCTACCAAGATAATTGACCTGTCGACTTTGCTTTTGTCTTGTGATCAGAAAGACAAGAAGTCTGGGAAGCTCGATGGTCTGCACAATTCTCACGAAGTTTATACGCCATCACGAACACGCGAAACAAGGTAGTCAATCCTTGAATGAGTCTTTGGCAGCAATTGCCAAGATGCGCTGCGCGACTCTAGTCCACTAGCGCGAATCTGTAAAACTGTCTTCCGCTTAGATGATGATGCGTTGACGGTGTGTGTGTGTGTGTGTGTGTGTGTGTGTGTGTGTTGTGTCGGGCATAAAATCCCGACACGAGCACAACCAGAACACTCAGGTCCAATTCCACACATGGCCTACAGAGGAGTGAATGCGGAAGTATGCTTCCGAAGAGAAAGCCACGCACGAAGCGTTAAAATTAGGGAGAGGAGAGAAAGCCTCGGCATTCTTCCGAATTGTATATAAACGCAAGATCACTGTTAATCATCTGGCCCAATCAACCATGTTTGAACAAGAATTATAAAATGCCACAATCATGGAACAAGGATTTGGAACGGCAGTGCCCACAATCAGAGGGGGAGTATGACGTCTTCCATACACCTCTGGCACGCAACGATACCATGTTAGAATACATCAAGGCACCCGAGTGGAGCGGGCGAGAAGGCCAGGAAAGGCCTGGTGATGAGGTTAGTACGCGTCAACACGCGTCATCTCACCCATCTGAACGAATCGCTATCGACGTATCTTGCAAACTTGACAAGGAAGGGCATAAAAAAAAAGCAGACCGTGATTCAAAAAAGAATAACCCGAGCGATCAACTCCCTCGATCTGTTCGAGTGGTCAAAGAACTTCGACGTATCACGCTTCATTTTACTCCAAGTTGGTTTAGCGTCAATATGGGAACTGGGATTTCCTCCATATTGCTTCATCAGCTTCCTTTTCAATTCCGCGGTCTTGGAATCATCTCCAATGTGATCTTTGGGCTGAATGTCTTATTATTCCTTTTCTTCTGTGCGATCAGCATAGCACGCTACACAGTGTGGCCTACCATGGGGCCTACTATGCTTTTTCATCCTACTCAGTCTCTTTTTCTTGGTACATTTGCGATGGGTTTCGCCACAATTGTCAATATGTGTGCACTTTCTGCATCTCCGGCGTGGGGACCGCAGTTTGCAATCTTTACGTGGGTTTTGTGGTGGATAGATGCCGCATTCTCGATTGTGATCTGCATAGGTTTGCCGTTTCTTCAATTTACGCGGCATGAGCAATCTCTGGACAAGGTGACAGGTGTCTGGTTTTTGCCAGTCGTCTCGACGATTGTGGCGGCTGCTAGTGGAGGCATCGTTGCTGAAGTATTGCCACCAGCTCACGCAAGGTTAACCCTCGTCGTCTCTTGGATTCTCTGGGGAACAGGTTTTCCACTTGCAATTCTCCTAATGGCTTTGTATTTCCATCGCCTCGCGGTTTTCAAGATTCCACCTGCTTCTGTAATCGTCAGTGCCTTCCTGCCGCTTGGTCCCTGCGGTCAAGGCTCTTTTGGCATTCTACAGATCTCATATGCTTTGAAAGGAATCGTTCGGAAATCTGGCCAAGCATTGGTTGCTGGTGAGAGCGGAGAAGATGCAATGCAGTTCGCTGATGCAATCTATGCTGCATCAATCCCAGTGGCTTTAGTGATTTGGGGATTAGGCTTGGTGTGGCTTGTAATCGCAGTTAGCTTTTTGGTAGATCTTTTTTGGGTCTCGAAGCTCACGTTCAACCTTGGATGGTGGGGCTTCACATTTCCACTCGGAGTCTTCTGCACTGCCACTGTGCAACTTGGGAAAGAGCTTAACAGCGGGGCATTTAGGATCTTGGGGACAATCTTATCGTTAGTAGAAGTGGCGTTATGGCTATTCATTGCTATTAAAACATTTATAGGAGCGCTTTCCGGAAAGTTGTTCTTTTCGCCCTGCCTAGCCGAGCAAGGAGGTGAGCCGCCAGAGTTTGTGGCACCAGCACGCAAATATCAATATGAATGTCGCGATGATTGAATAGTATCGCATTTTCCTTTCACTGAGTTATAGTAAAAGTTCTCTATCATCTACGAAACCCTCTTTGTATTCAGATGATCTTCGAGATCCACACCAGAATAAAAATTTGGACGGCTTATTTGAGCTCCAGTGTGGCGCAGGATTCAAATGAATCTCATCTTTTCCTGAAGGAGATTAAAGAATGCGGAAGGAAATAGAAAAGTGTAAATCATACATTTCTTCCACTTCATTTTTGCTAAGTATATCTGTAAGATTTTCGTAATTCACCGGTGTCCTACTCTCCGTAATTCACGAGAATTGGCATTTGCTTAATCTTGAAAGGGAGAAAGGCGCTGAGAGACTGACATTGAGCAGTCGTTTGCATGACAGTGATGTTTAATCATTGTGATATGGATGCGATCGTGCACCGACGTTTACCTTTCAACTCTGTAAGACAAGCCAATTGGATCCAGGAACGGGGAAAATCGTCCCCACGTCCTGTACTGTTGTTTCTCATAAAATAAAAACCGCCTCTTTCCAGTGGGAGTAGATCAACAAAAACATTGGCATTGCATGTTTCTGTCCTTTAACTTTTATCAAGACTTTGAATGTTATAAAGAAACGGGGAACTTTACAATATAAGAGACTTGTTGACAAACATCACTGATCATTAAATTAGAACTTTTATTGACAAGGTCAACTTACAAACCTCATGTATACCTTGCGGAACAACTGCCTTCCATTCCAATAGTCCACCAAGGTATACCAATCACAATCACACACACGACAATTCCAAGAATGTACGAACCTGCGGCATAACCCAACGCGTATTTTCTCGGTCTGATGTTACTCAGCTCGACCGCAAACGTGCTGATGGTGGACAGACATCCACAAAAGCCTTCTTGTACTCCATGCAAAGCATTGCAAGCTTCAGACGATGGGTGCCAGCCCCGTGCATTCAGATGATCATTGCGACCGAAATTTTGACCGATGAAAGCAAAGCATAATATAAGTGTTGCAAGTAGATTTGCAGTCAGCGTTCCTACAGGCCAATGCGGGAATGTCCTGCTCCATTTTGAGGAGTTCAGCCTGGAAAGGTACCAACGTAGAAATGTACCAGGCGGCCCCATAACCACTGCGTACGTGACATGACGGAATGGTGGATACATGCCACAAAGTACTGCAGTCGCAATCCAAAAAAAGAATCCAATCGATGCATTGAATGCATCTGCAGTGGTTGTGTATGGAAGCCTCGTATCTACATCAATCACTTTTCCCATTTCTTCCGCCGTCAAACGACGATCTTGGTGACGCAAGATGCTTTTGTGTACAGTCAATCGTTCAAAGTGATGAAGAAGATACTGAAGTGGAAAAACTTCTTTCAGGGCGCCCCCCAAAGCAAGTGCAGTAAGTGACATGCCGAATGTTAAAGCGGTCTGCGATAGGGCATCCATGACATTTTGAAGACCATGTCGTTTAAAATGTATCTGATTGCTGTATGCCTGAAAAACTTGAAGGATGAATGTGGAAAACGTGGTCAGACTACCGCAAAAGCCTGTTCCCAATGCAATATAGATGGGAGGATACCAACGCTCCAACAGAACCCTGTTTGCCACAACATATCCGATAATGAGACAACCAACAGCTTGCGGCCAAATGGTAGCGCTCACACTCATACCATCGTACGTATTCAGTGCAATTAATCCTTCCCTTGCTAGCACTCCCCATATGGAAGAAAAACTTAACAAACCGAGAATACTGAAGTGACGCAACAATCGAAACCCTGAAGTCTGAGGCTCGTCGGCTAGCAAGATGAAGTGTTTTTGGTGCAACTGCGACGCTTCTTTGCCCTCTTCTGCGGGCTCTAGTTGTCTTCCTGGTTCTAGATCTGCTTCATTTCCCGTTTGATCTCGGTCATCTCGTCCACTTTGTCCATCAACATCAATTGGAAGATGGTTATGATCGAGAGATCTGTCGTAACCGGGCCCAGTCCAATCGCCAATCAAGGACTCACACGGTGTTTCAAATGGTTCCATTTGTACCCCTTCTTCTTCTTCTTCCGTCATGTCGATGTGAATGAGAGGCAAGCAGAAGGGATTGTAGGTTGGCAGGATCAAAAAAGTGCGTGCAGTTAAGACGTTTAAGCACCTCTGGTAAAGCACGGATAATAGCGTGTATTTTCTCGCATATGAGTCCCTTATTATGAATTGGTTGCCTGCGCGCGGAACGTGCGCAAATAAAAGCATACTTGTAAGACGGTTAAGCTGGATTGCATGCTATCTAGGGCTCAGGAAGCAAAACATTTCCTACCAGGCTCGCTAGTCACTCGTAGAGAACACATATTCGAAGATTTTCAGCGCTACCGGCGATCGGCTCGATTCTTAGTGGTAGATATACTGCACTTCACATGTGGTACAGGAGAATGTTAAATCTTTCTTGCACATAAAAAATTTCAATTGATCAAACGGAGACAGGTGACATAGGAAAAGCAGGGTAATCGTACAAACATGATCCGTTTCAGAATTATGATAGGATACAGAAATCAATCTGCCACTAGATTCAGCGTGCTTGCCCTTCCGATAGTGGGTGGTATCGGGCCATTGACGCAAATTACCAGCATGAAGGGTGCATTGCCCATCTGCTTCTTTTGAGCATTCGTTCATGACCCGTCGTACTGCAAAATGTTAAATTCACGTAGTGTCTATGCGGTGAAATTCGTCGAAACCTGATCGAATAGCTCAGAATATAGTTTTGCTTGCGATTGTTCGCCGTTGAAAAATGCATCTATTAAAATTTTGGCATCTGGCATGCTCCAGCTTTCGAAGGAAGGAAAAGATTGTCCCGTTGCCAGATCTCCGTTTGTGTCGTAGCGTTGGCATTCGGCGAGAATGTTCTTGATCACTTGCCTTGCTTCTGGGTCAAGCAAGCACTTTCGACCAGATTCGAGCGAAATCACACGGTGCACTGAATCAGAGAGCACCTTTGCTGTCGCTGAATCTGCTACAGTGGTCCCTTCCTCATCTCTGCCTTCTTTACAAAAGTGCAAGAGGTCGAGAGCACAAAGAAATGCCGATCTGAATAATTGCTGTGAACCAATGTAAACGGCAATCTCACGCTCTGTGAGCGCAGTTTCACTGCGGAGATATGTTAGATGCAGGTTCAGATCGTTCAACGCGGCGTGCCTGCATACCTGCCTAGGCTTCTTCAAATTCTCTGCGGGCGATATTAAGAATGCGCTGAAAAGTGAAGCGCGAGTCGCTAGAATTTCACTGTTTAAAAGGAACCTATGAACGGGGAGATATGGAAAATCTCTATCCACCTCAAGCTCCACAAAATCAATAGGATGAATTTCGTCATCTTTTTTGCAAGCGAGGTAGAAGGGCAGCGATTCTTCAATCGTCCTCAAACTGTTGTCTAATTCTGTCAGAATTTCGAGGACATTCGCGGTGGAACGAAGCTCGCCTGTCCAAATGTCATCATTTCCGCGCAGGAATAGTAAGATACGCCCCAAAAGAACGGACAGTTTAAATCGATGTATACTGTACATGTACGGTGTTGGGGTTAATTCGCTGAGTGCTCTATCCAGAGCAGTATCATCGGAAGCTCCACTACCAAGTTGGATTGTGGGGCATTGTGTGGTGCAGAGTTGGTCAAAAATAATGAACGGCAAGCCTGTAGACATGCTTATCCACCTGTCATAATGATACACGGCGGACCACAATAAACGTCGTTCCTCTACCTCTTGCCTTGTCATTGGTGTCTGACTCTCGGACCTCAATCCAAATGCAGTTGCCCTCACATGGTCTTCCCCATCGCGATGCAGCTTGAGCCGGTAGGCACTCTTCACCATACGCGCGGCGCAAGTATAACCTTCACCGTATCGATGGGTCAGCAACAGAAATCGGCAGCAAAGTACCCAAGCTATGACATGCTCCACTGACTCACTCGATGACATTGAATTCACCATCAGAGCATGCCTCGATGCGTAATGAAGTTGTTTAGCAAGTGCGTCTCGGTGAGTTTCGATTAGATCACAAGATGAATCCAGTCCATGCAAGGATGAGTTATCAATTGAAAGCAGCGAAAGAGCGCACATGGAAGTGATCAGTGCATATGCGTTCAAATTGCCAACAGTGAATGACACGCTGCCTTGCCAGAAATCTTGTATGGATCGCATTATCTTGTCATGAGGCATAGGATGGCGGAGAAGGTTGACCCTAGAGAAAAAATAGCTCACCAATGTATCAGCCAACTTCCGATCTGGCAAGATTGCCATCATTCCTTGCAGACAATATGTTGAACAACCGAGCGTCAAAAGGGACGAAACTAAGTTATGATTGCTTTGCGGAACAGAGGGCTTGCTGGCGCCGTGCTCTGCGTAATCTTCCGCATCCTGCAACACCTGTTTTCCATTACTCAGAAAGAGTTGGTCGAGCCCATTGTGTACCTTTTGCGTATCTTGCTCTGTGCGCATGCGTGGACTTAGATTTGCGGACAGAGGCTGTTCGGTCGGAAAAGTTCCAGAAGAGCTGGATGCAGTGGGTACGCCAATCGTGAGGCTTGAGGTTGTGCGTTGTTGTTCAAGGTGATCGAAAAAAGGCAGAAGCGTCTCCCACTGCGACTCTAGCTTTGCTACTCGACCAGTCAAAGACTCAAATCGATCTACACGAGTGCTCGGCTTACACTTTTCTTGCATTCCTCGGGCGATGCAATGGTCACAAGGTCTTTTTCGATCGCACTTCTGCTTTCGCCTTTTACATTCAGCGCACGTCTTCTCCTGAACTTCGAGGGCAGCATTTCGTTCAGCTTCTTGAGAGTCGCTTTTGAAATCGTCATCCACGCTAGAGAGAAGAGACAAAGTCCTCTTGTGACGCTTACTCATCGTTGTAACCCGAATCTACAAACGAACACCAACGAGGTATTGTTGTTCTGCTGCCACCTTGTACAATAGAGTGACGGAGTTCAATCGCAATTTCTTTGTATAACTTCCATTCCCACTTCTGTGAGTAAGTGCAAATCCGCATGTGGACGTGAGGAAAAGTGCCCACAAATAAGGTATCCAAGAACAATATACTGGACGAGGTCGTTCGTGCTGTACGTACCTTTGTATCGCGTCTTTGTAAATAGCCTTTGCAAAAGCACCGGGGCAAATGCAACTTGAATCTCACCTAGCTTAAAACTGATTGGAGGCAAACACTTTGAAGGCAGTAAACGTTGTTTACTCGAGTTCTTTAAAAGCGCGGTTGGGCTGTGCGGTAATGTTCACAAGCAGAATTCGACCCACAAACAACTTATCTTTAGCCAAACATCTCATGCAGGGAAAAGATTACCTCCAAGGTCTAGTTTACTTCATGTCCGTACGGTTACAGGCCAAGGGTCACAAAATTGTCATACAACGAGGACCTTTAATGGCAAGCTGTACGAGGTAATGCTCAGTCCGATCTTTCCTGGAAATTCCGCATCTGACGAAGAAGAGAAGTTGAAAACTTTGCGCTTTATGTTCACAAAGAATTGAGTGATTCCTCTTCTCTGACAAAAGGATATATGTCAATTTCTTGTAAACTCTAAAAAAGCCTACAATGCTTGTGTGAGATGAGATCTTTTTCCGAGGAAAATACAGAATATATAGACGTAACACAAATGCAAGGCAATAATTGTCTCGTGAACATATCTACTTCAATGTTCAATCGCCAACTAGCTCGTCTAGACACATGGAGCACCATGTATTATTCATCTACACAAAAGACCTTCACGCAAGTTGAGTAAAGACATCGAATTTCGAATTCACCAGAAAGCATATGGTGAAAACGTAGTCTTCGGCTCCACCCGACGTCCGACGATTTTGGCATAGCTGATTAAATTAAGTTTCAAGTCAAGTCGTCAACGCACTGACTGGGCGCTCAATCGATCCGTCATTTACTTGATACACTTGTTGTGCGCACTATCTTTTATCCCCTGCTCCACTTCAGCGCCCGTGTTTCAGTTTCTGCGATGAAAAGGGAGTATCGGCTTCTCTTATAATGTTCTCGGACAAGAAACTCCGAATGATTTTCGCTACTTTCTCAGCCGTTTTTCGATTAGATCGGCCCCACATCATTTCTTTCTCGAGACAGAATTTAAGTTTCTATTCTCAAAGCGAGAAATTCTAAAGAGGATCACTTGCTTATGTATCACACGCGATCGTAAGAGTATTTGACTCAGTGGCAATTCCTACAAAAGTAGATGTCTGATCGCACTGGGAATATGTTTGCAAGCATTCACCTTTCCACCACCCCCCATCTCAAACAAAGATGGAAAATGGATTTAAAGTTGGTAAAGTTGCCATGAAAGATTTCAATGCACGCGCCCGCCAAAGTGCTCATCCAGAAGAACAGTACGGTCTTTTTTCTGCCGTCGTCTTTACGCGGGTATTATCTCACGACCTTTTTTGTTTCTTTCCAAAAAATTCTCCGCGTCTTCACAAGACACTTGTCATTTGTAACGAGGATGTGAAGGAAGTGCTACGAATGATTAAGTTGAAGTGGGAGGACATATTCCGAACAAAAGAAAATGGGAGAGCGGGAATGCCAACGCAATCATCTTGGGCAACAATCTGCTCACCTCTGTTGCAAATCCCAAATGGCCAAAAATTCGTCAGGAGAAACCTTCTGCAGCAAGCTGGAGATAATGATGTTACAGCAACTCTCAATGACAATCTTTTGGCTCGCATTGCACCTTCACTTCTTGTGGCAATCGCGATCATGGACGGTGCCCAAATATTTCTCAGCCATACTCACCAAAAAGACATCATCATTCGGCTGATCGGGGTCAGGCTGGTAAGTATTATCGTTAGGAGAGAAAATCACCTTAGCTGATGATCTAACATTGTGAAAATGATACCGACCGGTGCCCATTCTTTTCAGCATATTGTCATCACTCAATCAAATTGTTTATCGTTTTGCTCAATCGATGCCTCCAATCGCGTCGATTTAAAGGGAACGTGAGTCTAGCGCGCACCAAATTGCGATTTCGACTAGCTGAATAAATTTCCATCCTATCTTCTATAAATCAAGGTATCCGTTGTATGACTTGGCGGCTGCTTTTCTGGAAACGGGACAATCTTGGATCAGTGAGGATGGCATACAGTCAACCTCTGACCTGTATATGATTCTTCAACACGGTGGCTTTTGCAGTGCTGACAGAGATTTTCTATCGCTCGGTTTTTTGCATCAACAATACGTCACGTACGATGTAGCCATAGCGTACTTGAATCTTGCAACCCAAGCGTACGAAGTCTTCTGCTCTTTTTTCCAAAAAACTGGTTTTGGAATGGATCATACACTCGGTATCAAGGCTACTGCCGTAAGTGACCTTGGGGGGCAAAAGCGCCATCCTTGTAATACGAAGGAGTGTCGCGATGATGCTTTGGAAAGTCTGACTAATTTAATTTGCAGCGAATTTTAGTGAGTTGACACGGTCTTGTTATGTACTTCTTTCCAATGTGCTTAACACCTCTGCCTTCTTCCGACTAAATCATAACGATTCTCGCCAACCTTTAATATCCTCCTTCTCTCTCTCTAATTCTCCATATTCATCGAATGGTGGAGCGAGAAACTTGGCCGCCCTAATTCTGGCAGATTGCGTGCTCAGATCATGGCCATACGTTCCCATGAATGGGTTCCACATTTCTTAGACAAGTATGAGGGTAAACAATGCCCTCAGATGGCAAATTCTGCTCCGAGTCCGCCGCCATTTGACATGACAGCACCCATCACATTGTCTGATGTACCGAATGTCGACGACGGAAAATTTGACAACACAAGTACAGCACAATTCAATGCGGACACAACGAAGACAGTCCAGAGAAACACAGACGATCGTACATGCACAAAACTTGGCGCATATCCGGACGGAAAGTACAGTGCATATAGCATAGAACCGCAAGGTGCAGCTGCCTGGCTGGCTTGCTGGAGTATTTGTAGAATGCTAGCACACGTCCAGATCGTTCCGGCGTTTCTAGGAACGCATAGGTCTGATGCAATTTGCTGGGTAAGATGAAGAATTATTTCGAGGGAGCAAGAGAAACGTCATAGCCACGTCAAAAGGCTTCCAGAATTCTGCAAAGGAGAACCAACACTATTCATATTTGATTTATTATTTTTTTCCTCTGCGAGCTTTTCTCCCGCAAAGTGTGAAATGTCGATTGAGAAAACAAAAAGTTCATTACAACCTGCTCCCCTTTCTTATGTGATTAGAGATATCTTTTGGATCTATGTGAGCTAGAAAATCCTATCTGGCGTAGAGTCAGAATTGTCATGATGGAGGAATGCGAGCTGTACATCAGTCGTTAGAAGCCGTTTTGTCTTCGCTGTTGCTAAGGATCCTAAGGCATCTTGACTTTACTGTGACATGTAGTAAACTCGAAGAACGAGCCGGACTGCCTCCGAAAAACATTCAGAATGCGGCCCCAACTCTGTGCCGGCAGCACTCCGAGGAATACAATGGATAACGTCAGTATTTCAGCAGACCCTGCATTGGCGACAAAATTCTTTTGAATGGCTTGTGCGAACTGGAATCTATCACTTTTTTTCGGTGAAAAACCGCCGACAGTTCGTCGTCCCTTGAGCCATGAGCTGTCGTATCGATATAAATTTCGTAGGGGAGCTCTACGCGTTTTCCAGCAAACGATGGACTGCCAACTCGGCCCAATTTACTGGGAATGAAAGGATGTCCTCAAGAGTGACTAGATCATCCTCAACGGCCCTCAAAAGTATCCCGGACCGACGCGAATTGATCGAGCACAGAATGTAATTGATTGAAGCAGCGGTGACAAAGTCTTCATTACACCTGTTTCTTTCAACTGTTCGTGACCACATGTGGTGATGTAAAGTAGCGGGGTGGATGCAACTTTAACAGCTGAATGAAAGCCGATAATGCAACTTTAACAGCTGAATGAAAGCCGATAATGTATTTGGAGCACAGGGATGAACGAGGAAAAGAATGTTTGCCGCTATGCTCTTGGTTCCTAGGTATTAAGATTGTGGATGTCTACGAAAGACTGGAATGATTTTGTTTCAATTAGATTTCCAAGGTCATTTATATATATTTTCTGCTGCAATTGTATGAATGGGTTTGCGAGGTGCTGCATCTTCATGGCTCTACTAGCCTGCTTCTCATTCGTTTGTACTCCCTCCTCGAATAATTGAACTTGAAAAATCCACACGTCGCTTTCCTTCTGCCTATTTGATTATCTTTGGATCGGAGCTGATTACTGACTCCAAAACACCGAGACCTTCTATCTTCCGTCAAAGTAACCGCTTCATTTGCTCCATTTGCTTTTTCGGACTTCTATCGCCGATGAAGTACTGACATCACAACGCGTAAAATACAAATTTGAAATTGCCGTTCGAATCTAATTGTGGAGGTACTTCACCCAGAAGGAGACCGAGCACAAATTTTTATCATCTATGACTTGGGACAGCGATGAAGTGAGCTTCAAAGTTTCAGGATAAATCTTTTCGAGTGTTTCATGTGTTGAAGAGCTGCTGTACTCTGGGCGCTATACCCTGCGAGCTATATAAAATCGCCAGTCGATCCCTGCAAACATTTCAAAACCCCATTCAGCCAGCTAATACGCACATGTGATCTGTGCAAGTGTGATAATGGAAACTTCTTGCACACATCAAGTTCCAGCTTCTACGATGGAATCTCTTACTGCTTCCCAAATTTTTGACTCCCGTGGCAATCCAACAGTTCGCGTGGTATTGCGTCTGAAAGATCGACAGGGAGTTGCAGGGCAATTCGAAGCTCAAGTTCCCTCAGGCGCATCAAAAGGTTCTTATGAAGCCCATGAGTTACGTGACGGGGGGGAAAAGTATGGTGGGCAAGGAGTTAGTAAGGCGGTTAATTTTGTCAATAAAATTATTGGTCCTGCTTTGATGGATAAAGTAAACATTGGCGAGATTCGGCTGAACGAGCAAAGTAAGATCGATGATTTCTTATGTCAGCTTGATGGCACCGAGAAAAAGGAAAAGATGGGTGCCAACGCACTTCTTGCTGTCAGCATGGTATGCACTCGGGCAGGCGCGGCTATACAAGGGAAAGAGCTTTTTGAACATTTAGCGCTACTCTCGGGAATGCCGACTGATAACTTCATCTTACCCGTCCCGTTTATGAATCAAATCGTAAGTAAGACAGCCCGATAAGAGAAAATTGGAGTACATGCTCATAAAATTTTTACGCCGCTTCTTACTTCTGCTTTTTTCTTTGATCCCCTTTCTTGTTCCTTTATGAATGACTATAGAACGGAGGCGTTCATTCCGGCAATACATTGGCTTTCCAAGAGTTTATGATTGCCCCGGTAGGAGCACAGACCTTTACTCATGCTATGCAAATCTGTACCGAAATTTACCATACTCTCAAGTCTATCATCATCGAACGATCAGGAAAGGCCGCTACTGGTCTGGGAGACGAGGGTGGATTTGCGCCTCCTCTGAAATCCGCAGATGAAGCTCTTCACTTGCTAGAATTGGCAACATTAAAAGCCGGCTATAGTGTCTACCGAAACCAAAGCGGTCAGCAGCACGGAGATGTAGCCTTTGGAATCGACCCTGCATCGTCCGAATTCTTTGACAAAAAAAGGAAATTATATGATCTCGGTTTCAAGTTCGACCCACATGATAAGGCGAAGTCTGATTTTTGTCTCTCTAGCTCAGAGCTTGGTGAGGTATATGAATCAATTTGCAAAAAATATAGTGTCATCTTGTTAGAGGATCCATTTGCTGAAGACGATTTTGATTCATGGAAGAATTTTACGAGAGAGCATTCCTGCGGTCTTGAAATTGTTGGTGACGACCTTTTGGCCACAAACCCTAAGCGAATTCGGATTGGAATCGAGCAAGCGCTTTGTAATAGCCTTCTTTTGAAAATCAATCAGATCGGAACGATCACTGAAGCTATCGAAAGTGCGCAGCTCGCACGGAACAATGGATGGAGGGTATTTGTTAGTCACCGAAGCGGCGAAACGGTTGATGATTTTATTGCCGATTGTGAGTTGATACCGAGAGTTGAACAAATTCTCCGTCCATCGAAGACTGATGTGATTCTCACTGAACCACTTTCTCTGTTGCTAAATCTATCTCACGTATATTCAGTGGCAGTCGGGCTAAGGACGGGTCATTTGAAATGTGGAGCGCCGGCGCGTGGAGAGAGATTGGCAAAATACAACCGGCTCCTTGCCATCGAATCTATTTTGCAATCGCGTCAAGAGAAGATCAAGTACAGCTATGCCGGATATAATACCCAAGCGGCTGAAAAAAAATAGTCAATTTACCACACATGGTAGATGCAGTGCAACTTCTTCGATGTTTTTGTCACCATCACTCGCTTTTCTACCTCGATTCAACAAACACGACTCTACTGCGTAGGATCCGGATGTTGTTCACTTTCGAAGGTGCAATCCATGTGCTGAACTTTGTCTTGACTATTTTCGAAGCGTAATTTTCCGAAAAGCTGGTCTCATGAATGAAATTGATTTTTGTGAAAGAAATGAGTAGAGAGAGACAAATAAATGAAAAAAATACGTATGGGCCGGTTTTCTTTAACATTTAGCTCGCAAGAAATAGAGTGAGATCAAAAACTGTTTGTCAAGAGGAAATCTGATAAGGTTGAATAATGCTGTTGATTTCTTGCCTGACATGTGCTCTGTATGAATAACTTGATTCTTCTTCTCGAAGTGACTTGGAAAGATGTCTCTGCCGTCTATAACTCTCTATTAATGTGTTGTAAGTATTTCAGAATTATATTTGAGCCATCACACTTTCACTGCATAGAAATTCAGAAAAATGCATCCTTTCACATTTTGCCGCCATCGCTTTTCACGAGGTGTTTTTGATTTTAAAGCATACAAGCCATATTTTTTGAAGCATGCGCATTTTTTCTTCCTCTCCTTTTCACAAGTGCAGCCAAAGTAAAAAAGAATAAACTTCTTCCATGGCTTTTAGCATTAATCTTGGTCATTCGGCGAGATTTCCAAGACGATCCTTTAGGGTGTCAACTTATAACCCAACGCTGTCTAGAAGCAAGCGATCGCGATGCATTCAAGATCTGTAGCATCCTCAGGCAGATCTCATAGCATGAGGAAGGGTAATCATGGCACTGCCCGTATTCTAAGGAATTCGAATGCTCTCGATAGACCGTTTGCTTTTTCCGGGCAGTGCCTTCAAGATTGATGTCGGTACACGATTCAGCTTGCTTCCCTACTCGAACGACATCTTCTATGTTTTCAGAAAGAATCATCTAGTCAAGGTGGTTAACGTGAAGGCCTTTATATTTTCTGCGCACGAGAAATACTTGTGAATTTTACTTAGAATGGCGCTCAACATGTAGATGCTTGTCGTACCACACCATTCAAATCCAGTTTCTGAATGGCAAATTTGGCAGGGTAGATTAAAGCTCTGCATGCTTAGTGTTTGACGAGCTGTGTTGTGAACACAAATATCTGTCTTGCTCCATCAAGTCAAATCTGTAGTCAAGGGTGATGAGCCGAGTTCAACGTGTACAAGGAATGCCGCAAAAGTAAAAGAGATGGAGAGCAGATGCATGTTATGAGATGCTGCAAAACAAGAGTTCTACGGAAAATGTCTAACCCGAAACGTAGCTGCCATTTTTGATCGGGCAGACGCAAAACTAAGGACACAGTGACAAGCTTTCAGTTTTCAATACCAGTGCCTCTTGAAAAACTGCACATTCTCTTAGATTGACATTCGTGGAGAAGCTTGATTATAGTGCACATATAAGTACAGATACACACACACCCCAATCATCGAGTGATGTTCAACAAAACAGCTTGACTTTCCTTCAAAGTTACCCAGATCTTGTTCCTTATCAGTTGTCGCTTCCAGCACTATCAAGCAGGTTTCCGTTTGCTTACGGTAGTCGAAATTTCTCGAGCGCACTCACTACGAACGTGAACATCGGCACTGTTCTTCTTCGCTCACGGATGTCATGACCTGCGAAGAATCAAAGGAGAGTCAGTTTGTCTCATCTCACACTACGCATGCTGTCATTATCGCCACATACTTCTTCAACATGCTTACCACATCCACGCCACGTTGTTTTGCCGCATTTGTCGCCTGCTCAATGTCAACAGGAAAGGGTGATCGTGTCAGCAATGCATAGGAAAATTTGGCGGTCGCCGCAAGACTTACACTTGATGGTGAAGCAAGTGTCAATCAGTAAGCTAGTTGTTTCTATCGAAACCATAATGAAGAACCTTTAAAATTAGGAAAGGGAAATAGCAGCTATAATCGTGCTTACGGTGCATTGTCGTAAAACAGTTCCTTTTTATACATAACTTTTAAATCGTTGCACAGCGATGGGCGTGCGTAGTCTTTCTCTTTGCGCTTGCATGATAAATGTGAAAGTAGCCGACGTGCAAGCAGATGCTTTAGAAAATCACAAAGTAGCCGACGGGTATGCAAATAAGTTAGATACTGCGTCAGCCACCGTTTAGGTTAGGAAGCGCACGGAGCATGATCATTTGCATTTACTCTTCTGCTTCATGGATGATAGGTGTTCTGAAAGTAGAGAGCTACGACGAACGCGCGTACAATGGATTCGAGCATTTATTTTCTCAGTTCGTCGATACTAACGCAACACCTCTTTCGTAGAACAGCGTGAGAATCTAAGCGACACGATTGCAATCGAAGATGTACACTTATTGAAGCAGTGCGCCGCGCACGGGCCATCCCTCGGGCGTTGTGGCGTCTGTCTGTTGAGATAAAATATGCAGTATCATTCGCAACCCGAACGGTCAGATCCGTTGGCAAAATTCGCACAAGGCATTTTTTTCCCTTTTAGCGGCAACTAAAAATCGTGATGCTTATGCTCGTGGGCTAACTGAACAACATAGTGTCAGAGCGCTGGCCTCTCCGGGACATGAGCTCCCGCTCTGCCGCAAGAAAGCCAAAGAAAAAATTTGGCAGTTGCGACTATCCCAGCTACCTATTTCTCATCGTTGTAGATAAGCTGTACATCGTTTTATGTCCGACTACAATTATAAACAAGGGTCATCGTCATAGTCGCGATTCTTTCCTTTCCGCCTTCAGAGATACGCAATTCTGATCACGGATACCATCATGCCAACAAAGACCCCTATGATCTCGGCGCGCGGACAGAAGCATGCCGGCAAAGTGACTCCTTTCTGGACTGCATTCGATAGAATTATAGGCGACGCATTTTGCCACGAAACAAATCCGGGAGGCATAGTCAATATGGCCATCAGCAACAACTCTCTTTTAGAGCCCGAGCTACTTGCCTTCTTTGGCGCCAATTTACGGTTACAGCCTGTAGACTTGACTTACGGCACAAGCTTGTTCGGCTCGCACCGTCTTTTTGCTTCGCTCTGTCGACACTTCAATTTGGGTCACACGTTTGCTCCTGTAACACCCGTCCGGCCAGAGCATCTTATTACCGGACCCGGGTGTGGACCGCTGTTGGATCAGCTTGCCGAGCACCTCGCTGAACCGGGTGATGGAATATTAGTTGCTGCGCCGTACTACAATGGCTACGATGCCGACTTGGCCTGTCGCGCTCAAGTGCAGTGCGTTGCAGTTTACAGCAGTGACGACGACGGAACGGGAGCGCAGAACTTTGAAGGCGTATCAGCACTGCGTAACTTTGCAGCTACTAAAGATAAATGGGAAAGCGAGCACGCTGGACAGACTGTACGCGCAGTGCTAGTATGTTCACCGCATAATCCTGTTGGGAGATGCTATGACCGCGAAGCGTTGATTTCCTACGGACGATTTGCGGAAGAGCACAATTTACATTTGATTTTTGACGAGGTACGTATGCTTGTATAATCGTTGGTGTCGGAAGGTTATAGTCAGCTGACGCTTTGTAGCTGGACCCGACCTAAAGATTTTTGCCTTGTCTACATACAGTTCTAAGCCTCACTGCACCTCACACACGAGTGATCCTAGCTTTCATTCAGCTTTATCGATTGACTGGCTGCGCGAGGCAGACTGTGACCCAGCTCGTATACACATAATTTGGAGCGCATCAAAAGACTTTGGCATCAATGGGCTGCGCGTTGGCACGATCGTCAGTCAAGCGAATGATGAGCTCTTGCGAGCACTCAAGGCTACGGCCAAGTTGTACATGGTCTCGAGTCCCGCCGACGCTCTCTTCTGTGCACTTGTTGACAATCAGTGTGTTTACGACGATTTCATTCGTACGAATCAAGCTCGCATGGCTCAAGCATATAGTGTTATAGCCCGATGGTGCGAATTTCATGAGATTTCGATGAAACAATGTACGGCTGGTCATTTTGTCCTTGTCGATCTCACTCGCTTTTTGCCCGATCACGTCGATGGCGAGCCTCTTGCTGATCTGCCTGCACGCGAGGGTGCGCTGTGGACCAGCTTTTTATCGCACGCCGTCTGCCTTACTCCAGGTAGCAACTATCACTGCACTCGCTATGGCACGTTTCGTTTGACATTTACGCTCAGACGAATTGCGTTGCTAGAGGGTTTGTCACGCGTAGAAAAGGCATTAAATTTGCCTTCCTGGCCGCATCGAGATGAGGCGCTGACCGAGATAGAACAATCTATGGAGACGATTGCGGCACCGGAGAACATGCCGACGGTGACACAAGCACAACTTGGTGTCTCACAGAATGTTGTGGCGGAACCGATTCGCGCTCTCGATGTTGCTGCTTCCACTGCTCGTGCGCGAGCGGGAAGGCGAGATTATGTCGACAGCTTACGTTCCATGTTGAAGGATGGCGGCGGCAGCGAAGTTTTGTTGAACTGTGGTATGGGCATGAATACCCCTGCATGTGCTTGACTTAATCTTCTTGCGTGGCTGTGCCAGCTTTTGCGCATCTTCAGGCATGAACACGTTATTCCTCTACGCCGCGCTTTACAACTCCGTTCGGCATCATGAAGACATTTGTTTGCGTCTCAGCGAATTGGACATGACCAAGCGCAATGCTTATGCAAAAGCTTTCAGACAAATCAAACCACACGATAGTAGTCGAGAATTGGGGGCTTTTGAGACCCATAGGCATTATTCTTGCGAGGTAGACTTTGCTCTTTCACCGCACGATCAGCGGGATAAATAAACTGCATCCTTAGTCTCGCTGCACTCATGCAAGTACGCAAGGTTCGCGTATATCAAAACCACTTGGGAGTACTCGTCGAGTTACTTCGCAGGCGGAAGAAGTGCGAGATGCTGTGTCATATGAGTAAGATATTAGTGATTGTTCTGGCAATGCGGTGCGGGTCATCTCTATAATTAAATTGATGATGCATAAAATACTATTTGTTCCTACACATCTATTCCAACCCGCTATGGCCGCAGCATGGTGTGGCCAGGCGGCGTCGAGACTGATGCACATGTCCATTTGCATCCTTGCTTCGCAAAGATAGATAAGAGATGGGTGCAAGAACCAGTGTTTCTCCCCGCCTGAGATCCGGAACGATAGACATTGGCTTCATGTTCGCACTCAAGAATTTTGCAAAGAATTGCGTATTTCCAGGTAGCAGACCTTGTTGATATAACATCGACCTCACGCGCGATATAGACTCTCACAAATGCTGATGTGTTCGAATGGCAGCGCCACAACTCCATTTTAAGCCTCTGTGAAAAACCGAATAGTACACGACGCGCGTAGAGTGGACTAACAGAATATTACGCCGGGCTATTTATGCTATTTGAGTTCTCTACCGAGATAAAGCGAAACTTCCAAGCTAATTTTATATATATATATCTAAGTGATGTCGTAATAAGTCTGGAGCGAGAGATGTGAAAGCAATTCAAGCTTAGTAGCGGTCAGCTCAATTTGTGTTCTGACGGTTTTCAATGTGTTTCTCGAGTAAACTAACCGAAGGAGCAGGATTTGCGATTGAATTGAAGCGCTTAGAGAGATTTATTTTGTTGGAGAAGCCACTCAATCTTGTTCATATTCTACACAATAACACACATTGAAATTGTGACTATTAAGCTTAGATTCTGTATTGCTCAGGTCAGCTTTGAATTTCTCTGTAAATGAGCAGTGCAATGAAGTGGTCACCTACCAATCACGGCGGTCCTTGCCGACTTCCTTGAATCTCGCTGCTGAGTTGGAAAGAGGAGCATCAGATTAGTTTGAGCGCGTAGAAATTGTACAAAACTTCGTTGATAGTATTCGGCACCTCAACCAAAGTGCACCGACCGAAAGCACACCAAGAGAGATGCAACTTTTTTGGAAACACATCCAGACCTGACATGAATGGAAAGTGTAGTATTACGACACTTTATCGTTCACTCGTCGATTATGATGAACGTGACAAGGGGGGGGGCAAAGGTTCCGTCAGAGCAGAGATTCAACGATTCTGACGTGTGAGAACGTAGTGGGAAATTCAGTGATGAATGATTGCAGCAAATGAATGGTTGTCCGCAGAATGAGCTCCGTACCCTAAGAGATTGTACAATGGCTAATATCTGTCAGTGTGCATCTGCAAAGAAATAAGGTCGTGCGATTGTACATTGCACACACAGCTGGCCGACCCCCCGGGATTCTTTGAAGCAATATCTTGATCATTCTGAATCAGCTTCATTTTTTTGTGAATTTATAATTTATTCTCCCGGAGCTCACACTTTAGCATGTCATCGCTGATCTGACGTTTTCACAATTTGTTCGGCAGAACGCATTTGATCAAATGTATGGAATTGAATTCAAAAGACATGTAAGAAAAATGGGTACCGAACACGCGGCATTTTTCGCTTCAAAATGTTCCCACGACATTTGAAAGTGACAATTTTACTCACCAGTACAGGACAGGGAAAAATGCTTGTTCAGGACGCTTACATGTACTATATATACATTACTATTTGAAGTAAATTCGATAGCTCTTAGACATCCCAGTCAAATTGTTGAGAAAGGCTTTTCAAGATGATTCAGAATGTTTTTGGATGGCTTTCTGCTACTTCCACAACGTGGCTCAAAGTGCAACAATGACCTCAAAAATGGGCATTGCGAGAGGAAAGGCATCACCCAAACGCTCTTATTTTTTGAACTTCGTGATCAAGAAATAAGTCATCGGTATAGGACACCGCAAAACAGATCGCGGATGAGTATCGGGGCACCCGCGGTTGCAAAGCTTTGAGAGAAAGGAATTGAAAAGAGGTTCTTGAAATCATTATCGAGAGAAACTTCGGCAAATTAGGCTGATTCCCATCTTTCGAATCCTTCTTTTAAAATAGAGACATTATCACTTCTGGTACGAGAGAAGTAAAACATCACGACGAATAGAAGTAAAACATCATCGTCATTGGTCTCATTCCACACAAAATTGATCTTATCTGATGCAAAGTTTGCCGTCTTCATTTTATTTGCAGACTGCTTAGAAAGACTGACGCAGAGAAAACCCTCTAGTGTGCTTCAAGTACCGATTTCAGTAATCCGGGGCCCAACAAAGCTCACCTTGCTTGTAATAAATAATGCAGATCGTACTCAAGGCTGTTTAAAGAGCGATTGAACTATATGAGTTGAATCAAACAGCCTTAGAGAAGCCTGAGGGACCGCCCCATAAACCCTTGATCATGAAGTTGAGGTATACCCACGGGAAAAAGTCGCGCTTGAGATAGTAGAAAGCGCGTTGCGGCTTGGACTGATCGTAGAGTGTCTTGAAGCTGTATAGCAGAAATGAGAGACAATTTCAGCAACGGCGCTTCATCTTAGAGAAAATTTTTATTTCTTAACTTACGTCTCCATCGGTACGCCATTGTACGCGAACTCAGCAAGAACCAATTTGCCATACTCGGTAGGAATGGGACAGCTAGTGTAGCCACTGTACTGGGCGTCAAGGGCTTTATGGTCTATCGATTGCAAGAGATTACGGACCAGAACAGGCGCTTGCTTCGTCACGGCAGCTGCTGTCTTGCTTGTGGGAAGAGATGAGGCATCACCGGCGCTCCATACATTTTTGAACTTGGTATGTTGCAAAGTCGCTGGGTCGACGCTGACCAGACCATCGGCATCCGCAAAGGGACTCTGTGTAACAAAATCCCATGGCCCCATTGGAGGCACGGCGTGCAGCATATCAAACCTCTCTCTGAACTCTCGGCTAGGTGCACCGCTCGCAGAAGTAGACGTCTGAAAGACAGCATGGTCTGCTTCAATAGCGACGAGATTCCTCGCAAAATTGCCTTGTACGTTGCGTTTTTTACGTAAGTAGTCTAATGTTTTGCTGTAGCGCTGAACGCCGAACATCTGGCCAAGGCCCGTGTTGAAAGAAATTCGAATCGGCGAGGCGTCATTGGGCGTGTAGAGATTGTGCTTTTTCCAGTAGTCCAGCGCCAACCACATGATCTTTTGCGGGGCACCGGCACATTTGATGATACCAGTCGGTTGGGTAAAGACGGCGTGGCCTTTTTTGGTATTTCGAATCACGTCGAAAACTTTGTCGCAATAATTCTAGATAAAGCGAGTGATAGGACTGGCGTCGTTAGCTGGTATTTCGCACTTACAACTGCTAATAACTTACGTATGAATAAATGCTGGCAACAGGCGCGTCCTTGTCGGCTAGAAGCTCCGGCAATCCCCTAACTTTGTGAAATTTGACTTCGATGCCAGGCGCAATGATTAAATGTTCGTACTGCAAACGCGTTCCGTCGCTCATCGTCACTTCGTTGTTCTCTGGCGCAAAATGGCAAACGCTAGATTTGTAAAGAGCAATCTTCTTATCAACTATTTCGTTCATCTGTCGTCGTATAGAATTTTTGTCCTTCAAGCCCGCGCCAACCATCGTCCAGCCGGGCTGATAATGGTGCCATTTTGACGGGTCGATGATTGATATGTCATTTGGCTGAAAGCGACCAGAGTTGAGGAGCTGATGTCCAATGCTGCTACCAGCTGCACCTGAGCCGACAATGACGATGCGATGTGCAGACTCGCCAGAAGATGGCGTCATGCCACGTGCCGTCGCGGCAACTGTTGCGTATCCACGTCGGGAGGCGAAGGCAGCTAAGTGCATTCTGTATGTCTGTGTGATTGGTAATAACGCTGTAATGGTAACAGGAAGATTAACAATTTGTTGCGCGCATAAGTAAGTCTGTTGTTACTTGTGACGAGAAATACTTAGAATTTGGGTCAGCAGTCTCTCTGTGGTTTCAGACATATTTGGCTTGCGATCGCGTCATTACTTAATCATGATCATCTGATCTAAAACTTTAGGTCGCGTTGCTCGTAGGGTAAGGACTGTATCTGCCGACATGTCAAAAATATGCGCAATAATATAATTTTTTGCGGTGGATTGGAGAAGAAGTTCAAACGAATCACGGGACTCACGCGATTGTATGCACGTGAGGATCCTGACCATGCTCTGACACTTGCATCGAGTAGATAAGGAAGAAATTGTGCAAGAATTGCGCACATTGGCATTCAAGTCGGTCTTGCCTGTAAGAACAACAGTGGAGACCTGTAGGCTTAAAGTACACAAGAAGAAGTAAATAGATCCATCAACGAAATTCGACAATATGACTTGATTTCGAACAGTAAGTGCAGGAAAATTCAATTCTTAGTGCTCATTTTTCCAATCGCGATCGCTGAAGTCCTTTGGGAAAAGAGAAAAAGAATTGGCAATTGGATTTTCGGCCGGACAAATGGGAAAGTAATATGTATGACTAAAATGCGGTGCTTCTTTACAGATAAACTACTCTGTGGGTTACAAACTTGGCACGGTTGCATTTTATTACAATAGATTAGCAGAGCCAGCGGTCAACGGTATTTGCATTCTACTAACGCCATCCGGTCCTGGAGGAGGCAAGCGTCCACCACGTATATTCACTTGCAGAGATGGGTGTAGTAATCGGGGTGCCGCTAGTTCTTTGTCGCGGATAAGACGTCGCTGGACGAAATCGTCCATATTCTTTAGATGCACATTTTCGTGTTGTGTTTCAGAGATGGTCGAGAAGCATTTTGGGTCAGCACGTGACGGTGGCGGGTAGTCATGACCGACATATAGGCGCGTTTGCGGACTTGCGTCGAGTAAGCGATGAATCGAAGCACGAAGCAGATCTGCGCTACCGCCTGGGAAGTCAGCGCGTGCTGACCCTACATCCGGCTGATGCGTCAAATTCAAATCAGGGAGCAGGTAGCGACATACGGTGAGTTTTCCTCGTCGCTCTGAATTTACACGTCAAGGGAACTTACGAGAAAGACAACATCACCCGTAAAAATATTTTCGCCAATTTGGTAGCCCATATGATCAGGCGTGTGTCCAGGCAGATGGATTGCGTTAATGCGAGAGTTTCCGACGCGCAAATTCATTTTTTCGTCGATTAAAAGGTCAAATGAGCCTTGAAGGTCACCTTGCGTCAAGCCATAGCGAGGCGCAAAGCGTCGCTGCACTTCTTCGATTCCTTTGCCGATAATGAGTGGCGGGTTTGCTACACGGTTCAGGTGCCCGACGTGCAATGAGCGTGATATGTAGAATCCAGCACTCAGGTGATCGGCATGAGCGTGAGTCTCGAGAACCGCCGTCACTCTGTAATTTTGGGCCGCGCAGAATGACATTAGCCCATCAGCTGACTCGGTCGTCACTGAGCCGGATGCCGCATCGTAATCAAGCACGCTGTCGATGATGACGACATCCAAGACTCCAGATTCTGCATCATACGGACTGCCTGCAACGACGTAAGAAAATGTAGATGTAGACTTATGATAGAAGCTATGCACAGTCGGCTCGCTGTGCTTTACAGGCAGATGAGTCTTGAAGGGTTCATTTGATGGTGCTGTTAGCGTGGAGGAAGCAGAGAATGATCGTGCCTGCCGGTCAGTTGTCAAACGAAATTGCATTGCAGTGGCAGTAGGTACATGACATGGCGAAAATAGTCTACGTCGCCTTTGAGAGAGTGCGCTTGATCTTGCAGATAAACCGCTCTGTTCTTCAAACGTGTGGCGGGAGCACGTCATACTCCTCGATGCTTGGCGAGCGCCATACACTTTTGAGAACATGGTGCGAGCGGATAGAGGTCGGTACGGCATTGCTACGAGGTTCAGGAACGGCGCGACGTGATGATGTTGACAAGATGCAAAGATATTTGTTTCTTTGTTTGTTTGTGAATTAATGAGTTCTAAGGAATCGATTGGCAAATAAGTTCAACATCCCATTCTCGTCCAGTGTGCTAGAGGCAACGAAGGGGCCGTGCACACACAGTAAGTAGGGCGCGTGATCAATTTAACACGCATATGCTGCAGGGACATCGAAAACAGAATGTCCGCGGTGAGAGTGTAGAAATCTGAATAGAGTTGGATGCGCATCGCAAATAACAACAAGTAGAATAAGCTGATATTTGACCAACTCTACTTCACAATTTTATTCCATCCCTCTCTCTCCTCTTTATGGTCGCGTGCACTTATGTGACGTCGGTTTACGTTGATTAAATGACGGATAAGAATGTTCACGAAGCGCAAGGGAAGACACAGCGTCGCAGTCGCTGCAAGAGCTTCTTTCATAGGCACTTTGTGTCAACAGTGCATGTCGAACACCTTCTGTGGCCCTTGTTACTCAACACGCTCACAACTGGCATGATGGATGCTACCAGCTTTGGTGCTTTCGGCGTATTCAGCTCGAATCAGACCGGTAATGTCATTATTCTTCTCTCTCGTGTCATCGGAGTGCACCAACGGTATGCACCCGGCGGGGCTTGCGCTGGACCAGCTCTGTTGACAACAGGCCTTAGTTTGGCCGTATTCCTCGTCATGGCCTTTCTCTCCGGTCGCCTTGGTCAACATTTTGGTCATCTCCACCGCGCAAGCCTAGCCATTTCGACATTGGTGCAGGCTATCTTGCTGCTGCTTGTCGCTGTCTTGATACAACATTCCGTTTTCTCGCCCGGCGACGTAAATGATAGTGACGTGACACATCAGTATGCCGAGCTCGATGCAGCACCTGTTGCTCTACTTGCTGCTTCCGCTGGCTTGCAAGTGTCGCAAGCTCGATGTTCAGGATTTCAAGAGATTCCGACGGCAATGCTGACGTCACCTATGGTGGATCTGCTCATCCACCCTCAGCTTTTTGGACGCCTTCTGCCAAGGGGCGATAAGAAGCTGCATTCGCGCAACGTACGAGCTGCATATCTAAGCACTTTTGTACTTGGCATCGCTCTGGGTGCTGCCGTGCATCGCTTTGCAGGTACGTCGATCGTAACGTTTATTGCGTTTGCGCTGCGTATCGTCGTCGCAGTATCCCTCTCTATTCTGCCACCCGGATAGTATAACATAAGCAATGTGCAGAATTCGCTCGAAAAATATCAAACTGGCTTCGTATAGCACCGTAGAAGGCGAAACAAAAATTTAAACGATTTGTTCTTAGATGGAACTCAATTTCCGACCTCGGGTCGAGTGAAATCCTAAATTGTTAGCTCAGCAGCCCGCACGACGCGCTGCACGCCATATCTTGGACTTTGTTTCCCAGGCCTGCGCGATCATCAATCTAGCTGCATCCTGATACCGATTACATTTTTCCTTTGATGTCAATGAGATCAAAAATTCCACTGTTTTTCGAATTTTATTTACAAGGAATGACGACTTTGTCCAGGGAAAGTTTAACAGCTCAAGAATGTTCTAGTCAATCTGTACAGGCAATTTGGGGTGATGATCCCATAGACAAAATTTTGGGGATGTAATCAAACCGTTTGCGGCTGATCGATGATTTTTCTCGATCATCAAATAATCAATCGAATCAAACCGGTGGAGAAGTCAACAAAAACGGCCTGAATCAGGCGAGCAAAATAACAGATTAGGTGATTATGTGATGAGACGATACTCATAGCGTCTTTAATCTCTTTTTTTTATGCTTGCCACGAGTATCTGCATTAGAATATAATCTCATTAAAATCCTCCTGCAGAGGAAAACACTCTGTGCCTTGTGGCGTGGCAAGATGAAGATTTTGGATATGACCACAATTTAGAATTGAAAGGCTTGTATGCTTCCGCAAATTTGAAAAAAAAAAAAAAAAGATTTTTAAGAAGTCGAATTTTACCATTGGAGGCTTGACAAGTCCAACGGGTGCCGCAATCGATCCAAAGGTGCTTTACTCCCGGTGGTCGCAAGAAATCGCAATGGTGTCGGCTAGTGTCAGCCTCAACTTTCGTCGGACCGCTCATCCAAATGGCTAGGTTATCAAGCCTGTCACCAGATCACGATAGCATATCGTCAAATTTTCTTTTCAGGAATTTAGATAGTGTCCGTCCTTACTTGCAATACATGAAGCATCCCTTCAGATGCGTGGCGATGAACGAGAGACCGCGAACCATTTCCGGCACACCATCTCTGTTTTACATATCTCATACTGAATCAGATGGTTAGAGATATACCTAATACGTCGGTTGAGAAAGACACGACTATCCTGATATAGCTTTCGTCATTACTAAGAGTAGTTGTGTTTCGACGAACAGACATATATCCTATCACGAATGGCTTTTGAAGCTGTGTCAATGAAGATGTAGAGAACATCGTTTGCTTGATGCGAGGTTGTATCGCGTGGGATTCTATAGAAACTTGACTAATGCGTTGTATCGATCTTTTTTAGGCGAATTGCGACGCTAGCAGGTTGAATCCAACGTGCTTAATTCACGTACTCTATCCTATCTCATCGTCAATCCTATCTAAGGGCGAGCGTAGAAAGAAAGTAGTTTCATAGTGCGAGCAGTACAATAAGGGGTACCACTTTCAGTCAAAATGGAATAAGCGTAGAATATTAATCCTTAGCTCACTATATGCAGTATCGGGACGGTGATCTGAACACCGAAATTCAAAAGGTAAGCTGCCGAGGAGAGGCAAAAAAAATTAATTCGCTTGCCGGGCGCATCCGGAAAGAACCATTTACCCTCTCTTTTCCTTACAACCAGGTACACATCAACATGATATCTGAACACATCTATACAACGACCTGAAGCTGCTGTTTAGAGGAACTACTGATCAGAAGGTGGCCAGAAATTTCGATCATCAAACTCAATTTGTGCAAAGACAATGCGTTGTTTTGTTCGATCTTTGACCACCTATGCTCCGTGCCATGCAGTGAAGTGAAAGCAACATTTTTCGGTATAGCAAATATAATGCGATTACAAAATGCAAGAGCAATGAGCGATCAACTAAGGGTACCTTGAGGTGGTTCATCTGCTCCAAAGGCATAGACAATCGTACATTACTTCGGACATGCTGTTTGTCTTGGACTGACACCAAAAAAACACTGAAAGCGAATGGGCCACTTCACAAGTATAAATTAAGGACCTCAGGTGACCCAACGTCGTGGTCCAAGAGCATGGAAGATTGCAAAGCTAATCTAATCAGAACGGGGCTTTTCGATTTTATCATTATACTCATTTCGGCCAATTGGCTTGGGAATAATGTCATCTTGAGTCATTTCTTTGGCAAACCTTTCGACAGCTGAAACCTGGATTATGGACTTTTTCCTGATATCGCGCAGTCACATCTGATGCCATCGAGCGGGAAGTCTGCAAGAATTGTTCATGCGCTCCATTGCCTCACCATGCTACGCGTGAGTTCCAATTCAACTTGGACTTGCGCAAATCTCTTAAGATCGGAAATTAAGGCTTGATCGGAGAAAACAATTAGAAGCAATCTGCCATCGCGATTTGTAGCCGCTTTTCGAACACCTTCTCCCGATGTAAGGAAAAAATAATCAAGACAATTTCGAGAGCAAAGAGAAAATTGATCAAGTAAACGAAATCGTATGAGATAAAAGATCATAACGAGCTTATAACGTCGTAAAATACTACGCTGTGTACATGTTGTCTCCAAGTAATTTTGCAAAAATTTTGAACTCCGTTATCTTACGGTGTTACTGCACGTATCGAATTTTATGGGGCAAAGCTCAGCCTCCCCAATATGATCGCAATAGTCAAGGGCGAGAATTTTCGTCAAAACTTATCGTATTCCCGAGATAATGCGCTGAAAGCTATTTCGGACCACCTTTTTCTTTCAGTACAGGCATGGCCAACACGTACTCATAGACATACAATTCGAATTTGGTTCCTATTATGAATGGAGCGTTGGGTCGCGTAGTGAGGTACGCTCTTTCTCCTGCAAGCACTGAAGCAGGAGGAAAAGCGACGCATGCCTAGACAATGAGAAAGAAATACCAGTGCGCGCTGCGAAAGTATTTCTACGAAAGCTTAATTAGCCCGGGAAATCGACGCTCACTTAGGGAAAGAGCAGACGCCGCCCAACTACGGATGCAATTTAACTTTTGCAATTGCTACTACAGCTCTTTTCGGTGTCGCATCGCCAATCTGACGCCAACACTATTTCAATGCTCGAATTCGGATCGTGATTTGATGTAAATCACAGGATCATCCAAGAAACGATAATATCTTTAAAACTCTTCAAGATAAGGAAGTTATCATGCAACAAACAGATGAATTACAAAAAAGCCTGCAAGCATCAATCGCTACACCCTATTATCATATTAAATCACCCTTTCCGCTTGAGCATGACAGGCGCTTTTTGGATCCAAGTAGGGGCAGCAGTTTGGCAATGCAAAGGCGAAGACAGAAAACACCTTCTGAAAGCGTTCGTTGTTGTGAGTATGGAGAAATCTAATGTGACTTGAACAGAATTGACAAAATTAATGCGTCATCTCCTCCTCGCAGATTGGGCAATACTATCTATACGACCTGCAGAGATTGGGAATATGTTGAATAAAGCAAACTTGGTCTTCCTCCACCTTGATCCAACTATGGAGGATTCATTGGGCTATAGCGTCGAATCGCTTATGGGCACAAGCGCGCTGGATTTAGTTCATCCAAATGATGCCAAGAGGGTCGGAACGAGCATCTTGCAGTATGTAATGGAGAATAGAAGCGAAAGTAAGGTGCTTCGATGTACTATGAAAAGCGTCTTGTCGGTAGGTAAATACGTTCATTCCTCCTTAATGATCGAAAGTTAGATTTTTCCTCTTTCACACAATCAAAGGAAGAAGATCACCAATTAACTGATCTCAGCATGGACCTAATTGGAGATGAAATGTTGCTATGCTTCTTTCATGCTGTTGATGATAGATCTAAACAAGATTACAATCCGGAGGATAAAAGTCAATGGACAAACTGGTGCGAAACGTCTTTAAGTGCTTTTGACGATCAACATTGTCAAACGCTATGGGAGCACATTTTGGCAGTAAGACTAATCAACCCATCATCAAGTGCGATTGAACGACATCAAAGCGGCTTTCCAAAAACTATCTTTCAAATTTTGACAAATGATCCAAAGGGGAATATTTTATTTTCCTGGCCGCCACCAAGGTTATTTGAGTCAATCCAACATAACATAAGCATATCCGGTACAACAATTTATAGAAATGGAAGCTATTTTGCAGACGCTTTTGCTAGCCTGACGAATCGATTAAATCTTCAGGAACACTATTTAGAAAATTACCAAAGACTGACGGCTTGTAAAAGTCGACTCCAAGCAAAAGCAAGCGCTAACATGGACGGCTTTGCCATCGACGTGAAAATGAGAGTCATTCCGCATGGGGAAATTAAATTTGCACTTTTCTTCATTGAAAAAGCGGAATACTCTACAGAACACCAGCCCAACCATCTAGAACAGGATGATGTCCGATTGTTATATAAGCAAATGTTTCCTCTTGCAGTGTATGGGAACCAAGAATCACTTTTCACTTGGGCACTGCGCTCTGGCCAGCAACAAGAACTAGAAAATTGGACCCCACAAACCCGTCCAAGCCAGTCATCTTCTAAGCCCGCATCCACGCATCAATCGGACGAATCATCAGCAATCTCATTCTCCACTCGACACCCAGAACAAGTAACTGACTTCCCTGCATTACAGAATGATGACGTGCAATCCAATTCGTCCGCACATGCAAATGAATTTTCGACTTTTCCCCCTATGACCGAGGCTGTGCTTGCATCTTCAGTGAAGTGCTTGGCATGCGGAACTTCAAAGAGTCCAGAATGGCGAAGAGGTCCGGACGGAAAAAAAAGTTTATGCAACGCATGCGGATTACGATTTTCGAGAGAGACTCTAAAGGCGCGGAAAAAGGGTTGATGGCAAGGAAGAAAGCTATGAATTAAGTCATGATCTCTGCTCACTGATGTAGATAGCACGAAGCGGGATGCAATCGCGAAAAAGAATGACTTTCATGCGTGTACCTGCGTCAAGCCTGTGCAAATCTCAAATTTTTTCCCTTTATTCGAAAAGTAGGACATGGGCAAGCAGAATCCGACAATCGATTGTTTGACGAGAACCGATAGGATCGGGATAGATCGGAAAATGTTTTGCTATTCGTCTGATCACATAACTCGCTTTTGCCACATCTGGACTTGGATTCTCATTTTACCCAGAATTTTCCAAGCACGTACGGCTCGCAAAGCTTCCTCGAACGTTTTTCGTTGCACCTCATCGGACTATGGACGAACTTGTACGGCTAAACGAAGGTAAATACCATTCCGACAAATGTTATATAAGTGTCAAGTTACGGAGTTCTTCTCGATCGTCACGCTACCACGATACAATGACATTAAGTGAAGGTAGTTCATGCGAAGAAGATGGAAAATTTTTGGAAAGGTACTCAAATATTAGCCCACTGGGCATCTCGAGTGACTGCGTACATTTTGCTGCATTTCCACAACCAGAAGGGCATCCATCACACATGTTCATTGAATACAACATACACTGGTCTAATGGCCGGTCTGAAATTTGCACATAAACGCACTTCTCTAGATTTATGCAGGGTATCCCCCCGCGAGTAGCGTAGAGAAGTTTGCTTCTGTTTCTGCATTTAAGCTCTCTTGTCCTCAGGTTTTTGTGTGAAGAATATTGTAAATCGATTTGAAACGTTTCTGTGATGGAACAAGGTGCTGGTCATCTAATTATCGCTCATACTACGATCTAGCCATGCAAGTTGCAAAACACCTACGAAAATGACTTGTAGCACTGTAACGTGAGTCAAATAGGAAGAAGGAGAAGAAGAATAAAGATGAGGTCACCTTCAAGGTCGGACCTACAGAGACACAGAATGAACAAGCGTAAAATAAATCCTCAAGGGAGCAATGCAGTCCGGAAAAAAGGGGGGTACTTCTTATCTCGACAAACGAGATTGCGTGCTTCTCTACGCAATCGAACAAAGAAAGAGACTAGTGCAAACCAACATGAATATGCTACAAACTCGCCACTTTCGATGACATCTCAAACGGTAGCTGGTGATCAATCACAATTGGCGGCTCCCGAAAACTACCAACGCAAACTCAGGATACAAGACGTATCGCGTGAGACAATCTCATCGGACTTTTCCACTTGTTTACAAGCGCAAAATGAAGCATTGCAATCGAGTATATGGGGTATTGCAAGTCTCGAGCACACATCATTCACCGCGCAAGAGGTCGATGCGCTTGATCGGGTACGTATGCCCATAGGAGTATTTGTCAAATAGATTCTGATGTCTTCTTCATCCACTGCTCCAGTTTCGAAGTGCAACATCTCAGCTCTCTGCGATGGCGCTGTTGCTACATTGCACCGGTCGAGACCACCAGCCAACAGATCGCAGGTTTAGTATGACCCGACCTTGACGCATTTTGTGGAAATGCAGATCAAGCAGTCAGATTCCTGGCATGTTTTCCGAGGACTTTGACTCAAGAAAAATCACTCGACAGTTTGACGATGGTTTGCGTTCAGATGGCAATTAGATGACAAGGGCAGGATAGAACGAGGAGCTTGTGAGAGAATGAATGCCGTCAGTCCAAGAATTTGAACAGAGACAAGAATAGAGGTGAATGGCCACATCCAAACTTTATCGTGTATTCTGCAGCCTTAAGTATGCATGGTGCGCATTTGCCTGAGGATGTATCTCAATACTCCTCATAGTATCAGCCTCCAAAATGGCGTTATCCTCCTTCTTTAGTCGGGTACATGAACCCATGTTCGTTGATCTAAGGTTATCTTCACGATCGCTTTCGTTCAAATAAAGACATCATTGCACCCGAGTCCTCAATAAGAGCGCACATGATATTCTACTAGAAATCTTCAAGAGTATCATTGAGCCAAAAATGATGTGATGTATGGAACGTTCAATCGGCCAAACTGTTGTAGATTATCAAGTTGTACTAAATCTATTTGCTGATGCCCCTGAGAAAATTGATGGCGTACATTACACAATGAAGGCACTTTGTCAAATCGAATTCTTCTGATCTGTTCAATCTCAGCATTTGAGATCGGAATATCTCAAGACGGGTCTATATATGTGTAGCTTTATCCAGCCGAACGGTGTAAGTATTAAGACCACTGGATTTCTTTTGTGTTTCTCAAATTCCTGCTGACTGGTTAAACCTTCAGATTGCGGAGGTCTTATTCAGAAAATGGGTAGTCCTCTCCTGATTTTCCATGTGCGGAGTTAGACGACTATTCGATGGAGTGTCCGTGCTTTTAAGGTTTCTGAGCCATGTCTTGTAATTCCACTTGTTACTCTGGCTTGATTTATAGTCGAATCAGCGAAAAAAATCAAAAATACATGATGTCTGGCAGATGGATCATGGGACTACGTTAGAAAACGGCTTGGCTAATCGAGAATTATCAATTCAATTGGACAGATGATTACAAGTCTTGTCGATTGATACAGTAAAAATTTGGTTCTCTCCAGAAGCACATATCGCGTCAAGATAGGCAAAAAAGCACGCAAGTGTAAAATGTGCAAGAGATTGCCACAAAGATATTGCAATTCTCATTGTACATTTTTCTATCTTAATCATTGTATTTATGGAATACAACCAAAAATCACAGCTCGTCGTGTGCTGTTTGAATCTTTGAATTCACATTGTGGTGAAAATGCAAATGTTCAGCAAGACTTGCACTCGCACGCCAGGTAGAGAAGAAGCGTCAGACAGCTTACCCAGAAAAGCACGTGTTTTATATTGCCCTACACCTAGCGTTTTTTCCAATTCCAGACTGCTCGAAACGCAGAGCGCAAATGATGGACTTGTACAAGAAAAATCACACAGGCATAAATAATGTGGAAAGCAAAGTATGATACACGGAAATCGGGACCGCGCATCTAGATGCATGCCCTGTGCGATCTCCTAACTTCCGCACTGCTCACCATCAACATGCGCTTTACACAAAATCGCCATCAGCGCCTCTTTTACATTACAGAAGCAATCTTCAGAGGACTGTCATTTTGCAAAGCGGCATTTTGAGGTTATGTCGCATGGTGATCAATCTCATTATCCCTTATCATTAGAAACATGGTCCGAAGTATCTCCAGAATGTCTGAAGGTCCTAGACGAATCCGGGGCCATGCTTCTAGTAATGCCACTTGCATTCCTGAAAGATGGAAAAGTTTCGCAATTCGGATACGTACTCGATTGTATACGCAGAAATTTTGAGGAGCCGGGGTCGCTTCTTTTCCAGAATGCCATAGTGGGAGAAGACGACCCGATACAAGAAGGCCAAGCAATTTTTCTCCGCGAAGATGGACGCAAAGATCCGTGCACGCCTCTAAGAGGACCTCGCTTTAAGTTCAAGTATCGTGCAGCTGTCGAGGGCGCAGAGACCAGCACGATGAGCAATTCGAAGCGGTCAACAGCAAATCAGTCTCATTTCCGTCTTGCTCTGGTTGCGCGAGATTTTTCGTGTTTGCTTTCTGACGCTGATTACGAGAAATGCACAGCTTGCCACATTCTTCCCCAATCAAGGCCCGAATATTATGAGGAAGTTCTTGGGAATCAGGCACGGTATCTGTTCTCTCCAGCCTACGGATTACTACTTCGAGACGACCTGCATCATTCTTTTGACAGAGGCGAGATAGCACTCCTACCTCACCAAGGCCAATACATAGTACACATTTTCAAGTATGACAAGGATACAGCAAGCTATCACGGAAAGATCCTAGACATGAATCGATTTCGAGGTTCAGCGAAGACACGACCTAATAATGACTTGCTGCTATTTCATTATCAGCAGTGCTCCATGAAATATCTGCGCGGATTTTCCTTTGGCATGTGACTTTACAATTATCTTGGCTTCTTCCACCTTATTCAGATACAATTAGCCGTCAAAGCGTAGAACACTGAATGTGGTGTGTTGCTTCTTGAAAGCGTATAGAACTTGTCCAAAGGTACGTCTTATAGAACCGTTTCCGATGCTAGACGGGCAATTCATCCATCGAATTCACGCACACAAGGGTTTCCTTTTTCCTATTCATTGGACGCTGCGCTAATGCTTGTACCGTGGTATTGCTCTTCTCCATCCACTGCGGTCAAGCTGAGCATGCCCACGGATGTTTGAAAGACTTTACTCGGATCAACGCCAACGAAATGGCAGCTACAGATGCCGTTGCCCATACTTGGTGAGTCTGTGGGAGGACACTTCATCGCTCACAATCCATCTTAAGAATAGATGCTCATCGTGCCAAATTGCAGAGTAGTATCCTTTCGAGAGAAACCGAGAAAAGGCTAAAAAAGGACATGCACGGAAACATTGTGACTACACGCTTCTCAGATTACCTGATCGGATCTTAGAACAAAAATCAGCCAAAAATTCCTGTCGGCTACTAGTCTTATACATACCCTCCCAAATTCGCCTTCCCCTGTAAAAAAGGACTTTTCTCAACTCTGCGGCCCTACCAACCAAAGCGCACTTTCACCACGAAGTTCTGTCAGCTACGTTTGATGATCTTCATGCACATTGGACCGTTCGCGTTCGTGATTTGAACACATAGAGAGAACGTACATGTACAGCTCGATTATTATTCTCCTGCGTAGGTGCTCTCAATGTCCCTATGGAGTGTGATGTTACCGACGCTGAATCTTTTCGAGGCCGCTTATTCCACAGTGCACGTTGAGAAAAAGACGTTGACCTGCAACAGAAGAAGGTAGTCATTATGGAAAACGGTTATACTGCATCTAAAATTGTTCCTGCTGTTGCACCTATTGTTAGGCGATTGACCAAAATAGTCCGTGCAAAACATTGGTATGTTCCCCATTTTGGTTCCCCAATTGAAAACCGTTTTGGGAGAATTGTATGCTCTGCTAGCGCTTGTTTAACAAGCGATTTCATGTCGCCATTGCTGTCGTTTTCTTCGTAGAAGCATGCCGGTCAATAATCCACGTACTTCATTTGAAGTACAAAAAAAAGTTTTAAACTTTGAACTAAACATGTGAATATTGTCGCATTAAAGAGTTTTGCAATCCAGAATAATTTTTTACAATTGGAATTAGAATTATGCGAGCAAGGCACTTTATGTGATTCTCTCTTTTGCAAACAAAACATGTGAGTGATGTAATGATCAAAAAAAAACTGAAGCAATTGAATCAAGTCTTTTTGCTCTTTATTAAGCGATCCTACTACCAGGAACAGTATTTGCGCCCAGCTTTGTTCGGCTGTTCACTATCTTCATGAAGGTGCTTTAGCAAATGACGCTGTGATTCATCGGGACATCAAATTAGAGAATGGTAAGAGAAAATCTTCCTGCGTATGGTACGCAACCTCATTGACCATTTTTTCTTCCTCCAGTTCTTCTCACGCAGGGAATGCAGATCAAACTTGCGCACTTTGGACTTGCTATCTCAAAGCCCCGTGATAGTGTTGGCAGATGGGGAATAGCTGGAGTGAGTCTCGTACGATATTCAGGATCAATCATTTATGTTCACTGACAATTGTTCTTTTCCCCTCTCCGATGTGATTTCAAGACAAAAGATTATATGTCGCCTGTGCGTATCTTTCGTAACCTCTCTATGTTTGCCCATCTTATTAACTTTTTCTTCTAAAAATTCCAGGAGATGATTCGTGGTCTCAAGTATGGAAAAAAAACAGACTTATGGTCACTTGGTATTTTACTTTACGAGATCTGGACGTGGCGGTAAGCCTTTTTGGAAAAACTTTAAATACATGGGGGAATCTCACCTTTTACTTTTACAATTCTACAGTACTTTTCAATGGTCTAAGGGCATATCACTTGAGAAGTCGATTGCGGCTATGCTTTCAGAGCCTTTGAGCGATGATGTGTCTCAGGTGCTGGCACTATTTCTGCAAATAGACGTGAGTATCAGATTTCTGTTTTCAGTCTTTATGCTTACATTCTACCTATTCTCCTTCATCGAAAAGCCTATTTCACGACGCGAGGCAAGTACGCCTTTGGCATTTTCATGGATGTTAGAAGCCTTGATGAACGATCATAATAGGTGAGTATGTCGAAGGTCACAAGTGAGCACACCGCTGATCTGTACGTCTATATTTCAAGTCACACAAAGCTTTTATCAGGCATTGAAGACGAAGGAAGCGATAAGTCTTTTCAATCAGCAAAGAGTGAGAAAGATTCAGAACTCATGTGAGTGTACTCGAGAGAATTTATGCTTTTTTTTAACATGTGTACTAGCCCTGTCATGCTGGTTTTGAAAAGATTTCCTGAATTCACCTTTCTCATCAAGCGTTTGGGTGCTCAAACTATACACATTTAGACGTCACCTAATTTTCCGCTCAATTTTGAAGGCCTGTACTCTAACGTTCACAAAAGCTGTTTGAGTTAATCGTGTGCTAAGACCAGATAATCTACGTAAAAGCAGTTGAGTTTGAATTAGATAGCAGCCGCCAGGTATACACCATCTGATCTTCAGTCTCGCAAGCAATTGCTGAAATCCACCTTTTCTCTTGACGTGAAAGTTGACAGTTGAAGTACTAGTGGCATCAGCAACAATTGTATGGATAACAAATCATTATCATCATCATTGGAATCGCTAACGATATCTAAAGTGAATGATTTATCGTTTGGTAATATACCAGGTTGCAATCCAAATGTTTGTGAATCACCATGAAATACTCCAACAAAATAATAACGACCAGAAGGTTGATTAAAACGACCAACGGCGAAATTTTACCTGAATAATAATTAGGTAACACTAACCCTAACCCTACCAGTCGGATACATAGGTAGGTGGGGTCTTTTCTAACTGAATAAAAGATCTTTGAGAATTCAGAAGCGATGCTGACTGCTTTCGTTTCTGGATCTTTTAGTGCAAGCGGCTGAGTATCTCGGTCTCGTCAGATTTGCCGAATCTCCTCCTTTCGGATATCATTTCTCTCGCAATCTTTTTGTCACTGTTGCACCAGTTGCTTTTTTGGTATTCTGAGAGTATCGATGCACTCTAAAATGCTGATTAGGATCTATTTATCATTTATAGACGCCAACACATCTTTGATTTGCCAGATTACATCGTTTGCAAGAACCACCTATGTGTTACATTATCCTATAATTTAACCCGTGACCAACAAAGAAGAAGGAGGCCTCGGTACCAATTCTAATGAGTTCTCCGATCTAGAAAAGCAAGAGAGAAAAAGTACAGAACATTTCAATATTCGTGATCGGTCTTGAATTTTCAAGAAGAAACATTCAAAGTGCAAAAATTGAGTGCTAGTTGGGATGATGTGATCGTTCAAGGTACATATTTAATGGATTTCAATGTCCCCAGATCAAACAGCTTATAGATATATACCTTGTTTCCAGCCTTCGCCTTCTCTCCTTATTGGACAGGACCACACACCTACTTACTAAGGGACGAGCCTTATGAGGGATTTATTGGTGCAAAAGGATACGTGACGCGATATGAAAAATGAGTAACGAAGGAATAGTACGACTTTCTTTTCTCTTAGATTTCGAAAAGTATATCAAGTGCCAATTCTAGAATCGTCCTTCGATTCAGTAAGCATGCGCGCAAAAGAAACAATGCCTGAAAGCTAGTTGGGCAAGGGTGGTCTAGCAGAGGCTAAAGAACGGTGATCACTTTGATATACAAAGACACGGTGTCTGCAGGTACAAATTAATGTGTTTCTTCGCGATCGTCCATACCCCTGCCGTATACGAGATCACACTCTATTGAGCATATTCATTACCTGACGGTTGGGTATACGTGACAGAGTAATCTGTTCGCTTCCTTTTTGCTCCTTGACTCTGCAATGTCGTCCGTGTGTAGTTCTTACTTGCACCTAATGAATGTGATTTGCGTTTTAGTCATCGTCACATTCATTCTTGAGGACATACGACACAATTTTAGCGCGATGCGATTGCAGGCACATCTAAAAGCCACAAAGAAATTGAATTTGTTTCGCAGATGATATAACGCGCTGACGACATACAGAATTTTTTCCAACGAATGATCGCGAAAGTCTTCAAAGGCAAAGAATAGTTTATCAATAAAGATTTTGAGATCGTAGATAGGGGCTTTGGGGCAAGTGCATTCAAAGTTGTCGAGGATCACACGCATGTGCTTATCACATTCATTGATTTCATTACTAAAATCCTAGTATTCTGCCGTTACGGTCGTAGCATTATTGCAAGCAATTCTTTTACATCTTCTCTTAAGATCCATATGTCAAAGGATCAAAATCTAAGCCGTGAGGCCGAAGCGCGGTTACTCCGTGGCTTTCGGAAATTTTTTATCGAGCTAGTTTGTACTGTTGCTGCTGGTATAATTAACACGCTCCGGGTCATCATTGCAACCCTTAGTCTCTTCTTGGTAAAAGGTGGATTTGCAATTAAACAGGTGTGTGGCAACTTCGGTATGACATTTCCTCCGGAAGGATTACTTGCGAGATCATGAATGAAGATCGGCTGCGCAGATGAGGGTAGGAGTAAGATTCAGAGAATTACGCGAACAAGATACCTTTACTCTACTTGTTTAAATGTTTAGTCAATCGAACACCAATCTAATAATACATACACCAAGCGATATGCCTCAGCACTAACCTTAGAAGCGGTGTTCAACAACATAGCACATTTTTGCCCCTTTTACTGTTTCCTTTTTGCATCACTAAAAGTATAGCATGATGAACAGCTGGATGTTTTTGTATGTCAGATTTTGCCGACTATGATCGTCGAATTGATCGGAGATCAGAGAACCTGGGCGGAAATACATTCGATACTAATGCGGCGTTTGAGAAGGGGCACTCAAAATTTCAGTTTGATCCATTCGTTCGGATAAAGCAGATAAGATTTGGTCACGCTCCCAGAGCGGCCCACAAAGTTTGATATCGATCATGCAGCAATATTGTCTCATAAGAAAAAAGGATCAACCGACATTCATGAGCTAGCTCGCAGTATTCCTCATAACCAAAGACCTCGCGCCACAAAGGGGATCCGAGAAAACAATAGACTAATTTAGCGCGTATACTGCAATGACTGTGATTTTACAGGATCCGATCGATGTTCATGTACCTCTTGAATCACACTGACGAAGCGCAGTCAAAGCCCTGTATTTGATAGATTACGATGTAAATGGATCGATCAATGGGAACACACGGTGTTTCCACTTTACCTTTATATCCCAAGGAAGTACAAATTTCATTTAGGCTGCTTGAGTAGTGAATTTCTGTATAGAAACATCAATTTTCCTAAGGGGATTTTCATTCCGCCTTTATCGCCGTTACAGTTTCATATCGATCTCTGCGCCACTGCACCAGATAAAATTCGCGAATTTTATTCACCGGTATAAGCAATTGAGAAAGCGTTTTTGAAAAGCTTTGCGTAAGTAAGAAGTCTGATCCTCCTCTGATTTTATAGGTGTGTTCTTCTTTGCTCTGAATGCTGGTAGAAAAATAAAAAGAGGTGTAAAACCTCCGATTAAGTACAGAAAGTGGAGGCCTGGCTCGCTATTGGCTTGCAAGCATTTTACAAAGTAGGTTGCTTGATATTCTCAAAAAGACCGTATTATCACCACTGACATGAACTCTATGTTTACGAATTCCTCTTTTCTTCACAGTAATCGCCGTTTGATTCGTTCTTATTTATAGGGTCAAAGAATAGACCAAAGATTTAAGCGTGCGTCTAACTTTGTCCGCTCAATGCGAAGAAAATGCAATCAAGCGATATAAAAACCCAAGAAAAAAAAACGAAATTGTGTTCGATCGTTGCATTTCTTTTCATTCATCACCATCTCAAATTTTGCTTCGAATCCCATCAAGAACAAATGAAAAAAATTGATGGCTCCGTCTGAGAGATATACACGATATTAGCGAATCACACCTACATGGCTCAAGTTTCTTCCCTTGCTGCTCTTGTAAAAGTAGTTTCACATGATCTCATTGATTCGGCAATCGGTATTGATCCAGCAACAATGGAGTTTTATAATGGAAACATGAAAAATTCGCTATGTTTTCGAAAGACGCTCCAATTTCATATTCATTTTCTGAGAATGGACGAAAAATAATAGAAAAAAAAGGACTGCTTCTTTACACATGTAGCTACTTGACATACTGGCACACGTCATTCCCCAAGTACAATTTGTTCACGCATCCCATCCTGCAATTAAGTAGTAGAACTAGGAGCGCCATCTAATGGTATTTTTTATTTGTACGATCCGGGCACTTCAGCTCCAACCGCGGTCACATCCGGACTGCTTTGTGATTATTTAAGGGAACCGCAGCCTTAGGCATTGTGTCAATCATAGAGCTTCGGGCAATAGAACACTGCAAATTTGAAGGGAAGTGCGAAAAATACGTCCGGGTGTATTTGGCTGCCTTGGTTTTTTCTTTTATTTTTTAGCCGTTCCGGGATTGAGAAGATGTTGGATGCCAACGACTATCCATAGCGCCGCTCATCTCAAGTTATGAGATTTTCTTATCAGCGGCCCACCTCGACTTCTTATAGGCTGTCGTATCCGATCGACTACATTTAAAAGTTTGCGGAATGGAATAATTAAGAGAAATGCGTGCATGCGTTTGTTGTGAAAAGGTTGATTAATTCTGTGGTTTGATGCCCGCGCTGATAGCTTATCTTATCATATGGCCTGAGGGAGGGCTTGTGGTGGGGTTATTTGCCGAATAGAGGCTCGCTCACGATCGTGTCTGATAGTAGAAAACGCATGTACCGCACAAACATCCCGCAAAAATGCTGCGCTTGCACCCTGTTGATACTAAATAGAAGCTCGTTCCTGTAATTGACTCTTCTGATCTGTGGATGACATAAACTTATAGACCAACAAAGTTTTCTGAATGATTGGCTTCCTGAAGGGTTGTTGAATCATCCGTATCCACAAGCTCTTCAACATCGTTGCAAATTTGTCTTCTCTGGTTTGCAGATATTGAAATAAACGGGAAATGAAGCTGTTGAGATTGCAAACTTGACGCGCGTGTAACAGGCCATTGAAGGAGCATTACTGCACATTCCAAACTAGCAGGGCCCAGATATTCCAAGTAGTTCAAAGAAGAAAAGATGGCAGGATACGAAGACCTGAAGATGGAGCAGAGAGAGGAAATGTATCGAACAGCAAAAATGTCTTGAGGCTGAGTGAGTTCGCTGACAGAGACGGCTAACATGTCGATCTCTTGCAACACTGTATTGAAAAGATCCACAGCCTTGTCAATATGGATTTCATTTGGACATGCATTCCACATTTCACGCCATGAAGAGCGCTGAAGCGTCATCCTGCAAAGAAGTACCGTCAAGGCGGGTAAGTTTCGGAGAAAATCGACCTACGTTGCAGAGGACTCACATATGTGGCACAAGGCATAACATTGAGTACGCTGAATTGACTTGCAAAGCGGTTATCTTCAAACGATCCTGATACTCTTTAATTCTCGATAAGAGCTGCAGTCGAGAGCATTGCAAGATCAGATATGCCGAAATTGGAAGGCCTAAGAGTTTAAAAAGCGGCAGATCCTGTGGAGAGCAAAGGTTTGAGGGGATTGTACCATTACCTCGAACACGCGAAATGAGAGTATCAAGATATCGAGCGAGGCGTCGACACAGCAGCGCACTCTTGATCGACCAGTCTTCTTGCCGCAACTCGTTGGTTGCTTTTACCTCGTCTTGCAGCGCTAGCCATACGTCTACGAGAAATTTGATTCCAGAAATCTTAATTTGTGTCTGTAATGAGTTAAGGTCTTCTTCGCTGTCGATGCTAGCGGAGTGCTCAGCAATCTCCGGTACTTGCCTCAGAGCAGCATCCCATTGGGACTGCTTGATAGCCAGCCAAGCATTTTTGACTTTGATTTGGAGAAAGAAAGAGTCGATCAAATCTGTGCAGTGAGACTCTGATTGATTATACTGTCTGCTCTCGCTAAGAAAAGCAAAGCATCGATCAAGATATACGCGAGATTCTGCTATTTTGCCTCTAGTTTCTAGAAGGTGAGAAACCATCAATAGGGTTTGAGCACGGAGGGCGATCCCTTTGGAAGGTGCAGTGCCGTCCCATTTCTGACAGTCGACAAAATCCAAAAGATATTGTGCTTTTTTAAGATAGCCCTCTTGGTATTTATGAGTTTTGATTTGCTCATTCATGCGAGTCGAGAGAAAAGTTGGAGCGTATAAGCTTGTAGTTGATAGCCAGGCAAATATGAACTGTAATTTTTATTTCCACGATTGCTGAACCACGGGCACTTGTATATTTTTTCCCATGCGAATGGTGTTCTAAGACACCGTGTCTTTGTTGCCAAGAATCGAAGTATAACCCTCTCTACTCTCTACAGACATCATATAGAAGCAAGTAAGACGCACAAAAATAGTGGTAACACTACCTTTCCCTCATTTACGGGGTTGGAGAACAACTTTCCGCCTTAACCTCGAGATTTCTCATTTCTACAGAGTAAAACGAGGCTCCCCCTCAATGATTCATCTCAAGCTGACTATCTCTATTCCTTCATGTGTGCTCAGAGCTACATGCGTGTGTAGAACTATCCCGGGAAAACGGTACGAGTAAATCAGTAAGCAACAAGAGATACCGAACTAGTAGTGTAAGAATTCGTGAACTATCTCCTCCAACCCCGAAAGTAAATTTGCCCTTGTGCGGGGGCGCGTGCGCTTCTATGCCAGTCCAACAAAATAAATGTTCAAAACACTATTTCTCTTTTTTTTTTCGAAATCTTATTTCGTCTCGCGTGCAATGTAGTATCTGGAGCTACATATCCAAAAATCATTTTTTAAAAAAAGTATATATGATAATCGTAAACATGACTAAAAGGCCAAGCAAATCTCGTGATTTTTTTCAGAGTGCATTGAGTAGCTTCCATCAGTCTAGAAAAAGAACTACGATGCAGTTGCATGACATGTAGAGACAACAAATACACCGCCTTGATGAAGAAAAGGAAAAGGGAGCGGTCCCGTGCTGAATGAAGCGAAATGTAAATACAGGAACAAGAGGATCGGCTTGACGATTTGTATTCAATCAGACTAGTTGCCAGCTTTCTGCCTTCGTTGGATGTAATTCCACATCTCTTTTGAAGGTTTTTGACTTCTAGTGTAAGTCAGGATATCATACCAAATACCTACATTTTGACCGACACCAGAAGTGTCAAGTCTGACAAGAATTCTTACCTCTTCTGCCGCCTTTGCTGTTTTCCCTTCAATTTTTACAGAGATGCGTTGTCCACTTGGATAGTTGAGTTTTGGAAACCATTTTGCCACCACTTTTATCGGTATGAATATTCTTGGGCTGTCACGACCATAAATGTTTATGCGCCTTGATGAGTTTGCAGGTAGCGTTCGTGAGAGAATTTTGAAAGCCGGATCATCTTCGTCAAGCTCAGCGCTTGGCACGACCTCTGCGAGAGTGGATGAAGCGAGTGCGTCTGGTGAGGATTGTGCTCTTCCTTCCAACGCAGCTTTGTGTGCCAGCTTGGTGAATTTGGACATTTCACTCCCCAGACGAAAATCGGCAAAGATTGGAACCCATTGACCCAAGGAGGTGGAAAAAAGAATCAAGCCAACGCCTTTCAGAGATTCTCTCATGTCTTGCGACAATTCTGGTCCTTCCCATAATGGTTGACGGGAGTTAAAGACCAATTTCACGAAAAACTGCAGATGGAGTAAGCTTTTGGACAGCAGCAAGATCATGAATTCCGGGAGGCACTTACAAATTCTTTTTCCTCGTTCATCTTTGAGAAAAGCGTCCTGATATTATCCGCCATAGGCACAGTAACGCGTTCGCCACTATTTAAAAAAGCTATAATTGCGCGACCCTGCCTGGAGAGGGGCATACTACCCATGAGGAGCTCTCCTACATCTGGATCTTTGCCTAGAAATCGGGAAGTTGTCCGACTGTATTCTGCAAGTGCATTTCTGGGCGTCAAGAGGATTCGATCAGTAAAGAGCTTTCGATTATCTTCAAGCAAGCAGAACTTACAGTCTCCGAGCCATTTCTTTCTCAGGAAGATATCTGATGAGACGATCACCAAGCTTTACAAGCCACTTTGTCCGATGAAAGATTGAGTAGAATTGGAGATGAATCTACCCCACGAAAGAAATACGGTTAGCCTATTACCATTTCGTTTTCCAGTGTCTTCTGCAAGACTTTCAATAATACACTCACGTTCAAATCTTTCAGAATTATCTTCAAGCCACCATATATGGTGTGATATGATTCAGACATACTGGGAAATAGATCCGTCTAGGACATGACGTGTATCAGTGAAACAGAAATGGCCTTCAAATCACGTGGAACACTTACTTTTTCACTGATATCCCCTGTAAGCAAACGGATCGATAAAAGTAGCGGTTGCCGGCTTTCGTTATCGACTCCAGAGCGCTGGATAAGAGATAATGAGAATTGAGCGAATCAGACTTCGGTTGCAATGAGAAGAAAAATGGTATGATACTCACTTTCAAAATCTCTTGCAAACAATATTTTGGTATGAAAAAGCCTCCGAAATTACTCGCCTTCCAAGGAAAAAATGTCTGTGCTTTCAATTTGATCTTGCTTCTCTTGATTCTGAGTTGGAACTCTCTTCCAGGAAGAAGAAGTTGGAAGGCATGTAAGAATGGACCACAACAACGAGATCTGAAAGAGAGGAAAGTGCTTACCCTGATTGTAGTAGTCGTGCAACTTCTTTGATGTACAGCGCATAGAGTCGATTGTACTTACACTTGATTCTCTCAAGTTCACGTCTTGAGTGGATAGATGCTTCAGCTTTCAGTATTCGAAAAGACTCGCTAGACTTTCAGAGAACTCACAAATTTAGTCCACTTTGACACAGAATGCCGTAGTATAAGTATGTGTTATGTAAAGCACAGGCGATCGGTGCAATAGAAGCATTAGGACGGAGCTCGCCCTGTGGCGAAAAGAGTTGCGCCTGTTCCATGCAGGGAGTAGAGTTGAGTCCGATATAAGACACAGCAGGCAGACCGATCTCTGCGCGGAAATGCAGGTATGATTTGTCTTTCCGGTAAGTGCCCAGAAGGCATGACAGCAATGCTTCGAAAATCGCACACATTAGGTTCGATTCTTTGGAGGAGAGAATTAGCAAATCGTGGTCAAAACTTCTGGCAAAAACGCAACCTATTTACTTACCTTGCGATGGTACCGTAAGAATGTTTGCAGGCAGAAAAAACAAGGATCCCTCCTTCTCCAATGCGGATGCGGCATATTCATGAAAAAAGCTCTCAAGACGGCGCTTCTGTTCATCGCTATATACAGCTTTCGCAATCTCTGCATAATGGCCTTTGAATCGGTGTAGTAAAGATTGGGATCTACCGACATAGACAGCAGATACATCACAATTCTGGTTCATGAGCACACCAATATATGTGCCTCCAGTATCTTGCACTGGCAACTCTCGAGGATCTCCTAGCTCGGCCTCCGCACAATGCTGGAGGTTACCCATGAGAACCTTCAAAAGAAATTTCTGAGCCGGTTCCGAAAGCGTGCTGAGGAAGGTGTGTTGGAGGTGCTCATTCTCATGGAGTAAAGAACGTACACCTGACTCTTCCAACAATGCCATCTTGGAAGTTTGTCCAAAGGATGCTCGCGAAAGCCTTGCAAATGCGGAAAATATTCTAGCAATGACAATTTTCAGATCATGGGTAGGATTTTTTGGGGGAGCACAATCAAAGTTGATGGGATCTCGGTGCGTTTGCTGGTCATCTTCGTTGGATTTGCTAACGAGGTTCTTCATGCTTCGCCATTCCGACTCTGGATTGAATGCTTTTAATTCTTTCCACACCTTCACTTGAGATAATTCCGATCCGTATGTCAAAGGATCATACCCTAGCCTGTGAGGTCGAAATGCAATCCTTTCATCACTTTCGGTAAATTCATCTTCTGATTGTTCCGTACTCTCACTGCTTGTATCATCTTCAGAGCTTTTGAAAGATGCATCGTTCCAATGCACGGTATCCATTTCGGGGACATTCATTTTTGATCGGTGGGTGTGGGCAGACAACGGCTCAATATCAAGATCAAGGTCACCTTGAGAGAAGTTCTGTGGCGAGGTTCTGAGGCGCTCTCTCTTGCACGATTAAGAGGGAGAATGAGGAACCGAAAAGTACTAGCAGAGCTTACCTTTGCGCTTTTTATAAAGATCATTGGCTTCCTTTGTGTGACTGCAATGCGACAAAGCAAAGTATTGCTCCACAACTTCGCATCTCTTTCTTCCACCTTCACAGTCTCGCAGTCCTCCTTTGTTTTGACAACTCATCAGAAGAAAGAAAAGGATGGGGGTCCCTTTGTTGTCTGGCTTGTTTCCCTTTGTCCCACGCGGTCCAAGTTGGATTTCTCTTTGATCCCTTTGTTCCCCAAATTAATCCAGACGACGTCTCCTCTGTTGCATCTTCACTGATTAAATGCACCTTGCATTTGTTTTCCTTTCCTGTATCAAGATCGGGATGGAAATGCAACTTCTGTGATGAATCTGGCACATTTCAATGTGCTCTAGGATGAATGCTTATGTACTAGTCTTGTCGCATCTCCTGTACGGGTATCCAGGCTATTTCTTTTCAGTATTTGTGCGCTCAAGCTTTCATTCTGAGTGTGATGTGCATATCAATTTGTTCCATCGACAGCCTATGCACTGCCTCCAGACTATCTAGAAGAACAAGAAAAAACCTTTTGTTTGATTGGCTTGCTTTATCAGGCGATGCATTCTGGATCGTTCACTTCAACCTTGCGAGGGGTTGCTGCATTTCTTTTCTTGCAAAACGATCGTCAACTTAAAAGACGCGGCTCGGTTTATGCGTAAGATTCTGTTATAATTATTCTCGGCTGCTTGAATGCAATGCGCATTGATGACGAGAAAAAAAAAGACGCTTTTCTCGCATTCAACGTCCATTTGCTAAATTCCTCTTCCTGAGGCCGTTTCATACAAAGCTTTGTCTGCACATTCTTGTACTTGAGCATGTCTTCAACCTGAGGAGAAGCTCTGTGATTTGTTGACAACAATCTTTGGCCCATCACATGACCCATGAGACACTTCTCCCATTACCACGAAGAGCATTTCCGAACAGCGCAATATGCCAGTGCCGGCGCGAGACAAGCGCGTTATTTTGTGTTTGTCTGTATTAATTACCTCACGCATCATGATTAGATCTACAGAATCTGGAGTACTACCTTCCCTAAAGACGAGCCTACTCGTCCGTTTCAAATGAAGCGAAGTGAATAATAAGTAAAGAGAATAGGTGGTGTGCTTCCACACAAGGTTTGCACATATCACAAATCACATATTTGATCGTTCAGTAGTCTTTACTCAAGGCATTTGAGAAGATCGGAATGTTGAGAGCGCACATTGTATTTCCTTCGACGAGATCTTGTAACCAAACAGTTCGAACATTTGTCGTCACTCCATCCTTTATCTTGGTGTGATGACATAAGCGAAATGAAGTCTATCTTCGCATTTTCTTCCTCGAGTGGGTCGTCGTCTACATGGAGAGCGAATGAATTGTCAATGGTGCCGTGCCGTGTAAATTTTCCGACATAGATTGCGTTTCCGTTGATTCTTTTCCGCATCAAGCTTTTACGGTCTTTCCTGCTGCTCGGGTGATTGATGTAATTGTGACACAGATTCCGCAACAGATACTGATGAAACGTCCCACATTAGCCCACATTATACTGCCCCCTCTCAAAATGTAGGAAACGTCAAGTGTATATACGGTCGGGGTCTCAAACATGTTTATTTCTGTTTATGTTCAGTGTGTTCTCGGAACGCTCTATCGTTCACATTCACTCATCTCTTGAAGACTGACCTTTTTCGTCGAATGGTGGGTGGGTGCGTTTAGCGTGTGGATAGTGTTCGCGCGCTTCGAACGTTGTATCGGAGATGCATGACATTGGATTGAAACGGACTTTACACTGCAACACTCTGTGCTATGTCATATTACAATCACTTTGGCCGGGCTATTATGAAAGTGTCTTTTCGTGTCCCTTGAAGCTTTTGGCACTTGTCCAACCGGATACGGAGCATATTCGCCCTGATTAGGCTTTTTTGTTCTGATCGAGAGAGGAAAGAGAAAGCCCTGTCGGTGTCGGTCCTTCCGGCCCGATCAGCATTCAACAAGCGCTGCACCAGCTAAGCATATGTGTATCGCCACTTTTGCTTTTCTAGACTGCGCGTTCGCTTTACTCTTCTTCAGATACAGCCCCGGACGGCCGATCTTTTGAGTATAATTTATGCAAGATTTTTGGACATGCTACCCATTTTGCTTTTGTTGCAATATTTTCTACATTGAAATGGAGGGTGTCTAGACTTTGACTAGAAGAAAGATCATCGTTGTACAGGTATGATCGAAAATAAAGAATAGTCTTTCCCGGCCAATTCAGCGAGCAGGAAGAAAAGGATGTGCTTTCGCCTGTCTCGATAGCACAGGACACTTTCTTTGGTCAGCTTGTTTGCCAAATTGTTTTTCTTTGCGATCGCCGTGCCAACCGGACATTTACATATCGTCTTCGAATTCATTTGGTCGCCCGACAAACAAACGTGTATAGTGGAGCGACTTCATATACACATGTGATCCAGAAACGTGTCCAAAGAAGGCTCTCAGAAGGAGCCTGTTTCTGATGACGTGAGAACGCGAAAAGGTAAAAATATTCGTGCGCGAACCTGACAAAAGCCTATCAAATTGTGTCAAGACGACGGATTCGGGGTCTTTCAGTAGCTTTTCAACTCTTTCAATTACTCTCAGTAAAAAATGCACGAGAACTTCAAAATTGTGTTGCATTGGTTTGGTACAAGCAAGAAAGAAAGCAAAGTTCAGTTATATTCAAAGTTCACCGTTTCTGCGCTTGAGTATGCATAAAGGTGCAGGAAATACGCACAAAGAAAAAGACTCATTTAGCAGCTTCATTGAACAGCACCCAGTGCGAGAATGGCACAAGACCTGATCGTGAATAGCAATGGCCGGCTACATGCTTTGGAGACGGAGATCGGCTTGCGGTTTAACATGATCATCAGAGTGAATTTTTCGTTCTGACGAAGACCGTAGGTTGTATTGCACGAGCAACATTCCTGCCCAAAGCTCTCCTGTACTGAAAGCGCACGTACCCAGCGGAGATGAACAATCGTCTTTGCAATCCAAATAACACTGCTCGAGTCGATCTAGGTGAGATTGCTCAAAATGAATTTTTGTGGAACTGATCTTCCCCACATTCATATCTCTAAAGGGAGCGCTGGACTTCAATATTGTTTTGTTGAGGTCTGACAAGAATGGAAATGCGGATGAATCAGATTGACAAGCTTGTTGGGAGAGTACTCTTTGCTGTTCAGGCGCACTGTGGTCCCAGCGCAACATTTTTGGTCCTAATACAATCCTATACAATTCATCTGGGAGGCAAACTCCTTCGTCTAGATCTGCTTCTCGATCATATTTTTGCCATTGTTTCGGCAAGATAGGAACTTCACTAATTGATTGCTTGAGAAAGAAAGTAGCGCGTTTCTTTTTTTTTGCACAAAACCCTAACCGACATCCTCCTCGAGACAGTCCAGGTCGTCTCCCCAGTGACCATCCATTCAGAACGTCGTGTACCTCTTGTTCTCGATCTGTAGTCTGCCTTACTTCGCTTTTACGTTCGTCATCTTGCTCCTCATCCTTACCGCTTGCTCGAATTCCAAGCACGAACGAAAGACGTGAGGTGACGCGAACGATAGATGTGTCCAGAGGTGTTACTGCAGCCAAATCAGATACATTCAGCCAAATTGAAAAAGAGCCGTTTTCACTAATCCCTCCACGTCCAATCGAATCGACCCTGAAGCCGCTTGTACATGTTGTTGTGCAAAGTTCTCCATTGTCGGCCTCGGTATCGCAGCATGCATCATGCGCACAATCTTTGAGCCTTTTTCTTTTTCACCCTCGAAAAAGGATGCAGCCGGTCTTGGAATTTCCACAGATATTGCCTTACGCATACGACCATACAGACGCGAATCTTGTTCGTCTTTGGCATATGCTGTTCTTTCGTTCAACTCTCCGTACAAATCCGACAGATTACTAGACTGGAGCGTCTCCAGTGCCCACTGCGGAGAATCGCGATAGTCTAAAACAGCTGAAATAGACACCACCTCATACGCTCGGTTTGCCAGCGTGATTGTGCCATTAAGCAGTAAATTGTCGCCTTGATAGATTTGTGGCAATCGGTCTAAGATCACGCTGGCATTCAAACCTGGCAAGTCGATTGACTCATCATCCTTTTCCTTCTCGTTAAAGAGTCTGAAGCCCCTCCGATCAGCAGACCAAATGAAACCGCTCGTCTCGTCAATTTGAAGTTTGAGACTGCTGTGGGAAGGGGCATTGATCGTGGGCTTTGAGGGTAGGAAGGTTGCATCACCTGCCCTCAACTCGATCTCGGTGCCGTTTCGCAGGGTGATTTTTGCGAAATAGGCCAGCAAAGAATATTCGCTATACTGCAATGAAGGTGTGAGTCTGCTTTGTGTCGAGACTACATCTATCCGAATACACAAAACTCACAGCAAGATTCCATTTCTGACGGCTTCCTCCAAATACGCGCGGAAACGTTTGTTTCGTGAAGGTGCTAAAAGTTTTCATACTGCTCGGGACGCTTACCACAAATGGCTCAAGGGGAGTCATCTGATAGTCTGAATAGAGAATGACAGGATTGCGATAAGTAAAAAAGAAAGGTTCCTGTACCAGGACAGAATACGTACCTTCGACAGGGTCATGCACTTCGCCCATATCGACTGACACTTCAAAGTGTGTTTTCTCGATTTGCCTAACGACGAAATGATCTTTCGTGCGAACTATTTTAGCGTACTCCTCCAATTTACGATCGTATTCCTCCCTCTCCTCTTTGTAAGGGTCGAACATAAAGAGGCCCGATTCGTCGTTCACCGATGTTTCATCGTATCTCTGGTATCTATACTGATCCTATGTGCGATTCCACATCGGCTCTTTCGGAAGTTCGATTGATGGCAAAGGATAACGCATGGCTGCGCCTTCAGTCGATCGGAGTACCAATGACCATCGCGCAATCTCGCAATGAACGGGATTGCCCATGTTCGTCATATTATTGATCAAACGCGCATCGCCGTATGCGATATGACCTCTGCCGATAGCATGAAAAGGTGATGAGCATGATCCCTGGATATAGCACAGCAATGAAAATGCACCTACATTCGTAAATCATCCGCGCGGACTAGGATAGACCATTTGCATTGATGAGATTGTTCTCCGGTTTGTGTGGCATGCTCATCGCCGAGAGCAATCGAAGGAGCCGGACTGTTGCTAGCAAGCGCTGAGATAGTTTGGAGGAGGAGCAGTAAGGCTATGTAAATGGAAGGAATCATTTCAACAACTTATTCATGTAACGATGAAGGTCATGATAGTCAGACACCTCTGCATGTATAGCTGATGTTATCTCGGACTTGAATTAGTGTGGTGCGCACGGGCCGGGCCAACTCGAATATGAAACTAGGAAGCAGGTGTCAAAGCGCACAAAAAAAGGACAGGCATTGCACTTTTCTCGTGCTTGCATGCACCTTTTCTTTTTCCCTCAGCAGCTAGAGGTGCAAATCGGAAGGTGTTGTGTAATTATACCCACAGGTCGGTTGGATGGACTTTCCACCCACACTCCAAAAGCAAGGTTTGGCGAACAAGTAGATCGTGAAAACATCGCCTTTCCCTTTGTTCGTTCGTTGTGAAGATATTTGTCGGTAGACAATGTTGATTCGTGCGATTGAAAACTCCGTCTGGAGCTGACCATCTTTTCCTGTAGATGTAAATCACATTTTCGTGTACCTCGAAATCGTCTACACGAGCAAGACTGATTCAGGAACAGGCGCTAAAGAGGACAAGTCAGCACCAAGAAAACTCAAAAGACTTGCGAAACATTCGAACAAAGCCAGTAACATCTTTCCGTGGAGAGATGATTTTTCTATCCCTTATCTTCTCAATGCTTTCTTCTTTTCTGCAATAAGCAGAATCTGTTTCTTGTTTGCAATAAGATACGACCCTTTCCTCCCTTCTATTGATTCTCTTACACACAACAGACGAAGTATACTCTTGACGTTAGGGTGCGCTTCATACATGATGACGATAGAATCGGTGTGTCTCAAGTATAGTCTAGATGTTTGTCTTTCATCTGTCTGATTAGATCAAAGCATTTGCGAGATGTTCGGAATCATTAAAGTCGGTACCTAAACTGCAGCTAGTCTAGGATTTTCTCAAGAACACGAAGTGTCTTGCTTTGCGAGCCGTGCACGACAGTAGGGGTTCTTGATAGGCTGCGCTGGCTTGCAGATGTCCTTGCTGCTTCAATCATCTGCCGCCATCGAAAAGCAAACTTGAAGCGAGCGATGTCATTATGAAACTTGAGAGTTTCTTCGCAGCCATGCGGCTCCTACATCTCGCCATCTTTCAATGGAAGCGCAAAAGACAAATCTGTCACCTTCAAGGTGTTCTTCGACATCGAGGATCAAGGCGAGGATGAAGACCGCGTGATTATGGTGTTATTTGATGATCAGCATCCTTGGAGGAATACAGCCTCTGTCATTTCGCAATTCATAAGAGAAGGTATCGATATGCATTTGCATTCGGCAATCTCCGATATGGTTCTCCTTGTTCCAATGGCGTCTCAAAATAATTGCTTCTTTACTCAGATATACAATGCATTGTAAAGAAAAAACTTTCCCAGGTGGCGAGGAGGTAATTCAATTCGCAAAGAGCTTGAAGCGTGATGTTGTCTTCTTCAGTCTTTCCATCTGAAGATTTGGCTTTGCGCTGCATGAACCAAGAGCCGAGAATTTTCATTATCACGACAAGTTATAAGCCCACTAGTACGTCAGATGCTCTTTCTTGCCATTCGACTCTTTGTATCAACCTATACCATATTTTAAGATTACGTTTTATTCATTGGAAGTAAGAACAAAATGTACAGAAGTTATACAAGACACTTCTGGCTGAATAATTTCTTGTGTCTAATCTTTCAAGCTGATACAAAGATTAATAGTACTGAAATGAAGTTGACAAGCTCTTTTGCTACACAACGACATACCATACAACATGCCCTTTTCGTTATGTGTATGCATTGATCACCAAACCTATGTCAGCCCAAAAATTATGACTATAGCAACAAGAAGAATGCTTATGATTTATATTTTAATGGTCCAATCAAACCTGCTCCGAGGAATGAATACCGTTTTCCTCGTATTACCAAAATGGGAAACAAAATCGATTGCAGTCGCAGCATTTGCAATGTATAGCTTCCCAAAATATGGGTAGGGTTTTATACTACCAAAGGCGATGCAAAACAAAACAAAAAACAATTTGAGGAATCACACTTCTCCTTCCAGGATTTGATCGTATTTTGTGACGGAGAAAACATTGCGATGTGGCACGAAGCTGATTTTGCAATATAAGACGCATGACCCCCTTTGATTTCTATTTTGCTAAGATTTGACAAGTTAATTTTACGCCGACAGTACGATCAGATCCGATCTACATATCCTATCACGTCACGAACACTTGGCATGATGGCTCCGTATGGGATTGGGAAGATTCAATCAACAAAGTTCCATGTTTATTTAGATCGGAGTTGTAAGAGATCCTGGCTAGCAACAAAAACCTAACACCTTTGTCCATCCTGCACGCCCGGGGTGAACACTTTTCCACGTCCACGAACCAAAAGTCCGCTTGTGCTCAAGGTAATCATATACATAGAGATTAACTATCTCAAAAGTTCCCGTAGATCAGACGAAAGCTCCATCGAACGCGACGAATCAATCACAGATTCTACCCAGGCTCGTGACTTCTATGCAATGATCGCATGGCTCTATCATGCAGGAACATTTTGTCCGCCTCTTCTGTCCGCAATTCCGCTTCGGAGCAAATACCGTGCGCAGGGCCTAGAACAGTGCTTTGAGTAAGGCACATGAAAGATGGAAATTTGGAGCAATCGACCACTTCAGCATTCTACATACGGAATAGCAACGCCCCTTTGACGTTCATCCCATTCACAAAAAGAGTTCCGCCCGTTTGTGCTCAATGGTGATACCTACCATAACGATCATCCCGAACCGAGTTTGAGTATCTCAGTCAAACTTCACAGTATAGGAGAATTTATGTAAATATTGGAAACAAGCAGTATCCTTGTTGTGTTTCTCAAATAGCGGCAGTACAGTTGTCTCTGGAAGTATCGATGTCACGAGGAGTGATTGGGCAATAAAGCCAGAATTCTTTCGCCAAAATATTGAAAAGGGCGGGCTATCAGATCTGCAAAATTGATGCACTTCGGTCTCGCATAGTTGAAGTGCTATTTTTTTTAAGATTGGAACGATCGACTAATAAAAGAGAAGCTTGAGTCGTATGCAGGAATTTCAATTCTTTCAACAGAGAGACACCGCTACCTTGACAGCGCAACGCATACGAAAAGCTTTTTGGAAGAACACTGTTGCGCGTATCGAACGCAAGATATTTAATGTGGCAAAAATATTGCCATTTAAGAAAGTTTGCTTGCTTGGCGATCAAATGAAGGCACTGTGATACAGTGGAAGTTGCAAATCTCTGCAGAATGTCTATTTAGGCTGGAAAGCAGGAAGGATAAAGCTTTGAATGCACACAAAATAAACGTAAGCGATCGCTGTATGATCTAGATCATCTACTGGAAAGCACGATTGAACATCGAGGTTGCTGCAAATGCCTTGCCATGCATCAGCGCTTTCGACCGGAAGGCATTTTTCACTTAAGCATCGTGGCGATAATCAAGTCCAAGTATCTCCTCTAGAAATAGTGGAAAGGGTCATGATGCAAGTCACCGTCCGCATCCTTGCGCATCATCAAATTTTTCACGCGATAGAGATAGGCAATTTTCTCAGTGATCCTACTTGCACGTGTGAGGATCGATGCTGTTAGCACACTTTCTCGGCTCTAATGTACCAGTGCAGAATAACTGAGTAATATCGTCTTTGTCGGCATCACGAAATTCGAGACTTTTCCATGATGGCATCTGTCAGAAGTTTTTCGGACCAGCTTAGTCCTTAGCACAGAGAACATCAGAGAGACTAGTGTATATGCTCTATTTCTCTCTCGCACATATCCACACAGTATTCCGAGCAGTTTGGAGAGAACAGCGACGAAAAACAAAAGTGAAATGTCAGTCAGAGCAACAAACGTCTACAAAGATTGTAAAATTTTTTCTATCCTTGCCGGTGATATAATCCGATGTAGATTGCAGAAATATTGCATCATCCAGCATCCTCGCCTTGATTTTGCGATTGGTGCTCAGGATTTCGCTTTGTACGACCTTTGAGTTATCTTTCATTAATTGCGCTTGAGAAAAGCAAGAAGTACGACGGACATTTTAGTAATATAATAGTAATATAAGATGGCTTCCGTAGGCCGGTAAGATGACGTCTTGTGGCAGCTGTAAGTGACGATGAGTTGAATGTCTTTGAATCGTTAGTACGCGTAGATGGTTATTATTTATCGAAGAGACCCTTTCCAGACACCGTGTCTTTCTTCATATACTATAATTTGTTCCTCGGCGCTCTTCTACAGTGCATCCTATTAAACCCTGCATATAATTGACCTGCAAGAATGTTCTTCAACCTTGGATTTTTGCATCAATGTCTGTTCTGCTGTGCGTTCTCTCGTCTCAGGCAAGAACTATTGAAACTATTAGAAAGACAAGACAGCGATAAGAGATCGGCGCGGGCACTAAACAGATTAGATGCTCCAAGCTCGTTTACGTAAAACGCGAGAATGCGAGCCTAGGTTGACTTGCATACATCTTATAGCACACGCAATGGCGCGTGCGCTGCCACGCGAGTTAGAAGGTGTTTGCTGGATTTGGATGGGAAGAGATCAAAAAGTTTCCTTCATTCGATCATCTTACCTCGCAAGCTGAATTGGTTGAAACCACCATCAGATTTCAAAGTACTCTAATTCATTCGCCAGATTAAATCGATTGTTGTCGCCATGAAAACCCACGGATCCTTCGCAGCCTTGTTGCTCTTGATTCTCGCCATCATGACTTCCCTCACATCCCTTGCAAGTGCAGGTGATGATACACCTGTCACTGTCAAGGTATATTTTGACATCGAGCATGATAGCAAGGACATAGGACGCATAGTCCTGGGCCTATTTGGAGGCGTGGTTCCAAAGACTGTTGAAAATTTCAGAGCTTTGGCTACAGGCGAAAAAGGTTATGGATACAAAGGAAGCGCTTTCCATCGTGTTATTGAAAATTTCATGTGAGTAAAACAAACACAAAGACCCCGCCTTCTGTTGGCAGCCTCTGATGATGATGATCATATTCTCCTCCAAACAGGATCCAAGGTGGTGACTTTACCAGCGGAGATGGTCGTGGAGGAAAGAGCATTTACGGTGATCGTTTTGCCGATGAAAACTTCCAACTCAAGCATGCCGGACCAGGTACCCTGTCCATGGCTAATGCAGGAAAAGACACAAACGGAAGTCAATTCTTCATTTGCACAGTCAAAACATCTTGGTTGGATGGAAGACATGTCGTTTTCGGCAGAGTGATTGAAGGAATGGACATCGTCACATACGTTGAAAAAGTACCAAAAGGTCATGGTGACAAACCTGTTTCGCCCGTTAAGATCAAGGATAGCGGTGAACTACCCTTGGCTGCTCATGAGGTAAAGGATGAACTTTAAAGAGGGGGGGGCTGGAACTGATTTTGACAGATCGGCACTTTCCAAAAGGATGGAAGCAGAGCTTCAAGGCCCCTTCAATTTTGCATAAGCACAAGAATGTTTGCTTCAATCTGACATGTACTCGAAAACAACGAAGTGAAATCGAAACAAGAATGAATTCATTACCATTTCTGGTGGGCCTTGAGCAGCTCTGCTCCCTGTGTGAAAGTGCTTGATGTTCGTCTGAGAAGCAGGTCCCCCTCCCACACATTTGATGAGACATGTACTGATATTTCGTATGCCTACCTCTCTCCCACAGATGGAAGCTATACAACAACCTTCCCTTCCCAATCTTCCACTTCCCAAGGGTGACGTACCTACTCCCATCGTAGCAGAAGGCAAGACTGTCACGATCGAAGAAGCATTACAAGCAGCAAAAGCCTCAAAGCCATCTAGCAAAGGAAGTCAAATCTCGACAGTTTCATTTCTGTTTGGATTCTTTGCCGTTTTATTCATCATCTCTTATCTCATTCACAAAGCAGGCGGTCCTGGCGCGATTGAAATGGCAGTAGACCGATTCATCCTACGCATGACAGGAAGACGTTTACCTGGCTCAGTTGTCGATCGTAGCGGAGCCTATTCTGCACTACCACGTTAATCTCACTTTGTATTGCTGTTCGTTTCATATAATAGACATCATCTTGCATGCCTGCAACACACCCAATGTCTGAGAACAGAGAAATTGTCTGAATTTTTGTGTGATGTAAAATGGTATGTTCAGAAAGCGTTTGCAATCAGAACATTGCTAGTGTAACAAAAAAGTATGCAAAAGGTGGTGTTGGCGAGAATTGTCGAAAAAGTGAACCACTTTATGCTTCAGTCATTTCACGCAAACGACGGATTGTGCTGCGAACAGTGGCGGCAGCAGTTGTGCTAACAGTCCATGCTCCTCCAGCGATAACCTTTTTGCATGATTTGCATTCCCAAATACCGACAGCTTGACGTTTGACTGTGTCTTTTCCGCAGAAAGTGCAGGTGTAACGGCTGTGTTGGGAAACTTCAATCTTTTTGATTTGACGACGAAGGGAAGAACCATAACGGGTACCGTATTTACCTAAAAAGTGAAGGAGAGAAAAAGAGAGATGAATGAGCATTCTTGGTCGATGGAAAAGCTGAACGGTGAAGCTGATTGTTGGGATACCTACCGGTGATACCGGCCTTGACTGTGCGCTTTGCCATCTTCAGGTATGTATGTGAATTTGGTTGATGGATGGACGTAGTACGAGACAAGAATGATCACAACCAAATGTTGAAGTCTCGTTGGAATTTCTGGAAAGGCGCGGCGCAGGCTGTGGGTTTTGGCAAGACAGGCAAAGCGCGCAAAGCAGCGCGCAAACGCAGAAGCAATACCGCATGCCGCTGTACACGTGATGTGCATTCATACCAAATCAAATCGGAAACACGCGTTATGTAAGCAATTCTTCCCTTTCCGATTCATTCCCGCTATCACAAATACAGAGCAGTGAATATATTGATTCAAAAAAGATGAACACAATGTGTATATGTATAGATCGATTACAGGTTCAAAAGTCAAATGAAGCACAAATGAAAGAGAACAGAATGAAGACCATCGTCTATCGAAGTCTAACTAGCAAAATCATTTAACTTGTGTGATTGAATGCTTCTATTTTCAGCTTTATTTTGTCTCCTCTTGGAGGAAAGTGATGAGATCATTTCTGTCCTTTGGCTTCTTCAAACCGGCGAAAGCCATCTTTGTACCAGGGATGTACTTCTTTGGGTTTTCGAGGTATTCGAACAAAGTTTCATTGTTCCATTCGATACCCTTTTGTTTGTTTGCAGAAGAATAACTGTATCCTTCAACTTGACCGGTATGACGACCGAACAATCCATGAAGGGAAGGTCCTACCATGTTCTTTCCCTCTTCACATGAGTGGCACTGAGCACAACGGGTCTTGAAGAGACTGTCAAGGTTGAAGAATGAAAGGGTTGTGTAAGTGGCGTGTGTGTGTGTGGAAACAACGTGCATCTTGCTATTCATAACTTACCCTGCACCTTTCTTTGCGTCACCCTTTTCGAAACCCATTTTGATTGTTATGTGAGTGTGAGTATGTGGTGGAGAGAGGGAAAGTTGTTTGAGATGAGATCAATAGGTGTAATATGTACGGCTGATTGATTCCCGATTCAAACTTTTTAGTCAGAAGGAAATGCAGGTTGTCTATGCATAACAACACTACTTATTTTTATTCGTTCGGCGGTTTTTTCCCTTTTCTCTCTTTTTTTTTTCTCTTCGCCTTGACTTTACGCCCTGCTTATGCATTGCCAAAAAGAGCCAATCACATATTCCTCATTACGCAAACTTTACATTGCAGGCAGACAGGCGTACTTAGGGCTGTCCCTTTTTGGGCACGCACCCTACGCCTGCTTATTGGGCGTCCCGATGTTTTCCGTTTGAATTGCTTACGTACACAACTGATGACCAAAATGGTATTAATCCAGGATACATTATATTATACAGTCTATTATCCTTTATCTAATTTCTATCTCTATCTTGTTCATTATAATCCTGCAATCGTACCATCTCCACTTTCCGATTCAATCATATTGCCATATTCACCTGCTAATTGTTTACCACCTTGGAAATGGTCTCCTGCTCCTGCCACTCTTGTCCACTTTGGTAATTCTAGATAACCAACTTCGGGTCTCTTTGTGTCTAAAACCATTGTGCCTTCGAATGCACACCATCCTTTGGCAATCTCTTCATCTACCTCGGAAACGCTTCCATTTGCATCTACTGTGAATTCTTTTTCCTTCAACGGTTCATCGCCTTGCCAGCCTTGACGGGCCATACTTGGATGGAGCAAAGGTGCATGCTCTAATACATGTGTTCTAAGCCAAGGCATTCTTGCTCCTTGTTTGTACTCTTCATCCTGTTTAGGTAGTGCAGGTTCTACTTTTGTCTCTTTTGCTAATTCACGTTGAGATGGTGAAAGGTAAGGAGGTAAAAGCTCTGATGGCATAAGTTCGACCAGTACCTGTCTGGTTGTTGTCTTGTTGACAATATCATCACTGGGGGCCTGCTTCTTTGACTCGTTAAAGAGAGCTCTGGCAAAATCTGTGACGGGTGCATGTAACCATCTTGTTGGCTGACGGATACCTTGCCACCATCCCAAATGCCCTCCACCTTGTGTGGTTGCCAGGACGATAAAGTCGGTGTGTCCATATTTGTCCGGGTTAGACTCATCCTCATATCCCATCAAATGACGTAAACCTTCTACACTTGCAGCTGAAACGATTGGATCATCATCAGCATTAAGAGCCAACATTGGTCTTTTTAGCCCTTTGAGGAAATTCAATGCGCCTCCATAATTGTAGTAATCGTCAGATGTCTCGAACGGGAATTCACCATATGGCTTCGAATATCCTCCGACCATTCGTGTCAGGCAATCATCAACGAATTTGAGTGTCTTGCTACTGTTGCCGCTCGTTTCTCCTCGTTCTTTAGCGTATTGTTGACCACATGCAGGATCGATCAGAATATCCAGAAACGGTCTCAAATCTTTGTTGAGGTCCAATGTGGCAGCATGTCTTGTTCCCAATCTGCCAAGATTACCGTTCATTGCACGAGAATAGATGTGACGTCTGACAGTATTGTTTTCCATTAGATCACTCCCCTTCTTCAAATCGAATGGCGCAGCACACACGATTCCTCCTAACAAAGGTGTATTATCACCTTCTTCTCCAAGGTATTTGGCCATCACATTCGCACCCAGAGAGTATCCAACACCGACCAAAGGAGATTCGGGATACTTTTTACGAATATAGAGAATTGCACAACGTAAATCCGATGTTTTTGCTGCACTGTAAAGTTGCGAAGAGGTAACGGGTGTGTTTGCACAACCTCTGAAGTTCACCACAATACACCTGTATCCTGGCCCGCCTTCTGATCTGGGTAAGGCTAGCTTCTTGATACAATGACGAACATAACTTTCTTGACTGCCTCCAGTTAGACCATGCGTGATGACCATAGTTGGTCGATCTGCATCCTTGTATTCGGGTTCATGATCGCATTCATCCAAGCTTATTATTCCACTCTCGGGTAATAAAAGGACTGAACGTGTATAATGCACAACATCGATATCTATCGTATCTGCTAAAGTGCTGTAAATTGTTTGCAAATGACCGGAAGGAAGTTGAGGAGAAGGAGTGAATGATCCGTTGGACAATGATGGACATTGTTCCACCAACGTTGGAAGGGAAGATGCCGGCAAATAGGATGAATTGGTAGGGCTATCGTTCAAAGAAGGAGATAGGAGAACATGAACCTTTGTGAAAGAGCTTGGTGCCAACTTTAATGGCGACAAGACCGATCGTACAAAAGTTGACATTGTTAGGGTTATGGTGGTGGGAAGGAAGGTTGTTGTAGTGAACCGGTTAGCAATAGCCGTTGTAACACCGCAAACAGGCGCAGGCTTAGGGGGAAAAAACGCCGCGGAGAAAAAAAAGTACAACAAGAGAATGATATCAGTGGAGCATGTCTATAATTTATACAAAACATCAATACCCATATTGCTGAATTTCATCAACCTTGAATGTTCAAAATCGGCCAAATGAACATCATGATGAATGTTGAAATGCTTGGCTTTCGTTGCATGTAAGATACGAAGAATGAGTGCTTGCAAGTGTTCGAAATTGGAAATGCAAGGCACTTGAGCAGATTCATGCTTGCTTCTCTCTTTGGCATATTCGCCTGTTGAGCAATGTGGTGGTTAGGATAAAACATTTAACTCTTATTTGCTTCACTCACCATGACAACCAATCCGATACGCTGCCTTGAAGAATTCGCTCATCATGATCTCTTTTCTCCTTTCCCACCAAAATTGAAAAGGTGAAATGCGATATTCTGAAAAAGTGACTGTTTGTACTAAACCACATAAACAAGGATGCGAAATGTTTGAGTTCTGTAGCTTTTTGATAAATGCATCAATAAATTCTACCATATATATTCGACAAAGTTTGATCTCCTTCCATAATATTGGAAGTACAATTTGACGAAAATGACGACATGTTTGAGCAAGATTGAGTAAATCATAATTTCTACGTATATCTTGCCATTCGCGCCATGCATCCGCCATTGGCTCAAAATTGTATTCTCGTAAGCGGAAGGGCATATTGATGGCATGATCAGTCTTTATGAAATCAGTGATGCGACTGAGAAGCGAAGGTTAGCCAGTGCAAACTAATGGCGTGCGCCAATATGCCAAGATAAAACTCACAGTAAAATCTCTGGCGGAAGAACATGTTCTCTACCTAAAGGCATGATGATGGTTGATGATTTAATGACTGAAAATCAAGAATGATGGTACAAGAAGTGATCTGGTAGATCTCCTGGATCTGATGACTTAGCCAAAATTGGGCTGAATTGAGGAGGCAGGGATAGATCTCATTGGCAAAATTTATTTCAATTAACGACCCGTGCTTCGGCATTCTATCTATCCGGTTTTCGGCTTTGCGATGCGGATAGGTATTTTCCCCACGAATTCGCACGTTAGGAAGACCATGGTTGATTTTTGTTCCAGCATGGCTGGAGATAAAGATGCTGATCACGATGTCATGGTATAAGGAAGGAAGGCACAAAGGTACGCGCATTCACCGGGCGTATGCTGAGTATATGCACCAAACTAAGGGACGTGCGCCAATAAGTAAATACATCATGATCATACCCCATTCATTCTACATTCATTGCAACCATCTCTTCCTCACACAATGTCAACGCCATCGCAATCTCCTCTGTTGCGCATCCCGGCCAAGACTACAGAAGATGTAGATTTGGCAAGTGCAGTTGGTCAATTAATCTTGAACTCGTATGGTCAAGATCCAAAAGAATTCTCTGAACAACTTTCAAGCCTCAATCGTGCAAGACAAGATGCCGTTCGCGGAACTGCAGGAAGCGATACAACGGCTAGAGATCTTTTGTATAAATGGTTTCATATGCTGGAAATGCTTGAATTACGATTTCCAGAACTGAGAGCCCCTTTTCCTTGGAAAGATGCATTAACAAACAAAACAATCACTCAACAATCTTTGGCGTATGAGAAAGCAAGCGTGATTTATAATTTGGCCAGCATTCTTTCTTCTCTTGGAGCAAGGACAAACAGGATTGGTACAAACTCCATCGCTGCTGCCGCATCTCCATCCTCTCCCACAAGCCCTCTCAGTCCAACCACAACCGGATCAGCTTCTGCTCCAAGTGCCGCTGCAGCCACAGGTACGAAGCTTGCTTATACTTCCCTCAGACAGTCTGCTGGAATGTTGAGCTACATCAACGAAAACTTCCTTCACGCTCCATCCACAGATATGTCAAAAGATGTCGTTCGATGGTTCATTGATCTGGAATTGGCCCAAGCGACAGAAGTGTTTTGGGAAAGAACGTTTGAAGAGAAAAAGGGCGGAAATTTGGTAACAAGGATCGCATCACAAGCAGCTACAACATACACAAGCTTAGCAGAAGATTCCAAAGAATGGATCTCAAAAGGCGTATTTGAACGATCATGGGGATTGCTTGTGCAGGTCAAAGCAAAACATTTTTCCTCCTTGGCGCAATATCATCGTGCTTTGGTTGACGATACTGCAGGATCGCATGGATCATGTTTGGTCAGATTGACGCTTGCCGAGACATTATCAAAAGAAGCACAAAAGTTGTCTGCTCAATTTGCAGCATCGGCAGGATCTTCTTCTTCGTCCAGCTCATTGCCATCGGATGCTGGCTCTTCAATGAAAACAATTGTGGATGGTCATTTGGCAATCGTAAGCGGCAGAAAAGCACAAGCTGTCAAAGACAATGATCTCATCTACCACGACATTCTGCCGACCGAATCGACGCTCCCTACCATTGAGCCAATGGCTGTCGCTCAACCAATGTCTATCCAAGATATCTATTCGAGTGCAGAAGTGCAAAAAGTGACGGGAGCAAACGCAACCGGTTCAGCTGCAAATGATTTGTTTTCCAGTCTGGTTCCGTTGGGTGTGCATGAAGCTGCCAGCATGTATAGTGAAGAAAAGGCAAAACTCGTACGTCAAGAAGGAGAACGGGTATCGGATGCAAATGCTCAACTGGAGGCTGTCTTGGAGTCACTAACACTACCAAAAGGGTTGAAGAAATTCAAGCCAGACGGATTGCAAGATTTGCTCAATCCTGGCAGTGAAGTGTATGAATGGGCAGAAGAGGAGATCCAAGGTGGAGGATCGAAGGGAGAAGATGGAGTGGGAATTGGATCGGGTGCGATTGATGGCGCATTACGAAAAGTGTACGGATCTCGAGAGCAAGCTAGAAGGGACTTGGATGAGGCTGCTCGCATGCTGGACGAAGAAGCTGCACAATGCGAAAAATTGCGTGTTCGACATGGTGATCGATGGACACAATCACCCAGTGGGTTGGAAGCAAGATCTATTCGAACCGATCTGAAAAATAACAGAGAAGCATTACGCCAAGCGACAGAAAATGATCAAGCCATCGAACAGCTTTGGAGACAATCAGAGCCAACTATTCGCGTTCTCCTTGGCGGTAGAGAAGCTCTGGATACTGCTTTTGCTGAAGCTTTGTCTGGGCAAAGTGCAACTGCTGGCGGAGAATTGGTTGATTTGCTGGAAGATGACACTTCTTCTGACGCACAAAAGGAAGAATTGCGTTCCAAAGTCGCAAAAATTGAGTCCAATTTGTCACTCTTACATCGAATCAAAAAGGATCGTAATGATGCACTGACGGAACTACGGGGAAGGATTCAAAGTGATGATATCTCCCATATCCTTATTCTCAATCGACGTGCGGCTCCTGAAGCTCAGAACCAACTTTTCCAACAAGAATTGGAAAAGTTTCGACCTCTTACACAGAGAATTGCACGCAGTCAATCCGAACAAGACCGTATCGTTGGTGAAGTTGAAAGCCTATGGGAAGCACTCAATAATGCACCCGAAGGTCGTGGCAGAGCACAAGAATGGACCAAGAAGAACGGAATACGAGAGAAGCTGGTTGGAAATTTGAGAAATGCCAAAGATGCCAATGCTCAAGTTCGTGCAGGCTTAGCCAAAGGTCTGTTGTTCTACAATCAATTGGAGGAGATTGCGACAGAACTTCGTAGAAACTCTAAAGCTTTCGTGGAAGAGCGTGGAATTGAACGTGATCGTTTAATCAGAGAGGTGGACGTTGGCAAATCGTACGATGGAGGTGCTTCTTCGCTTGAGGGCGCATTTGGAAAGATGGGCGTTTCAGATCGGGGATCCTCTTCTCGTGCTAGTTCACTGGGCCCAGCACCCATTCCGCCACCTCAACACAGTGGATTTGCATCCCCACCTTTGCAACCCATGTACGCTTCTCCACTCCCTCCGCAGAAGCCTATTCAAGCGAGCTCACCATATGACAGCTTAGGTACAGCATTTGGTGGTAGCGGACCAGCACCAGCTCCTCCTCCATCATCGCAGTATGGACAGCCATCTCAATATCAATACAGCCAACAACAATATCAACAACCGCAGCAGCAGCGGCAGCAGCCACAACAGCCCTACCCATCTCATTTTGGCACCACAAGTCCTGTCCAATCAACAGGCTTGCCACCCCCACCTCCGCAATGGCAATCATCTTCTACTTTGCCCAACACAACACAGCGAGGAGGCCCTCCTCCACCACCACTACCTGGTCAACACCAAAACTACCCTCAAGTCTCACAGCAATATAGTCAATATCCTCCGCCCAATAGTGGCAGCGGCTCTTTCCCGCCGCCACCGCAACAATACCAACAACAATATCGTGGTGGTCCTCCCCCTCCTCCGCTTCCAAATGCAGGGTACGGTCAAAATCGGTATGGTGCACCTCCTCCTCCGTCGCACTATGGACAATCTGCTCCGCCACCGCCACCACAGCAACGATGGCAACCTCCCTATTAAAATACAATTGTCATGAGGTATATTTGTGCATGCTAGTATGTACATGCTATTAATGCTGATCCAATGCGATATTGAGTTCTTCGGCAGCTTGTTTGAGTGCAGCAAGATGAATACTTTCATTTCTTGCATACATTTGCCAATCACGAATGATGTGATTTTTCAATTCTTGTGCTCTTGCCATTTCGTGCCAAATGGCCACTTTTACCCTTTCATTTCTACGTTTAAAACGTTCGATCATCTTTTGTTCTCGTTCAATCTCCTTTTTAATCTTTCCGCATTGCTCTTGCCAACCAGGCTTCTTTTCTTCTTGAACCGATTTCCATCGTTTACGTAAAGATTCAATTTTGCTTTCCAGATCGGGAATAGGATCTTTTCCAAATTTGTCATACCTCTTGAAAAGGTCTTTTAGTGAAACCCACAAATCACGACCGTTTTTCAATGCATCAAGAGTATGTTGAAGTGCATGGAAACGTGCCGTTGAAAGATCAGCATAATCTTGACTGTTGGAAACCAACAGCGTTGAACTGCGTTGGAATGCATCAGAACGGAGTGGCATGGCCGGCGGGGTAGAGGTACCTCCTCCGCCAGTACGATCGCCATCATCTTCCGTTTCATCAGCTCCTTGGTATGTTTGATCTTCAATTTCCAACAAAGAAGATAAAGCAAGTGAAAGGCGTGTATATTCAGCTGAAGAAGCTTCAGTTCTTCGTACCTGGCGTTCAAAAACAGCAACCACACCATTCCACCTGTCCAAAACTGATGTCGTAAGCTCCTTCGTCCGCTTCAGCTTGTCTTCCATATCAACGGGAATGTGCATAACATCTGCATCGCTCAATCTCCATGAATCGTCTAATCCTTCTTCTACTATTTGGTCTCCATCTAAAGTCACACCTTTCCATGTGCTAGCATTTTCATCTGCTGGTAATTCAGCAGAATGTCTTTCGGATCTGTGTGTAGTACTTCCAAAGAACGATTGTACTACGCCATCTTTTCGCATAACTGGATGACTCATTATTCCACGTGTATACCTTGCCAAAGCCAACCTTCTCTGTTCCAAGAAAGCATCTTGTTGACCAGCTCCAACGGATTGCGTGCGATTCATGTGCGGCAGAGATAGTCTCTTGGGTGGCAGAGGCGGTAAGAGTCGAAATGGAAATCGAGTCAAGAGATACTCATGCAAATTGACGAAATCGCTATACCTTCTCTTTACTCCAGCACAAATTGGCGTTTTGACAAGGTAAAGCACATGCCGAAAGAATAGAAATCCTCCCAAGTCGGGTAACAGATGCACGGAAGAAGGATCGGGGTTGATGTATGCGGGAGAATAAAGGGGAGATTTGGGGCGTGCTCCAGTCTGCTGTTTTCCGTTGCTCGTTTTTGCTTCTCCTTCTTCATCCCAAGCACGCAAAGTGGATGAGCGAAAGGCCGAAGAATTGGCTGGAAAACCTTCCCTTGGAGAAGTGTTTGCTGCCCATGGATCGAGGTTTGAAGACCCGCTGCTAGTGATAGACATTTTTGCCCCTTTCTTTGTCGTAACATCTGTCAAGGTGGATGAGCGGGACATGAATGCGGAAGAGCGTAATTTGCCAAGATCGAGTTGAGGTGTTGGGATGGGAGAGCCATCTTCTCGTGCTGCAGATGCAAGAGTGCTTTTTGCCAAGTTGATATCGAGAGGTGATCCGGATTGCAGCTGAGCGATCAGTAGTAGAGCTGTCGCATATTCTTCCTTACTGCAATGCGATGAAGTTGAAGAACAGCTCAGGTTGATGATACGCTCCACATCGGATGCCTGTATTCCTTGAGCACAACGAACGATCTTTCCTAATTGACCTAATGATATCCCTTGATCTTCACTTTGTTCAGCACTTTGACTCAATTCAAACACTTTCTCGTATAACTCAGGCAAATTGTGATGCAGATGCTGTTGATGCTCTATTGATCCGATCGAAGAGGAAGTTTGGGAAGGTGGAGCAGCCCATGTTAGTGGTCTACTGTTTGTTGAATTGATGCCCGATCCTGAATTACGAATAGGTGAATTCGTTGACCAAGGATCATCGACTGAATAAGAATCAGCTTGTGTAGTCATATCTTCAAATGATGGTTGTTTAACCTTCAAAAGCGCTCAGGGGGAAGAGAGCAACACAAAAGAAAGATACACTCCGCGTCCGTGCGATATTAGGCGTAAAGCAAAGCGTGTAAAGAGATGGAATTCGGGGGGAATAATACAGCAGGCCCCTTTCTTTGAAGTCATCACCTCAACGTCATGAATAAAATGTCAAAAAATGCATCCTATCCCACCAAAGATGAGCACTGGAAAACGATTAAAGAATTAATAGAGATCATACTGAAAGCAGAAAGGAAACCAAGCGTTAAAGAATCAATGAATGCACATTTTGCATGCTTTGCTCTCGAAACGGGTGAGTATAAAGATAAAGCAGATTCTGTCTATTATCGTAAGCCGAACGGGCAAAGAGTTCATGGCGTTCGCATTCGAACGGCAAAGCTTATAAGGCAACATTGCGAAGTTCATATGAATGAAACTCGCCAAGACTTCCTAGACAAGTGGCAAAGAGCAACAAAACTTATCTTTACATATCACGATAGACATTACGTCAAACGTGAGCAACACGAAAGTACAGGACCACCAAATTATGAAACGGCAAATATGCTTGACTTCGGTATGATGGTCTGGGATGAAGTTCATCTTGAGCAACACCTTCATACAATTGCAATTTGAGCTTCAACGGCAAGGAAGGGAATGGTATGAACCATGCGCTGCTGGAGAAGTAGGACCACATCCAGTGTAATACCATAGCAATCAACACTTTTCACAGTTCCTGTACACACAACGGAAGGGTCTTAGAAATTCAATTCATAAAGATTTTCATAACACAGTCTAGAGTCAAATACAAACGAGAATCACGATCACCAGTCAGAAGCAACTTTTTGAACGGTAGACTTTGTCTTTTCAATCAAAGGCTCCAGCTTTTTGCTACCACCAGCCTTTGCTCCAGAATTGGTGTAACCAAAGCCATCCAACCAAGGTGTTTCTTGGGATCGTTTTTGTTCGAATTTGGTAATTGCGTCATCATGTTGCAACGTCAATGCAATATCGTCCAAACCGTTCAACAAGCAGTGTCTAGTGAATTCTGGCGTCTCGAAGCTGAATTCTTTACCGCTTGCCAAAGTGACTTTTTGGGTCTCCAAATCAACGGAAACTTCGTTGCCTTTTTCGGCTTCTTGCATCACTTCCTCTACTTCTGCATCGGACAGCACAACTGGCAAAGCGCCGTTCTTGGTCAAATTGTTACGGAAAATGTCGGCAATCGATTTGGCGATCACGACACGAATACCGAAATCGATCAAACTCCAAGGAGCATGCTCTCTAGAACTTCCACAGCCAAAGTTTGCACCAGCAACAAGAATTTTTGCTTGATTGTAGGGAGCTTTGTTCAAGACAAAATCCGGATCAGGTTCACCAGTCTTGAAGTCATAACGGATTGGCCAGAACAATGCACTACCCAAACCAGTCTTTTTGATAGTCTTTAAGAATTGTTTGGGAATGATCAAATCGGTATCAACATTATCACGTTGAAGAGGAGCAGCAATACCTTTAAGTTGAGTGAACTTTTGCATTCCTCCTCCTACAGAAGAAGTTGTACTTGCGGGAGCATCGCGAATCTTGTCTTCATCAGTCATTGGGACTGCTTCAGCGTCTACGCCGGGTGATGCCTTACGCTTCACACCACTTGCTGGTGCAGGGGCTGGTTCGGGCTTGTCGGTCAAGTAAGATTTGCTGTCAGTAATTTCAACCTTGTAGCCAGGTTTGGTGGCTTCGAAGCCTTTTCTTGTTCCTGCTTCCAATTTGCGCACATCGGTCAAGTATCCTGTCACAGCACATGCAGCTGCAGAAGCAGGACTCATCAGATGTGTACGACCGCCAGCACCTTGACGACCTTCGAAGTTTCGGTTACTGGTAGAAGCACAACGTTCACCGGGTGCGAGTTGATCGGGGTTCATTCCCAAACACATACTACATCCAGCCTCACGCCAATCGAAACCAGCTTGAATGAAGATCTTGTCCAAACCTTCAGCTTCGGCTTGTTTCTTGACGAGACCACTTCCCGGCACGATCATGCAGTACAAGTGAGGAGCGACTTTGCGTCCATGCAAGATACGAGCTGCTTCTCGTAAATCTTCAATACGTGCATTGGTGCAGGATCCAATGAAAACCTTGTCCAATTTGATTTCCTCTACTGGTGTACCAGCTGTGAGACCCATGTACTTCAAAGCGCCTTCCATTGAGCGTTTGTGGGATGCATCTTTGGCGTCTTTTGCTGGATCAGGGATGACACCAGTGATGGCAACTGTATCTTGAGGACTTGTACCCCAAGTGATAGTAGGAGGAATATCCTTTGCATCAATGTACAATTCCACATCAAATTTGGCATCTGCATCGGATGGCAAAGAGCGCCAATACTCCAATGCTTGATCCCAAACTTCACCAGTTGGAGCCAATGGACGTCCTTTGAGGTATTCAAACGTTGTTTCATCAGGTGCGATCAAACCGGCACGAGCGCCTGCTTCGATGGACATGTTGCAGATTGACATACGTGCTTCCATACTGAGGCCACGAATCGTTGAACCGCAATATTCCATTACGCATCCTGTACCACCAGCAGTACCAATGATGCCGATAATGTGAAGAATGATATCCTTTGACGTTACACCAGGTGCCAATTCTCCGTCTACCTGGATCTTCATATTCTTTGCACGTTTTTGCAAGATTGTTTGTGTGGCCAAAACATGTTCAACCTCTGAGGTTCCGATTCCAAAGGCCAACGAACCCATGGCCCCATGCGTAGACGTATGGCTATCACCACAAACGATAGTCGATCCAGGCAAGGTAAAACCTTGTTCTGGACCAATGATGTGCACGATTCCTTGACGACTATCACGCAAACCAAAGAAAGTCAAACCAAAATCGACAACATTTTCCTCCAAAGTCAAGCATTGAGTGCGTGAATCTGCTTCGTCAACGAATGATTTTGTGTCTTTGTAATTTTTACGAGAGATTGTTGGAATGTTGTGATCGACTGTGGCCAAGGTACAATCTGTTCGGCGAACAGATCTTTTAGCATCACGTAAGCCCTCAAAGGCTTGCGGTGATGTGACTTCGTGTACAAGATGTCTGTCAATGTAGAGCACAACACTGGAAGGAAAAGGGGCAAAGCTCCTGGTCAGAAAGAAGAACCTTTAGCAGAATTTCAATAGATTACTCACGTTCCATCTGGATGCTCATAAGCCTTGTGGCTATCAAAGATCTTTTCGTAAAGCGTTCTAGGTTTTGTTACCGTCATGATGACAAAAGGGGGGAGGCAGGTGATGATGGGAATGAGAGAAAGCTGATAAAGATGACTCCTCTTTGAAGATTGCAATTTGATTCTTCTCGAATAAGCGTTGTGCCTGTGTCATTTTCTGCATGTATCTGTTGTTACACAGACAGCAGGCTTTTTTCGGATTTAAATGGACCGTTTAATGCAAACGCGAAAAAGAGTGGAGTAGTGCACTTTGAAGCGCATTTCGGATACTGACATTCCAAAGAATACAAAGGCCCGAAAAAAAAAAGGCTCATTTGACGTTTTATCCAATCAGCGTTGGGTTATTGGTGGTCAAATGAGATGGGGGTCTTGATCACTTTTTGGTGGGCGCACAAAGAGGCTGAGTTTTGAGGATACGGAATTGCTTTTTCCGACATGTCAAGATTGATTACACTTGGCACAAGAGTGGGGCCCGATCACTTGTCACGTGGAAGAAGCTGCTTACCTCATCTACTGTGTTGTACAATAATATCCCTGACAGGTATGACGTGTAGTGAAACAATTGATCACTCCTCCTCCCACTTTCCCAATTAGCGTGCTGCTACTGAACACGCCCGCTTACGGTGTCTTTTAAGTGTGTGTGTGTGTGTGCGGCTTATGCTCAGGTTTCAGTTCATTGCTAAGCGGTGTATTATTCGCATGAAAAAGGAAAGCAAAAAGAAGCTAAAAGGGTAAAAGAAGTTTTTTTTGTTGTGCTAAAATATACGCTAATTCACTTAAAAAAGGCTCTTGCACTCTGTCTCAGTAAATGCATAAAACTGTCAAAAGGCCTTCTTTTACCGCTTTTGAATTTGGGCGCAGCGCGCGGTCATTTACCGGGAATGTGGTTTTTGAATATGGGCAGGCATTAAAAGTGTGATTTCCCCCAGATTGTTGTTGCTCTTAAGAAGCATTGCATCTGTGTGTGTGTGTACCGGAGCATTGCGACAAGAGGATTCTATGCGTCCGCAATGCATGAGAAAAGAATTGACCGGCAGCTGATTAGACAGTTTTCATTGGTAATCTTGCTCCCACATTTCACACCATCACCTCAAAAATGAATCACATCATTCACAAAAGACAAGGTTATGGTGCAGTCACAAACGGTCTTACATCGGCCAGTGATTCATTATCAAATTCAGCAAGCAATGCAACTTCTTCACTTTCAAAAGCTGAAACCATTGGTGTGGCAGTTGGAATTATCGCTTTTATTGCATTATCTATCGGCTTGACATGGTATTGTTGCATCGTTGCTTCACGTAAAAGGGAAAAGAGAAATGCAATCGAACAAGAAGAAATCCGTCAAAAAATGCGAAATGCCTCTTTGACCGGCAGTAGTGAAAGACATAATCAACAATGGCAAACACATGCTGTCTCTTTAGCCGCACCACAACAACCCGGAGCAGCAATGACTTATCAAGATTTTCTCGCTTCTCAACGACGTGGAAGTGACCCTGCTACCGATGAAGATTATTGGAAGCAAGAACCATTAAAGCCAGCCGAACACGGAAATGAATCATACATCGTTAGCTTCGACGTTAACGGTCAACCGCAATATCATCCTAGAGAAGCTCAGCATCAATCTTATCCACCCAACTATTACCCAGCACAAACACCACTCCAATCTCCAAACGAACGTCAACCGATGTATCCCGTACGAAGATGAACATTATACCCCATATCAATTCTTTCAATTCTGTATTCATAGCATCAATAATTTACTTTTGTGAATAGTATACATTGTGTTTCTTTCTGAAATCATTCTTCTCCTCTCCAATCTTTGTCGTCCGTGCTCAAAATGCGTTTGGCGGGTTGTTTGACGTGAGATAAAAGATAACGTCCGTTTGGTAAATCGTTGTTATCGGCTGTAAAGAGATGAGGTTTAGTAAGATGTTTTCTTCAATTGATTGGCAAACTCACCTCTCCATTCAGCTTCTTCTTTTGATTGGGCTACACCGGTGACCACATGTCTTTCTATCAATCGAGCTCTTGCAAGAGGTTCAGGGCACTCAATCACCCATCGTTCGTCATACAATGCAGCCGCTTTAGACCAAGCGCCTTCGTCGACATTGGCATATAAACCTTCAATGATGACAATTCGATGGGAAGGATGAACGGCGATATCGTTCGGGCTTGGATCTTTTTTGGTGTGCGAAAAAGAGGGAGCAAATATCGTTTTCGAGCTGTCGGAGTTGTGTAGATCTTCCACAAACGCTGCGAATGCCTGCAAAGAAGTAGAATGAATGCAGGTGAGCATAAATTGCGGGAAAGTACAATCTTCAACTGACCTGATCATCAAATGTCCACGCTGCTCCTCTTTTATCTTTGGCTAGCTGAGGATCGGGCATTTGTGCTAATTGCGCTCTTGTCAGATGCCACCCGTCCATTCCAACAACGACTGCTATCTGTTGATCATTGTGTACTGCATTGATACGCTCTACTACATGTTTAGCCAATTGACTCTTTCCACTGCCTGGAGTACCACAAAGTCCTACCAGGACTCTTTTATCTTTCTTGTTTGAGACACGAATGAGAGATTGTGCAAGATCATCAACGATTGTTTGCATGCTGAAGTAGTGATGCTATCGTTGGCAAGTCAAATAGAGAGAGAGCATATATTCAATTCACACGCGAAGAACGAAACGACAACGCACTGCACAGCGCCACGCCTACAGTCTTGCTCCGACTCCACCCCCGATTATCGGATATAAAGAAGAAGAGCATTCGAGTTTTGAAACTTGCTTCCTCACCACCAATAACATTATCAAATATGAGCTGTTCAAATACTGCCGGACCATCTTCACTAGCTCGTGATGGTATATCGAGCACATCCTGCCCAAGACATCGTCATTTGATCAGTGGAACGTTCAATAGCAATTTGATGCATATCCTTTCATTCGATACTTTGACCAGAACACTCTCCTTGCTTTCTTCATTACCGGCGTATGGACCTCACTCTTTCCTAACGGCAGGAAGAACGGTTGACGTAGAGTCAAATCGATTGGTCGACACAGTCTACGCCACAACATGGGCTGAAGAGAAAGAGTTGTGTGCATGGAAATTGGATTGGCAAGGTGAAGATTTAAACGGGTTGAAATGGTTGGGAAATGTTCCAATCACTGCAACATCGTCGTATGTCCACGTTCAGCCCCCTCCTTATGGATGTCTTACCACACCTTGCTATAATGTTGAGCCAGGCTCATCTCGCTTTCTCTATTCAGCTGGAGGTCCAACGGGTGAAGTGCATTCGATCGATCAAGCGACAGGTGCAATACAAGAAAAAGTACAAGAGATCATCTTTTTGAAAGAAGGCGAAAAAGCACTACCCAAAGCAGACAAGACTCGTGTTGCACTTCGATATGGTGCACATAACGTTGACATTGGACAGAATAAGCTCGCATTTATTGCTGATGTAGGAAGAAACTCAATCTTGACATACAAACAAGACTCAGAAACGGGTATGCTGCATCTCTTGACCGAAACATTCATGGTTTCAGAAGGAGATGGGCCGAGGCATGTCGTACCTTCACCTGATGGGCAATATGTGTATAGCGTCACAGAGCATACATCCTTTGTTGATGTGTATCACGTGGGAAAAGGAGCACATCTAGAACACCTTCAACGGGTTTCAATCTTGCCATCCTCATCGGACATTCATCAATACAGAGGTGATACAGTTCGACTTAGTCCTGATGGACAATATCTCTTTGCAACAACACGCGGAAAGAATGCAAGCACGAAAGGATTCGTCAAAGTTTGGCAGATCAATCATGTTGAATCGAGCAAGGATTTTCTACAAGAACGATATACACATGCCACACGAAACAGCGGAGGGAAAGCGAATGCGATCGAATTTGCGCCTCGCTATGGTACCAAAGTAGAAAGTAGTGAAAAGACAGTTGATTATGCTGTATTGACAGATGATCAAGAGGGGTATATCACAGTACTTGAATGGGATGGAGAAGACTTGAAGGAAATTTCAACGATTCGATTGCCTTTGTTGGACGATGGACAATCGCAAGGTGCAAGTCAAGCCATTTGGGTATCATGAAGCATGCGGCTACTTCATCGAATGATTACGCTGGTAGTGATCCGCTTTTTTCACCATAACGCCATTACACTCCGGAGGACTTTTGATATACTTTCGCTTCTCCATATTCACATCCTCATCTTCAGTTGATCTTTTCTTAAAGGTACATTGAGGTTAAGGTGTGATGAACTTTCGCTAGACTAATTCAACGGACGCCTGCTAATCAAGATTGCGCTTCTTTTTTTAATCAGGTGGATAGACCCCGTGAAGATGGATATGCATTCCACTATTATCACGTTTCATATGACGACCAATGATGCCACTGTTTCCCTGTAATTTGTCACCAAAGATTTGATGAATTCTCGAATTTCTGGAAAATGTCAAGACACGTTTGAGTGCTGCAATATCCGACTCGGTTGCGGTTTCCAAAAATCCTTCCACAAACCCATCAGCTTCGGCTAAGGGTAGCGAACGCAAAAGATAGAGGAGGGTGATTGACTTGTATGCTTGTTCATGTGCATAAGTTGGAAAACCATCATAACGCAGGCAAGCTGAAGCAATATCAGGACGAAGACAAGTCGAATGGGCATAAGTCAAAAGAGCATGTTGAAGAGCGATTAAATCATTTTGCGAACCATGTTGCAATTGAGCACTTGTCAATCTTACCATTTGATATGGTTTCATTGTGTGTAAAGAAGATTCGAAGCCTTGGGCTTGTAAACGCATTCGTTCGATTGAGGTACGGAGTTGTTGTAATTCATCTAAACCAGATATGACCTTTGTATCTTTACCACTTTCGATAATTGATGGTAATGGCGTACAATCAATGTACCCGATAAGAGCTGATAAAAAGAACGTCAAGAGTGATCGTTGCCAGATAATCATGCTGACCATCATCCATTTGCAGGACCAGCCTGAATGAGGGAAGAGTGGGAAAGAGGGATTCACAAATACATAATTATTATAACTTTTATTTCATCAGCATCTTTACGCCAAGGTACACAGCATGCGAACGTGCTATTACAGTGCATTCAGAGAACCCCGATAGAGGAGCGATCAGGTACGCAATGGGCGTTACGAATGGCATCGCATAATTAGCCAAGAAAATGATAAGTTAATGGCCATGTCTGATCCGGTTCAACCGGTACAGAATGATGCGAGAATTGTGACAACTTCTTTTTGCATGTACTTTATATCCGCTCGTTTAATGCTCCACAATTTCTCAACGGGTCGGATTTAAGGAATGTGTCGCGCGACAGTTAATAGAAGCCGAAGATAGAAACATGTGCTGTTCTAGTGCATTATAACACATCGGTAATTGGATAATCCTACGTCAACGTTTCTTTTATAACTTCGCTAAGGTTGATAAACGGCATCCGAAGAAGAAATCATCAAACTCCGTCAATCGATTGAGTGGAGGGGCGGCTTGTTATATAAAGACTGACTTGAATGTCTATTATACAACTCCTTCTCCCACAACCGACTATTATACTCTACGCAAAATGTCTTCCAACGATAAATTTATGGGATGGGTTGCCCACGACAAAACAGCCGTTGAGGGAAATATGAAATGGGAAGAATTCACTCCAAAAGAATGGACAGAAAATGATATTGAAGGTGACGTGATTTGCTGTGGAATCTGTTTCTCAGATATTCATACTTTACGTTCCGGATGGGGATCAACTGATTATCCAACAGTTGTAGGACATGAACTTGTTATCAATGTTACAAGAGTTGGAAACAATATCAAACACGTCAAGCCAGGTCAAAGAGCAGGTGTTGGTGCACAAAGTGATTCTTGCCGTGATTGCAAGCAATGTCAAGCAGGCTTGGAATCTTATTGTGATAACTTGCAAGGCACATACCAAGGTAAATTCTTGGACGGAAAAGGTAAGAGCTACGGCGGGTATGCAAACAAATGGCGTGGACCAGGCCATTTTGCCGTTCCTATCCCTGACGGTTTGGAATCTCACATTGCCGGACCATTAATGTGCGGTGGTATCACTATTGCATCTCCTTTGATGGATTATGGTGTTGGACAAGAGAATTGCAAGAGAGTAGGTATTATAGGCGTCGGAGGAATCGGAAGTTTCGGGATCGCTTTCGCAAAAGCACTTGGAGCAGAACAGATCGTTGCCATCTCAACGACATCGAACAAAGAAAGTTTAGCAAGAGAATTAGGCGCGACAGACTTTGTTGCCATGAAGGATAAGCCAGACGACCATAAACGATTCCGCCGTAGCTTAGACTTGATTATTGCAACCGCAAACAATCACGATCAACCTTACGATAAGTTCTGCTGGATGTTGCGTCCTCGTGGTCATTTGATCAATATTGCTGTTCCTGAACAAGCAGTTATGCCAATTCCCGTTGGCCCGCTCATCTTTTCAGGTGCTTCAATCGGTGGATCAGCAATTGGTGGTATTCCACAAATTGGAAAAATGCTTCAATTGGCTGCTGATAAAAAGCCAAACTTTATGATTGAAAAGAGAAGTATGAAAGATGCCAATCAAGCCGTGAAGGATATGGTTGCTGGTAAGCCACGTTTCCGTTATTCTTTGGTAAATGAATAAACAAGGAAGATTAAATATGAATACAGTCTTTTGAACGTAATTGATATTTATCAATGAATCAATCAGTTAAATCTTCTCTTTGTTTGCTCCTCAAAAATTGAACCTGCCTCACCTCTTTCAGCAATAGGTAGGGTTTTACTTGCGTGCGCGACACTGATAATGTGCCCTTGTGGAGGCAATTTTGCTTAATTGCACTGCCATGAAATTCTTCCCCCAATGCTTGAGACTCAGATTACTACAAAGTTGATTTCGTTTCTTGATGGCATGATCTTGACTTGCAATTACCACTAACTCACCCTCTCAAAATGCCGCGAGTAGTTATAAAGAATGAAACAGAGGTACCTTTGCACATTGCATTGCGTCATATATCGCCAATCCACTTTATAAACAACGTCGCTCCAGGTCAAGAAGCTGTGTTTCCCCATGTTGGTAGAGTCTGGTTTACCGTAGAAGCAAGAATCGCACGAAGGGCAAATGTTGATCAAAACGATGGAGAAGAGGAAAAAACGGAAGCTCAAGTCGCTGCCTCCGCCTCCTCTTCATCAAACAATAAAAAGGACAAAAAACGAGAAAGACGTGAAGCTGTGGAAAAGAATAATGAATATACAATGTTACAAGCAGTTGCTGCTCCGGTTGCCGTTTCAGTTGCAGCTTTGAGCTTAGGAGCAGGTGCAATTTACGTTGGAATGGCAGCAGGTGCAGCAGGTGGCGTAAGTGCTGCTCTTTCTACAATCAGTGCACAAGTTAGTACGGCGGCTGCTTCACAAGTTCCAACTGCAAGAAGGCTTTACAAGTATGCACAAAAAGGTCAAAAAGTTGTTCAAATCGGACAAGTGTTGGGTATTGGAGGAGGTGCGTTATTGGGAAATAGGGCAGCAATCGCACAATCGAAACAACATGACGAAGTGGTGCGAGCAGAACAGCATGATGAATTAACCGGTCAAGCGGATATCGAGAGGATTAAGAAAGTGAAAGAAGTTTTGATGGGATTGATTGAAAAGAGTGCATTACGTTCACATGGATGGTATATGAAGGGAGATCGAACGATTCTCATTAGAGGAGGTCCAAAAGCTGCAGAAGTTGATCAATGGTTGATTATCGAGACCGACACAGTGACTCCATTTGAAGTTCTAAGTGAAGATCCAAACGATAAACCCGATCCTGAAGGGCAAGAGAAAGCTTTGAAGGAGGAGCAGCAGCAATAATGAATGTATTTTGTAGTCATAATGAGATATCATATCATCTTTGATTCACCCACAAGCCCGACTTTAATCGGACTATCGGCCTATGTCGGTATTAGAAGCGTGTGTGTGTGCGTACGCGTAAAAACTCTGTCAGCTTTTGTGTGTGTGCAACCATACGCAGGCTCAGTGTTCTGTGGCTCATGCGTACGGGTGGGTGGATAAATATTTTGAAGCCTTTCTCTTTTTTTTTGCCATCATCATCAACCTGTACACTACACTTTGATCATTGATCGACTTACATTCTCGGAAACATCATTGGCCACTTTAATTGTCGACCAGTGCATGAGAACGTGTCATTCGATCAAGTCAGAGGCGTAACCTTTTTACTCGTGAGTATAAATACAACAGCCTTTATTTTTGGGCGTACCTGTTTGTTGTTGCCTTTGGCGCCAATTGCGCCACCAATCAACTTGTATCTGTACATTATTAAAGGCTAACAATCCTTTTCCACTTCTTCAGATTCCACACTCACAATCACCCTCACCATGTTTCGTGTTGCAACTTGTGCGGGACGACAACATCGTCTTGCAACTGCAAGTTTAACACGTACAGTAATTCCTTCAACCTTACGTGCATTGCACTCTTCCGCAAAAAAGCCACAAGCAAGTCCAGCTCCTCAACAACCAAACGCTCCTTCTCCGTATGATTCATTCGTAACAACAAACAATGCATACTACATCGAAGAAATGAGACGCTCATGGAAGCAAGATCCATCAAGCGTTCATAAAAGTTGGGATACATACTTTAGCGGATTAGATCAAGGTATCCGAAGTGAAGACGCTTTCCGTGCTCCTCCTTCTTTGATGCCTTTGCCGGTTGATGCACCTCCAATCGACACTTCTTCTTTCAACGCCGATTCACAAAGCGTTGATGATCACTTGAAGTTGCAATTATTGGTTCGTGCTTATCAAGTTCGTGGTCATCGTATCGCCCATTTGGATCCTCTTCGTATCATTCAAGTGAACGATGAAACAACTCCAGACGAACTCAAAATCGAGCATTACGGATGGTCAGAAAAGGATCTCAACAGAGAAATGCGTCTAGGTCCCGGTCTATTGCCAAACTTTGTCAAGCAAGGTGTTACAAGTATGACAATTGGTGAGATTATTGACGCATGCAAGCGCATGTACTGTGGTCACATCGGTGTTCAATACGTCCACATCCCTGATCGTGAAATGTGCGATTGGTTGCGTGAACGTATCGAAACTCCCGAACCATTCAAATACTCCATTGAAGAAAAGCGAACAATCTTGGACAGACTCATTTGGAGTGACAGCTTTGAACGTTTCATCGCAAGCAAGTACCCTAACGAAAAACGTTTCGGCTTGGAAGGTGGTGAATCTCTCATTCCAGGTGTCAAGTCTATGATTGACAGAACTGTCGATCATGGTGTTAGCTCAATCACTATCGGTATGCCCCATCGTGGTCGTTTGAATGTGTTGGCTAACGTCATTCGTCGTCCCATGGAAGGTATTCTGCATCAATTCGCCGGTACAGAAGACGACGGCGAAGGCGGTGGTGACGTGAAGTACCATTTAGGAGCCAACTATGTTCGTCCTACCCCATCAGGAAAAAAGGTTGCCTTGTCTTTGGTCGCCAACCCATCCCACTTGGAGGCAGAAGATCCAATCGTGTTGGGTAAGACCCGTGCTTTGCAAGACTTCGCCGGAGATAAAGATCACGAAACATCTATGGCTCTTTTGATGCACGGTGATGCAGCTTTCGCCGGTCAAGGTGTCGTGTACGAAACAATGGGCATGTACAACTTACCAAACTATGCTACAGGTGGTACTATCCATATCATCGTCAACAACCAAATCGGTTTCACTACCGACCCCAGATTCGCTCGTTCCACTCCTTACCCATCTGATATTGCCAAGAGTATCGATGCACCAATCTTCCACGTCAACGGAGATGATGCTGAAGCTGTCACTTTTGTCTGTCAATTGGCATCTGACTGGCGTGCAACATTCAAGAAGGATGTTGTGATCGATTTGGTCTGTTACCGTCGTCATGGACATAACGAAACCGATCAACCAAGTTTCACACAACCAAGAATGTACGAGGCAATCAACAAGCAAGATACCACTCTCACACAATATGCTAATCAATTAGTGGACGAAGGCAGTTTCAGCCGAAAGGACATTGATGAGCATAAGAAATGGGTCTGGAATCTGTTGGAAGAGGCTGCTGAGAAGTCCAAGAATTACTCACCAGGTGAACGTGAATGGCTTTCAAGTGCTTGGGAAGGATTCCCATCTCCCAAAGAGTTGGCCGAGCAAATCTTGGATCACAAGGACACCGGTGTTGAGCTTGACACTTTGAAGCATGTCGGAAGAACAATCTCTTCTTACCCTGACGGCTTCAATGTGCACCGCAACTTGTCTCGTATCCTCAAAACACGTCTCAAGACCATCGAAGAAGGCGAAGGTATTGATATGGCTACAGCTGAAGCATTGGCCTTTGGATCCTTGGCAATGGAAGGAACCTACGTTCGTGTTAGTGGTCAAGATGTTGAGCGTGGAACATTCTCTCAACGTCATGCCGTCTTGCACGACCAAAAGACTGAAGATATCTACGTCCCATTGAACAACTTGGAGAAAGGACAAGCACCATTTGTCATTTGCAACTCCAGTCTTTCCGAGTTCGGATGTTTGGGTTTCGAATTAGGATTCAGTATGGTTGAGCCCAAGAATTTGACAATTTGGGAAGCACAATTCGGTGACTTTGCCAACAATGCTCAATGCATTATCGATCAATTCATCGCATCAGGAGAACGAAAGTGGTTGGCACGTACAGGTTTGACTTTGAGTTTGCCACACGGATATGATGGTCAAGGACCAGAACATTCTTCTGCAAGACCTGAACGTTTCTTGCAATTGATTGACGAAAACCCCTTCGTTTACCCTCCTCCAGAGAAGTTGGAGAGACAACATCAAGATGGTAACATGGCTGTTGTGTACTGCTCAGTGCCCAGCAACTTGTTCCACGTTTTGCGTAGACAAGTTCATCGCGATTTCCGTAAGCCGTTGATCGTATTCTTCAGTAAGAGTTTGTTGCGTCATCCGGAAGCACGTTCATCGATTGATCAAATGGTTCCCGGAACAGGATTTAGACGATTCATTGCTGATCCACATCACAGTGAAGGTGATGATGCATTGGTTGCACCTGATGAGATTAAACGTCATATCATCACCACTGGTCAACATTATTACGCTTTGCTCAAACATAGACGTGATAACAAGTTGAACAACATTGCCATTTCACGTATTGAGCAATTTGCACCTTTCCCATTCGAGGAGATTCGCGAAGCATTGGACAAGTACCCCAACTCTGATGTCTGCTTCAGTCAAGAAGAACCTTTGAATGGAGGTTGGTTCGGTTTCGTTCAACCACGTTTGCGTACCGTTTGCCGTCATTCAGAACATCATAAGGACAGTTTGGCACTTTTGGCTTCTCGTCCACCTTACGCATCCGTTGCAACAGGATCAAAGGTGGCACACAAACGTGAATTGGAAGAGATCTTAAACACATCCTTTGACTTGGACAGAAAAGCAAGTGATGGAGCATAAGCTGTGGTATTGAGTCTTTGTATTAATGCAAATAATAATGATCTATGTTTTGATTTTTAGAGTGAGAGTGTGCGCGTAAAGTTCGTTGCATAAGGTTAGTTTACCCGCTAAAGTGTAAGAAGAAATTCCGAATAAATGCAATCCTTTTTCTGATAACGATGACAAACTCGATATGAATGGTAAAAGGCGGCAAGTTGTTGTATTTATTGATTGGGATGAAACAATCACTTCTCATGATACTTTATCATTGATTGCACCTCCAGACGATAAGCATGAAGGTGTTCCATTTGCCGAATATGGAAAAGCATATGTGGAGGATTTGAAGCAACATGAAAAAGCATGGCAATATCAAGAAAGTGCTTCAAGAACAGGAGATGAGATCAGCATTCCAAGAAAAGGGTGCAACCTCGGAAAGGGATGGGAAGAACAATGGGCTTATCAAGGCAGCCTTGATACCGTTGAGCTAGCATCACAAAAGCGTATAGAAGAAGGAGGTCTATTTCGTAATGCTGATCCGAAAGAACTTGAGAGAAGGGCAATTGATAAAGTACAATGCCGCAAGGGTTGGTCGGGAAATCCTTATCCTCGTCGAATCAGAACAGGAGACTGGGGATCATGGCTTCTTGACCGGCCTTTGTCAACACCACTCGGTCATCAAGAACAAGGCAAGCCAGACTGGCAATATCATATCATTAGTGTCGGTTGGAGCGCTCGTTTCATCACAGCAGCTTTGAAAAAGGTAAACAACAATCAATTCATGCCAACATCTATCTGCGCAAATGAGATTGAAATAGATCAATGCACCGGCTTGGGAACGGGCAAATTAACCAAAAGTTATGATGCACAAAAGTTGGCAGAACGTTCTTTTCGTCCCGGCGAAGGTGGTATTCGCACCGGACAGCATAAAGTGCGGGAAATGCGAAGGATTCTAGAAACATGCACCTCAGATCCGGATCCGATTACGATCTATGTGGGTGATAGTACAACGGATTTAGGTAGCTTATTGGAAGCACACATCGGTTTGATCATTGGTCAAAGTACAAGCTTATACAACACCATCAACAAAGCTGGTCTGGAAAAGTTCAAAATTGCTTGTTCAGATGGAAAGATAAGAGATGTTGTTGCAACTCAGATAGCTGAGAACCATCAACCTTGTCTTATCAAAGTGAACGATTGGGAAGATGTTGGGGAAGTGATGGAGATTATAAGCGAACTTATCACAAAATCACACAAGAGATCGTTACAAGAATGAGGGCGGAGCGCGTAAAAGGTAATTTCGTCAACGGCCAAAGAAGACCAAGATTGTTTATAGAAGATCACACGATCACACTAGAAAATGTCAAGAGTAAAAAGGATGTTTACCCTTTTGAGAAATGAAGGAATGACATTAATGCATTCGAAAGACACTCTCTCTGCAAAACTGCGCAATAAAATACGCAAGAGCAAAACCCCGCTCGGAGAAGATGTATGAGCGGGCCGATACTAATGTGACTTTACCATGCAAGTTGATCACACAGGATATTGTTTGTTCAATTGATTGTTGTCTGAAAGATGATTGATATACATACAAATTAAGTTGGATATCGAATCAATTTTATATTTTTTTGAAAAATTCTTTAATTCCAAGAGATGCTCCAATCACCGTTCAAATCAGCATTGACATCGGTCACGTTGAGCATGTTGCGTGATTGATCAAACTTAGCCGAACTCATCAAATCACGATCACCGGATTTGATAGAAGAAGGCTTTTGTTCAACACCTAAAAGAATAATTTCTTGAAGTTTGTTGTTTACGTTGTATGATCCGGTTGACTTTCCGCTCAAGGTGCCCTTGCTTGCCTTGAATGTTGCTTCACGATTATCCGTTGGAGGCATACTCTTACCGTCATCAAGATATGCGTTACCCGAAGCGGAAGCATTCTTGTCCAAATTAACAATCAACTTGTATGGCTGTTGACTTGTTTCGGAGATTGTGTATTTTGGTTCTGTGTAAGAGAGAATTGCACGACCGGGACGCAAATGAACATTGATGGTGGAAAGAGGGGCGGGAATTGTAGTATTTTTGTTTGCGGTCACATTCAATGCTTCATATGTGAAAACGTTGCGCCAGTTTCCATTTGCTTCGGGGAAGTATGCAGTAACAGTGGTTGCATTTGGTTCCAAGACAGGTGAAACAAGTAGATTAGAACCGAGCAAGTATTGAGTGTCAACCTTGCGCAATTGTTCAAATTGAGAAGCAGTTGCGAATTCCATCCACAAAGATTTAACCAAAGGTGCACCTGATTGACTTGATCTTGCACGAGCAGTGTAGATTTCCGGCAAAAGTTCATAACGTTTACTGATCGAGATACGAGATGCGTTTGCAACTGAATCCCAACGGAAAGGTTCTTGTGAAATTGCTCCTTCGGTATTGTGATTTCTGAAGAAAGGCATGAATGAGCTCATTTGCATCCATCTGTTGCACAAGTCTTCATCTGTGTTTCCGTTGAAACCACATGTATCAGCACCAACGGTTGGAATACCAAACAATTGGAATTGCAATGCACCTTGAATGTTCTTGGCGAGGTATTGCCATTTACTGTAATTGTCACCCAACCAATGAGAAACGTATTTACCTGCACCTGGATAAGTTGAACGACCAACGATGAATGGACGTTCATCTGGCTTAATCTTTCGTAAAGCATCGTAGGTGTGCATCATCAAAAGAGTACCGTCAAGGTTATGCACATCATAGAATTTACCGCCAACTGAAACTGTGTCCATTGCGACAGTCTTTTTGTTCAAGTTATCCACCAAGTCGGTTGGAGAATCACGACCGTTGTGAATTGCATATGGAGGGTCCCACAAGAAGCGTTCAGTTACGTTGGTGTAAGAGTGGTTTGCAGGTGAATAGTGGAAGTCACTTGAATTAAATGCGGGAGGAGAGGAAGCATCACTTTCTTGACGAGCAAACAAGCGCTTTTGGTATAAGATGTTATCGCCGGTGTATGTCAGAGTTCCGTTCACGGTTCTGTTTCCGGAATTGCCAGAAGTGTTATTGTTGTATCCTTCAGGCCAGCCATTGACAGAAGTGGCGGTAACGTGCTCAGTATTTCCAGCAGAAAGATTGTTTGGATTTCCTGCTGAACCGACAACGAATGAACTTGGCTCGTTCATATCTTGCCAAATACCACTGAAGTTGATCTTTTTGGACAAATTTGTGTAAGATTCAGTCCACCATTCATCGGCTTTAGGATGATGTTCGTCAACGAAATATGTATAACCTGGCCATACTTGTCCAATATATCTTGTTCCATTGTCATTCTTGAGGAAGACATCCAACTCCTTTCCACGTGTACCAGGTGCATATACATCTGTAGAATTTTGAGGAGCGGCGGGAATAGCAGCATCAATGATGGGGATATAATGTTGATTGTTATCGTTCAAACTCTTGACAAATGTTCCCAAGTCGGGGTATCGTTCAGGAGACACTGTGAAATCACGGAAAGCTTGCAAGTAATCGATATCACTCCACATAACTTCGAGTGGAATATCTGCATCTTTCATGGATTGATGAATATCACGAAGATCTTGTGTGGTGTGATAACCCCAACGTAAAAGATGGAAACCGAATGCCCAGCTAGGAATCATGAGTGGAAGGTTAATAAACTGAACATATTGTTCCATTGCAAGTTGTGGAGTATTTTCGATGGCTTTTTCGTAGGAAGGTTCATCTTGTTCGGAGGAAGATGTTGAATTTCCAGTTTCTCCAGAGAAGAATCGGAAGTCCAATGTTCCACCGATTGCGCGATATTGAATCACGCCTGGACGCATAATGATATCCAAACCTGCCGTATTTTGATAATGAACAACGTGTGATTCCAACTTATCATCCGTACCGTTTCTTACTTCCAAGTAGATTGGCTGATAACCGTACATGTTTGATTCCAATGGATCTCCATCGTCAAGTGTGAAGAATGGTTGGAGCATTTCATCAGGATTCAAACGCCATCCTGCATCACCAATACCACCACCTGAATAACGTTCACCTAGACCATAAACGTTTGCATCTTTTGGCAAAGCTGAACTTAATTGAAGGTATTGATTTTCAAAGATTAAGTTATGGTTTGGCATTGCTGTTGAATTACGGTTTGTGCTTAAGGTTGCGTTGAAAGGTTGATCGTATGTTGGGATATTGGCAGGACGGGTATCAAACAAAGGTGTTGCATCTGCTGCAGCACCTTTACGGGTGATCCAAAATGCCCAAGGATCTTGAGAGTTTGAATCATTTTCGGCTGTATGATGGAATTCCAAATGACTGCTTTCTTTTGTTGCTCCGTCTTGAACTTTTTCAGGATCAGAAGATGATCTGTTAAAGATGAGATCGTCGGGTAATTGGTACTGATTCTTTGCTGTGTCGTAGATATGGACGTGAAGTTGATGTACTTTTTCATATACAACTGCCAAGGTCAAATTCTTGACGTCAACTCCGTATGCGTTACAAGCTTGACCGGCTAAAGATAGAGGTACTGTGAAGCCTGATTTGCTTTCTTTGACATCACCTGCGATACGATATCCTGGACATGAAGATATGTTGTAGGAAGACTTGATGATTTCACTCTCTGCCCTAGGTTGAACTTCGTTCGCCGTTGGCAAAGTAAGAGCGATTGGGGCCAAAAGGGAAAGGCCTAATAAAGATTGTACGATCCGCATCTTGAAGGACTTGCGTTGGAGAGAGAAAAGTATTAAGTGGCGAGAACATAGCAGCTTTTATACTTTCTTCAATGTGGGGGCCCACTTTGATGATCAAGTCGCTTGAAACCTTCCGACGCTAAAGAGTATAATCATTCATGGAACCATCGTCATTAGCGCTCGGTGACTTGATTGTCCGATTTAGTCGCCGCTGATTAGAATGAAAAGGAGTGGCGGAATTGATAGAGTGGGTGAACGGTTCGGCTAAATGATGTTTAGAAAGTGTGGAGATGATCTCATCCTTTCTCCGCATTGAATTTTTAGTATAGTATAGTGTGCCGAATTGACCGAAGTTATACCGATTAGCGTATGATGGTACATCACTAGAACCATCTTAAAGGAGTGAAGTTCGACCGATAGCGCGCTATATCTTCTTCTATCCGCTTATTCATTAAACTATATTATTTCAAATAACACAAACGAAGAAATACAATTTGTAAGCCGCACTTTGGGGCAAGGAACAAAAGATCGGGTAAATTTAAACGAGAGAGGGGGGGTATGTAGGAACACAATTAAAATCTTATAGTCCCAAGAAGGCCAACATAACCGCAGCAACGGTAGCTGGGCCTGCCATATTGACTGCAAGTGAGTAAGCAGCATTTGTTCCTCCGGTTCTTTGTGCTCCGGCAGCGGATGAAGAACTTGTTCCATTTGCTCCATCTGCTGAAGATGAAGTGCCGTTTGTACTGTTGGATCCGTTTGCACCTGCTGCTCCGGCTGCTCCTGCTCCCAAAGCACCTGCTGCTCCGGCAGCTCCAGCATCTGTTCCGTTCTTGTTTCCATTTGCACCTGAATCTGTTCCATTGTTGCTGCTTCCCTTAGCACCATCACCGCTTTTGCCACTGGCACCACTGTCTCCATTTTGACCGTTACTGTTAGCACCATTGGCACCGGCACCGGCAGCACCTGCAGCAGCCAAGCCACTTGCACCGCCTAAGCCTGCAGCGATTGCACTTGCTTGAGCAGGATCGATTGATTTTGCAGAAAGATAAGAAGCATATTGAGCGCTGTTTGCACTGATGAAGCTTTCAGCATGGGTTGTGAATGAACCATCACCATGAGCAGCCCAAGAAAAGTAAGTGGATAATTGTGCTGGATCAACAGTTTTCAAGAATGATTCAACTGCTGCACTTCCGGTTGGGAAGACACGTTTCTGCAAAACGGGTGCTTCAGTTGGAGCAGGCATAACTGCAGCTGCTTCAATAGCAGGTAAAGCCAAGAGTAATGCGGCAACGGTAGCGAATTGAGCCTTCATTTTGGGTAATGAGTAGGTGGGAATGGGGGAATTATTGGAAGAGGTGAGGATGAAGAATGGATTTATATATTTTCGCTCTGAAAAGGAAAGTTTAACCATTCATGATGCAAATATGCATGGAGATTAAACTTGAAAAGGCAGGTATTGCAAGACTTGCTTTTAATGTTGTGAGAGGTTAATGAGGCTGTGAGGAAGTAAGACTATGTAGGCTGTAAACACATTTCTCATGCTATAATGGCTCGTTGTGGAGTATGAACATGAAGGGGCATGCGGTTGTTTGTTACTAATGCACTTGAATGAAACAATAAGATGATGCACTCTATTTTGACGTGCGATTGATGCATGCCACAAGAAGAATTAGCGTCAATTAACCATGTCGATCATTGAAGTTTAGACAGCTTAAACGCCACAACAGCATGCAAACATACCAACTGTCAGGGATTTGGAACTTCTTACGCGTTAAGAAAGAGAACAAATGTGACGTGCATCAGCAGCATCATCAGCAGCATGCTATCAAAGCGAGGAAAGAATGCGACACTTTTAAGCTAAAATTTAAACAATGAAATTGAATTGCAATCGTGCATATGATGGGAAAATGACAAAATGGACCATTCCGTCAAGAAACTTCTTTTCCAACTCCCCGAACATGAGCATGATATTTGATCCTGACCGAGTACGTCATCATGACCACTGCTGCTGTCCATGAAGTCCATGCAAATCCAGCCTTTTCTGCAGCTGCTTTGGCAGGAACGGATAAACTATCAGGGCAACCAAAGAACGATTTCTGTGCAGATGAAAGGTGTGGTAGGATACCAAATGCAAGAACATTTAGGAAAAGCATAAAAACTCTTTGTAGCGGTACTATATACCCGATGATCGTCAGAAGTTTTGCCCACTGTTGATGTTCTCTGAACTTTTTCGCTCTGGCTGTTTGAATGGTAAATAGCGTCGGAATAAGAAAAGCCCCACCTAAGATCCAAATGCCAAAATCAAACGTTGGCCAAGCAAGAACGGTATATTTTTGATCACCATACCCGATTCGTAGCTTGTGGATGTGAAACGTAGGTGCAGTATATGCAAGCTTAAGCGGGCTAAAAAGAATGCCCGATATCCCCAATGAAAAGCTTGCAAGGATGGCTAACCTGCCACTATAACGATGTAAGGCAGGATATTTTTGTCGGATACTTTTGATGTGTTGCAACGGAATACATACACACCATAAAGCTCCCATTGCTCCATGACCGAGGCCATATAGGATTGGCGCTTCTTTTAAACGATTTGCAGCGAAATGTTGACCAGTCTAATAGAAAAAGAATGATTAGTATAGCTTCTGTCGATGCACCTTACCGCTTCCCACACTCACTTCATCACGGGCCGATTGAAAGATCGGGGCATTTATATCCACTTCGGGTGGAGGAAGAAGGAGAATTGCTGCAAAGAATATGAGAACTGTGGATAGTATAGATTGATATTTGAGCGGAATATCTATCCATTCAAACATTGGCTGGCTTCTTTGGGGTGGAGAGCTTTTCTTTTTTTCAGTCATAGTCATCGTTGGTCAATTGTCTTTTGAGGGAGTCTGATGGACAGGATTCTTATGGACTCATCTCCTTTTATACACCATCTAACACCGATATGATAAGGATTGAAAGCCAATTGAATATCGGTTTTATCATTTAGCGTAAGAATGTTGTTTAACACCGAATTATTCGCCGAATAAGAAGATTGCTTAGTAATATGCATTCTCAACACAAATCATGTCATCCATTCGATTTAAACATGCGCAACATGCTCAAATGGGAGATCTTCCTTATCATCAGAGTGAGTAGTATAGAAGTACACCATGCTCAACAATAATGATGACAAGGATGGATGGATAGTTCACTTCACCACTCTTCTCCTTTTCATCTTAAGCAGAAACGGGGCACTTGACGCGTGTTTAAAAACATTTAAGCTTTTAACCCCGGACTTCTCAAGAATGTCCTAATTTCGTGTGTTTGTGTTTAACTCATACCATCTGCTTTTCTTCAATGTCATCTTCAGAGGTAAAGACAAAAGTCGTTATCCCACAAGGATGGCATGGCAATCTAAACGAAAGTCAACAAACAGCCTATAACACATTCAAACAAAAAGTAGAGGCAGATTATGGTTCTTGTTCTTCAAATGAAACATGGTTTGATGAAGTAACTCTTCTTCGATTCTTACGTGCACGGAAATTCGATGTCGAAAAGGCAATTGAACAATTCAGTGCAACGGATTCATGGCGAAAAGAGATCAATCTAGAACACCTTTTTCGAACTTGTTCGGCCGAAGAATTAGCACAAAGTAGACGACATTATCCTAGATTTCTAGGTAGAAGGGATAAACATGGCAGACCGATATTCGTTCTACGGCCTGGTTCGTTGGATTCGGAAAGACAAAAAGAGATGTTCAGCATTCCACCAAAAAGACAATTTGAGCGAATTGCGATCTTGACCGAACTGATGGTCAGACTTTGGCTTCCTATGGCGTCTTTCTTATTGGCAAAAGAGCATCCTGTCAAAGAAGAGTCTAAAAAGGATATCAATGACAACCCTAGAATCATTTCTGAAGTAACAAGTATCGTTGACTTAGGAGGGGCATCTTTGGGTATGATGTGGACATTACGTAACCATCTTAAACAAGCTTCCGTTTTGAATTCTGCTCATTATCCCGAGACTTTGGGGACGCTAGCATTGGTCAATGTTCCCACATTCTTCACAACACTTTGGGGTTGGATACAAAAATGGTTCGATGAAGGAACACGAAATAAGATGTTCATCGTTGATGCAAATCAGCTCAAACAAGGAAAATTACACGACATCATTCATCCTTTTGACCTACCAAAAGTGTATGGAGGAGAACTGGAATGGCAATACGAAGATGAACCGAGTATCGAACAGGAAATCGCTTCCCTTTTGGGTGCTAAAGAAGCTCCAGACGGACCTGCAGAATGGAAAGATGGTCAGCTTATCCTATTTGACGCAAGTGAAAAAGAACGCTTTCCAGACGCAATGGTTGGCTCGCAATAGAACATTTCATAGACATAGAATCGCATGATAGAAGCACAGCATATATTTCAATTGATGAGGTAGTCTGAAGCAAGATAGCCTAAGAGAGAACTTCGCCCACCTACCGCATAGAATTACTCAAGTGCCTAAGATTCGCAGGGCAATTATGTCATTCGTAAACTCAAGTGCCTAAGATTCGCAGGGCAATTATGTCATTCGTAAACTAAAAGGTGAACCTAGGGTAACAGACACTATGAATGCTTGTTGAAAGCACGTGGGGAGACAAGGTAGGATGAAAACCATTCTTCAATACTTTGCTTCGACGAGGCAAAAGCTCGGAGCATTTCGGGATATTCTGCGCTTATGTGCCACATTGACTGTTTCTGGCTGGTGGATCTCCTGCATGTTGAAGAGTCATGGTCCCAGCAGTGTATGGTGCAGTTGAAGGACCGCTGAATGTAACGCAAGCTTGAATTGCGCCTTTATTTACAAAATCGGTTGCTGCATCGTTGGATAAAGCCTTGATTGTATCACTACTTGGATTTCCGTCATTTGGATCATCTTCTCCGAAATAATAGCCGATAGAGTTATAGCTGTCTCTTTTACTCATATGCGAATTGGGAGATTCACCCAAAGATGTTTCTGCATGATAACCATGTTCGAGCTTTGTGTATTTAACCGTTTTACCATTGAATGCCAAAGCTTCTTTGACTTCGTTCGTCTTTGTGGGCAATTGGAATGGTTCAGTCTGATTATTGAGTTGGACTGCATATGCGTAATGATAGCCTGCAGATGTTTGTACTTTTGGCCATGTGGATTGATCAACATTACTCAACTTGACATGATTAATAAAATCACGTTTAGTGGGTAAAATTTGATCATTTTCGCCTCGCATACTACCGGGTTTGTATCCTCCCGCAGCTCCTGCAATCACTCCTGCCACTCCGATTGCGATGCAATTCTCGATTCCTGTAGAAGCACAACCTGCAATCACTAATGCTCCAAAAGCAAGAGCGGCAAAGCGACCCAAATACCAAGATGCTCTTTCGGCAAGTTCAATGGCTACCATCGTTTTCTAATGTTTGCTAAATAGCCAAGTATAAAACAAACTATACCAACGACAATGAGTTTGGAAGTTTCTTCAGTGTTAGAGATGGAGTTTTCGAATAAATGAAAACCGCTCTTGGTCATAGAATAGGGTGAGAGGAAAAAGAAGTTTTTGTTGGTAGAACTGGGGGATCTTCTTTCGCATTATTTCATGGCTTTTATACCTTTCTCATCCAAAGAAACAACCACATCACACACGTTGCCAAAAAGTAAACCACGAGGAAAAAGGCAAATAGCGTTCTTAAAAAATCAATTTACGATGAATATAGTACGAGAAGATATTTCATTATTAACCGTGTGTCATGATCAAAACATAAAGGGAAGACCAGGTTCTTGCGGGTAATATTTTTGTTCGGACAGAAATCCGAATCGACTAACGGATAAACTGAAGAAGTTGTGGCGTTTAAATTGATCTTTTCAAAGCTGCGGCGTCAAACTCTTTAAGCAGAGAAAAGCAGTCTGGAGCATAAGAATGAACGATGATTGGCGTTTTAATGAACGGCAAACGTACGCTAACGACAAAGAGCGAAAAGAAAAGACAAACCCCGCGCGCATTTTAACGCTGCTCAAATATATCCCACACCATGAAAACAAGTCAAATTTGATGCCGAGTAGTAGCATAAATTACCGTAGTGATCAGATTCCCGAAGTGGGCAAACAATTTATATATTTGCTCTTTATCATTTGGGTTTTATTTATTAACCTTCTTAGGAAAGATTGCCGAATATTATCCAAAACAGGAAGATCCTCAGCATCAGTTTATCCGTGAGCACGTTTTGGGTGGTCTCTTTTATTAATAGAGTTAATACAGAGAAAGATCAAACGAGCAAATTCTAGCTCTAAAAATTTTGTTGATTTTGTCATTTATATCTTTTCGGCTTTAGAGTCCCTATATCCGCGGTTGGTTTCCTCAGCTAATTGTATATTTTAGTCATCGTGGCTTCAATATCTTCCTGCTTAAGAGGCCGTTTAGATAAACAAATAGAGGCTCCTATATTTCTAGAAGTAGGATAGAATCAGAAATCTGTATGCACGCACGCACGCACAACCATAACCGGCATTCTCGGTAAATTGATTGTCAAGATTTGACGTGTGATGTTATCCGAGTTTGAATACCGAGCTAAGAGACCGAAAGACATCACCGAGAATGATGATAGTCCCTGTTAGGATATAAAAGCAGACGATATGAACGATTTCTCTCGAATAAATCATTAATACAGCACCCTCATCATGCTCATTTTAATAGTAGCCTTCCTTTTGACAATCCTTGGGGTAAACGCTATACCCTATAGGCTTTTTAGTCGTCAAGAAAACTCAATCTACGGTAAAAATGCAACATCTTATGGACCTCAAACTTATGGTCAATCAACATTTCCAGCACCTTCCAATCCCGCTGAGGTTAGCGCTGATCAAATATTATTCCAAAACCTTCTCGCAGCAGAATGGATTGTTGATAGCATGTATACCTCCGGTTTAGCATTTTTTACTCAATCTGATTTCACTTCTGCTGGTTATCCAAACAATACCTATGATCAACTTCAATCTGTCTACCAAAACGAAAATGGTCATTTGAAGCTGTTTGAACGTGCAATTGATTCAAATGTTGTTAAACCAGGTCGCTGCAATTATTCGTATGGTTTTGAGCATATCGCCAACAAAACCGAAGCCGTTCGAGTGTATATGAATATCGTCTCCGAAGTTGAGATTGGCTCAATGGCATATTTGACAGGCCTAGCCCATCAAGCCGAAGAAGTTGAAACTTTATACACAATCATGGGTACAATTTCCGCTGAAACAAGGCATTTGACTTATGTAAACGGACAGGTTCTGAATGTAGGAGATTTTGTTGGTCCTACGGATACGATCTATCCTTTTCCCTTGCAGCTTTTATCGGTAACGAAACAGTTTATCGTACCAAACAGTTGTCCAGCGGAAAACCCACCTTACCCTTCACCGGATCAAGATTTGCCAAAACTCTCAATCGACATCAAGAAATCGAAGATTCAAAGTAAGAATGGTAGTCTTACCCTTACTGCTGATTTGAAGGATACTCAATCGAAGAACGACCTTTCTGTTATCTTTTTCCAAAGTGTGTTCAATTATACAGAACGGGCTACATCCTTAGGAAACAACATTTTCCAAGTCAGTATTCCAAATTTGACGAGCGATAAAGGCAATTTGATCGTAGCTCTTTCCAATACTTCTGACGTTACAAAGAAGGAAGACATTGTTGCCGGACCTTTGGAGATTCAACTTGGTGTGCCTTTCCTGGGGTAGCAGGTATCTGTCTTACCTTTGCCTCAGATCGGCTTACGAGCGGTAACGGTATGACAATACCATAACCCGAAACAAGTACTTAAACCTGAAAATTCCAGCTTGACGTCTTTCCAATCAAGATCTTTCAACGTCTTTTCGTACAATTTTGTCGTTGAGGATCCCGATAGATCTAAAATCACTAAAACCCCACCTGGTTTGGTAACCCTTGCTAATTCTTGTACAGCTTTAATTCGATCTGATTTTTGCGTAGGATTATGTAGAGCCAAAGAACTTGTCACAAGCTCAAAAACATCATCATCAAAAGGCAAATCACAAAAGCTTGCCGAAAATAAAGTTATATTTTCTTGAACTTTTTCGGCAAAAGCGTTAAAGCAAGTAGCATCTGGACTATTGCCAGATTGATCAGCAGTTGAAAATATATCGATCCCGTACGATTGAGTGATTGCGTTTGGGAATCTTGCCTGTTTTGCTTTTGCAGTTTTGATAAGCACCAATCCTCTTCCGCAGCCTGCATCTAAACTTGGTCCTGCGAGTGCTTGATCGGGTAATTTTGCTAAAATGCTATCCCAAGCTTGAAATTTACCTTTAAGAGTCGCATAAGCATAAAGTGGACTGAATATCATTGAAGCAGCAAAGCCAAGAGGTGAATCTACTCCATAAGAAGCTTTACCGTTTGAAGCTTTTGTAACTTTTGCTTCATCAGCTTTGAATGCTTTGACATGGTCTTGCAGACCTTCTTGGCCTGTTTTGTACATGATTGGAAAGAGGGGTTGAAAGTTGTACATCTACCACCGCTTTATATACCGACGGCATGATAGTTTATCTGCGTTGTGCCGCCGCTAAGAACAATGAAACACAAGCCCGTTACCGTATGGTCAAGACAATGAACCAGGCATGAAGCACGTTGGATGGTATCTTTAGGATTATATAATCATCTTTGAATCTTCCCGAACCATTAAACTATACCATTTAACCGAGAAAAGATGGGGAAATTCAAATTGTACTGGTTAAGTGCATTGAGTGTACTTTCTACTGTGCATGGACACGGACAAAGATTCCCTTCAGCCAGGCCTTTGTGTTTCAGTGTGTGTGCCCTGCCCTGATTTGCTGCTGCCCTTAGATTGCGCATATCGCGTTGTGTGTGCCTTGACGGGCGTACAGGTCAGCCAGCCAGCTAAACAAGGCTAGACCATACACATGCACGGCTCTTCTTGCGTACTGGGCCACACACCCAATGCAGCATCTTTTTTGGTCTCTCTTCGGCGTAATTGTTCAGCGTGGAGGAAATTAGGGCAAGAAAGTGATAAAGTGCACAAAAACAATGAAAAAGAAAAGCTTCTTTTTGATTGTATTGAATAAAATACAAATCCCCACACTACATTCTCTCACCAACAACATAGATCATCTTCTCTTCACCACCAACACTATCCACGTGTGATTATTGAATAAGACTTCCTACATCAACCACACGTGGAAGAAGTGCTTCACATTCATTATCATCATGGGAGATTTGGTCGAAAGACGTGATGTGAACAACGCATTGTTGTTCGAATGCGCTTGGGAAGTGGCCAACAAAGGTAAGTAGTTTACTAAAAAGGTTTTTCCCCTGTCATTGCTAACAATCACATCATATCCCACAGTCGGAGGTATTTATACCGTCATTAAAACAAAGGCTCCCGTCACCGCTCAAGAATATGGAGATCGTTATACACTCGTGGGACCTTTGTCCTACCGTACCGCGCCCATGGAAGTGGAAGCAATGGAACCCACCGATCCAGCAATGAAGGCAACTTTGCAAAACATGAAAGATCGTGGTGTAAAATACCTTTACGGAAGATGGTTGATCGAGCGTGCCCCAAGAGTTTTGCTTTTCGATACAGGCTCAATGTATCATCGAATGGACGAATGGAAAGGAGATCTTTGGAATTTAGCAGGAATACCCACTCCCCCCAACGATCATGAAACCAATGAAACTTTAATCTTTGGTTATCTGGTTGCTTGGTTCTTGGGAGAATATGCCATTCATGAACGCAAACGTGCCATCATTGCTCATTTTCACGAATGGCAAGCAGGTCTCGCAATTCCTCTTTGTCGAAAGAGAAGAATTGATGTAACGACAATTTTCACCACCCATGCAACTCTTTTGGGTCGTTACTTGTGCGCCGGTAGCGTTGACTTTTATAACAATTTGCAATACTTTGACGTCGATCATGAAGCTGGAAAGCGTGGTATCTATCACCGATACTGCATCGAAAGAAGTGCTGCTCATTGCGCCGATGTCTTTACCACAGTTTCTCACATTACAGCGTACGAAAGTGAACACTTGCTCAAACGTAAACCCGATGGAGTTTTGCCAAACGGTTTGAATGTGGTCAAATTCTCTGCTATGCATGAATTCCAAAATATGCACGCTATCAGCAAAGCAAAGATTAACGAATTCATCAAAGGTCATTTCTACGGTCATTACGACTTTGACCTTGACAATACAATCTACATGTTCACAGCTGGTCGTTACGAATACCGCAACAAGGGTGTGGATATGTTTATTGAATCTTTAGCCCGTCTCAATCACAGATTACAGGCATCCGGCAGCAAGACTACGGTTGTTGCATTTATCATTATGCCTGCTGCTACAAATTCCTACACAATCGAAGCACTCAAGGGACAAGCAGTGACTAAACAATTACGTGACACCGTTGATGAGATCCAAAAGCGTATCGGAGAAAGATTGTTCGAACGTACTGCAAGATACAAAGGTGAAGGTGGTATGGATATCGTTGACCCAATGACTTTGCTATCGGAAGAAGACAAGATCTTGCTCAAGAGAAGAATCTATGCTTTGAAGCGTAATTCTTTACCTCCCGTCACAACGCACAATATGGTAGATGATGCCAATGATCCAATTTTGAACCAGATTCGACGTGTGCAACTCTTTAATCGCCCTCAAGACCGTGTCAAGATCATCTTCCATCCTGAATTCCTGAATGCCAACAACCCAATCTTGGGATTGGATTACGAAGAATTCGTACGTGGCTGCCATATCGGTGTCTTCCCAAGTTATTATGAACCATGGGGCTACACACCTGCTGAATGCACAGTCATGGGTATTCCTTCCATCACAACAAACTTGTCTGGTGTCGGTTGCTTCTTGGAAGAAACGCTAGAGAACACATCGGATTATGGTTTGTACATTGTAGATCGTCGAATGAAGAGCGTTGAGGAAAGCGTAAATCAATTGACGGATTATATGGTCGATTTCTGTCAAAAGACCCGTCGTCAACGTATCAATCAAAGGAACAGATGTGAACGTTTGAGTGATTTGTTGGATTGGAAGAGTCTTGGTGTGGAATATGCAAAAGCACGTCAATTAGCTTTGCGTCGCGCTTATCCCGATTCGTTCGAAGATGATGAAGATGACAACTACTTTGACGAAGGAGCAAAGGTACCACCACCAATTTCCATGCCTGGATCTCCACGCTACGGAGGCGTCCGTACACCGGGCGATTACGGAACATTGGCAGAAGATATGCAAGGTTTAAGCACGAATGATTATCGTGGAAACGCATTCTGGCAAGCTATCAACCAAAACGAAGATGAAGAAGAAGCATTCCGTTTGCCACTCGTTCTCAAAGGACGTCGTCGTGGAACGTCTGTTGGTAGTATGAGTGGATCCAGTACGCCAGGCTTGTTGGGAAGCAAGACTTTATCTGCTGGTGACTTGGAGCGTGCTGATGAAGCTTTGAGCAATCATCAAGAAGTGAACGGAAGCAATGGTATTAATGGTCATAAGTGAAGTTTTCTCTGAGCCGTTCTGTAAATCTTTCTCTGCCCTGTCTTTGTTTCGAAACCAAAAGATGTGCAACCCCCTTTTCTAATCATTGTGACATTCCTATTACCAATTGAGATCATTTTTTACATACATACTATGACTGAAAACAAATTCATATGATTGAGCGATAATGTTACACGATTCTCAATACCCTGATGGCTGCATCTGGTGCTGCTGATGAGCTCCAGGGGTGGGAGCAGATTGTGATCCGGGCGTTGGTGCTCCGGTTGTGGTATTGGTTGCAGAGGTGCCCGTTCCGTGCGTAGGCGTTGGCAAAGGAGCAACTAAAGCCAAAGCAGATTCCCAATCGCTGTTATTTTCCATATGTTGATTCATCAATAGTCCTGAAAAGATGTCTTCATCCAATAAGCTGCTCAAGCCATTCGTCGTTGCCGCTCCCGTATTTCGCATTCCTCCTCCGTTCAAGTTTGCATTACCACTCATCATTGTTACATTTGTTCCGTACAATGATGGATTACCGAGATTTCCGCCGTTCCCAAACGCTCCACTTGTTGGACTTGGGAATCCTCCTCCCATATTCCATGCATTCGCTCCTCCGCCATTTCCACCTCCACGAGAGCTTGATGTGCTCCAAGGCGAAAGAGGAGGACCAGAAAAGCTGCCAGTGTTGGTATAAGATTGCATCTGTCCATTTTGCGTACTGTTCACATCTTTTACGCCATAATTGCCATGCCCTGTGTTTATTCCTCCACAATTATAACGATTATCACTGTTACTCATGCTCGAATGTCGATCTCGTACAAAGCTTGTCGTATGTCTCTTTGCAGGCGGTTCAAATAATCCGCCAACTGAACCGGTATATTCATTCGGCGATCTTCCAAGAGAAGATGAAGCACTATCACCACTACTGTTTTTCGAAGCTGCATCCACTAGCACACGTTCAACAAGCGAAACGAATGGCGAAAATGCAACGCCTTGGGAGTTGGATTCAGTCTTTGCCCTTTTCCGTTTGGAGTTTGGTTTGAAATTGTCTTTGCCTTGTCCTTGATGGACTCGCAGCTCCGTTTCCGCTTCTAGCAGTCCCAACAGCAGATTGTAAGTATTCTTTGCTGCTGCACTTAGATGACGTGCTGTATCACATATATCCAGCATTTCTCGAATCGCCTTTCGTTTGTCTTCTGTTGCTTTGCTGTCACTTCCGTCGTCATAACACAAGTCCAAAAACAACACCAATGCACCTGAAAATACGTAATACACATGAATCCAAACTTTGAGAAGGAGAGGAGCATGCTTTTTGGCATGTCGGAAGCAGGCCAAGATGTTGTATGCTGCATCCACACATCTCTTTCGCGAGACGCTATTCTTATCCAGTAATCCTCGGGCCAAGAAAGGTCTATGAAGACGCAAGAGTCTATTCCAACCGGTAATTTGAATCGAGAGCAGTTCCATATCATGACAACTATCGCCAAACGTCCAATGATCTTGCTCATCCATACGAAGTTGAAAGTAGGAGGGCAATCCATTCAACATTTCCATCAACTTTTTATCCATCTCTGTCAATTGCGTGTGCGTCATTCCCGTTGGCCCGTTCAACAGATCGATCGTCTGTCTATACACATCCAAGAAGCGTAATTTCCAGATCGTAAAGCTCATGGACGTATATTCCTCAAGCGGTTTGGGCACTACGGTAGCAGAAGCTGTCAGATCTTCATCATTGATATTAGCAGGAAGATTTGTTCGATTATGACTTGGGTGGATAGCATAGCAACCTCCATGTGACAGCGCATGACTCCAATCAAGCCAAACAAGATACCACCACACTCTCTTTCCCAATTCTCTTTCCAATGGTGATTGTTGCTGTTGAGCAGAAGCACCTGCGCTCTTGTTCTTCTGTCTTTCTTTCTCTAGGAATCGTACATCGTCCAGCCTATTCAATGCCAAATTCTGTGCAATCTTGATCGAAGCTCCTACTAATGCATACGCAGCATCTGCCTGCTCATCAACATTATATGCATATACCGACATCAACACAACCGCTTGCAAATGTTCCAGTTGATGACTTCCAATGAAATCCGATGACCAGAGCAATTGTTGAGATCCGGCAAAGAGAGCGTCACATAGGGACTGAGCACTCACTCGATCATAGCCCCAAAGAAGAACTTCTTCTCCGCTACAAAGATGGATGGCCAAGCAAATCACCATAAAGTGTACACACAAGAACGTGGGACGAACACTTCGGGCCGCCGTTTCGAGATCAAGTGATAGCAAAAGGTTCATATCTTCCATGTAGTTCGGTCGATAAAGGCATTTCGTGTACCATTCCAACCTTTCAAAGTAGTAATGAACGATTTGCCGCTGTGTTTCAGGAGGAGGTGCCAGTCGCAAAAACCTATAAGCCACATCTGCTGCTGGATCTGCGCTCCTTTGATTGACTGCTGTTTCAAGTCTGGAGGGATCCGGACTATCACCCGGACGTGAAGATAACAGACCGGGTTTTGGTACCAACTTTTGAGCGGCACGTCTGGCATTTGCACGGTTTCCCATTGCAAAATCTTCCAACATCATCACTGCATCGTTCTCACCGTCCCTAGGTGCGCTTGTGTTATTGACGTTGTTTGCATTTTGAGTATTTGATGCGCCCATGACATACTTTGATGATGAAGCATTAGAGAACGATAATCTTCTCCCTTCGCCTACACCGCCTTCCACAGCCCTTTGCATGGATTCGAACCTTTCTTCCAGTTCGTTCACCCTGTTTTGCAAGATTGTGAATTCGCTCAAACTACATCCTGCTTCCCATCGAATGACGGGTTTACATCTTGCTTGATCGTTACGCAAGATACAAGGACCACAAGGTGTTTCGCGATTACAACGAATCTTTCGTTTTTTGCATTGTTCGCATGATAGCGCTCTTCCTTTTGGAGGTTCCATCTTTTGTGCCGCGGTTTTCAATGATGTTATACTTGTATTGCCAGCCAGATCGTTCGAGGAAGGCGGTCCCATCATGGATGAAGGAGAAGGAGAATCGCTCATTTTTGCTATCACAACCACATCCACATGGCAATAGAGAGGGTTCTCAACACCTTTGTTATTTTCTTCTCGCTTTAGTCTTTCCCCCCAAAGAAGTCGGGTAGATGGAATTGCGGGGAAACTGCAAAAGAAAGGAGTTCAATGCATCAAAGTAAGAAGCATGTTAAAAAGAGTGGGGTATTCGCATCCTTACTTTCTTTTTTCGGCTTTAAAACGCGCCGCTGCTGTTCTGGTGCTAAAGCGCAAATCTTTCCGTCAATGCCGCGGCAAACGAAATAGAGTTCCATCCATGCACAGACTCTAATAAGAAGAAACCTTGGGTTAATACGAGGTACCTGCGTTCATTAATAGATCATCATCATCATTGCCATCCTCACTTTAATGGCATGAAATATATTACCTTAAGATCCGCTCTCTTGTGAATAATCGAGTCGATCGCCGGGGCTTAAGTTTATGACACGCGCGTAGAAAATCTTACTCGCACTATTCTCGCATTCATCCACCCCTACCGCCAAAGATGCCATCAAAGAATGATGGCGAGAAGGGATTGCAAATTTCACAAAGTTTAACTGTTTCTGCAACAGAAGCAGACTCTTCAAGTGCATTCGAATCACTTAGAGTATTTGTTCATCCATCTCTTTTACGCACATTAAGGATCCAAATCGCATCGCCCGGTGCTGTGATTCTATCTTCTTCAGGAATCGAACATTGCTTCATTGCTGATATCTGGCCTAGATCTACTATTGATGTAGAACAATGTGTGTGTGTTCCGGCCGCCTACATACCAAGTCAAGCCGGAGAATGGCAAGCAAAGATCTTGAACATCGCAAGCTTAACAGAACTCAAATCGACAAACGAAATCAAACTGCAAATCCACCAAAAGCGTAATGCAGAGCAACTCTCTCTGCTCACATCTCAGGCTCGCGAGCATCTCATGCTGGGTAAGTTTGTTACCCAAGGAATGCAATTCACGCTACTCAGAGGCGGCGACTCAGTATCTGTAAAGGTAACTTCAACTGGAGTACGTTCGGGGTCTCTCCCAACAACAAATGCACTGTCTGCTGATGTTCAGAGAGTCATCTCATCAGCTGCAAGAGCAACTCGTTCAATGAAGATCACAATCCAACAGCCTAAAAACGACACTGCCACCTCCACCCCAACTCCTCAGGTCAATGGAGCATTACAGAAAGAGAGTGCATATGCGACTTTGGGTGGATTAGACGCACAAATCGAAGAATTGAGAAAGCTGGTCGAACTCCCACTAAAGCGACCGGATCTCTTCCAACAATACGGATTACCGGCTCCTCGCGGGTTATTACTATTTGGACCACCAGGAACGGGAAAGACAACTTTGGCATACAGCGCAGCCAAATCGTGCGTTCCCACTACATCCATCGAAACCATCTCTGGTCCGGAATTAACAAGCAGCTTACACGGTGGAACAGAAAGAGCTCTTCGCAAAGTGTTTGCTCGGGCTAGAAAGAATGCTCCAAGTGTGGTGATAATTGATGAAATCGACGCACTAGCACCCAGAAGAGACGGGGACGTAGAAGGAGCGGGAGAAGTGGAAAAGCGAGTCGTTGCAACGCTTTTGACATTGATGGACGGTTTGGGAGCGGACGGAAAAGAGGACTCGAGGGTCGTTGTGATTGCTGCAACAAACAGACCAAACGCTTTAGATCCGGCTTTGCGAAGACCTGGTCGTTTGGATCGTGAGATCGAGGTCGGAATCCCTACCAGCACAGCACGTTTGGAAATCTTGCAGGTTTTGCTAAAGGGTGTACCCCATTCACTCACCTCCGAAACCATCAAAGCTGTGGCTGATAGGACACATGGATACGCGGGAGCAGATCTTTCTGCACTTGTTCGCGAAGCTGGAATGCAGGCGCTCTCTCGTGATATGGCCTCTGCTCATGCAGATCTTAGCAGCCAATTGGAAAACATGTCGCTCGCATCTTCTCAATCAAATGGTCTGACCGAATCAGATTTTCTGTTCGCACAAGCAAAAGTCAGACCATCAGCAATGCGTGAGATTTCATTGGAATTACCCAAAGTGACTTGGGATGATATTGCGCCTGGGCAATCTGGCTTGGATGTTCAACGTAAGATTCGTGAATGTGTCGAATGGCCGTTGAAGCATCGATCCACGATGCAAAGATTGGGAATTGATGCCCCACGTGGAGTACTTTTGTATGGTCCTCCAGGATGTAGCAAAACGCTCATTGCCCGTGCTCTTGCAAGTGAAAGCGGCTTAAATTTTGTGGCTGTAAAGGGGCCAGAACTACTCAACAAATACGTTGGTGAAAGTGAACGTGCTTTACGGGACGTTTTCAGAAAAGCGAGAGCGGCTGCACCATCAATCATATTCTTTGATGAAATTGACGGAATGACAACAGCAAGAGGAAGTGGAGATGGAGGTGATCGACTCATTACCACACTGCTCAATGAAATGGATGGAGTTGAACAGCTATCCAACGTCATCGTCATTGCTGCTACCAATCGACCCGACGTTCTTGATGCTGCTCTTTTACGACCTGGAAGATTAGATAGACTTTTATACGTTGGGCCACCCGATCTTGAAGCCCGTAAGCAGATTCTCTCTAAGAGAACACAAGCGATGGCTTTGGCAGAGGACGTCAATCTCAGCTTGATTGCTGATCTGACTCACGGCTGCTCAGGCGCAGAAGTGGTTTCAATCTGCAATGATGCCGGTCTGCGTGCTATGAATGAGAGCATCTCAATAGAGGCCGTTCGTCAGGATCACTTGGAATCTGCAGCCAAGCAAGTTCGTCGTAGAATTACTCCACAGATGATCAGACAATATGAATCGTGGCGGGATCAACTTGTACTTTAAACTATGAATATTTTCATTGCAATTCAATGTGTGTTGTTCTTTTAGCGACTCAAATCTCCGAACCTCGGCTTCACGCACTCACCCACGTCCGCATCCTTCTAGCGCGCTTTTCTATTCCAACTCTTCCTTCTTCCCTCACCACCGTCTCGCAACAATGGCAAACAACTTTATAACAAAGACCTATTTGGTCGCATTCAATCTGATCTCCTTCTTTGGATGGAGTATGATTTTGACAACATTGATTCGTCATCTAGCTTTGGGGGAAATGCGACAAACACTTCCGATCGAATACAGTGAAAAATTCATCGCTTTCTTACGAAGTGCAGCTGAAAGAAACATTTATGTGATCTCATTCAAAAATCCAAAACTTCCAGCCTTTCTCTCAACTTTACTCGACCGTGCAAGTACACTTCATGCAATCTCTGGAGCATTAGTAGCCGTCGTACAATCTTTGGCAGTCATGGAAATCGTTCACGCTGTAATCGGAATCGTCAAGACTCCCGTTCCAACAACTGTCGTTCAAGTATTCTCACGTTTATTCTTGGTCTGGGGAATTTCAGAAAGATACATCAATTCTGCCGCTTCGCCTTGGTATGCCTCAATGGTTTTCGCTTGGAGTTTGACTGAATGTATTCGTTACCCCTTCTATGCAAACGCTTTGATGGGCTCCGAATCTAACTTTTTACAGTGGGCTCGTTATACCCTTTTCTACGTTCTCTACCCGATGGGAGCCGGTTCAGAAGCCATGTTGATGTTCAAAACACTTCCAAACGCTTACCCATGGGACAAACCCTCTGCTTGGACTGCGGAAAAGTACTTGGTTGCCGTCTTGTTTGTTCTTTGGTGGCCAGGTTTGTACGTCATGTACACTCATATGATCCGTCAACGTCGTCGTGCATTGTCGAAAGTTAGTGGATTTTGGGGAACAAAAGATTCAAACGCTCGTCGTGAAGCTGCAAAGGTGAGCGCTCAACGTAAAAAGGGTGCTAAAGCCGTAGCTGATGCATCTTGGGCTACCGGTGAATCAAACAAGAGCAAGTAAGAGAGGTATTCACGATTAAAATGATAATGCTGGAACTAGTGTACATAAATATATATGGTTAATTCTACAATGCAATGAATTGTCCTATAATCACTTTGAGGCTTTTGAAGAAACCTTGCGTTGAGCGATGGATGCCTTTGTACCTTTCATGTAATTTGTAAGATCGTTTGTAGCAGCAGGTGGTGCTGAAGTGGCATTCTTGACCTTTTTCTTCGTTGGTGAAGCGGTGGCCTTACTGGCCTTGAATTTGGATGGTTTCTTGGCCAATGGATCATCTGTGCTACCCTTCTGCGATGAACTTTCAGCCTTGGCTTCTTGCTGGCTAGCTGACTTTGTTGCCGCTTTCTTGGCAGCAACGGCTGCCTTTTTGGTGGCAATTCGCTCAGCTTCCAAACTTTCACGATATTGCGACCATGAAATGTCATCAAATGGCAACTTGTGATGTTCATCATTACTCATACTGAAATCATTGACTGCTTGATCATCAGGGAAAGTTGTTGCTTCCCACAGACCCAAAGCAGCTTGTTGAACATCACCTTGGACCCAAACGTCAAACACATCTTCCCATTGACCATGCGGTAAGGGGAAATCGTAATTGAGCAATATTGTACGAATAGGCGCATTGATGTCCTCTTCCTCCGTGTCATTTGAATCAGTTCGCGGTGAAGCACTACGGGAACTTCTGGTCTTGACACCTTCCGTTTCTTCGCCATCGCTCTCTTCGTCACTGCCGGGGTACTCCCGATGGTCGCGTGCTTGACATGATTTAGCAAATTCACGTACGATTCGTTTCGTTCCAGGCACTTTGAGACTTGTGCCTGCTACAATTAACAAATCTGGTGGAAGAGGTTTCAAACGTGGTTGACGCTTTGGTTTCGATTGTGGTAGCCTGGGTTCCGATTCTAGAGCAGGTGGAGATTGACCAATCGCTTCATCTGCTAATCTTGCATCTTTGCTATCTTCATCATCTTCCTCATCAAAAGCAGATGCGAATGCTTCATCAGCAGTTGCAGCTTCGAGAATCGGGTTTAAAGTAGTACTGTTAGCCTCCTTCTTCTCCTTTCTTTCGCGCAGGGTGCGCTCACGGCTATTCTCTGGCACAAGTGGTTCATTAGGATCACGCAATCCCAAGATGTCTCGCTCAACGCAATCGCCCACACGCTCGGCTCCTTCATTTTGTCCGTTGTACAGCACAACATCCACTTTCATCATACCGATTCCTCTCGATCGCAACCCAACAACCGTGCGGGCCATATCTGCCGTTTCACATTGCTTGCAAGGCACAGATTCTCCTTGAGAAAGAAGATCCATCGCATTGACCGCTTGATCGCTTGCACTAGGAGAGAGTTCACGAGCCCCTTGTGGTAATGTTTGTGGGCCGGGAGATGCAAGAGAGAGGTAGATTTTGTGACCACAAACCTGACAAGTCATCGTAGACAATGAACCGTGGAGTGGAATGGCACGTGGGAACATTGGTTCATCTACATCAGCTTCGTCATCCATGGCTCGATTGCCAAACAAAACCGCGGAATCACTCTTGCATCTTGCAAGACCGTTCCTACCTTTGCCGGCTGCTCGATCGGCCGCTTCACGTTTACGCTTGCCTAGGTTGCGCAAAGTCTTTCTGCTGTCACCTGTATGCCCCAAGCCGAACGACAAACCTGCCTTTTCCTCCAGGCCATCAATGTTTTGCGTATAAACGCGCATCAAACGTCCTTCCATATCGAGCCGCTTGAGAAGATGATGGAAAGAGGTAGGCGTGGCAGCATCTGCCATTGCTTTCAACTCCGATACCATCGAATAAAACAAAGCAGAAGTAGATGGAGATTTGAACAAATTCGCATCAAACAAATCCTTACCACTTTGCAATCCAACATTTGGATGTTTTTCCTTTAATTTTCGAAACAAACCTTGAGCCGAACGAAAATCAGGTATATTTGCTGGCGAAGAAACTGAAATTCCGGCGCCGCAAATGACAACAATTCGTCTTGCATTTGCAACTGCTTCCCACGTTCGCGCTAAATCTCGAACGGCATTCTTTGACGATCGTGCAAAAGGCGGCAATGCTATTTCAGGTATATCATATTGTATCTCAGCTGGATCTTCTGTAGGGAGCTGGACACTCTTGCCTTTGTCTAAAGAAGGAACAGGCATTGACTCCTCTTGCTTCACTTTGCGCGAATTTCTTGTTTTGTGAGTTGGTGTAGACGATGCTACAGTGGAAGCAGGGGTAGATGTTGTAGGAGGAAACAGACCAAGTGAGCTTTTTTGTGAGGAGGCTGACGAGAGTGGAGAAGTTGACCTAGCGGAAGAAAGACTACCACCAAGACGGCTTCCCATAGAAGGTTGAAACATTGATGTCGAACGTGCCATTGTCCGTGTGCGCATCTTTTGAGGTAGACTTTTTTCGATGGCTGTAGGTTTTTCCTCTACCACTTTTGCTTGACTTAAGCTAGGACCCGAAGGTTGAGGTAACGACCCCTTGAATGGGGTTTGCTGTATAACGAGCATCTTTTATTGCTTCTTCCTAAAGACAAAGAAAGTGCATTTATGCGATCATGATGATGGTAAGAAAGACAGGGCGGGGTTGGTTGTTTGCTGCACTCTTGCTTAGCTTACAAAGAAAGTCTGATGCTGTCTATATTCTCTGTGTGACACTTGTGTGTGTAAGAGGGTGCATCATACCCACGCATTAAAAATTCACGCGTGTTATTGATTGTCACAATACGCGTTCTAGCTCACGTGCTTATCGGCAATGTTTATTTGATGATTTGGTATATTCTATTTTAATAAGATTATGAATGGGAGAGCATAGTCTTAGGTGGTAATGGTGGTGGAACAGCATCTGAATCATTCGATGCATCGTTCCCACTCTCATCCTCCCATGCAGGCGATGCAATCTTTGGCGCCCAAGGTCCTTCAAACGGACTTGGCGTTCCTCCGCGATGATTGAGAGAAAGTCGAGAGAGAGGCGGAATGCCAAGAGAAGATACTGTCGGGGCGTTACTTTGTGATCGTGAATGTTGTTGCTGGGATTGTTGAGAATGTTGTGTTGTTGGAGTATAGGAAACTACTCTCGGCTTCACAGCTCCGTTGGAAAGAGGCGCATTAACAAATGGTCCTTGTGGTAATGGTGTCGTTGCAGGAGATGCTCGAACATCAGAAGGTGCAGTAAACGGTAAACCATGAAAGTTGGGAGCATATACTGGTCTGGGTGAAGCCATCATATGTGTACTTTGTGGACTAGATGCTTGTGCTGCTGCCACTGCTGCTGCTTGATTGTTCTTTTGTGCTTCGCGATCTCTTGCTTCCCAATACTGTCGCATCTGTTCCTTTTCTGAGAGGTTTGATGTGCCAGTATTGGCAGGAACAGTACTGCCATTCGACCCGCTAGCCACCACTATTGCAGCAGGAGCAGGACTGGTAGCTTGTTGTGAGGTGAATCTTTCCACTTCTGCTTGTGCCGCATGATAGCGTGCCAATTGTTCTTTCTCACCAAGAGGTTGAGGTTGAGGAGCAGGGTTATTTTGCACTGTAGATCCAGATGAACTGGCGAGACCATTGGAATCATACGAATTGGCTAAATGACGCTGAACTTCAGCTTGAGCGGCATGATAGCGTGCCATTTGCTCTTTTTCACTCAAGGGCTGAGATTGCTGGAGATTGGAAGACATTCCCGAAACATCAAACTTGGGCGGATTTACTGATGCACCGCTTTCTCCTTCTTCATCCAATCTGGCTTGATATTGATTTACAGCATCTTGAGCAGCATAAAATCGTTTCATCTGTTCCTTTTCACTCAAGCCGTTCGTATGAGATCCGCTGACGCTTGCGCTGTATGAAGGCACATCGCCCATGTTTGCCGAACTAGATGGTGTCATGTTGGAAGAAGAGGCAACAGATTGATCTTGTGCTTGCATGTGTGCATCGGTTTCCGCTTTTGCTTGCTCGTACAATCGTCTCTTTTCATCTTCTGCAGATGCATATGAAGGGTACGTCTGCCCTTGATTATTTTTTGAAGGAGCTGGAGCACCTGCAGCGGCCATTGTTGGATTATCGAGCCAAAACATTGCACTGTTGCGATTATCATGCTGCATCGACATTGGCCTTTGTAATCGATTTTCTGGCGAGTTCGGATAGCCACCCGGTGGACCTTCTCCAGAAGATGCGTCTTCGTCTACACGAGGCAAAGCGGGTGTATGCATTCGACTGTTGTTTGCACTCTCTTCTGCAGGGAAATTGGCACCTTCTGAGAAACTTCTCTGGTACAATTCTGCTTCCCGTCTTGCTCTTTCCCATAATCGTAACTTTTCACTCTCAGATGCGGGTAAGGTATTTGCAGAATCAATATCTCGAGTACTTCCAGCTGCAAGCGCTGCTCTTGCTTCATCAGCCCTTCTTTGATTTCTCTCCGCTTGTAGTCGAGCACGAAGATATAATCGCTCCTTTTCCTCTTCTGCCGCCGCATTTGCAGCAGCAGAATTCGGTACTGCATTCGCCGTCGAAGGTCGAGAAATAGGTGTAGCAGAAGAAGGAAAACCAGCAAAAGAAAACCGAGCAGGAGAATCTGTTGGTCCGCGAGAAGGCAAAAAGCTTGATCTTGTAGGCTCTAAAGAAGCAACAGCACCATAATCCACGCCCATTGCCATTGCATTTCGAGGATCATTGGAATGATGATACAATGCATTCCTTTCTTGTTCGGATAATTGCTGATCGTCACCATCACCAGGTCCCGCAAATGCAGGTCTTGGACCTTCTGCAGCATAGAATGGTGCGGGTGAAGAGGTTGGCAAAGGAGGTGGGCCATAATTACCAAAATTGTACAATTGTCCTGGTACACCTCTGCCGGCCATTCCACCAGTTGCATTTGTCATCACCGTATCACGTCTTTGCAAAAGTGCATTTTCATAACCTCCGCCTCCAGTCGATGAACTTCCAGCGTAAGACAAACTTCTACTGGGAATAGGCCGAGTGCTACGACTAACACCTCGAGAAGTCGATGCATCGTCAAAGTCGTCATCGATCAGCATGTCGCGTTCACTCAATCCTTCCACAAATCCGATCTTCTTCATCAATGAGAGAGAGGCTTGTCGTGGGAATGTAGTCATCATCATAGGTACATGATCGATAACAATAGGGGATTTAGAGATATCCACGTACAAACGCATCGTATAGCTCACTTCGATGTGCTTGGCGGTAGAAATTGACATTAGAGCATGATTCTTTGGAATCACAAGCTCAATATCGTAATCTTTGCTGTCTCCCTTGTAAATTTTTTTACCAATCTGTTTTGCTTTCTGTGTCACCACTTCAACCCGCTGCATAGATGGCTGAGCTGAGCTGCTGTTACTCGTCATGGATTTCTTGCTAGGTTTGACTCCATGGAAAGTGACGGTCTCCTTGATCGTGACTGCAACAGACTTTAATTTGGCTGGCTCAACTCGGTTGCTTTGAACAATGACCTTGACACGAATCTTATCGCCCGGAGCATAACAATAACGTTCCCTTCGTAATTTTGCACGCATAGAGTCACGTTCACCTGTATGGGTATCGGGTATATTGTATGCTGGCCAGGTTGAATGCATTTCATGCTTATCGAGAGTGATTGGTTGAACGGATTGCATGACAGAAGATGTATCTTCTTTTCGCATGAAACCTTTTTTTGTCTTTACGCAAAGGCTGGTTACCACCTCATACTGTAATCCACAAATCTTGTCCAATCGAGCTGAAGGCGGTAAAGCCTCAGGTATGTTGATTCGGAAGGGGAAGTCGTTGGTCTTCAATACCTCCCAGCATGTCCCATCTGGATCTTGTTCGCGATCTCCTTTTCCTGTTCCAGAACGTGCTGACCAGACATCGATGGGGCCTGATCCTATCAATTCACCCCAATTTTCACCACCCGGAACGGTTTCAATTTTTCTCAGCTCGATTCGAAGCCAAGATGCTTTCATCCCTTTGCTGCCTAAACGAACTTCCACATTTCCGGCAATATGAGCAGCATTTCTTGAAGCTTCTTTGTTTGGCGCGATCCCTGGCCAACCCAACACGAAATCCAAATGGGGCAAAGGTCTAATTGACAACTTTCCCTGAGAGCTCATTCTGTTATGTTGGCATAGTCAAGAGATGAGATGATGGCATTGGCATTCATTCATCCGCTTCCCCACTCTATATACTATACCTCATTAAACTTCATTAACACTGCTTTTTACTCCACTCAAGAGTATGTACGCAAAAATGCACTGCCTCAAAAGCGCACACAAACGCGTTCTTAAGCCGGCCACCGGTGTTGTGCCTGCCTTCTTGTTGCGTAAAGCACTCTTGCAGGTGCTTCTTGTCTCAGGCTTGCTCCCGAACACATCCATAGAGCATCATATCTGCACCATTTCAACAAACAGAACAAAAGGCAGCAAATCGTTTTTCCGCTTCAAATACAGAAAAAGGGGGAGTCGATGCTGTAGCTTAAATCCTGACTGCATACGCTATAATGTCAGGCTCGCTTCTGCTTAAACAACATCGAGCACGTGTGGCATGCATTTTGAGTTTGCTGCTTTCTGGATTCTTCCTTTTGGCGGCGGTCAATGCGAATTCTGAATTTTCAACAGCAAAAGAGCTTGCGCCTTCTGCCCAAAGCGCAACAACAGAGGGCGGAGGATTAATTGGAAGATTTAACTGGCCAAAGATTGCATGGTCAAACACTCTCTTTGATACCATCAACTCAACTCCAGAACAATCTATCAAAATGGCTACTGAACAAAGTGAGTACAGCTTACCACATAAGCACAACAATGTCCAATAAACTGACCAACCCCCCCTCACACCCAGCCTACATCATGATCAAGCCTGACGGCGTTCAACGTGGCTTGACCGGTGAAATCATCGGTCGCTTCGAAAGACGTGGATACAAATTGGTTGCAATGAAATTAGTTCATGCTTCCCAAGAACATTTGGAAAAGCACTATGCTGATTTGAAGGGCAAACCTTTCTTCCCTGGATTGGTTAAATACATGGCTTCAGGCCCTGTCGTTGCAATGGTTTGGGAAGGAAAGGATGTCGTCAAACAAGGCCGTGCTTTGTTGGGCGCAACAAACCCTCTTGCTTCTGCTCCAGGTACAATCCGTGGTGACTTTGCTATCGATGTCGGCCGTAACATCTGCCACGGCTCTGACGCTGTCGAATCCGCGAAGAAGGAAATCGCTTTGTGGTTCGGTGAACAAAACCCAACAATCAACTACACCCGTGCAGTTGACACTTGGGTCTACGAATAAGTGCATTATCATGAGCGTATCATAGACGTGATCTGCAATATTTAAAATTTCATTGATTATTGCCATACTACATGCGTGCGATATCTAGCAAAATATCAGGTCTTTGAGTTCCCCTTTGAATCATGGCCGCCTTCATTGCTTCCTCCGTCCAACACTGGATTACGACGACCTTCATGTTTGCTGAATTGAGAAGAAAGATTGTTTGGTCCCCATCCCTTTACGTTTCTATCTTCTGGCTTCTCTGCTCCTTCACCGCCGCTGGAGAGGGAAGAGATCAGTCAGCATACAATCAATTCAAACAAATCCCTCAACACTCACAGTTTTGCTCCTTCTGCCATCTCAAAGACGCCTGGATGTTCTTGATCATGCTTTGTGCTAGCCAATCGTGCTTGTCTGGAGGGGGAAGCAGGGTTTATTAGTCACAATTCTCACATTTTCTCCTCCTTCAATTTACTCACGTTACAGGTGTTTGATTTGCACTTGCAGGTGGAATGTTGGAAGGATGTGCATCTGTGACTGGGGTTGATGCATCCGTATAACCTGGATGATTACCCGTTGTAGTCTTTGGACTTGTACGATCATCGTTCATTGGTGTTGCAGGACCGCCATTCTTTGTGTTTAAAATAGAAGCGGATGAAGCAAAAGATCTTCGTCCGACAATGCTTCCTGATTGTCTTCCGATGACAGTGCGCATTCCTTGATAAGCTGATAGCATTGTTGCTGTATTAATGTAGGTGATAGTCATGAAGCTATTCGCAATCCTTCCCTTTGATCTTGTTGATGTGGAGGATTTTCCCGCTTAAACTAAGACGGGCGCAACAACTACACCCACCCACTATCTCACACGCGTACACGCCATTCAATTTCTATCTTCATTATTCATTTTTCGTACAATAGTTACACATCTTCTGTATTTTCTAGCAAAACGCCTTGCAATCGTCTTGCCGTCATTTCAATGTATGCCTTTCGTTCATCAGCATTATTCACCCCATTCTCTTCCACAATAAATCCAAGAAGCCCTTCCAACGACTCCAGCACTTTTCCGGTGATTCTGCTGCCATCTTTGATCAAAGCTGCTGTCTCACTTGCCGATTGATTTTGTTGCAAAGAAGGCGTCATGCTTCTCCTCAAATAGTTCTTCTCGTTTGAGATGACCGTATTACTGCTCCTTCCCAGCTCGATATAATAAGCAAAATGTCTAAAGAGCAAAACCAGCATCATTTCCACACAATTTAGGTAAAATCGAACATCAGCTCGTTGTTTTGACCTTTGTGATTTGAGTAAACGAATAGCAATCACTCTTCTCTGTGTGGGAGCCAAGTCAGAAATATCTACTGGCAAATCCTCTCCCGTTGCACTGCCTCCTAATACTTCATCCCATTCTTCCAATCGAACACCTTCAGAATTGTCCAACATGCCTTGCATCTTTTCTAGATTTGAAAAGGCCTCATTGCATCTGCGAATATTCTCATCCAAGCCTGCCAGCGCTGTTCCTAGACTAGCCACATGTGGATTCCTTCCCGCTCCCGTTAAACCATATCGTCCTGGACCGGTTGTCGTGGCAGAGAGATCGGCCAAATCGTCCGTCATTGAGGTTCCACGAGCAGAATGGGTGTACAATGAACTTGTCAAACATGGTCGTACACGCTTGCCTCCGTATTCGTCAACGCCTGCATATTCGCTTGCACGTTCCAAATAAGCCAACAAGGCTCCCAACAAACTTTGTACGGTAGAACGGGCACGTACGTCAAATTGCGTTGTGAATGATTCACCTGCATCATAAAAATGTGCACCATCTCCTTCGTAGACGGGAACTGCTCCTCCAGCAATCACCTCAGACGCCTCTTGCCTTTCCATCTCGGTAAATGGAACAACTCTTGATTTCCAGTGCGGTTCATACAAGAACGTAGCACTAGCTGCCAGAATTGCTTGATGGAATTGGGCCAACGGTTTAGAAGGCGACAATGCATCATCATCCAGGATTGGCAAGATGAACACCAACATGCTAATGACCAATTGTGCCTCCGATAAGGCGGACAAACTGATCACATCCTGGGTCAAATTCTTGAGAGAAACCAACAAAGTGCTTCGATGTGCTTGCAAGAATGATAGTGCATGCCTGGGCACCGTATGACTGTTTGCAGTAGACGTTCTTCCGCCATTGAATGCTGACAAAATATTTCCGCTCCCAGCATTCGCGCGAGAAGAGGAATTAAACAAGATACTGACTGCTAATTGGATAGCAGGAACGAGTAGAGTCTCATACCTGTTCATCACAGCCGGCAAAAAGGTATCGTCATTAAAGCCATCCTCGAAGGTGTCATAATTTGGATTCGAGTGAGGTCTTGCTTGCAAAAAGTCCACTTGCGTAAGAATCTCAAAGATACGTGCGTCCACCAATCGTTCTGCTCCACGTTTCGATTGTGCAAGACGATTAAAAAATGCCATCTGAGCTTCATACACATACAGTGCATTCAAGCTGCTGGGGTCAACCTTTAACACTTCCTGCAAATCAATATCCATCTCGCGGATATTAGCAACAAAGCTTTTCAGGAAACCTTTCTTGCCCAAAACATCAAGAACAACGTTTTGTCGTGAAGAAGATCCATCTTGCAAAGCAGCCAATCGATCAAAGAGCGTAAATGCGACCGTACGCCAAACATCAGAAGCGTCCAAAGCATCGCGAGCAATGACTGGAATCAAGCGTTCGGCTTGTGATGCCAAGAGGGATTTCGTACGTGTCTCGATTGCAGAAGCACGCTTCTTGCGTGAACCACCTCCGATTTGAGAAGACGACGTAAAGCCAGCAAAAGATGCACTTTCATCGAATTCACTGGCAGCATCAATAATGCTTGCTTCATCTCCTTCGTCTGTCTCAAGATCACCAGTAGGTGTTCCTTTGACAAGCTGCAAAAAGTTGATCAAGGCTGAATAAAGATTACCTCTTCCTTCCAATGTCGTCCCTGGCTCAATAATTGCGCCAATCAATGCTTGCAAAATAGCAACCAATCTATCAACTGGAAGTTCGACGAGCTCAAACTGCTCCTCGGCTGCCACTCTAGCTTGGTGTTGTCGCAATTTCGTCAATAGACCCAAGACCGCACCAGCTGCCAAGTCTGATAAAGCTGGATCGCTTTCACTTGTGGCACCGTAGAGCCTTGGTAGCAGCACAGACAAACAATCCAGGATAATACTTGCCCGATTGGCAATATCCATCTGGCCGAATGCACGTGTGAATGTCATATCCAGTAAATTTCGCCATGATTGCATTGCTGATCGACGTGCAATTGCAATCACACGGGCTGCATTTCGTGAGGCAACATGTTCGAGAATCAATGTCGAATCGCCAACAAAATCCAATCTCTTTTGCGCATCACCCAAATCGCCACGACGTTCGAGCTCTCTCTGTGCAGCTGCTAAGAGATTGATTGTTGCTCGAACCTCAAATTCGCGATTTTGACGTTGACTCAAAGCTTGTGAAAGGTCCAAATTCTGCAAAATGACAGGTTCTCTCGCATGTTCCTCCCGATCGTCTCTCCACTCGAACTCAAAGCTGGACAGGATTTCCAACAATCGAATTCCACTTTGCTCGAATCGTTCTCCATCCAATTCAACGCTTCTGTCATCATCCTCTGCATCAACGACAGAATCACGTCCTAAGAGCACACCCACCAATCGATTTGCTGATGCCCACATTTGTGCGCCACAAAGGGTATGCAGTTCCAATGCTACTAAGCCCAACACATGGCTACGAATTTGCAGGGATGAAACCAACGCATCCACAGTTGTGGTAATGTGTCCGCCATCAGGCTGAATCAGTTGTCCCGTTGCACCATACTCAGAAGATGTTCTTTTGACAGGTACGAGAGAGAGTGATTCTAGTTGTGAAACGAAAAAGTCTTCCTTTGTGCGTAAATAACGCATCGTTGCCGTGCTTGTGAAAGGGTGGCGACACAAGTTGGTCATTAGTTGAAGGCATTTCTCCGTAAAGGCGGGAGATCGTTGAGCGATCGATAAGGTAGAATCTGTAGGAACACGCAATAAAGCCAAAATCGCATGTAACGCAGAAGGAGGTGTATCAAATGCATCGGCATCAGGAATGACTTGCTCCTCGGGTCGAACAGCTCGCAAATCGAATCCGAGCAATAAATGGGCAATGTTGGGCGCATCTCCTCCAAGTGTGGTATTTGCAATCAAAAGATCGAGAATTGCAAGTCTGATTGCTTCACCACCATCAAGAGTTGCAGGAAGCAGCTTTTGCATCTCATCTCCCTCATCTTCTGTGTCAGTGACTTGCATTAATGCTAATGTGGCCCTCACTTGTTCTCCCAAATCACTCGCCGGCTCATCTTCCGCTCCTTCCAAACGGTCAACGCATCCAGCTCGAATGCGGTCTGCTTCATCACTTGTCTCCAACAATCCAACAAGCCTGTTCATCTCTCGCTTGTAACCCATTCCACCAAATTTGTCAACCTTGCTAAACGCATTGCTTGCAGCCAAACCACTCAAGATACGAACAGCCAACAATGCAATATCATCACGTGTACAATTGATGTACAAAGCCATTTGCACGACACTTTGATGGTATTGCAATAGCAAAGCGTCCAGCGGCGTATAGGAAGACAGCAGACCAACACGAGCAGCCACGTCAACGGATGCGAATTGTCCTCCAGCATCGCTTATCGATGAGAGAAGCCCGTACAAGAAGATGTCTTGCGTATCCAATACTCTCTGAATAATTCTCAATGAACGTCGAACGCAGCTTGCATAGAAGAGTGTGTTTGCTTGATTTGTATTGACAATTTCAAAACCAGAAGGTGCTCCTAACACGCCAGCGTTGGGATTAATGATGCTCAAAATTTCCTGTAGTAGCTTTGTGTTTGTGAGAAGTCGTCTCATCACACTGAAACCGGGATGTAAGATGAGATTGGTGATTGTTTCTGTGGATGAGTCGTTCATGAGAATATCGAGATCATACGACATCAAACACCGCTCCACAAAGTCTAAACAGCTAGCCGTCACGCGCCATCTCTCACTTTGATCGGAATATTCTCTTGAACCGGCTTGCAAAAACACGGTTTCCACTACAAAGTCCACATAAGGTTCCAAACCGGGACTTCGTTGACCTTGACCAAGATTGAGTGCTAGCCCGTGGAACATAGGGGAAGCTGTACCAACGAGTGCTTTGACAGACTTTTGATCCAATCGTTCCGGTGTATGAATGAGCGATTTGAGGAGATTGACTAAGCTCGTCGTTGCTGGATAGTGCCGAGCGGTGACCTCGACCGCTTGCAAATCACGCAAAGCTGCTGAAAGGGTTGGCTTGTTGGCAGAGCGCCCATGCATGTGGGTCACATTCAAGTTTTCCTCCAACAATGACCATAGCTGGGCGGTAATATTTGCCGCATTCGTTCCAGAAGCGTGAGCGAAAGCAGCCAAAGAATCCAGAATGCCCGCTTTCACGTCCACAGCGATTGGACAGGTGTACATTGCAAAAAGCCTGGGAATGATTTGATATGTCGAATGTTGATAAAGTGCTTCTCTGGCTGCGATGCTGTAAAAGACGACATTGCGCAAAAGACGGAAAAAGCCTCGTAGTATGACAGCTTCGTTCGATGTCATGACACCTGTTGTTGAGCTAGTGACAGGGTGAGCTGCTGCTGCGGGAGATCGATAGCTATCGATGAATTGCTGGACCCAGTCGAAAAGTTTGCTCCATGAGACAAAGCGTGTTTGTTGCAATGATGAGCCTCCTGCGCTTGCAGTTCCGCTCGTATCTCCGGAGGACAGCAAAGTATGAGCATGCCAAGCACTCTCTTTTCCTGCACTGATAGAAGCTAGCATTTCAAACAAAGCACGTTGATGTCCTGGCTCTCGAACTTCGATTGCCCAATTGAGAAATCGCGTTCCTTTTCCTTCAGGTCCAAGCCAGAATGCCAATCCAGATTCAGGTCTTGCTCGACATAATAAGGAAACCGAATCAAAGAGTGCTTCAATATCGAATCGTCTGGTAGGTGGCTCTGCAGTTCCTGATCTGCTGGCTGCAAATGCTGCATCTTCTTCACCCCTCTGCATCTTACGTAGAAATGGTAACATGACAGAAGTGAGAGAGAGGATGAGTTCTTGAATCTGTTGTAAAATATGTTCTTGAAAGTCGACATCAATCTCTTCTTCTTCAGAATCACCTCCAGTCCGAGTTGCATTAACTTCTGTCGTATCGGTCTCTTCACCCTCCAAAGCATCAATCTGACGTTGACGGAAGGCAAGTATGCGAAGAGCAATGTAGTACAGCGCATCTCCATGCACGGCTTCCATAAAGAGCTTTTGCAGGGTATCTTGGTGAACACGAAGATCGTTTCCAAGACTTGGGCTGCGCTTTGTGGCCTCGGCCAAGAACAGCGTCCATTGCACTAAAGCAACACTTTTCAATTGATTTGATCCCCATGATTTTGTCGTCAACTCAGCATGCATTTTTTTGATGAAATCGCGGTCATCGCCCAAATTGTTGGATGATGAGCTTACGAACTCATTTGCATCATCGTCTTCAGGGGCGATTTCGAGCGCATTGAGCAGAACGATGAGTAGATAAATCACGATTGCATCGTTATACTCTGTCTCCTTCTTCACATTGGCAAGCCAAGCGCTGACGGCCAATATTCCATTTGATCCTAACGCTTTGGAATACGAAAGCAAGTATAAGACGTGTGCCAGATCTTGTCGTTCTTTCCTCAGCATTCTTAGCATTTGTAGTTGTATATCGTCTGCAAGTGATGGTTGCTGATTAGTTGTGGTTGCCCCTCTCAAGCTCTGATGTACTCTTTCCATTCTTGTTTTGGTTTCATTGATCTCGTTCAAGATACGTTGGACAAGCGTAGTTCCTTGTGGCGAGGATGACAGGATCGCATCGACCAATTGCTGCATTTTTGCGCCCAACTTGCGTGCTTGCACATCTTCGTCTTGTTGCAGAGTAGCAGCACCATCAATAAGTTCTTTAAGACATGCAATAGCATCCAAGCGTTCTCGATGATAGAGAATGCATGCAATCTCTACAGCACCCCTTCCCCATTTTGCACGAGCCTGCATTCCAGCCTGTAACAGTGAAGCAGCATAACGTTCTGAAACTTGAAGATGCTGTGAAAGGGTGATGGATTGTTGTGCAAAATCGGCATTGAGTGAATGAGTAATACCTTCGATCACCACTTTACCGGATTGAATTTCTCGTTTCTCCGCTTCGTTTGGACCTTTTGCTCGAGCGATATCTACCAATTCGGTTCTGCTACGATCTATAGCGATATACCATTCGTTTGATTGAGAGACATGAGCAGGATTGGCAATGGCGTCTGTCAGGATTCGATGTAGCTGCTCAAAATGACCAGGCACGAAAATGGCTGCCATGCTGGGCTCAATGTCTGCCCGAAGACCAACTCTTGATCTTGATACTTGGTTGACTTGATCTGTATGTACCTCAAGCCTTTTCCAGCCTCTGCTGATGATGATGTTGTTGATGTTAGAAACGAAGAAAGTTAAAGCAGGCGCGACGCTAGAAGATGTTTTGTGAGCAACACGAGAAAATTCCTAAAAAGAGCGTGTACGGTGCACGAAGCATCATACGCGTGAAGAGAGCATGCATATATGCAGTCCGATGGTGCATACAAGAAAAAACTTGTGGTATCGACGATCATCACCATCAAGGTATGTAAGAGAATATATGCATTACTCAAAATCACTGCAAGTAAATGAAAAAGATGCTCAAAGGAATGAAAGAATGAAAAGAGTGAATATATATCGAAAAAGTACCGGACGCAGGTATCAATTGTGACCATGACACTTCGCCAGATTGTTGTAAACCAGGAACTCTTTGCTATGACCATCTTTGCCTTGAATCCAGCCGTTCATGAATTGATTTAAATAATCTAAGTTCTTCTGGGCCATACAGCCATATTGAGTATTTTCTGCTGACTGCTTGGTCATGCCTTTCTCCCAGCCATTGTAACTGCCAACAGCCAGCAAGACATTGCCTCCGCTTTGGTTTAAGTTCTTCATAAACATCCTAGCGCCTAAGTCGACGTTCGTGTGTGGATCCCAAGAATCTTGAGGTTGAACACCCAAATCCTTACAGTTCTGAGGTGTTACTTGCATCATTCCAATTTCACCATTGGCACCATGCGTATAAGGCTTGCAAGAGCTCTCTTGCATTGCAAATGACATGAGCACGATTTCGGGAATACCATACTTATCACTGGCTGCTTTGAAATGCTTGTAGTACTTTGCACACGCTTTGAATGCTGGTTGCTTGATCGCTTGTGGACCGGGCATTACCTTGACTTGTTTCAATTGAACAGGAGGAGGATCCCATCCTCCTGGTGTATTCAAGCCGCAATTCAAAAATCCAATCTTACCATTTGGGCTCTGTTTATTCGCGTTTGGTTTAGGACATTGAGCGCCGTGAAATACATCTGTCAACAATCCACCAACCCCAATTCCAATTCCGAGCCCTCCTTTTTTTCCTCCCTTTGTTGTCAAATCCAAATTCAAACCTGATTTCTTGTTGTCATTGTCATCACCTTGGTTGCCACCTTTAGATTTTTGTCCTTTGGAATTGTTTCCTGAGTCTTTATCATTTTTGTCCTTATGATGGTCATCTTTCGGTTTGCCTTTAGGATGGTCGTCTTTCGGCTTTCCTTTGTGATGATCTTTATCCTTCTTACCATCATGCTTGTGGTCTTTACCGTGATCATCCTTGTGTTTATCCGGCTTGTGATGGTGTTTGTCATTTTTGTCATGCTTGTGATCTTGCTTTCTGCGAATGTGCGGTGAATGAACCGATCGCTTATCCAATCCTTCACTCAGATGCGTCATAGCCAAAAGAATAAATACCGATAATGCGAACACTCGCACCATTGAAAAGGACGAGTGTTTCATGATGAAAACCTTATAGAATCAGATGGTGATTGATGGGAAAGATGTTCAAACCTAAGATCGTGAGCGATATAGACAGGGTTTTCAAGAAAAATAGATACTCAGTCATTCCTCCTATCTCCTTTAATCGGCGCAACGATTTGCATCCTATCCATCATGCCGTTTTAGGACTATATTTATGCTGATCTCGCAAATTCGGCTTAAATAGGAGTATGAATGCGTCAAAATTTCTGGGAAAATATGATTACCCAAGCGATAAGGAGTGTGATCAGCCGAAAAGATGAAAAGAAGGAAGTATAGCAGGAGCAGGGGGAGGGTTCCAGGCACTCTCATTGCATGTGGTGGAATCACGAAAAATTGCTCGTAATTATCTAGAGTCCAATGAGATAGGATCATTGACGAAAAACTCCGAGAACGAAAGTGGTTATGCATATATCTTCTAAAGTATTTCTCAAGAAAAGCCTTCCTCTTTCATAACATAATCTCTCAGCTCAACCATCGTTAGTTAGCCTCTTTATCATACTGTAGGTCTTATGATGCTTGAAGGTGGTTCCGGTTCACTACATCGATTTTATCTTAAACAGATAAAACAATGAATGACAGATCTATATAGACTGACTGCTTTTCGTTCATCTGATTACAGTGTTAAAAATCAAGAATACCACTTCTACCGGAAGCGGTCTGAGTGTTCCGCCCGCCTTATCCTCTTTGCTGCAGTGTAATTGAAACGTCGTAAGGAATGATACTCAGAGAGGGGGTCAAAGATTTGCTGCGTAATCTAAGACATATAGGCAAAATCTAAGGAATACTGAATATATATACGGTAATTATATATATATGAGGTTATATGTATAGCAATTGGCACGGTATACCATTTAGCAAAAGCGGATTGAGCGCTCTGCAGGCGGCTGCATTGTTCGGCGGGATCGGTAATCCGAATTCTAATATAGGGAATAATGTCATTTAATTAAATGCTAAGAATGATGACTTCAAGAGTCAAGGTTATATTTAAGTGTCCGAGGGTATATATTAAATTCAATAAAACAAAAAAAAAGCTTAAAAAGCGACTTCTTGTTATCCAGATATCTTTTCTCTTCCTAATTCAAACATCAAACAACTTCATTTATTCTCCAAAAACCTACGATATCATGATTTCAAGAATTTCAATCTCTTTTATTGCTCTCGTCTTAAGCTTATTTTTGGCTCAAAGTGGAGATTCTACACCTGTTCCAGTGAGTACAACTAGCACTCATCACCTTTTTACATCGTATCCCTAAAATTCTTTTTCCTCTTATCAAATAGAATCATCTTGACGCAAGAGCTTATGGTCCGGGAGACACGACAGGTCGCGCTTCAAAATCTTTGGATGGCGATTCTTCGAAGCCTGTATATCAATATGCAGACTCTGGAGGTCGCCCTGGCGCTAGAGCTTTGAATGATGATTCGCTTGAGCCAAGATTTGAAACAATCAGTAACACGACAGCTCGTGGTGGCCAAAATCCCGCTCCAACAGCCTCGGATGGTAATTCACCTGAACCAAGAGCTGATGCTTTTGCTGACACAGGCTTTAATCGTGGCTCTCCTCCCGCTCCAACAGCCTCGGATGGTAGTTCACCTGAACCAAGAGCTGATGCTTTTGCTGACACAGGCCTTAATCGTGGCTCTCCTCCCGCTCCAACAGCCTCGGATGGTAATTCGCCTGAACCAAGAGCATATGTAGTTGGAGAACCTCCCAAAAAAAGAGAACCTACTTACATTAGAGGAAACTCGCAAATTGTTGGTCCTTAGTTCTTATAGGTTGCTGATAGCTGTTACTAAGCTATTCGTAGTTGCTGAATGTCACGATGGGTATACTTGTTGAAGAAAAGCCAAACAATGACAATCACTTCCCCTTACAGATTGCATACTTCTAATGTATCTTGTTCTATCTCCTCTTACACGAAGATTTGCACCTGAATTAACACTCGACTTCTGCTTAACATAAGGGATCTCATTGCATCAAGCAACGTATTTGATAACAAATCAACAAAATAAGCTAGAAAGGGGTACTGTGTGGCTGTAACCAAGAAGAAGAAGAAAAGAAAGAGTAAAAATAAGAGGAAATAAAGGGCGCGACCGAATTTTACTCCATATTACCACACTCCGCGAGATTGTTGTACGTTTGGAAATCCTTCGTATAACCATCTTAAAGGCGGACTTCTGGAAAATGGCTTTGATTCGTATCACAATAGGGGATTAGAGGTCGAGTATAGATTTATCTACTCGATTGCTTATGTCGTTCTTCACAAGTAAATCGATGATACGTCGGATGTCCTTCTCTTCTAAATTCAATCTCACTACGTCGCCTACCTAAACCTGTTTAAACCTAATAAACATACTAGTCTAATATATGTTGTTATCTTTATGCTCGATTATTTTACTCTCGGCCGATAGAACGATTGCTGCTTTTATGGTTCCCTTCGACGTCTTAAACTACTATCGTCATCGTCAGCTAGTCCTGTATAATTACTATTCTCAGTTGCAATACTAGGAGGCTCTATAGTGACTTTATCTTACTCGGAGATAAAAAATTTATGCTTTTCCGGTGGTTTTTCTCTTGCTAGCGATTTTTCTCTTGGTTAATAAAAGCTGACAGTATGATGTCCTGTACTTTTATTTTATCGATTTTATCTTAATCCGACTGATTGTTAAATAAATCAGTTATAGTAATCTTGTTCTGTATATATAAGAGGAGGAAGATCTGACTTAAAAAAGAATAGAGTATATCATAAGTACTTACCCTTAGCTAACTATTCTCTAAATTAAGTGTCTAAAGACGAATCTCGTTTATCGATCTCCATATATCCGTTATAGAAACGATATTTTAAATCGAAATATATAATAGAGGGCTTCTAATAACTAGACTTAGCCGATTACCTTTAACTTACAATTTTTTATCGGAGCTAAACAGTATAAGTATATATTAAATATAATTTTTTACTTCTCTACTTTCCTCGGTACTCTTTACTTTACTAAATATACCTTTATTTTTACTTCTATAAGTTAAACTAATTATTTTTTGTATACTTTATTTTATAGCTTATTAAGAAGATTAATTAGCTATAATAATTTAATAAAAGCTATTTTATGTAGTTAGAAGCTTTTATAATTATTTAAAGGGGAAAGATATATTAATCTTCTTAATAATATATTAGATAAAGATTTAGATTATAGAGTTACCTATTTTTAAATTAGTCTAGACTAGTCTTAAAGATTTAATAAAGAAAGATTTAGTAAAGAAATTATAAGAGATAGATAAGATAAACTATAATAGTATTTATATTAATAAGATTTATATTTACTATCTTTTATTAATAACTACTAGATATAGAGATTAAATATAATTAAAGATTAAAAATATATTTTTATCTTACTATTATATATATTTGAAAAAGATCATTATACCTTTTTTATTACTATTAATTTAATAAAATAATAATTTACTAAAAACGATTTAATAATCTAATCTTTATATAGACCTAGAAATCTAAATAAAGTTGTTAACTAACTTTATTTAAATTCGATGAGCTCTGTATTACCGTCTTAAGCCTCGATAGCTGTTGCTAAATTCTTCGTAGTTGCTGACTGGCACGATGGGTACAGTTGTTGAAGAAAAGCCAAACACTGACATTACTGCCCCTTACAGCCCGCATTCTTCTATCTTATTCATCTCCTCTCACGCGAAGATTTGCTCCTCAAATAACCCTAGACTTCTGCTTAACATAAGGGAATCTCATTGCATCAAGCAATCTTTTTGTTAACAAATCAACAAAGTAAGCTAGTAAGGAGTGTTGTGTGGCCGTAACCAAAGAGAAGAAGAAAAGAAAGAGTAAAAATAAGAGGAAATAAAGGGCGCGACCGAATTTTACTCCATATTACCACATTCCGCGAGATTGTTGTACGTTTGGAAATCCTTCGTATAACCATCTTTGCCTTGCCACCAAGCGTTTAGTGTTTGATCAAGGTAATCAAGGTTGTTCTGGGCCCCACAGCCGTACTGTTTGTTTCGAGCTTTGGATTCTGTGAGACCTTTATACCATCCATTGTACATGCCGATGGCAATGATGACATTTCCGTTATTTTGGTCGAGATACTGCTTGAATTGCTTCGCTCCAAGCCTGATATTGGTTTCTGGATCCCATGCATCTCCAGGGTTTACACCCATTTCCCTACAATTTTCTTTTGTAAGTTGCATCAGTCCGATTTCTCCATTCGGACCAGTGCATCCTTTATTGCACGACGATTCCTGCATGGCAAAGGACATCAAAACAGTTGTAGGAACACCAGTTTCTTGTTCGATAGAATTGAAGATGCTCAAATACTTCTTGCATGGAGCAAAGACTGGCTTTTGCGCAGCCGCTTGCCCTGACAAGATCTTTAAATCTTTCAACTTGACCGGTGGTGGATTCCATCCGCTCTTGGAATGAATACCGCAGTTGAGGAAGCTGATGCAACCATTTGGTCTCAATGCAGTAGCTTTTGGGTTTGAGCATTGGGCGCTGGGAAAGACTGCATTCAACACACCATGAACATCATAATCCGTGCTAGCAGGATGACGTTGTTTTCCCTGTTTCTTTTTGTTGTTCTTTTGATTGTCATCATCTTTGCGATTTTTGTCCTTGTTATGATCACCTTTGTTTTGTTTATTCTTGCGTTGTCTGTTCTTTCGATGATGCTTTCTGTTTTTCTTCTTTTTACGATGATGATTTTTGCCCTTCTTTCTGTCACGACTAAACAATCCAGCCATACTTTCCATCTCTTCTTCATCACGTTCTTCTACCAACGTATTTTCCAATGAGAAAGGTTCCACTTCCCTTTCCAAAACCGACAACGAAGGCGAATCATTTGCGAAAACATTTGATGCGATAGCGAGAAGAGTAAATGCTAATAGCAAGCTTGCGCCTGCCAGCGACGACTTAAAGCGAAACAACATAGCGTTGCAAGATGAAAGAGAAAGATGGTAACGAACGTGTGTGGTGGTAGAAAAAGAAGATCAAGTTGGGAGGCGATTACAATAGAAATGGTCCCCATATCATTTATAAGTACAATCGGAAGCGGCAACTGAATATGATCCCTTTGTTATTGCCAATATTTGGCGGAAGGGGACGGAAAACCGTGATCTTGTCATCGATCGCGCGCCTGCCCGGTAAAAGTGGGAGTGAATGCATCTGACCCGTTTTATCTCCAAACAAAACAGCACAAAATGTCATCATTTTTCGTTATTGATGCTTGAATATTACGCCGAAAAGTACCTTTTGCGGCACCAGAATGTTCTAGTAAACCGTTCAAGTGCTTGAAAGGTAATATGAGAGCATATAAAGTACGGAGCCGCATAAAGACGACAGCCTAGAAACCCACTTCGTTTGTTCTGGCTCTTGAGAAGATTAACGCCAGTCCGTTTCCCTTCATTTTAGTTGCGGAAGAATGAACCGAGGTACACCCTCTTTGTCATTCATCTTGACCAATCGTCATAATACACAAAAAATGCCTCTTCATGTCGGCGCTAACAGTATAAGTCCATTATATCGTCAAATGCTAGCATTTTTCTGGCGAAAAAAGATGCTCTCCTTGCTATGCCGAGAGTAATGATTGAGTCAATTGTCATGATTAAGAGATGCATTCATTCCTTATTGATAATAAAATGAATGCAATAATTCAAGATGGCTTCCGTGTTAGAGAACAAGGAGGATTGAGTAAGGCTACACGCGTTGCTGGCCCGTACACGGACAAGAAGGCACAATAGCTTCTATTTTAGGCAATAATGCACTGACCATACATGCACACATAGACTTGTGCGTGTGTCTGCCTTTCCGCCAGCTGTTTGAGCGTGCGCTAAGAAACTAACCAACCATGTGGACCCATTAAGTCAGGCACATCAACAGAATAAGGGGGGAGGGGGATATCACAAGCAAACGTCTTTCTCTCCTTTCTCTTCGCCCCTTCAAGAAATCATGACATCGGAAGTAAGTTTCCCATATGAAGCAATAGCGGTCAAGAAATACAAATCACCTCATAAGAATGATTTAAGTTTTGCAAAAGGTGATCGTCTTCGGGTTACAGCTCTTGCTCCAAAAGATGATGATGAGGAAGAAGAGGATGATGATGAAGATGATCGTTGGCTGATTGGAGAAACACTAGATGGTACAAAGACTGGAACGTTTCCTGCTAGCCATGTAGAGCAGGCTCCCGCATCTGCTCCACTTGCCGATTCGGTGGAGGAGGGAACCACTACAACAGAGTCTGCTGATGTGCTTTCTCCAACATCGGCTGTCAAACCTGAAGGAGTATCAGAAGCTACTAGCGATCAAGTCCCAAAAGCAGAACCTGTAACGGAAATACCCGCCAAATCAGAAGCAGACACAGCCGGTCTCAAAGAGGCGGAGCAAGATAAAGCAGCGCCAATTCCTGCTCCCGTTGAACCTGCAAAGAAGCCATCTTCACCTCCCTTGGCACCAAAGCCAAGCGGTTTAGCAGCTAGAATTGCTGCATTCAACAAACCCCAAGACGCTCCTCCTCCCATCCCAAGAGGCAAGCCAGGAGGTGGTTGGAAACCTCCACCGCCTGCACCTGGTGGCTCTAAGCCCATCTTGCCTGGCCCTTCAGCCGCTCAATTGAACAGGACGACGAATCGATCAGCAGACAAAGTAGCAGCTAGTATGACTACCGAACAGACCACAACACCAGAATCGGTCGTCAAATCGCAAAAGGATAAGTCCAATGCTGGATTTAGTGCTGCAGATGCTCAGACCAGCATTAAAATGAGCTTGAAAGAGCGCATGGCAGCATTACAACGTAACGAAAGTTCATCTTCCCAACGTGAGGCAGCAGCCGCAAAACCAGCTCCAAAGCCAGCTCCTGGCAAGATTGATGAAGAGAAAAGAGCCGCAGCTTTGGCCTCAATGGGAAGTCCGACCAAACAGGATACAGAGGAACCTGTCGCAGGAGAAAAAGAGGACGCAAGTGAACTTCCTCTTCAAAATGATGAAAGCGAAGCACAGCCCAAGGAAGTATCGACCGAATCAGAAGAAGCGGCTGCAGTACAAATATCAACAACGACTGAAGATGGAGAAGAAAAGACAGAAGAAGAAATCGAAGCAGAAAGGAGAGCTGCAATCGCAAAGAGAATGGCAGCTTTGGGCGGTAGAAGAATGGGTGGCGGTTCAGGTCCTGCTATGTTTGGAGGGCCCGCACCTCCCTCTAAGCCCAGGAAACTATCTACTGATTCTCGTTCTACACTAGATGCCTCCAGCGATGTAGGCACTAAGGATAGTGTCGATGAGGTTACTGCACCAGCTGCTATTGATCAGGATAAGGAAGAGGAAGTGATTAAATCAGAAAAGACTCTCGCTGTCCCTCGACGAACAGCTCCGCCAAGAAAGAAGAAGAGCTCAATATCTTCTCAGCCTAGCAGTGCATCTCCATCAACAGATGAGCCTGCTAGACAGCAGAGCATTGAAGAAGGTCAAGAAGAAAAGGAGGAAGTTGATCCTTCGACCTCTAAAACTGAAGGACTGGCAGCGGGTGCAGCTGTAGCGGGGGCAGCAGGTATCGGAGCAGCAGCCTTGACTGAAGAACCAAAGTCTACACTTGACGAGGACAAAGAGGAAGAAAAGCCAGTGGCACCGCAAGTCATTGAACCTGAAGCAGACGACGCACCAACCACCCTTTCAGAGAGGAGACCGACACAAGATTCAATCGTTAGCCGAAAGACGGAACAATCAGCCATCACAGATGCAGACAGCTTTGAGCCTAGCACGCCTGTTTCGCAAAGCGAATTGGAAGAACATGCACGATTACTGGAGGCCTTTGTAAGAACACCTGAAGTTGAGTCAAATCAACCGGAGCTGACAAATGAAGACGAGGATGAGCTCAATACACCTGCGCCGAATCTTGCTGAGGGGGATCCAATTGTAGATCGAGCAGCAATCGCCTCACCTCCTCCGCCAAACATTGCTCCGCCTCCTGCACCAAGCGCAAGACCTCCTGTTCCAAAATCTTCTCTCCCACCATCGGCAGCGGAGGATGATGACACTATTCAAAGATTTACATCACCACCACCAAGTCGAGCTCCTCCAGTACCCAGATCGTCCCTGCCGCCTGCACAAAAAGATGATGACGCTATCCAAAGATTCACGTCACCACCTCCAAGCCGAGCTCCTCCAGTGCCCAAATCATCTCTACCGCCTGCACAGGAAGATGAACCTCGAACGTTGTCTCCTGCGCCAACACGCGCTCCTCCGATACCAACCGCTTCACCGGTTGGGAGAAGAGAATCATCTTTGATGGCAAGTGTAGAAGGTTTGCAAGATGATGTTAGTAACACAGAAGAGGTAGAAGCACCTTCAGCTCCTGTTTTGGCTGCTCCGAAACCACGAATGGCAGTTCCCGCAGACGAATCAGACGATGAAGAAGAGAGGGAGGCACAGCAACCTGCACAAAAAGAGGAAACCGCACCTGCGCCTGCAGAAGAGCTTACAGAAGAAGAAGAAGAACGTCAAAGAAGAAGCCGTTTAGCCGAGCGGATGGCACGTATGGGCGGTATGCCAATTATGGGAGCACCAATGCCATTCAGAAAGCCTCCAAAGCCTGCGGCAGAGCCTGAAGAGGAGGCTGAAGTTGAAGAGCAACCGACACCGAGCGAGCCTATTGAACAGGATGATGAAGAGGAGGAAGGTAGAGAATTGGATCCTGTGCCATCCGAATCTCCTGATGAAGAAGAAGAGCAACCCATCATTCCACTTACTGCATCAAGATCTGCTATCGCGAGTCCACCTCCCATCCCCACCAAGAGTCCGCCTCCACCAGCCAGGTCACCAGATATGGCCAAGAGAGCATCTCAGTCATTTGGTCTGGGAGGAGATTTGGCAAGATCCGGATCTACAAGAGCTCGTCCTCCTGTACCTGTTGTTTCACATTCTCGAGGTGCAACGAATGAAGAGATTGCAGAAATGGAAGCAGCTGCAGATCCTGTCGCAAGTCAAGAACCGCCAAGAATCGCCAGTCCACCAGCATTGCCTTCCAGTCCACCTCCAAGACCACCTTCGCGTGCTCCTCCTGGACGTCAAGGATCGATTGCTTCCATCGGACAAATTCATCAAGACTCATCAGCCGATGGAGGATTGGCAAGAGTACCTTCTGTAAAGTTAGATCGTTCAAGCTCAATTGGTAGTGCCAAAGCACCTATGTCTTCTTCTCTCATGGGCGTACAACCTTCTGCTCCATCTGCGCGTGATATTGACTTGATGCCTAGCAGTCAATGGTGGCGTCACGGTCGTCCAGTCAAGCTACCGCCAACATTGATGAGACCAGATGCAGTACGCACCGTCAATGTGCAAGATGAGGGTTCCACGCATCTGATTCGAGTGGATTTGATATTTGAAGATTATAGCTCAACTGCGATCTCTGTCAAATATCAAGACGATGATGCAAATGAAGAACATACGGAGATTGCACAAAGACATAACTTTGCACCTGGAAGGCCGCAAGCACAAGAAATGGTGTCATGGTCACAACATCTCGGATCGAGAATTGCACGTCAAGCCTCTACATTTTTAACAAAAGGACAACAAATGCAGCTTGGGGACGGTACATCAAGAGGTTTCATTACTGCTTTAATTGCACTGTCCACGAATGAAAACGCACTACCACCCGTTGGTTCTTCTTTTGGTGCAATTGTACTTGCTCAAGCAGCAACAACACCTGTCGACCAAGGATCCGATGAAATTCGACCGGGTGATATTGTTGCCCTGCATGGTGCAGATTTTAAGGGAAAGCGTGGTTTGACACCTTACCATGTCACATACGGAACAGCACAAGAACCTGCGTTTGCTTGTGTATTGGAAGCAACATCAGAATCATCAAAGAAGCGTAAATTACGTTGTATCTTGGTTCCAACTTCTTCCGCAACCGGAAAACCTTCTAAATCTGGCCTTCCTGAAGAGGTCACTTTACGTTTAGATGATGTCAAAAGCGGTCTATTGCGAGTATTCCGAGTTGCACCCAAACATGGCTGGCTTCCGGAATGAGGCGTAGAAGCCAATCTATTTCTGTACTGGATTTGCACAAATAAATATAATACATTTTTAATCTTACAAATTTGTGTTGGGTATCGTATGTGTGTTCAACTACGGAAGAATTGAGCAGCATCATGCAATCTGTCCAGCATGACGGTAATGTAGGAGGTTTCGTTCAGCATTTCATCGAATGCAGTGATGGCTTCTTCATCTGACAGGTCCAATTTGAACTTTTCTTGAACTTTGAGAACCGCTTTATCAGGTTCGAAACGGATATCCGTTACGTTTGCATCGATCATCAAATTGATCAAATTTAAAATCAAATTTGCATTCTTGCGTAAAGTGATGAATGCCGTAAAGCAAAACTTTTTGAATTTGAGATAATGTGGTGATTGGGTTCCGCCCATTGCGTCCACCATCTCACGTGAAACTTTGACAGGAGGTGGAAAGGGTTTCGGATCACGATTGAGGATATAACCGAAATCGACATGGAAGAAATGACCATCAGGAGTGAGTAAGAGATTGTCCATATGTCGATCTCCGACACCCAGAATGTACGTGATCACACAGTAACCTGCACAACTTCTCACGTATGTATCAAAGACACTCGCTTTGACTCCATATACTCCTTCTTCACTTTGGTCGGGGTAGTGGCTTCTCAAATAATTGAGCAAACTATTGCCGTATTGCGCTAGAATCGCTGCCAAGCTCATACTTTCAATGTATTGCATCATCCCATCTGTTGTTCCTGTAGCCATAACTTTGTAAGGCATAATACACAGATCCAAGTTCTCATTTCTCCACAAACGATCCATCAGTGTGAATAATTGGATCACCAATTGATCTTGTCGCATATCATCACCATTCTTGAAGATGACCGCATAATCTTCACTTTGCGGGCTCACATTCGTTGGTGTCTCATTTGTGCTTCCCGTAAATACCGTTGAAGATCTTTCGAAATGCAACAGCAGAGGGAACAAACTACTCTTGAATATCGTACTTCGTTCGGCTCGAATGCCGGTCGTATTGATTCTTGCATCGAGGGGCAGCATAAGTGGTGGATCAAAGTGGCTCAAATTGTTCTTGTGATCGTTCAGCAAAGCACGAAGCTTGTCGATTTTCTTCGGACGTGCATCTTTTGATAGACGCAACTCTTTTGCTTGTAAAGAGAGCAATTTGAGCAACTCCGTTTGTCGTCTAAAGGTCTCACGCAATTGCACACCTTTGTCGGAACGGTTCAATCGCTCCAACAACATTGTGCGTACCCTTCTGAACATCTTGCCGTACTTTCGATCCTCACATTCCACCTCCAAATACCAGTATAAGTCGTTGCCGAATACTTGATTATTGACCGCTCTTCTAATCAATAAATCTGCCAGGCCACTGTCAACTACAGTCGCCGAAGAAGCAGCGGACTGTACTTCGTTGGCAGTATGGAATGATGTATTGGGCGTCTCTTTCCTGGAAGATAAGACGTCAAACTTTAGTGCCTGCACTAGTTGCAACAGGTACAACAGCAATTCGTCATCATCTGCCCGTTCCAATGTACGAACAGCATACGCCCGGACACGAGCGTCTTTGAATCCTGGTCCAAGCAACTCCAATGCATCATCCATACCGATCTCACTCCACATTGGCATCAATGTCTCTGTAGCCTGTTTTGCTTCGCTTTGGTCAGACCAGGAAACGGATTTGAGGAATTTCGTAAGACCACCAGGAAATCGTGTTAGATAGAAGCGGAAAGACCAGATCAAATCGGACTCGGAAGACGTGAGCGTTCTTGTTGGTGGATATGACAGAATCTCATTAAGTTCATCTCGCACATTTGCATTCGGCTTCAGCTCTCGATCCAATGGGCCACTGCGATGACTGCGCACCAATCTTCTATGTTTTGCCTCTACTGGGTTCTCACGTTCCATCAGCATATCACCATCGTACACAGTAAACAAACTAGCATCGATTCCGCGAGAAGCAGAGGATGTGCCTGCATTTGGCCCAACTGTTGCATCATTTGTAAGGGGTCCTGACTGAGTAGCTTGCGATCCGATGGCAGCAGTTGGCGTTGGCAGAGATGCTTCTTGCTCGCAATACACAATTGGAATCTCAAATCGTGGCAGATCAACATACAAAAAGATGTCTTCAGACTGCAAAGATTCTTCCAGATGAATTTTTTCAATTTGCCTGTATGCCAATTTATCCAACCAAAGCAAATGCGGCAGATCGTTCCTTTCGTGCATCTTGATCAACTTTTCCAGTCTTGCCATTTGATCATTCTTTTTCCCATTTTCACCACCACTGCTTGTCATCGAATCTACCTTACTTGGAGTTGAAGTCTCGAACGATCCATCTCCCTCTTTGCCTTTCCAGAGGTACAGTCTGTGAGATGCTTTTTTGAGTGTACCTTTCTTGCCGAACAATCGCATCGTTGTCCCACCCAACACTTTGGCCATAGGCTGTCCATTGGCTATCCTTACACTACTCTCTCGATCTGTAAGGACGTGATTCTCTTCCAAGTGTGCCTCTTCGGCCTCAATCTCTTCAATACTGGCAGCATCCCAAACGGTAAATGTGATTTGAGATGAAAGCGGTAAATCTGCCAATCGGATCGGGAATACGATCAATTCACTGAAATCTCTCGAAAGATTCTTGTCCGTTGAATCTTTTAGACTATCAAATGAGACGGATTGATCATTCTTTGTTTGTCGAAAAGATTTGTATGCCGTTTGATAGATTGGCGTTAATGGTTTGTTCTCTGCATACAATCGAACAGTGATGAATAAATCATGCTTTGGCAACACTTTCCCTTGCAAAGAAGCGATTCGAATCGTTAGCGGGAGTTTGACGTCACATAGACGTGCAAAGCTGTAAAAATCTCTATCCATCCTGTTAAAATTGCATGATTGGGATGTGGAAGTGAATAGGGCTTGATGGTGTTGCGAAATATCCTTGACGCACGGACTCCCCCTAGTCAAAAGTTATATTCTGCTTACATAATCTCGGTCGGCGTTTAATCTTAAAGTCCTTCCTTTTTATAGTATCGGAATCGGGCTCAGTGAAGTGCCGGCGACAGAAGCAACAAGCAAAGCAATGAAGCACTGCGCGTGTGTATTGATAAAGTTTTCTTTTCTTAAGTGACGTTATGCATTCATTTTCGGATCATGCCATTTTGATGATCTTGTGGGAACCGAAGTGTGCACTATGTCTGTGTATTCTTTTAGCTTCTTTCACGATTCCCTCTCCAACAATTGACGGAGATTTTATGAATGAATAGGCATTATTGTGGCGTGTTGGAAGAGAAAAAAAGAAAGATCTGTAAAGACAAAGTATTCCTCTTACCACCATCAATACATCCATCAAACATGGTCTCTTTCTACGAATTAAAAGCTGAAAAACCAAAAGGTCAAGAATACACCTTTGATCAATTAAAGGGAAAAGTTGTCCTTGTCGTAAACACTGCTTCAAAATGTGGTTTCACACCTCAATGTGAGTGCACTAATACTTTGCTATATTTCTGATAGTATGCTGATGCTCTCTCTCCCTCTCAACAGTCGAAGAATTGGAAAAGCTACACAAAGAATACGCTGAGAAAGGTTTGGTAGTATTGGGCTTCCCATGCAATCAATTCGCCAATCAAGATCCAGCAGATGATGAAGGCATTGGTGCATTCTGTCAAAAGAACTACGGTGTTTCTTTTGACGTTATGGCAAAAAGTGACGTAAACGGAGGAAATACAAATGAAGTTTTCAAATTCCTCAAAGCTGCTAAACCTGGTTTACTCGGTACACAAGGTATCAAGTGGAACTTTACCAAATTCTTGATTGCAAAAGACGGTACCGTTGTGGAAAGATATGCTCCTACCGTCAAACCTTCGTCAATTGAACCAAAAGTCAAAGAACTCTTGGGTGCCTAAGTTTTGAATCCCTTACTATGTACTACTCATCGCACACTTATGTACCTGTCAATCACATACCCGTTATGAATGCAAAATAATTATGATTGATATATGATGATCTACAAATGAGGCAGTAAAGAAAAATGCACAACTATTTATCCGTTTCGAAAACCCAATCCCAGAATCTAGACGTTACTCCAAAGAATTTGTCAGGGTTAGAGTAATGATGTCCCAAATGCTTGGCTTTGAGTTTGCGAACGTATTCTGGCAATCGTTGATGGTGTAAAGCATAGTGGATGCAATCGTATCCGACATACATAACGAATGCACCTGAGATTACACCATTTGCGACAGCTGCAGGGAAGATTGCATGTGCCAATTGTGTGAAAGGGTACGAGAGCGCAAAGAAAAGAATTGGAGGCATGACCAATCGCAAACGATCCATAGGTACGTAATGATGAATACCGTGCAACAAAAAGTGCAACATCAAGAAGAAAGGTCGGTCCGGCAACCAATCATCGATGTGGAACAAGAAGCGATGCATCGTGTATTCCAAAATTGTCCAAACAAAGATTCCAAAAACGAAGCAGGGCAAAGTCAGAGCCAAAGAAGCAACCTTGATGGAAGCAATTGATTGACCAGCTTGAGCAGAACGGGCCAGAAGATCTTGATAATCAACGTTGGATGTTTTTGTCATATTGACAAAAGCAGTAGCAGCTGCAGCCGGTGCAGTGCCAAAGGAACCTGTAATTTGATCGCTTGACCATTGCGAGAATTGATAGGCACTTCTGATAAACAGAGCAGTCGCGATTGGGAGCCAGATTAAGGGGACAACATACCACGAAGTTCTTGTGAACATCTCTAGATACCATGGTCCAAACAAACGAGCGGGCTCTTTGAGATGGCGTGGCGAATGGACTTGTCTCATATAGAACTCTTTGGAAAATTTAGCATTCCAAACCTGCATGATCAATGGCCTATTAAGATCCAAGAATTGATGCTTCTTGAAATCTCCAGAAACGTCTGTATCGTCAGGTTGGTAATCAGCATCGATAATGATTCCATCATTTGCTGGAAGGATGTATGCCGGGTTTCCATGACTTTCGCCGCTTGCCTGCTTTTCTTCTGCTGTGGATGCCAACTTGCCGATAAAGTATTCCTCCAACAATTCAAATGCACTATCCGAATGAGAATGTTCTGAAGGATCTTCCATGATGTTTCCCATATCCTTTCCTGCGTATTGCAAGATCAAATCATCACCACCTGGATGATCAGGTGCAAAGTCTGTAACATCATAAACGCGACCTTTCATGACTACCCATAATGATGATTCTGTGTTGTGTTTCTCAAGGGTGGAAGGATGGATTAATCGAATTCGTTGTGTGAGTGTTGAAGGTGGTGTAATCGAAGAAGGACCGCTGCTAATTGCGGTCGCTGTGGCGGCAGCGGAGGGTGCTGCCATCATCTTGTCGTGATATTCTCTTCAAACACCAAGAAAGGTGTTTGCGATGGTATGACTTTTGTGGCGGGAGAGAGGTGATGATGGTATCCTGTCAAAGTTGTCGATTTCGTTTTCCCATTCATGTAAACGGCTCTCCATGACCGAAAACCTTTTTTTAGACGACGGAGCCTGGACCGCGTACGTACGGAAGGCGGAGGATTTTTCAGAGGGAAAAACACGGTCAAAGTGCTTAAACAACACAAGAAATTCTTGCCACATTCCTTGGAAATTTTCAAGCAAAATACGCGTTGAATGCCTTTGAGTGACATAATCATTCACCTTCTTTCGGCGTTCAGCATAACAGAGGGTTTTGTTGATGCATGCATGCATTAAAAAGACATTCTAGAAAAGTTTAAAATACTTTAGCTTTAGTGGAAATTAAGGTCCATCATTTAGTAGTTGCCATTAGTAAAAGTACATCCATCTATGCTTTTGTGAAATAATTGGTCAGTTTGTTATTTTGTGGTGGTAATTGTTGCTTCTTTGGACTCTTTCCAATACTATCAGGAGGTGGTGTAGGTTTCACTCCTATTTGCATAATATCAACAAATCTACGCCAAAAAGGAGGCGAAAGGATCTGCAGATGACAGAAGAGTGATTAGTAACTGAATTTCCATAAGAAATTGTTTGTACTCACCCCTCCTGATGCTTCACGATGTCCTCGTGCGAATGAGCCTTGACCGCTCTCACGTAAATCATCGAGAAAAGAAGGATCACGAGCCGCATAATCGTTTAGTAGCTCAATAATGTTCGGATTCTCTCCTCTCGCTTTGGCAGCATTGGCAATCCGACAGGAAAAGTGCACGTACCGTTCTTTTTGCCCGTCTTCTTCACTTTTGATATCCTCATCTGCGACCACTCCTTCAGCTTCTTCTTTTTTTGCCTCATCGTAAATTGCACCAAATCCCGTGTTGGCACACATGACGATCTCCAACCGTTTTGCACCTTTTAATGTTCCGCTCCACCGTGTTGCAATGGAAGGATGTACTTGATATGGCGTAGAGATTGTCAACAAGGCAACTCTTGAATCTTTGCTGAATTTAGGCGGTGTATGCGTTTGCTTTTCCGTTTCAGACGCAACCAACCTTCTCGCTTCATTTAAACGTTCGAAACTTGGATTCTTTTCCGCATCCAAAACATCCAAAGGTGATTCACTCACATCGAGTGCTTTCCATGAAACAAAAGCATCATGTAAGGGTGTCCTACGCGGTGCATTGATCATTGCAACCACTTTTCCAATCTTTGATTTTCCCCATCGTTTTAGCTCTGGCTCAAAATCAGGCCAAGGTGCATCCCAAGAAACGTTAATACTCAAATCACCGCATGTACCAATCAAAGCCAAATAATCAATCTCTCCTGCGCCTCCCATATCATCCGGCCAAAATGGTCTACAGACACACCAGGCCAATAGTGCAGAGGTGCAGACTGGACTGTGATGACTTGCATTGAGCAGCAATGCGCCTGTCGGACAGTCATGATCCAAATCCTTGACGTGGTGATGATCCAAAACCATCGTTCGTACCGCTTTCTCGTCATCAGATTCCCATCCAAGCTCGCCTCCCGGTACTAAAGCTGGCCCGCGTACGCTACCTTGATCCAGAACAATGATCCACCTTGCATTATACGACTGCAACTCCTCATCAGCAGACGGTGCCTTCCCAGCGGGTATATGATGCAATACAATGTTCTCTGGATTTGCACCTAGACGGATCAAAGTTCGCTTGACTATACATCCTGCTGATAATCCATCCGCATCTTTGTCCGGTATTAGCAGAATCTTTTCACTACCCTCATCACCAGCCGCTCGTGCTGCCCTCTGCAGGAATTGTCTGGCTTTGTCTATATCGGATTGTCTAGCAGGCCATTCGGGGAATTCTGAGGTTGGTCTTGAGATCTGAATCGGAGCCAAGGATGCTGACGCAGAAGATGCTTCCTCTTTGACACGCTTGGCAGGTGTACTTTTGGGAGGAGAAAGTGGAGAAGATTTGATGGAGGTAGGACTTTTTGCTCTCTTTCGTGGTGTGACTGACGATGACATCCTGACAGTGTTGGATTGGTGAATTGGGAGACACAACTTTGACCTAATGATCCATGTCCTTCCAGCTTGCATGCTCTGAGAAAAGTCAATTGGAAGTAAAAGTCACAACTTCAATTGTTGCAGTCAACTCCACTTTCTGTAATAATTCCAAGCGTGCAGTGTATGTAAGCGTCAGTATTGGGCGCGTTTACTAGGACCCCTTCATGACAGATGGTCCTTGCAATCTTTGCTGATGGCGGTCTTCTTGAACGCAAAACTTATATTTCTGTGTTCTTCAGTCCCTCAGCTTGAGCAGCAGCCTCATCCGTCTTGGCAGCGCAGACAAAGTCATTCTTATGTAGCTGTTAAAAGGGCAATAAACTGTCAGTAAATCTTTCCATACAGACCCTTATGATACCCTACTCACACCACCGATAGCATGCGACCACCATGCAATCTCCACATGACCCCAACCGAGCACAATTTCCGGATGATGCTTCTGTTGTTCAGCAATCGTTCCAACCGCATTGGTGAATGCCAATGCGTATCGAAAGTTCTTAAACGTGAATGATCTTTGCAAAACGCCAAGTTCACCACTTCCAATGAATGGCTTAATCTCCCAGCCCGGTCGAAGATCTTTCATGAAGTTGTCATATTCACTTGCGGGAAGGACTGGAGTGGTCTTTCGGCATGGCTCGCATACCTCTTCCGATAACTTCGAAGCCTGTGCTGCTGTTGGAGAAGATGACATGCTGCGGTAGATTTGTTGAGGAGCAACTGTCCTGCTGAAAGCTGTTGGTATGAGTTGATTGGTAGATTGATTGCACAACAAGTTCAAGTTGCGTGCAAACATGTTCTTTTCCGAGGATGTGACGAGAAGAAAGTTAAAAGTTCCAATTCAACTTACGCTAAATCTCAACAAAGTGGCGCGGGAGGTTCACCTCCAAACTCCACCTTAGCCCTACACCTCAAACACACGGAAGATGTGCCTCCGACAAACAAACTTTTCGGCGGTCAAGCAACGTGGGGGAGAAAGGCAACGTGCTTGATTTGTTTTGCATTCTTCTTCTTGTTCCTGCTCCCATTGATGAATGTTTGGTTATCAAAAATAGAAACATGTAGAGTCTAGCCTCACAGCTTTATCCACGATCGTAATTGATCAAAAATGGAGAATCGATAGCGAATAAAAATGTATGAAGACGCTTTTATCAACCGCTCTCCATCGGGCAGCACGACCAATTCTCGCAGAGGAACATACGTGTTTGCTTTAGATGATCAAATTCAATCAACTTTCGGCAATTCTTATGCAGCTTCTTCACCCGGATTACTCGCTGATCATCATGGTCCGCTTTCCAGTACCGCAACCAGTAGAAGGTCAAGCGTTCAATCAGCCAACAACAACAACACCATACCTACTGCAGCACCCCAAAAGCGGGTAAGGAAGCGTGATCGATTCTTACAATTCGCAAAGATGAAAAATCCAACATTATCTATTCAAATTACTCCTGAATGGACAGTGGATTTCACCTATGCAGAGTTGTTGCAATATACATGTATGGCATTGACAGGTCGTAGAATCGTCCAATTTTATTGGCCTTTAGAAGTCGACCCTAGGCTAAGAACCAACCAAGCCTCTTTACAGCATTTACTCAAAACGCCAATGATGATTTATTGGAATATGGCAATCTTCATTCTTGCTTCTGCTTCCATCGAAGGTCGTAAGCGAGCTGAACAATTAGGCTTGCGAAGGACATGTTTGATGTTATGTTTTGCGCTCTTTGCTTGTTCTTGTGTCGTGGCACTTTGGCCAATCGAAAAGATTGACCAAAAGATCATGCTTCAAGTACAAACACCAATAGAAGACATCCAGTTTAAAATCCCGCGCTGGGGTGCAAAGGACTCTGCGGTACAGATATGCCAACAATCTGGCAGTGATGGAAATACTAAATGCAGGAAAGCCGCATCTCCACAGATAGACACATCCGCTGCTCTCCTCGACCAGCTATCACGACCATGCTCGGAGGACTACGACGACAAGCCTCCATCTTTTGTCCGTCTCCGCACGGATGATGATCACACAATTCTGGTATTATGCAACAATGCCAATGTACAACAATCTGTGTATACTACAAATGATTTATAATTACAAATTGATGAATTCGCTCGCTTCTTTGGCGTTTACGCCTGTCTCTTCTCCCATCGCTTCATCATTTCTGATCAAGCTCATATCATCCCGTCCTCTAACAAAATTATCCCAAAAGTCTGACCTGCTCCTCCCCTTACCGTTGGTATCCAGAACTCTCTTTTTCAACGTGCGCAAAAAGGTGTTGAACCTCAACGACTCCTCATATTCGATCGCTTGTTCACGGAATGCAATCAAAAGATCTCTAGCCTGGGCGTAATCGTTGGAACCGAAGCTGTCGGTAATCGTCACTGTAACAAAGCGAGACATTGCATCCATCACATCTTCAACTTTGTATTCGGTAATGCCAAGCTTCTTCTTAAAGTCTGCCAAAGGATTCTCTCCATCGAATACAATGTCTCGAGATTTTTCGCTGCCTTCTTCGGGCTCAGCCTGATCACCAGCGGTATTCTTGACGTGCACCCTTGCATCAATTTCACCTGGACCGATATCGCTTTGTTGTGTTTCTCCTTGCAAGGCACTCTCTGCCGCTACTTCTTCATCCATCACTCCGCCCAAATCGATCTCCTTTGGCGCACCATCTTCATCCACGTTTGGATCTCTGCGTTGTTCATTTTGACGGCTGGCCAATCGACGAGCAGCTGAAGTAGGAACATATTGCAAATCAAACAATTCTCGACATTTTTCCAACAGGGGAGTAGATCGCTTGACAACCTTTTCTGGAGGCGTCAAGTATTTTGTGACCTCTTGATGAGGTTTCGGTAACGCTTTGTCTTCCGGGTGAAATACTCTCCACGATACAGCATCTTTGATCGTATGGATTGCGGGATTGTAACTTGTATCGCATTGAAACCATGGCATCGGTTCGCCAACTTCGTCCTCTGCTGCGTCCATCAAATCCATCGAATCAATAAGATTGTCCATATTCTCTTGCATTTCATGGGAAGGAAGACTACTGTGCTCTCTGAGCTCCTGGCCATCACGATTGATCACTCGGTCTAGCGGTGGAAACGTAAACCTCTTCAGATCCTCTCGAAAAGGCGCTTCAACAAGGAACATGCACTCGAAATTGAAACCGAGATCATCTTGGCGAATCTGTGCCGAGAGGATACCCAATTTTGGCTCTCCGCCGTCCCTCCTCACAAATCGGACGACAGCATACTTTTCTTGTTGCCACATGGCATGTATGAAGCTTGACATTTGCAATTCTGCTCTGCTGTTGCCATCACTGGCAAAGACGAACCATGTCTCACCCATATGGTAGTGCCTCTGGTACAGGGACTTGTGGTTGAACTGAATGATCTCAATACCTGCACGTGTGTCTTGCTTGCGTTCCAAATCATCATTGATGGCCACCAAAGTAGAACCAAGTTTGTATGCACGGTCAAACGTCAACTCTGCGCCTTCCGGTAGAGGCTCAGCAGCGTTGATGCCTCCTTCCACATTATCCAAGTCTTCTTTGATAAAGTACTTTTTGGTCAGCTGAACGCCATACGTAACATCATTACCACTTTCATCAGAAGGACGTTTACGATAATTTGGCGTACTCGTTGGTTGCATTTGACTGGAGGCAGCGTCTTGACGTGCTGATTCACGTCGGGCTGCTGCACTGTCTTGCGCTACTTTGCTCAACTTTTTTTGCGATAGCGGTCGAGCTTGAGTGGTGGCTTTGTATACCTTGACGGAGATATCCATCACTTCATCGCTTTCACTGCGCATCGTGGGATCACCAAATGAAAGACTTGTATTAAATGGCGCTGAGGTTTGTAAATGCACCGCAGGTAAAGATGCTTCTGCAATCACTCGAGCAGCAGAGGCAACACCGGATCCGGGCAACTCTTCAGCGAATTCATGCCAGAATGCTTCATTTCTTGCCTTAATCTTCGGTTTGTCCTCTTGTTCAAACCCAATTTCCGCGTCGTCAAAATCTACTCCAATCACCTTGAGACTGATCTTTTGCTCGATCATTCTGTTCTGGACATCAATCCATCCATCTGTGTTCATCTCGCCCATAGCATTTGTGATCATGTAAATGGTTCGAGTCCACGTATCAGTCGTTCCACTGACAGCCTTGTCGCAAATTGAAGAAATTGCAGCGACCAAAGCGTCCATTGGGTCGGCAGGAAAAGGATCTTCATCTTTCTTTGCTGCCCTGAGAGATCGCACAAGCTCCAATGTATGCAGAGTAGGCTGTTCTGGGAGAACGAACTCATTGACCCCACGGTATCCGGGAAGTTTTGGATTCCCTTTGAGAAGTGTATTTTCCGTTAGCGAAGATCCAAACGATGCAAGATGAACTTTTGCCGTTTTCAAGCCGCTGAGAATACTGTTTTGTACTTTCTTTGACACAAATTCCAACGTCCAGTCCAGATCAGAAATTTCTCTTTTTCGAGTTTGGCTTTGCATCCCGTTTTCATATTGCATCTCTGCTTGTTCACTTTGAGCTGCAACGGCATGAGCCAAACCGCCATCAGCATCACCTGCACTTCTAAACCCATTCCCTCCAAATCCATCTCTAGTCACAATTTCTTCCGTAATGACTCTTGTTGTACCCATTGAAGGGGATACATCGATGCAAAATGTTGTCAACGTTCTTGCGAGTGACATTTTGAGCCGATTTCATCATGATGTGGAAGAGAAGGTTGAATGCAGCTCGACAAATATGCATTAATTGTATACCACCTATTCTATTTACGCGTGCATGTGTTGTTCTCCAGCAATTGCAACGCGTTTTTGCACTATCCGCTGGGACCAACACTTTTCTTCTTACGATCAACACAAGAAGGGCTCGAGATGGAGTATCTGGGAAAGTATGGACAGCCAGAGATACTGTCATCTGTAACTCTGCCTGTCCTACCACCTAACTCAACAGAACCGCATGCATCATCGTCAAGTGGGTCTTCTTCCCAAAAGTATACCCATCACCTTTCTTCCCAATCAGTCAATCCGTGTATGGACTTAGTGGCAATCATAAGCAGAGATATCAACACAACATCAACACCATCTGCAGGAAATCCACAAAATGCAGGCATAGTAGGGTTGCCTCCACCACCGGCAGGCATGAGCGCCGCTCGAAGTGCTGCTTTGATGAGAATGAGGATGGCACAAAGAGCAAAAGCATTAGCGGCCGCAGGTATCAAAGAGCCAGTCCAAGAAGCTCCAACAAACGCACCATCAGTGACAAGATGTGCTGCGCTCCAACTAAGCCTTTGGCGAATGTCTTCGATTGCGGGAGAGCAAGGTGCAAGAATATGGGATGTCACTGTTACCGTGCCAGATCGGTTTGAGCAGTCGCAATTCGAATATGAAGAAATGTCAGTGGATACAATGGCATGGAGTCCCGATGGCCTCGTATTAAGCCTCGCAGTGAATGTACAAAGGAGATCGAGTAGCGATATGCAAGTCAAACAGAAGCATCAATTCATTTGTCTGTATGCGCTGCAAGATGGACAACAGATACGAGCGATCCCCTTCAGTGATACCGGAGAGTTGCTGTCGATGGAATGGAAGGCTTTGCCATCTCAAAAAGACTCTACACCTCGCAAATCAGCAATCGGATCTGTGCAGCATATACTTTCTCTCACGGAACCTTTGGGCGAAATCGCTACATTTCGAGATGATCAAGAAAGCAAAGCTAGACAGCGACAACGTCTTTTTCAAGCAATGCGAGATCCACATAAGCCAAAATTGGAAGAAGACAAAAAGATCAAGGATGTCCTTACTAGCGATCCTCGTGGTTTTGGCAAGATAATATCGGATTTTCCCCATTCTTTGCATGCACACTCTTCTAGAGACAAAGTTAGCATCCTAATTGCAAGGAGCTCTGCGTCTATACACGTTTTTCTGGAAGGATGTATATATCTTGGACGTATCCATGCGAGCGAAGGCGGCAATCTAATCGAATCCAGACTAGATCCTCAAGATGGCAACATCTGTCTCTTGCGTGACGGATTCAGTGGCAGAGAAGTTCAGTTTGAACAGATGGGAACACACCTACACAAAGATAATAAGAGTTTTCAGCGGATGCTTCAGCTCCAACATTTATCCACTTTTGCTTTTGAATTTATGACGTACGGATACGATGCAATCGTTACCATGCGGACAACCTATCAAGCTATGCATGCTGACTGCATCCAAGCATGGAATCGTCGAGCCCGCTTGACGGCCAAAAGATTTGCTACTCACCTTCCTTCCGAACTTTTGATGCTTTTGGCTACTGGATTTGCCAATGATGTGACTATGTCGATCTTGCTGGGAAATGACACACTATCGGAAAACAATCTCAAAAAGATGCGAAATGATATACTCTCAACCTTGAACGCAATAGAATCAATGGCTTCTCGATTAGCATCAGCATGTCAAAGAACGATTCTCGTTTTCGAAGAAGTTTTGGGATGTGCACTTTGGTCGGAGCAGTACGGCCACATGTTTGATGCGCATAGAACAGAGGCGATTCGTACAATTCTGGAAAAGCTCAAACTCATCACAAGAGAAGCCATCCGACTGACAAGACTACTGGGCAAAGAGCACATAGCTTGGACACACTTTTACCGATTCTGGATGTATGAACGTGTACGGCAGGAAGCAGTGAGGGATTCCAAAGCGATACCAGAAGCGATTGCTGGGGCAGGAGTTGGCGATTTGCCATATAATGCAATGCTTCTGGTGCAATTCTTTGAGAGAGGCTTCTATAATAGATCCATCGAAAGCCTCCTGAATATCAGTATGGACGCCAAAACTCGAGGAGATGAGGTGGAAGATGATGATGAAGAAGATGGAGAAGAAAGCCGTAGTCGTGCAGCAGTCCCAGCAAAAGCATTGCCAAAGGAACCCGTCGACACTTTGCATCGCAACAACAGCGAGGAAGATGATGTAATGCTTGATACTGGCAAGCCCTGGTACCGAGACGCAAAGCTACATGGAAAGATTAACGAGACGATCTCGACACTGAAAGAAGACCCGAAAGCAGATGAGCTATTTTGCACAATGGGAAAGAAGACACCAAGCTCGAGCGATTTCGCAAAGTTGAGTGAAGGCACAAATTTGCACATCGGACCAACACATGATCTTGCTAAGAAAGGTAAAACCTCTGCCGTGGCATTGCCCTCTTTGAAGGATGTGATGGTGGAATGTATCAACATCGCATCTCCGCTGTTCTATCATGCACTTGCCAATTGGGCTCCCCACAACAGTGCTGTTGATGAAAGCAAATGGCAGCCCCTTCTTTCTCTCGAACCAGATTCGACAATGGCTGACGGTCGTAATGATAGCCTGCAATCCAGTGCAAAACCCTTACAAGACATTCTTGCTCCTACCAATCTTTCGCCCCTCATTCGTCAACACATTTCAGCTTCCCATTCTGATCGCAGGATTGCATTTGTGAAAGAAACGAATGAGGGATTTGCTTCACTTATGATTGCGGTAAGTACGAGTCAGGCAGACGAAAATTTGCTAATTGCCAACGTCAAACTCGGAGAAAAGGTAAAAGCGTTGGACCTAAGCTTCTACTCTGCTGAAGAGATCTTTTTGCTGCTCCAAGAAGGCGAGGAGACCATGCTTGTGTCATTGCAACTAGACGACCTATCTTTCAATCCAACAAAGACAAAAGGGGAGCAACTTGCACTCCAGCCAATGCAACCCCGCCGTCACATCAATCTCACAAAAAGAGGCGGAGGAAATGCAAAGAAGCTATCGCTCAATAAACGCAAAGAAGTATGCGCAACTTTGGATGATGAGGGACATTTGACATACTGGGATTTGGTGCAGCAAGAATCCCAGGCTGAAGAGAAGGACGAAGAGATGATATGATTATGTACTATATAATGTATTGCTAGGAATGAATTACATGATTGTTTTACTTAACTTTTTCGGTCAATTCGGGCACGGCATCGTACAAATCAGCCACCAAACCGAGATCGGCAATTTGGAAGATTGGAGCATCAGCATCTTTGTTAATGGCAACGATTGTCTTACTATCCTTCATTCCCGCTAAATGTTGAATTGCTCCTGAGATACCGACGGCAACGTACAATTCAGGTGCAATAATTTTACCCGTTTGTCCAACTTGCAAGGCATTGTCTGCATATCCTGCATCAACAGCGGCACGAGAAGCACCAACGGCAGCCTTTAGGGCGTCTGCCAAAGGTTCAATGTATGTAACAAAGTTTTCACCTGATTTCAAAGCACGACCACCGGAAACGACACGAGGAGCGGTTGCAAGATCAGGTCGAGAAGATTGATTGATCTTTTCTTCAATGAATGATGTTGGTGCCGATCCGTCCACAGCTGCAACTTCTGCCTTTTCACCATTTCCGCCATCTGTTGCTGCTTTTTCGAATGCGGTACCACGAACGGTAATCACTTTGACTTTGTCGTTTGATTTGACTGTCAACAATGCATTTCCGGCATAAATTGGACGTTGGAATGTATCTTCTGATTCGACTGCGATGATATCACTGATTTGGCTCACGTCCAACAAAGCACTTGCTCTTGCCATAACATCACGTCCGATAGCTGAATGGCCGGCAAAGACGTGAGTGTAATTTCCCTTTTCAACGACGCTTTTGATCAAAGGTGCCAAAGGTTCGGCGAACAGGTGATCATACTTTGCATCTTTTGCGACATGAACTTTCTTCAGACCTGAAATCTTGGTTGCAGCCTCAACTGCGGGATCTAGATCGGAATTCCCAACGATCAAAGCATCAACGTCACCTCCAATCTTACTTGCGGCTGTAGCAGCGACAAGAGAACCAGCGGCGATTGTTCCTTTCTTGTGTTCCAAGACCAAAAGTGTTTGTGCTAAAAGAGAACGACTGGTTGCAAATGTACGTGTAGAGGATTGTTTCAATGTTGCTGAGGCGATTGATGGAATGCCGGCACGTAGACCAGCTGTTAAAGGTCTTGCCAACATGTTGTATGGAGGTGGTAGATGGAGGTTATCATTACAACATCACCTAATCCCCACCTCGGGCCCAATTTGTTCCGACCCCGTCATGGCTGCACACCCACACACTGTGTTTGCCCTATGACGCGCTGCGCCCTTTCTCTCAGCGTGTGAATCCATCTGATACTCGCACAACCTCTAATGCCCGTAGACGCCGTGCGTACGTAAGCAAAAGGATAAGCGCATTTATCAAAACTGAGAGAAGGACAATCAAAACAACCATCAATGAAATTCACTCCTCATCAATCCTACTTCTTTGACTTCTTTCCGGGAGGATTCTGCTTCTCCGATGTAGACTTTCGTGGCCTGCCACCTTTCTCTCTCGGCATCTTTACGCCAAATTGATCTTCCATTCTCTCTCTCCATTTCAGAATTCGATATTTTGCCTTGAAATAATTGGGATCTTGAACTTTTTTCCGTTCTCTCCAATCGGAAACTGCTTTATTATGCTTACGTAGGAATTCTTTGGCATTGTCCTTCAAGAGGCAGAGAAAAATGTTCAGTTCAGTAATCTACTGTGCTGGGCATGCGCGGAAATACTCACTCCTGACAGTGCATTCTTTCGACGATCAGACATTTTTGATCTTTGCGTGACCAATCTTGCTTCATACTTTTCCCTCTTTTCTCCGTCGGTCAAAATGGCTCTTCTCTTTCTGGTACGTAATGGACCACGTTGGGCAACAGATTGGCTTGATGACATTCCTTCTTTGTCTCTTTCCTTTGCAGGACTATTGGCATGAAGATGTACTTTCGGGGATAGCAACCGAATATAATGATAATAATCCATTCTGGAATCGGTCATTAATCTGTGCTGAATGCTCGCGCTGTCAAAGGCTGGGTTGCTGTTTCTGACTTCATGTGGCAGAGATGGACTTGGAGATCTGCTCTTTGGCTCTTTTTCGTGTACCGTCTGTGTTTCGGCATGTCTACCTATCGATGGCGAAACATGCAAGGTTGGAGAATGATGAAAGTATTCCGAATTAGGGTTATCTACGAGGAGCTCACCAGATGGACTAGGTGATCTGCTCTTTGGCTTTTCTTCGTGTTTCGTCTGTATTGCGGCATTTCCACCTGTCGATTGCGCGACATGCAAGGTTGGGGAATGACGAAAGTATTCAGATTGAGGATTATCAATCAGCAAATCGCCAGTAGAGCTTCCTTGGCTTTGTGGACTGCCAGGAGGACTTGCCGAAGAAAGACAAGAAAGGAGTACAATTGTTGCGAACAAGATCCAGACCAGCATGACGATGGCAAACGTTCGTTGTAGGGATCAAAGAAGGGCAAGGGTCCGTCTTTCTTTTTTTGATGCACCTTTTGAACCATGGAAGCCCCGCAGAACGCAAAGCAGTCGAATAAACTTGTCCGGGGCATTCTTTGCATAATGGAAGACAGGTTAATCATTCTCATCGATACAGCATACCAAAATGACGTAATCTTGACATCAGGAAAAAAACAAATTGAATGAAAAGTCTCGCTAATAACAATATAACATCTACCACGAGTAAGAACTATCTGAGCTAGCAGCTTTACGTTTTTGGCTTGACCTACTTGCTTTTCCCAACGCAAGGCTTTCTTGTTTACCCACCTTTCGCTTTCGGGTTTGTTTAAATTCAAAATCAGGATCACCTTTGGACTTCTTTTCTTTTGCTTTCCAACGATCTTTTCGTTCTTGTGAGGTCAGCACCCTTTCTTGGTTAGGCAGAACTCTCTTTCTACCGCCTTTGGATCGCGGTTTGGTGATTGAACTTGGTTGCGAAATCGATTGCTGTACGTGTAATCCTTCACCATTTTGTGGATTAGCAGGTTGCAAACGAGCTCCTTGCGGACTAGAGTGCTGTGGACTGCCGCTCTCTGGATGATGTGGCTCAAGGAAAGCGTTTTTATAGTCATCAAAATTTAATATATCGAGTGGAACTGGCGAAGGAGATCTAGGAGGGGTACCAACGCAAAAACAAAAAGCTGGAAGGACGATAAGCAAAAACAATCTGTAAGCAATCATTGTAAGATGAGAAGGTATGCCAGAAGATGATCTTGAGGAATGAATGTGAGGATCGATATCTCTGTGCCTTTGGACAATGGTTTTGTACAAATGATAATACGCAAGCGAGTTTGCGGATCGAGCCCCGCCAATACACAACACAGCGGACGAGAAACACTTGTATTATTGTCAAATACACTGCTTTTCAATCGACTCCATCAGATAAAGGATTTCACGAGAGAGTAGTCGGAGCAAACATTTCCGATCAAACATTGGATGTTTCTTGTGTATACTGCATTTTGGGAGGTCTACCAACTTTCCTTACTGGAAGCCCAAGTGATAAGCGTCTATTTTGTCTTTGTTCTCTTGCTTGTCTGTTTAAATAATCCGGATCTTTCTGTAGCCTTTCCTTTTTCCATCGTCTTGAACGTTCTAGTGCATTGGCCTTCTTTTGCTCAACTGTCAAGTAAGCAACCCTACCCTTTTTTCGCGGCTTATTTACGGTTGACAAGGTGTTCTTCAGTCTTGGCATCATCATTTTCCCCGCCATAGTATTTGGAGGTACATTTGACAATTTATCGTTCACTACATTTGCGTGTCCAGCTTCTACTGAGCCTGAGCGAACATGTTGTAGGCTAGAGTCTTGTGAAGGAATATGTTGTGAAAGGGCATGCTGTACATCAGTTGGCTCTTCGAAAGGATTCCAATATTCATGGTTGAACAATGGTTCGAGCGAGACAGGTGAGGGAGATCTGGGTGGCGTATGAATAGAAGCGCAAATAGTGGGAAAGATGATGAGCAGCAAAAATGGGCAAATGTAATCTAAGTAGTGAAAAATCATGTTGGTTGTGGGATAGACAAGAAAATGGTGCAAGTCTTAGAATCACATATGACCCATAAACTCGATGTCACGGCGTGCTTCGAAGAATACAGCCCCGGGGTTGTGCAGTACAATGACGCCGCTTTGCACAGTTTATTACGTCATCGATAAAGAGCAGTCACCCGCTCAAACAACAACGTTCATGAAAGATGGGAGTAGAATCAGCGTGCCCAGTTGTATGCTCGAAGCTCACAATATTCGCCTTCACCAATCACACATGCCATGCTTGGTATTTGGAGGCAAAAGAACTTTCTTACCTCCCGTATTATATACTGTTGTAAGCAACTCTCAAGTTCCACCTTAACGGATGTTGCCAGGCCACGTTCAGGGGATGATCATTTAAGGCACTCAAAATCCACCAGAGTGCTTGGATGAGACCAACAACTGGCGCCGCAATCGCAATTGTAAGGCAAACGAGAAACTAAACAGTTGGGAGTTGACCTTTGACAGAATTCCAGTGGAATCACGAAGCTCGTATACTGCCTCTCCCACGTTTACCATATCAAGAAGAAGATCAACCCTGTGATGGGATGACCACGCCACAAGTACGACACTATTCGATTGCATTGACTCTGAATACGATATTGAGCAGTTGTTTGTAGACAATCTACCGAATGAGCGAATAAATGTTATATGCAACTACACGGATATCACGATTGATGACATCTATACTGAATGTATTCATCCACAGCCCCGAGATCGCACAGTGTATTGACCCCACTTTCTACAATGTGTACGCCAACCTTAACCAAAAGGAGAAGATAGCTTGGGCAAAGATTTTAGGCTTTTGCTTGACGGTATCTTTTTCGTTTTTCAGGGGTAATGATTCCATGTAATTTTTTATAGCGTCTCTTTTCTCTCGCAATTCGACCTGCTTTGGCCAGATAATCAGGTTCTACCTTTATTCTTTCAGCTCTCCACTTCTTTGTACGCTCTCGTGCTTTTAGTACTCTTTCTTCATCTGTTAGAAATCTTTTTCGTCCACCTTTTCCACGTATTTTGACGATTTCAGGCTTTGATTGAGGTATCTGGGTTGCTGAAACGATTTTAGGCTTGCTTGTAGTAGAGACATGCTGTTCATTCGATTCTTCAACATGCTCTGAATGCGTTGGATAAAGAAAAGCTTTCCACCCGTCATCGAAATTCAACGGCTCCAGTGACACTGGCGAAGGTGATCGAGGCGGATTATATACCGAAAAGCAAGCAAATGGGAAGATTATGATGTGGAGAGCATTCAAAAGTAGCTTGAAAGATTGAGAGATCATATGGAGCGAGATCTAAGTGAGGGACAGGATTCAACGTTGCATTCTGCTTCAGACTCTTCTGAGGTCCAAAACGGTGGTTTGTCGAATGCCCCGAAGGCGTCAACATCACAAAGTCATCTTGGATTAGGTAATAATCTCCAGGAAATCCTCTCAGGCACAGCATTGCATCATATAGCTTCGTCAAAGTACGTTGGAAGAAATACACAGCATACATTTTAACGAAATATAGGGAAATGCTTACACATCTGTCTTGGGATTCTTACGTGGTCTGCCTGCCTTGCCTTTTATTTCAATCCCAGTCAGTATGCGGAGCTGCTCAATCTCTTTCCTGGTCCTATACAGTTTTGCACTGTATTCAGGATCTTCTTTGCGTTTCTTCTCTTCCCATCGTATTCTACTTTCTCGTTTTCTGATTAGTCTTTCTTCATCCGAGTATTTTCGTTTTCTATTCCTCTTTAGAGATCCTTCTTTCATTTTCATTATTTTATGATTTTTAGAGTCTGATCTGACTATCTTCTCGTATGCTGTAGAAGAATGATGTACTTTCGATGGCTCTTCTTCCGTACTTTTTGAGCGAATCGGAAGAAGAGACGGACTCATATCATCATCGAACGACAACAGTTCTGTTGCGACTGGCGAAGGCGATCTAGGTGGCGTATGAATGGAAAAGCATTTATGAAAAATTTTAAGGAGCAACACAATTGTGATCGCGACGTGCAGATGATAGCGAAGCATCTATAACCTGACCTGAATGGGCGAGGTGAAGATATTTTCTAAGAAAAAGAAATTAAAAGAACACATGCAAGTAATTCTGAATCATACGAAAGCCCCTGCAATTTGCAGCACCATACACAAAGCTGTACAGCCTTCGGATTCGTTTTGCTCCTTGTAAGAACGGCAGATTGAGCTTCATCCTTTATACACCACGACAAAGGCTGATTTGTGTATACCGAACTAGCCCCGTTCAGAGAGAAGCTCAAATGATAAGTCACTTATATAAGCACAGGCAAAGCACGTTTGCAGTGAATATCACCTGATTCTTGTTTTTTTGAGCCGGACTGGAATCGGATGAATACGCTACCTTTAGCAGATGAGCTCCACCTGATCAAATGTGACAACATTGCATTGCAGTCTGGTAAAGGTACGAAATTAACAATATGCAAGAACAAAGCCAATCGGCAGGGTCGATCAATCAATCAATCATCTTACATAAAGAAGAGGCCTTCTGCCCTAGGGCAAAAGAAGCGAACGTTGCTAAGTATAGAAAGAAAAGAAGATTTATCCGAGAAATAAAACAAAAACGCGTCTCGTAGGTACCAAAGCAGAGGAACACAAGACAAATTATCCGATTGTTCCGAGCTAAAAGACTGCGATCGAATACGCTAAAAAAATAAAAATCACCCAGAATTATTCCATGGGAAGTGATCTTCGAAATGTTATGTAGGCGATCGAGAAAGAGGCATATGTGAATATTAAAGTTTCAAAAAATTGTTCCTTTTCTTTGTGGAGAAGGTAGGGTGCTATCCTAAAAACATGAAATAAAGTTATTTTCCTATCCAACTACCATCAATCAATCATCAAATACTCACAATGACAGAAAAAGATTTATCTGCCCAAGAAGGCAAGCAAACATTTCCAAACGATACCTTTCAGGTTGATTCCCCATGTCTTGAGAACTTCCTAGAAGGTATCTCATTTTGGAGCAAACACACACCAACTTCTCCTGCTCTCCTTTTTCCCCGCACGCCAGCCTCACAATCTATGGAAACCGTACAATGGAACGAATTCAGAGTGAGTTGCAAAAGACGGTGAAACAAAAGGTATAATAGTGCTAATTTCATGTAATTCCCCTCCTCCAGGACTCTGTTCAATTAGCAAAAGAATGGTTGTGCAAAACACTCTCTTTGCCTAGCAATGCATCTGAGATTGATGTGTCAGGGCTTAATGAAGATGAAGCACGAGGTAAAAGAACAATCACCTTGCTAATTGCCCCAACACACGACAACATATGCATTTGGATGGCGTTAGCGAGTATGGGCTATACTACGCAATTCATCAGCTTAGCACATGTTCCTGAAGTGATTGCTACCTTGATTCACAAAGCACAAAGTCAAAAGATCATCACCGGTGGCTTAGATCAGGATTGGTTAGAAAAAAGTCAATCTCATTTGAAAGAGATCAGCAAGTCTTCATCTCATAAGTGGTTCCAAACGGACGCAAATAGCACTCTGTTTGGCTTTTTGGATCGTGTCAGAAGTCAAAAAGAAACCATCCGAACCCTGCAATTCCAATCTTTGCCCACACCTTTGGTTTTATTACACAGCTTTGGCTCAACAAATATGCCAAAGCTATATCCCGTCTCGTTGGAAAGTGCGAACCTAAGTGCAACTGATTCGGCTAAATTCTGGTGTGCTTTACCAAACGAAAAGCGATGGAGAAGACAACTGGAAACAAGTCTTTGCTTCCATTTCTCATTCCAACAACCCATTTGGCGTGCTTTGATGTGCGGTACAGCTCTCATCTTCCCGGTCATTCGTGCAAATCAAGATCAATCCACACATTCTCACGAACGCAAAGGCGGAAAGGTTCTTATTCCAAACGCAACTGATATCCTTGATTCTCTTGCAATGGCAGACGGTGACGTCTTGTATGCTTCTCCTACAGGATTGGAAAAGATGACTTTGACAGGATTGCAAACAGAAAATCAATCTTGGAAAAGAGCTTTGTCAAACTTGAAAGATGCTCATACAGGAGGTGCTCCTGTTAGTCGTCAAATGGCTGACACTTTCGCAAAGGCAAATCTTGAAGTGATGCAAGTGTTTGCAACTACCGAAGCAGGTATGCTGTGAGTATCCATTTCTAGATGAAAATTACGATGTATGGGAAGCTGACAATTTGTCTTATTTGTACCATCTTAGGTTCCTCGCTAAGCCCTCGCTCACAAAGCATCTTTGCAACTTGACTCCCAGACCCCAACTAGCACACAAAATGCTCTTTTATCAACGTGATCCAAAAGACGACACTCTTGAACTCTGGTTGCCAGAAGATTTCCCTGGTCTTCAGAAATACGGTCTTAAGTTTGAAGCTTATCCAGGAGATGAGTCAATTCAAGCCTGGAACACATGCGATACATTCGCACGTCTTACACCGCACGCACCTTTGTACGAATTCAGAGGGAGAACGGATGATTGGTTGCGTTTAACAGTCGGAACGGCTTGTAGAGCCTTGGAAATTGAAGACAGATTGATGGAACTGATGCGTGAGCCGATTTCACAACCTTCAAGCAAAGAACAAAGTCCAGTTCTCAGCCCCAGTGGCTCATCGAGCAGTCAATTCTCTACCACAGACCTGCAAAACTCCTTTACCAGCGATTCAAGTGACGCACAGCGCGTTGAAGCTGTTACCGTTTTAGGACATGCACGTAAAGCATTATCAGCCGTCGTTCAATTGAAAGATTGCACTTATCCCCAAGACGAAGAAAAACAAATGGCAAAACGTGCAGCAGAAATCATAACAGAGGAAAAACTACAGTATCCCCTCATTTTACGACCGGAAGCAATCATTTTTGCTACACCTGAAACTCCTGCAATTTCAATCACACAAAAAGGAAGCGTACAACGTAAAAAGAACGAACAAGCTTTCGGCCCAATTCTTGACAAGATGGATTTGTGATTTTTTTGTACTTTCCTCATAATTTATGACAGCAATGAGAAATGCTTAAATCCTAAAGTTTGTGAGAATATGCACATGTATCAATCAACGATGCAGGACAGTTGCCTGCATTGCAGATAGCACCCATTTTTATTGCCGGCGCTCTCCGTCCGCCGTACCACGGCTGCGGATTCCTGCTAAATTTAGACTGTACTGCTCACACCTCTTCATATAAGTAATCTTGCAGCACGTTGCATATGTGATCGGCAACGTTTTACCGCACCCTTGAAATGTTTGTTTGCCACTTTGTATGCCTGCACGACTACTTTATTCGTGCAATGTTTGTAATGACATGATTTTTCTTTTCTTCTTGCTTTCAAATGGTCTGCACGCATAAAAAATTTGTCAAGCCCTACATTTAGAGTAACAATGACTGAATGACAAACGATGCACGGTGCAAGCGGAGATGTGACTTTAGACGGAACTGCATCTAAAAACATCTGACTTCCTTTCACCTTTGTTTATATTGCAGCAAGAAATTTTAGGGTGGAGGAGATCGCAATCTTAATTCCCATCGATCATGCATGATTGAATTGATTGTGGTAAGAACAATGAACCGTCACATTCTCACCTTCTGTAGGGTGCTCGATTGAACCCCTTCCAAAAGAAAGGATCGAAATTCTAATTTGATGCGTCGCAAATCAGTGAAACGTCATTATGCCGTTTGTCCTTGATGCCGTACGGAGTTTTGAAAAAGTCAATAATCCGAATACCGGCAAACGTTTGCCAAACTTTGACATTTTGTGCGTGGAGAATGTTTGTTTGTGAAAAGTGCAGAATAGGAAGAAACATTTTGAGTATTAGTGTTTCTATATAAGTTAGACAACATTCTCTTCTTTGATCGCAACCACCCAAACGCCCATCCTATCTAATCAACAATGAGTGCAAATCGATCAATCATCACCCCGGATTCCATGTCTGCAGTTGACAGCCTTGGCGGCTATTTCGCTGCTGGCTATCGAACTGCCATGTCAACGTTTTCCATGTCTCCTAACCGTTTTGGAGAAAAGGGCATCATTCATCATTTACAATTATCACCTCTCGTTTCATTCTTGTTAATAGGCTTTATAACCGTTTCGATTGTGGCTTTGTCAAATTTGGCTTTTCAAATGACATTCATGTCCACGTTTAAAAACTGGCAAAGACCAAAAGCACAGGGAAAATGGTCATGGATTATGGGAAATTTGATTCGTGAGTGGGACTGAATGGTATAAAAATCTTATTGCAGTTACTGACATAGCTCCCACCCTACTACAGAAATGCAAAAGGGCAACCCCGGAGACATTCAGATGGAATGGACGGAAAAGTACGGAGGCGCAGTGGTTTACCGTGGATTAGCAGGAAATGAGCGTTTATTGATTTCGGATCCACGTGCGTTAATGTATGTGTTGCACCAACGCTGTTATGCATTCCCTAAACCTTCTGGAGCAAGATCAGCATTGAGCAACTTACTGGGAGAAGGCGTTCTTACAACAGAAGGGGATGTTCACAAACGTCAACGTAAAATCGTTAATCCAACATTCACACAATCTGCCATTCGTGACTTTTTACCTTTGTTTTGGAGACATTCTCGTGCTCTTGCTAAACATCTACAGACATCAATGGAAGAAGAAAGAAATGCAAAAATGCAAAATAAGACAAAAGAACGCTTATCGATAGCTCACGAGCTTTCTCCTGCATACATTAATGACGAAACAATCAATCAAAACGATGTCAAGCTTTTGGACGATAAGATGAAGATGAACGATCAAGCTACCGTGCCCTCCATTGTAGACGTTCTTCATTGGACAAGCAGAACGACCTTAGATGTCATTGGAGAAAGTGCATTCAGCTACAAGTTGAATTCTTTACAAAGAGGTGAAAATGGTGACGTGATTGCAGATTCTTTCAACAAGATGATGACTCACGTAGGCCAGTTGACACTTCTAGAACGCGCACAACTGCATTTTGAGCAATTCAGCATCTTTGACGGTATTCGTCCTTTGCCGACCTCTTTCAACAAACGTGCTCGTGCATGTTACGACGCCGTCGAAAGTGTTGCACAAAAAATGTTGAAAGATAGACGTGAAGGCACTGCTCCTCCAGAAACGGAAAAAGACGTTCTCGAGAGAGTTCTACGCGCAAACGAAGATTCTTCCGTCAAGCAATCCCAGCGGTTGATGCCTCATGAAATCATGGGACAGCTAACAACTCTTATCTTGGCAGGCCATGAAACGACAAGCACAGCATTAACTTGGGTTCTGTACCAACTAGCCATGCATCCTTCAATACAGGAAAGTGTACGAAAAGAAATTTTGGAAGCACAGCAAATCAACGAACAAGAAGGAAAGGACGATTTGAGTTATGAAGAATTACATGCTCTACCTATGCTAAACAATGTGACAAATGAAGTCATGCGTTTGAATCCACCCGTTCATAGTACAAACCGTGAAGCAGCCGAAGATGATATTATTCCTTTGAAATATCCAATCAAAGGAGAGCACGGTCAAACGATCGATCAAATCCCAGTTCGTAAAGGACAAGCGATTATCGTTCATATTGCTACATATAACCGTAGAAAAGATCTTTGGGGTCCTGATGCCGATCAATTCCGTCCGGATAGATGGGAAAATTTACCCTTAAAAATTTTACAGTCTGGCGTGCCGGGTCATTCATTAAGTTTTTTGGCTGGTCCAAGAAATTGCGTTGGTCAAAAGTTTGCCTTGACAGAATTCAAAGCAATTCTTTCAACTTTGTTGGCCACATTCTCTTTTGCCCCTCCACCAGAAACAACAAAGGTGGACTCTAAACAAGTTATTGTCACCAGACCTAGAATTCGTGGAATGGAATCTCAAGGTACACAAATGCCCTTATGCGTTACGCCATTGCAATGATTATATTCACAGTAGATATAACGTTTCAAACATCATAAATTCATGGTTTCCCACAGCGATGGTTTCGAGTCTTTAGTTGTAAAAATTCATTCACAGTAAATACATAAAGTTTCACATTTAAACAAATTACCTTTTTGGTTTCCTACACAGATAGTCTTTACAGAGTTCCTAATACACATATCGGAAATCTTCACGTTTAAAGTCGGATAAGTCTTGACCAGTCTGGCCTTGTGTTTGTTGTTCGAGCTCTGAGTCGTCTCTGTTCAGATTTCGCTTGTAGTTCCAAGCGGCATGGATGATACCAATACAGAACAAAGTGAAAGCAGCACCTGCTAAAGATCCAATGATCACTTTTTTGGCCGTTGGGTAGTTCAACAAAGTTTCACTTTCAAGGAACACTAAAGGTCCGATGATATTGCCCAAAGCGTAAGCTAATTGAGAGACGATGGTGAAAATGACTCTTTTATCGTGGCCCAAGACGGCAGAGCCAATGAAAGAGTACAACGCAACCACAGCTGGGGAGCCAAAGTTGAGCAAAACATAACCAACAGTCTTTGCCGTTCTGCCTGTGGTTGAGACATACATCATCGTTGAACCTGCAATTGCGATAAACAAAAGCAAATTTGCACCTAAGATACGGCTCTTTGTCAACAAAGCTGTGATGATGAATAGCAACACGCTCACAATTTGACCGCCTCCTGGAGCGATTGAAACGAGCAATGTTTCTGCTTGTGAGAATCCAAAGCCGGAAAGAAGTTGAGTACTATAAGCTGTTACACCTCCATTAGGAATGCTTCCAACCAAAAGGCCACAAAAGAAGAGATACAAACGTACATCACAGACTGCTTCGATCCATTGATACCATGCAATCTTTCGTGTCTTTTTCACGTAAGGAGTATGTGCAACTGGAACTCCGCTTTCATCGTTGCTTTCCTTGACTGTGGCCAATTTGCCGGACGAGTTTTTGTCTTGCACTTTCGGTTGTTGGGTGAACAATCGACTCAGTACTGCCTTTCTTTCGATGGGAGAATACAATCGTGTACGATTGGGTGTATTAGGCATAAATGCTAACAACATCAATCCAACAAAGATGGTAATACCACCTAAGATCAAATACAATTGCCTCCAAATCGCCAAAGATGATTTAATGACACTTGGATTGGATAAGAGTCCGTAGGATAAACCACCTCCAAGAATCAATGCGACACCGTTGAACGCATACCAAATTGCTGTTCTGCTAATCGTTTCCCTTGGTGTGTAGAACATAGAAGTAATCAACACCAAAGCAGGAGTAACGGAAGATTCCAAGAATCCCAAAAAGAAACGAACGGCAAGAATGCCAGAATAATTGTGTGTTGCAGCATGTGTCATTGTTATCATTCCCCACAAGGTAACAGTTGCACCGGTAGAGAGATCGGCAGAAACACGTTGAAGAACAAAAGTCCATAAAGGTAAACCTGAAATCATACCGATATAGTAGATTGAGGCAGCAAAGCTGTATTGACCCATGGTGATTCTCAAATCTGTCACCAAGCCAAGTAAAGCGGCATAAGAAAAAATTGCCTTATCTAAATATTGCAACATCACAACCAACGCCATCAATGGCATAATGACAAAGTCGGTTTTCAACAATGCTTTCCTAGATGCCTTGCGCATTTGTTCATCATCATAGTCTTCATCAATACTTCGAGCATCATGAGTGTAAGGCGTGACTGTTTGCCCATGTTGTGTGCTGGGCGTCAATGATCCTCCTTTTGGAGTGACTGACTTGGAAGTGGATTTCCTTTGGACTCTTTCAGGTCTGTTTTCTGGCTTGTCCGTATGGATAGCATCATCAGCACGGGAAATGATTGTTGATCTATTTGCAGTTGATGGTTCTACACGGGTAGAATTTAATCTTCCATCTTTGCTTGCTCTTGCCCTATTTCCACCACGGTCAAAGCTAGGTCGAAAGATATTAAACGATCTACGACCTTGTGAAGCTTCATCATGGCCTTCTTCGTTGCCTGATTCTAATTCACCGTTGAGAGGACCGGAGAGCATACCACCGGGCAGATCAAATAAGGTAAAGTTTGGCAAAGGAGAAGCGGCTCGAATTGTTTCGGCGCGACTTTGTGCGCCACTTCTTCTGCCTTGTTCGGTGTCATTTTGTGCTTGATCGACGCCTTCTTCTCTCATACTTGTACTCAATCGACCCCGAAATGTGTCAAGTCGATCACCCATTGATCGTCTCCCGATAGATTCATGACCTTGCTGTTGCTCTTTTTTGTTTTCACCTCGAAGGTCACGCTCTGATTTGTGTTTTCTAACTTCCATTTTGTCTGTAAATTTAAGATGATTGCAAGAAAGTCAAGGAATTATAAAGAATAGTTTTAAAGATATATAATTTCTCCTCACTTCGCTTAGAATTGCCATTTTTGTTGACGTTTTCACAAGACGAGGTTCCATACACATACACTAAATCATATTCGTTCGATCTTCACATTGACGTATCAAAGAGCAGCACCCTTTGATGGCATCCAATAAACCCAGATTTTGCGCAGTATTTTAGCGTATATTTCTGCCGAACAAATAAATCAAAATGCCGACATCTTGACGGCAAAATTATACTAGTAACGATCAAGAATTTCAACGCTAAATCATACGCTAATAATTACACAACAAACAAAAACAAAAATGTTTCTATACAAAGAAACACGCTTACATCAACAATAAAGGATGATGTATTCGTACATATGTAACGGAAATCATTTCATTCTCCATAATTATGCAAATGATCGCCAAGAATGACAGGGTGTAAATAAATCTTATGCAAACAGTTTGAGCATGTGATTTGAAACCTTATCCGCGGGCTCGAGAAACATTGGGATTGTTTTGAATTTTTAAGTTCTCCGCAATTTTGTTTTCTGTATGACTTCCTTTTTGACAGCCATCACACAACAAAATGAGTTTGAGCACAAAATCCTCCTCAACAAAGCTTTCTAAAGCAAAAGATACAAGTCGTCAAAATTCATTTGACGTTCTTCGTGATACAACTTTCTTGACACCTTCTCCCAGACAAGAACCTCTACCAAGAAGATCGATAGACGTGTACAATGAAGTTGCACGCAACCGAATGGCCTCTTTGACGGCTGGCAATGAAGGAACACCAGGATCAAGAGTGCCATCTTTGTATGCAATGCCTCAAAGTGTAAATCAATCTGTAGATCAAACAAACAGAAAATCAAGTGTATCTGTCAGACCAAGCTTTTCAATCGAACCTCGCAGAAGGTCTGAAGAATCTTTTGTCAGCGCTAGAGACGAAGAAGCAGAGAATCGTCTACAGGAAGCATTCCCAATGTCAAGGCAAAGAGGTGGAGAAGAGTTAGGAACTTCGTTTGATGTGGGCAGATGGACAATTCGCTCTAATCCAAACGAAATCCCATTTCAACATGAAAGAACGCCAAATCAATCCTTACGTGGCAGTATGAACATTAGTAGAAGTCGTTTACCGTCTACTACACTCAGCAGAATCCAATCTCCCACCCAAGAAGAGGAGGAAACTCTCTACCGAATCAATTCAGAGCCTGTCCGTGGAGGCAGGATTGTTACAGCACCATTTGGTAATGTACTTAGACGCCAAGAAGCAGCAAACATAAATGGCGATGGTAACATCAACGATATGAGAGAAGCAGTTTATCAAGTTGGTGTCTTTCTCGATCAACATGCAAAAGGTGTTGCCAAAGCATCAAGATCAAAAGATCGTCATTTCTGGTTAGCATTCATGGGAATTGCAATCACAGGCTTCCTTTCTGCAACTGATATGACAATCATTGCTCCAATTTTACCAACGATTGCAGGTGATATGCCACCTTCAGATATAAGTCCAACTTGGATCACATCTGCTTTTCTGTTAGCAATGATGACTTTTCAACCTTTATGGGGTGGTCTATCTGATGCTTTTGGTCGTCAAGGCACCCTTTTAGCTTCTATAGTCATTTTTCTTGCTGGTTCAATTCCTTGTACCGTTGCAAGATCAATGTTAACAATGGTTGCCGGAAGAGGCTTACAAGGTGTAGGTGGTGGTGGAATGCTTGCGATTGGTGAAGTGATGTTGTCGGATATGACAACATTGGCAGAAAGAGGTTATTTCTTAGGTTTGCTTTCTATGGCTTTTGCCGTGGCTGCCATTGCTGCTCCTTTGGTAGGAGGTGTTTTTGCTACACATGGAGGCTATCTTGGATGGAGATGGTCTTTCTTGATCAATTTCCCCATCGGTGTCGTTGCTCTTGCCTTTGTTCTTTCGTCAAACAAGTTCAAGCCACCACCAAAGTTGACAATGCGAGAGAAATGGGCACATTGTGATGCTACTTCGGCCTTGATCTTATTTGCTTCAACTCTTTCGCTCTTGATCGGATTGACAAGAGGTGGTGAAGAGTATGCATGGAACGATGGAAGAGTGGTAGCACCGTTGGTTTGCGGTATTATTGGACTGATCGGCTTCTTTGCTCTGCAATGGCTACCGTTCAAGTTCTTACGCTCATGGTTCTTGGCACCGAGACCAGTTTTGGATCCTGCAATGTTTTTCGGAAAAGGATTAAGGACAAGTTCAATTTCGTTTATTCTGACATTTTTGCATGGTATTTTGTTGTATGGAGCTATTCAAACACTTATTCTTTATTTCGAAACAAGAGATGCAACCCCATTACGTGCTGCCATCAATGTTCTGCCCGCAAATGTCCCTTCTACACCAGCAGCATTTATTGCCGGAGTCTTGATGGCAATCACTGGTCGTTATAAGTCACTGATTATTGGTTCTCAAATTCTCATGTTGGTTGGATTGGGAATGTTTGTCTATTTGGACTCTTTCTCTCCAACGTATCAATGGGTCATCTTTCAATTAATCGCATCGTTAGGAATTGGTGCAATGTATACACTAGCACTTCCTCCAATTCAAGCAAGTTTACCTCCAGCTTATCTTGCCCGTGCAACTGCAACATTTGCTTTCGTTCGTTCTTTCGGTGCAATTTGGGGTGTCTCAATCACTTTGGTTGCCTTTAGCGCTCAAGCAAACAAAGAATTGGACAAGGTTTCAGGTGCATATGAAGCTGGATTTACAGGAGCTAGTGCAATTGGCAAAACAACTTCAATCGGTTCTGTTACTCCAATAGAGCTACAGACTGAAATCAGGAACGCATTTGATCAATCGCTGCGAGTTGCATTTTCCGTATTAGTACCTTTTGCCGCAATCGGTCTGTTTTTGGCAATTTTCATCAAACATATTCCTTTGCCGAATTTCAACACATCTGAATATGGTTTGCAAGAACAGGAACAGGGTACAGAAAAGAATTCATCACCTCATAAAAAGGCCGAAGAAGGTACTTTGCAAACCGGCTTCGAACGCTCTCACACGGCTGGTACCAGTGAATTAGACTCTGCTTTCAGTTCGCCAAAAGTGGGCGGTCGACTTTCTACTAATCAGGAACCTACTTCAATTCCTTTGCGTAGGTCTGACAGTTTCTGGCATTAAAGTTTACTGTATATATTTTGTGAGATAATGACGATTCTGATAAATGATTTTAGGGGGTACACCAGTCTGATGTAATGATCGACGTTGAAATGAAATCGTTCACATGTTTGCTAATGTTTGCTCAACGGCTTCTACGGCAAAGGAACGCGCCGCCGTTGCTAACGTCAATCATTCGCGCGCAGCGCATAAAGTTTATGCATCAGAATTTCGGTTTGGTGTTTGAGACGATCGACGCTAAAATAAAAACAACTTGCTCTTTTATTCCTTTCAAGCGAGACGATACGAAATAAACAATAAAATATGACAGAAGCAATGTACCTAAGAACCCTGAAGACATGACGTCCCATCAGCTATACTTTCCATCTTGAGTTCGTTCCTTACTTTCTCTCCACCATCAATCCCTTTCACACCAATATGAAGTGCTACTCTCTCTCATTCCTTGCTTTGTTAGCATTCGTCTTTGTTGGATTAGACGAAAGTCATTCAGCTCCTTGTAATACTGAAGCACTCATTTCCATCTTATCCGATAATCAAAAGAGTGCTTTACTTCAATCAGGTAGCTTTAACGGTTATCATGCTTCAGGAACAAATTCAGGCTATCAATCCAACACAAACAACAAAAATGAACAAAACCAAGATCAAGGCAAATCAAGCTCTAACGGTGACAGCGAAGAACAACATCAAGCTTTGATTTCTATCCTTTCAGGAAACAGCAAGAGTGGCTTAGTTCAAAGTGGTACACAAAATGGCTATCACGCCTCTGGAACGAATTCAGGTTATCAGTCAAACACAAACAATACCAACACTTCCAGCACAGGATCCAAAGATGAAAAGTCATCCAAAGATTCTAATGAAAAACCTGATGAACAAGGCAAGGGTACTTCAATCTTATCTAACAACGATAAAAGCGGCTTAGTTCAATCTGGCAGCTTTAATGGTTACCATGCCTCTGGTACAAATTCAGGTTATGAATCAAACAAAAACAACACAAACACATCCAATAAAGCATCTGAAAAGTCAACCAAAGAGTCTAGTGAGAAATCAGAGAAAAAGCCTGATGAGCAAGGCAACAAAACATCAATCCTATCCAACAACGACAAGAGCGGATTGGTTCAATCTGGCACACAGAACGGATACCACGCTTCTGGTACAAATTCCGGATACAAGTCAAACACGAACAACACGAACGAAAAGCAAACTGATAGTAACAGTGGCTCAAAAGATGCAGAACACGAATCGAAAGACCAAGGCAAGAGCAAAGACAAGTTTTCCCTCCTTTCAAACAACGAAAAGAGCGGTCTGGTTCAATCTGGCGTTGAGAACGGCTACCACGGTTCCGGCACAAACTCAGGCTATGAATCAAACAAGAACAACACTCATTAAAAAAGTCTATTCTTTGTATAAACATGTGAATTACTCTATATTTATGTCCTTGTTGCCATTACCAATGAAAGCCACCATCCAACGGTGAAGGTACCTTTTTCACCTCCTACGATTTGATGTAAAGAATCCATGGTTGATTCGTACTCTTTATGCTTGTATAAGACATCCATTGGCATACCTAAACTTTCGATGTAGTGAAGTAACTCTTTTGTTGTCCAAGAAGAACGTTGTAAGAAGCAAGAATTTGATTCTTTGCATTCTTGATCGATCACTTTTGCATCTTTTGCGATACGTTCAGGACAATCTTTTACCAAAGAGAAGGAAGATGGTGGATTTTCACCTAATCCATTCACCCCGGCTACATTTTCGGGTAATTGCCAAAATTGCCGAACTTCTTTGTGGAATTTTGTGGAATCGATGCCGATATTTCTCAATTTCAACGCATGAGCCTCCACCGGTCCGCGTGGGAATCCTTCGCTGGACCAGACAGATTCGAACACTGTTTTATGAGGGAAGCTGTCAGCACATATACCCTTGTGACTTTTCCTATTTTATCTACTTACAGATGCTGAAAAGCTTGTTGCAGTAGAATGCTGCTTCGGGATGACTGATAATTGTGCAATTAGGAGAATAATACCAGAATGCAAGCGTACCACCCGGCTTGAGCTTTTTTGAAGCTTCTTCAATCCATAAATCCGAATCAAACCATTGAACAGCTTCTGCGGAAGTGAATATATCCGCTGAACCATCTTTGATCCAATCACAACTTCCTGCTGCTCCAACGTGCATCTCCACACGATCTTTTCCAAATTTTTCTTGAAGTGCACTCTTTCCGAGATTGATCTGTCTTTCGTTTAAATCACTTCCATGTACTTTTTGAAATCTTTCTAGTAGATTTGGTGCAATTGTTCCTGGTCCACTACCAAAATCTGCCGCAAGTGACCATTCATTTCCGTTTTGTTTATGGTATGCAAATATAATCTCAAATAACTCTCTTGGATAAGAAGGTCTGAATTGATGATATTGATCCCATTCTAGCGTATCTGCTCCGAAATAATTGGGATTCGCATCGTGATGTTGAAATTGTTTGTCGAGTGTAGTCATCTTTTGTCGGCTATGTGGATGAGAGGTAGGAACGTTGTTTGTGAAATCAAGGAAATCGGAGAAATTTAGACATTTGTAATTTTTGATTATATACGCAAGTTACTCATGTATGTATGAGATCATATGTCGATCATTTTGCAGCTGCATGCTTCCACCATGAGAATCTAATTAGCGTATGTTTTTTTTTTTTGAAACGGACAAATAAAACCCAGATTTCTTTGTTTATTTATCCGTTGACACTCACATCACGCGTCAAAAAAACATTAATGCATAGAATGCAGACGGATGCATGCAAGTTACAACTCCGATCAACCCTTCTCAGGAAATTATGCATCGGCCATTAAAGCAAACCGAATTAATATTCTGTTGAACTGATTGAATTACGATAAAATAACAAATTGAATGCGAAACAAAGGATAACTCAAGTTTTTAAGAGTAAAATGATAGATGTGTGCTTGCTTAGCTAAGATCAAGCCATAGAAGCACTTCTTCGATCTTTGGCCGAAAGCGTTCCAACGGGAGAACCGCGCGATTGTGATCCACTTCCAACAGGTGGAGCAACCAAGGGTGTCATGGAACTTTGAAACCTTTGTCCGTTCGTCGCTCCTGCTCCTCCTGTGCTCTCTGAACCACTTCTTGAGCTTGGTGTTTGGGCAAATGCTAACCCAAACATTCCTCCACTCATACTGCCCGAACTGGTTGGTGTAACGTTGCCGGGCGTTGGTGGTACACTTCTGTTGTGCTTCATATGGGCTTGAATCAAATGTCCGGCACTCAAAGCGGCCATTAAACTTAACTCTCCGGCCATTACAGCGGCAGCAATGATTCTTGCTAACCGTTGTGCATTGGCACCCGGCACATCTTTTGATGATCCTGCCACGCCCAACATTTCCAACAAACCTCTTTGTGGAGATAAAATTGTACCACCACCCACAGTTCCCACTTCAATCGAAGGCATTGAAACTGTGACCAGCAAATCTGTTTCTCCTGCAACTCCGCTACTAGATGGAATGGCCTCCATCAATGTCATGCACATCGAACTTTCTACAACTTGTGCGGGATCTTGACCAGTTGCCAAGAAGACAGCAGCGACAATATTCGCAGCATGTGCATTGAAACCTCCAATAGAAGCGGCCATTGAACTTCCGATCAAGTTCTTCTTAATATTTAGGTTAACCAAATCCTCCACAGATGTTTTGAGGACGCTCTTGACAGTTTTGCCAGAAATTACAGCTTCACAACAAACGCTCTTTCCTCTTCCTTCGATCCAGTTGATCGCACTTGGCTTCTTGTCGATACAGTAATTTCCGCTTAAACTCAATACTGACATTTCAAATCGTTCTCCCATGCATGCCAAAGCTTTTTCCACACCCTTGGAAACCATATTCATACCCATAGCATCACCGGTAGAAGTTGCGAATCGGATATATAGCGTACGACCTGCCATTACGCAACGCAGAGATGACAATCGTGCAAAGCGGGAAGTAGAATCGAAAGCTTCTTTGATCGTTGCTGCTCCATCAGGTGAATCGATCCATCTCTTTGCCTTTGCGGCTTGAGTGATCGTGCTGAATTCAACTGCGGGACCACGGGTCATTGCATCTTGAGTGAGCACGGTTGTTACACCACCTGCAGCGTTTAATGCCTTGCATCCACGCGAGGTAGAGGCGACTAGAGTTCCCTCGGTTGTGGCCATCGGGATTGGTGTCATTTGTCCGTCGATCAACAAGGGACCGGCAATACCCAACGGCAAAGGCATGAAACCGACGACATTCTCGCAGCAGGCTCCCATAACCTGGGCGTAATCGTACCCATTTAGTGGAACGAGTGAATGCTCCAATGTTTTTGTTGTGCTTGCACGAGAGATGGTCGCACGACGAATACGAACTGCGCGTTCGTGGTCCTGCAAAGATTTCTCCAATGAGTAGCCAGCAATTCTTCCTTTTTGCACAAGCAAAATCACCTCTTCATCAGATAACATTAAAACACCCGCACCCTCTGCGTAGATCTCGATCACTTCTTCCAGAGTACGTGCTTCTCCAGAATCATCCGTTGAAATACCGTTGATGCTAATAACAGCTTGTTGTGGGGTAGTGTTGGTTTCATCTTGAGAAGAGGGTGATCGGATAGTATCGGTAGTGCTTTGACGTTTGGCTGGCTTTTCGATCGAGTTGATAACGATATCACTAGGTTTATTGTGAGAAGCAGCATCTTTTGCCAAATTGCGATGGTATTCGGAAAGTTTGTCCGCACTTGAATCTTTCTGCAACGGTTTCGTAGGTTTTTGCAGGGGACTGTCGGTAACGACGCCATCTTCTTGACGATTCAAGTGGGCACCGATCATGCGTGCAGCGGCAAAGGCAGCAGCACCGGCAGCATTGCCCTCGGCCAAGGCTGCATTGCCTGTTGCAATTCCCTTGAGGAGGTATGCATTTAAGAAAATGCTGATCACCAAAGCCAGAGAGATCCATTTACTGATGACTGGGTCGCCAACAATCACTGTCCATCCGCTCATAAAGCTGTCAAGCACATTTAAGGAGTGAGATCCGCTTGCGTTTGTACTGCGTGTGATACCGGCGTGCGAATTGCCCAATCTCACACCCAAAGAGCTGGTGAGATCAGGGCCAACTTGTCCGCCGTTTGATGCATTGAGTGCTGTTTCGCCGAATACGCTACGTTGACTTTGCGAGGGAGAGTCGTATGGATGAGCAACGATGAAGGTGATAGGATCGTATACTTTTACGAAGAGATCTTTGTCGGTTGCTTGGCTCTTTGACAATTGACTCAACAGCGGAGCAATCAAGCTCGATTGTGCGTCAGTTTGTAAAACTCTACTGGAATCTTGGATAGATTGATAAAGAGTTGGCCCATCTGTAGAATGGTGTCGTGTGATAGCTGATTGAGTTGTCAAGGTCGAGACGAGGTTCAATGAGTGCAAGGTCAAAAAGGTTGTGACCAAGAGTAGCTTTAATCGTGCTACCGGGTTCTCCCGTGCTCCTGGACGTGTAGGCTCGAACGGAACCTTGCCTAACAACAATTTCACAGCCTTACGCCACAACGGTCTTGGTCTCTTGCTCTCAGCCAAAGAGTCCGGACTAGAGCCTCTCCTTGAGCTTGCTTTTGACGATGTTCCATCAACGGGAGAAATGTCAGAACTTGGTGTATGATCGGAGTCCACATTTGGTGGCGTACTGGGAACGACACGTTTCATACCACGCATCACTTTGATACGGTGTACTTCTACCATGATTGTCAAAGTACCAACCAAGAATGCAAACAAGAAAGCACAATCGAATGCCAAGATCAAAGCTGCCAATTGACAAAATTCGCGTAATCCACTTAATCCCGAAGTAGCACCAACGGCCATAACAGCAATTTCAATAGCATAATCCCGAACGATTTGCATACCAACAGCATCAACAGCTGCAACGACTACCTCTTTTGCTGGTACAGGTTGGGGAGCAGTCCAGCGGAGGGAAGAGTCTGACTTCAACCGAGCTGTCAAAGCACGAACGAAGCTCTCCTCTTGGGTGATGTGAGCATCTTTGCTTGCATTGCTGCGTCTTCCAGTGCTGACATCATTTTGTGCACCTCCTCCAGCTTCTTGTTGCTTTTGACGTTCAACATGTTGTTGTGATTCGTTCAGTGCGGAGAGAAGAAGGCTTGGGTGTGCTTTGTTTGGGGTTGTTGCTTGTGGTGCGATTGCAGAGTGGGAAAATACTGCTTTTGTGAGCAAGAATGGCTTTTCAAAGCCTACAGTAATGACAAGGAACGGCAAAGCTTCTGAAAGACAGATTGGATCAACGGTTACACCCAAGAGGTATGCCATCGTCAAAGCACACAAAAATGCACAAATGGAAGATGTCAAAACAGATGCACCCAACCAGAAATTCGAACCAAATCTACGCATAGAGATAAAGAGGTTGACAAATGTTGCATGCATCAACAAATAAGCTGAAAGCATGACAAAGATATCTGCTGAATCAGCCCTCTTGAGCAAAGCCCAGAATCGCATGACCAATGCCCAAACTGCATATCCCATCCAACGAACGGTGCGAACGTCATTTGAGGCGTTTTGAGCTGAAAAGAAATCCCGCAAATCTGCATCGGGAAAGATGGCCAAGAGTTGCAAATCAGCATCATTTTGGGTTGCCTTTTTGCCTTGCTTGTATTGATGCGGTTCGGAGATGCTGTCATTGATCAAAGATCCCAAGAAGTCCTCATCGTCCGCTTTGGAGAGGAGCTGGTGACGTTCGTTCCAATGATCTTGACTATACTCGCTGATGCGACCAAAACCATATCCAACCAGACCGGAATCGGTATCGCGCACGGCAAATGGTTGAACAATTTGCTTGTCAGCCACACTTTCTGAAGATGACAAGAGTTGCTCTTGCAATTTCGTTGCCACATTTCCCAAGATTGGAGCGGCTTGCACTTGAGCATCTGCCACAGCAAAAGGTTCAACGATAAATCGTAAAGATTTGCTGTTCTCATCTTGAATATCTCCCAATTCTTCGGTAGTTGTGATTGGTGTCCATTCCTTCTGTCCTGCTTTACGTACTAAAACGGTACCTTGACTGATCGATGTGCCAGCAAATGTGCTTGGCTTTGGGTCCCAAAATGCGGCTGACAGAGATCCGGCCGCACTTTGCTCCGGTCGCCCGACAGAAGAAGCTCTTGCGGCGAGGCCGCTTGCTTCTTTTGACAAAGGTTCAAAAAAGTTCGAAGTAGCAAGAGCATGAACGAGTTGAAAGTATGCCAATGTTACAACAATGAAAATCGAAACAATTACTTCGATCGGATTTTGTGATGCCCTTGTTGCCAATCCGCGCAATGCCATTTTTGGTAGAGATAATATCTGTGTAGGTGAAGATGCAGGCGTGCTCTCGGCCTTTTCGATATTTGGCATAGCTCCATCAATTGTTGTGGTTTGGGTTGTGCTTGAATCTGCCTTTGCGGCACGCTTTCGTAGAGAAGATTCCATTGTTGAATAATGATATCAATTAATGTATGAGACTGGGCTGTTGAAGCAATCGCATACGGTGTTGTTCTAGGAAAAAAAGAGTGTGTGTGTTTGTATACCGGAAAAAGTGTAAAAGTTGCTTAGCGAGAAGGAGAAAAAGAAGAAAGACTTGCTATCTACAAATATCGAATGCTTGTTTAATGCTGCATAACCGTGCTAACCGAAGAGTGTAAAAGGGATTGATATGAGACCGGTTCTTGCCACCTATTTTGCTTGATAAGTTATAGAGTGTTCCCGCAAATTTGATGGCGACCAGGGTTGGAGAATCAAAGGGAAGATGAATAAGAAGAACACAGGGCTTGAGAAAGCGAGAGAAAAAAAAAAAGACAGACAAATCTTACCGCTTAGAATGGCGGAGATACGAAAAAGAACAGCACAATTTCACTCAACACGCTCTCGCTCTTGCTTGCAAATAAAACTTTTGGGATTCTGTCTGTTCGCCCTGGGCACTACACGGATAAGATCCTTTTACGCACTAACATTTTCGCAAACGGTTTTTATTGTTTCTTTAGTGTGAATATGCACGCACGAATGACACTGCCTTGAGGGAAACGCGTCAATCAGCCAGCCAGCCAACGAGCCAGGCGCGCGAAAACATTCGACTTCAATGCTTTAGATGAACAGCTCACTCGCCTGTGGTCCGGTTGTCGGAGGGTACTTGAGTGTTGTTTGCCGATGAGGCAGCAGCTATACTCTAATGCATTGAAGGTGGGGCGCCACATCCAACGTTCAACAGCCATTTAAAGCGGGGGGATTCTTCAGATCGCATAAGCAAAATCAAATAGGGTCTGATGTTGGGGAAATTTGTCTCCCAGTGGCTGCTGTTAAACTAGAAACCGTACTACTTACTGCAAAAGGGCACAGATGATGATTATTCTTCCGATTTTTGTTATTAAAGGTGCACAGTCGAACCAAGGAACAAAGCTTTGCATGCGTCTAAAGTCGACTAGGAGAATTCTTCTAGTGTGCAAAGAGTATGCAAAAGCCCAAAAGCGTACATTCAAGCTCGTTTATCTTTTGGTAGAAAAGGTAAAAAGTTTAAAAACGCGCGGCCATAACGCTAAAAACTGAAGTCTATTAATATACACGCACACATGCACAACACTTCGCTTATACCACACTCAGACAGCCATCAGAAGCCATTTTCCATGCAAGGTTCTCCTTGTCTCACCTGTGCAGATAACGTCTGGCTTTCCATTTGCAACAAAAGATTGGGGAAATAGGTATATTATGATATAGATAAGAAAGAGTGGTACTCCAAAAGAGAACAAAGGAGATAAAGAGCAAGCAAATAAAACCAGCAGTATACAAGAGGAGATAGAGAAAAAAATGATAGTGACAATGGAAACGAGTGTGGTTGTTTGACTACCCCGCAACGGAAAGCAGTCTTTGTAGGCTGGAGTAGCTACCCCGCAAAACATTAAGCAGCCTTGGTTGGCTGTTTGACGACAATTCGACCTCTGCCTGCCGACTTGACTTTCACTTTTGGCTTCTCGATCCTTTCTGTTCGATTACGCGAAAGACTAACTTGTGAAGATGGAACTGCTCCTCCGTGAGAATCCAATAATTTCGTCGTTGCACTACCCAAAATAAATCGTGCAACACCTTTTCTACGAATATGTTCAACATGTGTATCCGCTTTTGTGCCCGTTTTCTCTTCATTTTGACTATCCATAGAAGCAACTGAACGCATCGAAGGTGCGCCAACCTCCTTCTGGCCAGCTTGTTCACCACGTGTAAAAGGCGTAGCATTGAATTGGAACGCACTCGAGGCAGGCGATCTTGTCCGTGTTGACGCTCCACCTTGCGAAGTAGAAGAACTTGCAAGTGAAGGCGTACGTGCATAGCCACCATTTTGTCCTTGTTGTTGCATACGCGGATACACCAGCACTTCTGATTCAACAGATCGATTTCGTTCATTTTCGTCTTGGCTCGGGAATCGTTCTTGTTTATTGACCTCATGTTGACGAGGTTCAGTATATCTACTATCGCGCAGCAATTCAAGTTCATGTGAACCATCTTGCGCCATCGCTTGCATTTGGGTCAAAGCTGCAGAGTATTCATCATACATTGGCTTAGATTGAGGTTGAAGAGCTGTCGATCGCAATAATTCTTCCAAACGATCAATCTTTGCCGACAATTCATCCACTCGACGATCATCCGATGTTGAAGGTCTAGAGTAAGAAGATGCAGTCTCATCTGGGATCATACTGCGATGACTAAAGAGTGATGGTTCATTCGTTCCATACCGTGAAGAATGCGTGCCACTATTGGCGCTACCCGTACTCATGGCGAAAGAGTTTCCAAACGTATCACGAGATTGCTGGAAAGATGCCTGTCTGTGCAAAGTTGAGCTAGCATATCGTTGTGTTCCACTGTTGAAAGATCGCATCGAACTTGCACCATTGATACTTCTTTGCTGTTGACTCATGTAATGATCACGTTGAGTAGGCGATAAAGATGATTCCGGAAGTCTTCTACCAAAGTCATCCAGCGTCGAATTGTTAAAGTCAGGACTCATCAAATGTTGTCCAACAGACTGTTGACCAGCCAAACGTGCTCTAGAAGGAGCGCGCGATAAAGCTCGCTCACTTGAACCACAATGGCTATCAGCTGGCGTCAAGGGCATACTGGATAATTCATACAAATCCATTGGTTCACCTCTCTTATTCCCAGCAATCTGTTGAGGGGCGGGATTCATTTGTTTTTTCAACGCAAGTTGCAATTGCGCAACCTGAGCACGAAGTGAGGCCATCTCAAAGTCTGATGCAATATCCTCTGTGTTGCGCTGCTGAGCGTCTTCTTGTTGATATGGTGATTTGAGTGTTTCAGATGCACTAGATTTGCCCACTCGCAGAGGCGCTACAGGAGCTGGAATTGGCGGCAAGGCCTGTTGTGGTGGTAAAGGAGCCAATCGTCTACGGGAAGAACGACTCTTTACGGTCGAATTCATTCCATCTTGCATATCCGTATCCAAAGGAGGGGAGTATTTATGGGATGGCGATTTTGAGCTGAATTGTGGCTCGTATTGCTGTTTGGGCGTCTTTTCCATTTCCAATGCTTGCTGTTCCAAATACAAGGCATGTTGACGAGCACGTAATTCGGCCAAACGTTGTTGCCTATCGGAGTTCTGATCAGGACTTTGAAACTCCCCTTTTGTGATTGGAAAACCTGCCATGATTGGCATCAATGGTGAATCGGCATTTGTCATATTTGGAGGAGAAGGGAAGGACATCGTAGCAAAATCCGCGCTTGTAACACTTGTATCACCGGTTTGTTGTGTAGTTTGCGTGCCACCAGAAGTATTGGATTTTGCACTCGTGGATTGCGTGATCGTACTACCGAATCCTGGTGAATCCAATTCTTTCAAATTTTGCGTTTTGATGGTAGAAGGATGATTTGATAAAAGCAATGGTCCTTGTGTCAAGCTTGGAGAATCAGAAAATTGTTCGTCAAAGAATTCACCAGCAGTTGAATTGATGCGCCAAGTTTGATTGGAAAATGCAGAAGAAGCACTTTTGATACTGTCCAATCCTGTACTCGGTCTCTTGGCAGATTCGTAAGAAATTTCTTCTCCTTCACGCTCTTCTTCCAATACTTGAAAGAGATGCTTATTGATAGGTAAAGTTGTCATAATGAGGGAAAAGAAGAAAAAAAGAGAGTGAAATCCGTCGAATTGTTGAATTTATAAGAAAGAGTGAATAGGGGTCGCCGAAAGAGAATTGATCCTCATCTGAGCAAGGGATGATGGGGGAGAGGAAAGACTAGATGTTACGAGCCTTGTCCGATGATTGAAAGATGTGGTCAATTGAGTAAGTGAAATAGCGTGTGTTACAGAGTATATGCGCTTTACCGATCAATGACTTTGGGATATATCGCACGGTAGCGCTTTGAATGTGCAATTTAGCACTGTCCAACTCCATCGAAGGTGTCTTTTGAGATCGCAGGGACCTTGAGAATTTCAAGGCCCGAAAAAAGGTTCTTTAATGAATTTGACTGTTCGACTGACGGCGCCTTCTTCATCTCAACTGTCAAATATCAAAGCATATCGCCCGCTCTTGAAAAGGCTTCTCGGAATACTTTTTTTGATTGTAGCAAGTCAGGAACGCAGTCCAATACCTGGACCGCTTTAGTGTTAAATATAGTGCAGCGCTGGTGGTGTTAGTTGAAATAACACGGTTTTGATAAAAAGATAAGAGAGTTGCGGTATTTAAGCAGTCTCTTTGTGATAAAGTTCTACGACCTGCATGATAGTCTGTGTATTTTATGCATCCCCATTTTGGACAAAGATAAGAAATTGCATCTGTTGCTCCTGGATAGGGACATCGGTGATTGAGTGGGCTTCATTGACAATGACAAGATTCGAGCTAATTTAGTCCAAACCTTGACCGTAGCTCTAATGGTGAAAGCTCATTTTGGTCCGGTGAAAAGAAGAAGAGGAGATAAAATCTCAAAGCCACGTCAAAAGCTTTCATCAAAACTCTCCGGACTCCCTGCATTGATTTAAGCTCAATCAAGCCACTCAAAGTGTAAGGGGCTCTAAATGAACCTCTACTGCCCCGCATTCGATGCAATAAAGGCAAAACGAATCGCATCCAAGAAATATATAGCATTATGGGTATTCTGTCACGAACTCTTCAGGGTAAACTTATTGCTTGGCATGTTCAATCTCTTGATCCAGATCGACATTAATGGACTTCTTGGCGGTAGATTTGACGAATTGCATAAAAGATTGCGAGAATTGTTGATTTTGTGAATGCTTGGCGGCAGTACTATGCTTTGCACCAGGTGCTAAATGCAAACCATTGTACTTTTCCACATCGTTCAAATTTGTCGAAGTGGCAGCATACAATGAAGATAATGCACCTTTATCAGGTGAGACCAACATGTAGGGCAGCACAGTCGATACTAACCATCGAGCCACGCCCATCTTTGGGTCCATTTTGGAATGGGCTTGTAAGCCAGTCTTTACACCTCCGGGATCCAAGGAAACGTTGCTAGAGGGGAAAGGAATAGAGGTTAGGAAAAATGTGCGCATGTATGCACCGAGGATCACTCACCAGATGTTCTCTTTAGCTAAAATTCTTGACAGTTCTTTGGACAATAAGACATTGGCAACCTTTGATTGTCCATACCGGGTCCAAGTAGACTTCTTTTCTCGGTTGATCTGTTCCAATGAATCCCATGAATGCTTTGGTGGTCCTGCTCCCAGTAAGTACTCGGCAGAAGAAGATGTTTGGACGATTCGGACAGAATATTTGCCAGCTGTTTGACGTGCGGTACGAACCAAGACATCCAGCAATAGCACGGTCAAGATTGCAGGACCGACGGCATTTGTGGCTAAATAAAAGAAGGAAAGAACCGTGAGTGTATATTCTAGTCAACAAATGTGCCCGCCTGCCTACTCACCTTGTTGGATTTCGATACCATCCTTATTCACACTGTATGGAACTGCCATGATTCCGGCATTATTAATCAAAATATCCAAACGATCTTGTTGCGATTTGAATTGTTGAACGGCTGTTTGAACGCTTTCAAAATCTGAGGTATCACATTGCATATATGTGATTTCACCTTTGATGTCCTTTGAATGTTCGTGCATTCGTTTGATCGCCTCTTCTGCTCTACCTTGATTACGTGCAAACAAGTACACTCTACAACCCTTTCGAGCCAATTCTCGTACACATACTTCACCAATTCCACTAGTCCCACCAGTTACAATCGCAACTCGTCCTTGTAAGTCGGGAATGTCTTCAAAGCTAAACGATGGCATTTTGTGTGATGGTAGACGAGGAGGATGGTTGGGTTCTATAAGGAAATCACCTGATCGAACGTGCCGAATTGACACACCAAAATGTGGAGAATTTGACTATGTAGTCTAACGAATGAATAGACCGCCGGCGCGGGCGCCAGTGCAAAAACAATGCGCGAACCAACTCCCGCACCACCTCCCCTCCAAAAGTAATCTTCCGCTAGCGCTGAGCTGCCAAATGATCTTCTTGTCGTGATCGAAGTTCTCAAAGACACACTGATGATCACTATGCTTCCCACACATAAACTTCTGCTTCATATCATCGCAACTCGGTGCGATACCATAAAAATGCATTTGGTCAAGAAAATGACCTTTTTCATGAAATGTACATGGTGTTTGTGGGAATGGGAAAGAGGGGAAAGGGAGAATGCGAGTGGGGAAATCAGACAAACAAGATTTACTCGTTTTGTCCAGCCTTGAAAGCAGCAATCTTGTCGGCAATACGTTGTTTGCGTTGAGAGTGGGTGAGCTTGGTGGCCTTGTGCTTCTTGGTCTCGGATTTCCAGTCCTTGCTCTTTTCGGTGGGTTTGAAGGATGGGTCTTCACGGATAGCGCTGTATGCGTTTTCGTAAATCTCTTCAATGTCTTCGCTACCAACTTCATCGGCCAAGTAACCGGAGAAGTGCTTCTTGAATCGTTCGTCATCTTCTTCTTCCAAAGATTCCATGAATTCAGCAACGTGGCTACCACGGATGTAACCGCTCAAAACTTCAGCGTCCAATTCCTTGGTTTCAGGGTCGTAACCTGGGAAACGCTTCTCAGAGTGAGGAATGTAAAGACCACCGTCAGATGCACCCTTCATGGCGGCAAACACACGGGAACCGGTTGATGTACGTTTCAAACCGACATCCAAGTATGCCTTGAATGGACGGGGTTCATCGTCACCCAAAGGTTGTGTCTCTGTCATTTCTCCATCAGGTTCAACAACACCTTCGTATTTGTCGGCCAAACCCAAGATTGTCAAAGCACGACGAGCGGCCAACAATCCTGTAGCGTAAGCGGCGGTCCAGTTGCTCAAACCGTGCTTGATACCGTAACGAGGCAATTCACGACTTGAAGCGTGAGTCAAAACAACATCACCTTGAATCTTGGCGGAAACGATTTGAACAGTGACGAATTTGTTGGAGAAACGAACGACCAAACGGTATTTAGGAGCGTTGTATTTGTCCTTAGCTTGAGAAGTCAATTTACGACGAGCTTGGTAATCAGTCTTTCCCTCACGACGACGGCGGTACTTGACTTGGTAACGAGAGAAGTAAGCTCCGTTCTTGGTTTGCTTGACGAACGGCATTTTGATTGATGTTGAACAGGGTAGTCGTGGTGATAACAGTTGGGATAATGCAGATTCAAATTTGAGGTTATTGCTTCGATTGCCTTTACAGCTTAAAGCTCAAGAAGTTTACCCTTGTGCGTCTGCCCCGGCGCGTCTCTTTCGGCCGAGGCGAATTGCGCACTCAAGGCCGCAAGCTGGCTGCGCTGAAACACGTGAATAAATGATTTCTTCGCCCAGGAAGGTTGCAGCTAGGCTTGAGTCCTGGCTCTCTCTCTCTCTCTCTGCGGGCGCGCAGTTTAGGATGAAGTGTAATTGCAGTTGACACACTTTATTCGAATTTGCAGCAAATCTCCTAACCTCTTCCCTCACCTATCGTCACTCGTCATCAAGGAGGTAAGTTTACAAGCATTGGTTTGCCCGGATCGACATGCTGCTGGATGAATTGCGATGGAGGAAAAGGGGAATTGGCTGGATAGAAGGGAGATCTGTCGGTGTATGGTGGTACAAGAGAGAATATTGGAACAACACATTCGAAACGGAAGTCCATCATAACAGCACTTCGACTTTGCCCATTCTAGAGATACTTTTCGCACATCCAGCAGCTCGGGCGACATTATCACTATCATACATTCTCGACCTCAAAAACTAACTCCTCCTTACCTTTATCCCCCTCTCTCAGGAACTTTCGTCAAGATGGGTGCTTATAAATACGTGGAAGCAATCCACACCAAGAAGCAATCGGATTTGATGCGCTTCCTTTTGCGTGTCCGTTGCTGGGAATACCGTCAATTGAACGTCATTCACCGTGCTTCTCGTCCTTCTCGCCCAGACAAGGCTCGTCGTTTGGGATACAAGGCCAAGCAAGGATACGTCATCTACCGTGTCCGTGTCCGTCGTGGTAACCGCAAAAAGCACGCACCAAAGGGTGCCACATACGGTAAGCCCGTTCGTCAAGGTGTCAGTCAATTGAAGCCAGCCCGTAGCTTGCGTACATTGGCCGAAGAACGTGTTGCCCGTAAATGCGGTAACTTGCGTGTGTTGAACTCATACTGGATCAACTCGGACGGTGTACACAAATTCTACGAGATCATCTGCGTTGACCCCTTCCATAACGCAATCCGTCGTGATGCAAGAATTAACTGGATCGTTAACCCAGTTCACAAACGTCGTGAAGCACGTGGCTTGACAGGATCTGGAAAGAAGACCCGTGGTCAAGGAAAAGGATCGAAATTCAACCACACTGCTCCAGGAAAGAATGCATTCATTCGTCGTCGCGACACACTTCAATTGCGTCGTTACCGTTGAGCAATTTATTTATACAACTGTTTCCCCTTTCTCTCCCACTCGCACGTCTTGTATCATTCCCACCACAATTCCCCTTTACATGATCATACACATTATTTCAACAAACAAAAGGCTATTATGCCGAGCAATGATATGACTCATTATATGCAATGAAGAAGAGTGACGATGAACAGGTGTGCGGACAATGCTAAGAATACAATGTATTCACGGCACTCCTTGTTCCATGAGATGCATGGGCTATAATTAAGATAAAGTCTTTTGCAATGAAGAAGAGTGACGATGACCGGGACTGAAATGATATGCGGACAATGCTGAGAATACAATGTATTCACGGCTATCCTTGTAGAATATCACATGGGCTAAAATTAAGATAAAGTCTTTTGCAATGGCTCGCGCGAGATCCCGTACTGTACGGCCAAGAATGCCGTTCCGCACCCTATACAGTGGAAGGAGTGCGGTACGCCTAGCTGAGTTGAACGACGCTTTCTATTGCTAGAAACGCATAGAGTTGCAAGAGATAAGAAATGAGGCTAATCTGGGCGTAAAGTATGACGTGGGGATTGAGTAGCTCAGGCACTGTACCTGCCTTTATGCATTGTAATCTTAAAACAACTCAAAAGAAACGCATTAAACAACACCTCCTCTATTGAACGGGGCGAGGAGAGGTGAAAACATTACTTGTCTTCTAAAATAGATCATTGCCTTTCTTTCCTTCTTCCTAGTCTTCCTCAACTTCACTTCTTCACGACCTCTTCCCAAAGCCCTCGAGCAGTCATGATGTCTTCACTCGCTTCGCCGCCTTTGAGGCCACAGGGATTATTGATGGAGCCAAACCATCAATTCACGTTCAGGTTACCAAGACGTATTTTCGTTGGATCAATAGTAACACCACAATCTTTAACCAAATTACGATATATCAAAAGAGGAATAATCGGCGTTGGAACAGCGGGTGTGATTCGTTTTGTGGAGGATTTGGAAGAGATTGAAGCGAAATTAGAAAAGTCTGGCAAAACTTCACACATAAGCCAACATCTAGATGAAGATCGAAGTGCAACGCCCGTGAATGTGCCAAGACACAAGCCAGATCATTCTTCACACGAAAGCGAATCGGCGTTGATCACGAGCGATGAAATGACATTACCACCACCTGCACTTGGTGATGGCTATACCCCAGAAGAGAACAAGAAAGAACAAGAGGCAATAGAATACATTGCACAAAAGCACGGATGGAAGCTACAGGATTGTGAGACGGTCTTACTGGGCTCCAACAGCTTCCTTTCGCCGGGTTTTGTGGACACACACGTTCATGCTCCCCAAGTTCCAAATTTAGGTCGTGGGCAACAGTATGAGTTGCTGGACTGGTTGGAGAACATCACCTTCCCACGAGAGAGAAAATTTGAAGATCCACTTTATGCAAGAAAGACGTACGAATCTGTCGTACAACGCATGTTGGATTGTGGAACAACGTGTGCGGCAATTTATGCCACTTTGCACGAAGAAGCAACGATGATTTTAGCACAAATCTGTAACGATAAAGGTATGCGTGCATTTGTTGGAAAATGTCAAATGGATAGAAATGCACCGGTGGAATACAAGGAGAAGACTTCTTCTGCTTCTATGGAATCTACAAAACGTTTCATCAACTTCTGTCGAAGTATGCCTCCGTATGGAATGCCAAAGAGTCCTGAAACGGATCCTATCAATTCTTCCGGAAGCGTAGAAATGGATCAATCCATTGCCAGACTTTCCGCAACGATGAACGGTATCTTGCAAGGGGAAGATGTTCAAGTGCGTTCGCCTGAAGCATTGCGTCCGAATGGACCTGCTTCCAATGCTGATAGTAGTAGCATGAGTGGAAGAAGTGACTCAAGCACAAGAGCTACCTCAATCGCACTGAGTTCAAATGATGACCCCAACAGCTTAGATTCGCATTCCAGAAAAACACGGAGCGGAAGAGGAAGCGTTGCAAGTTCCGTACAAAGCCATGGTCATTCAAGTCGTACCAGTGTAACGACAAGCGGAGCAGGAACACCCAAAAGAATGGAAAATGCAAACGCTCTTGTTCAACCGATTCTCACTCCAAGATTTGCGATTGCTTGCTCTGATGCTTTGTTGGCCAGTATTTCGGCTTTAATGTCTCGTGATCCATCTCTTCGTGTTCAAACCCATCTCTCGGAAAATCCAGGAGAGATTGCATTCACGAAGGAGTTGTTTCCATTTTGCGAAACATATACGGATGTCTATGATCATTTCTCACTCTTGACTCCGCGTACAATCCTTGCACATGCTATCCATCTGGATGAGCAAGAGATGAAGTTGATCGCTGAACGAAAATGCGGAATCAGTCATTGTCCAACAAGCAATCTCAATTTACGTTCGGGGGCCAGTAGATTGGGAGAATTGCTCAATCGTGGTATAAAAGTTGGTTTGGGTACGGATATGAGCGGTGGTTTTGGAATGAGTATGCTTTCGGCTATTCGTGATGCAAGTGTGGTTGCCAAAGTGATTCAATTCACTCCTTCTTCTACCGAAAAGCCAAAATTCGAACAAACGAAAGATCAACATGATTTCTGTAAAGGTCCAATGCCATTGGCAACGCTCTTCTACCTTGCAACGTTAGGGGGAGCAGAAGTTTGCAATATTGCTCATCGTGTTGGAAGCTTGGATGTGGGAAAAGAATTTGATGCGATCTTGTTCAACTGTGATAATACGAACCCCAACTTGTACATCGAAGACGATGATGGTTTGGAGGAAAAGCTGGAGAAAGTCCTGTTTTGCGGTGACGATCGTAATATCGCCTCAGTTTTTGTGAGAGGCAGAGTGGTAGGAGGCTCTGCACCTATCGCATAAAACGTTGTAAATCTTATATATAGAGTTCCTTTCACGTATCTGTACAATAAACAATCTTCTGAAATATGATATTCTTTGAAAGAAAAGATTATACAACTGAATAAAGATGAAAAGTCGTCAAGATGTTTTCCGTCTTGTTTGGTCATCAAAAAGTCGTCATTTGTTGTTTATGAAAATGCTGTTGAGAAAAAAGGGGAATTTTTGAGGTTCTACACTGCCAACCAAATGAATAAAAAACGGTGAGAGTGGATTTTTGATATGATTAGGTTGAAAATAATTGCATAAAGGAGATGATGCTGAAAGATGCAAGGTGACGCTGAGAAATTGCTGATTTGAGATAGAGAAACGAAATAAAAAAGGGTGCTTTTGCGTGGATCATCCACCTCCTCCCATTCCACCTGCCAAATTTATTCCACCTTTGCCGGCCATGATCCATGCCGTCATTCCGACAAACAGAACCCCAGCCGCACCAATGACAGGCAAAGAAGCAGAATTATCGAATGCGTTACTATTCGAATCTCCTCCTCCAGTCTTTGATCCGAATCCTGGCCATCTTTTCTCTATCCCTTCTCCTCCCAATCCTTTCCTCCTTCCAGATGCAAGATTGACCATTGCGCGCTTTCTGACGCCGTCAGGCAGTTCTTCCAAGTCTACGTTCCCTCCGCCTTCAACGCCATGATTGCTGGCTTTTTCTCCGCTGCTGCCTGAACTGCCAACGCTTGTATCATCGGTCATCTTGGATGTCGCACTACGAGAGGTGTCTGAGACGGAGGAAGAAGCAGATGTTGATCCTTCACTTTCCATATGCGTTTCTCGAACGAGTAAGTTATAATCATCCGTATAAATTAATGCTCGTAAATGGCGATTCAAATCTGCCGAGGTTCCCAACCCAACCGCACTTGTCGTCCTTCGAATTTGATTGACGGGTGATGGCGTAGATGATTGTTGGAAATGATTTCCTCCCTTTTTCTTCTTCTTTTTCTTCGATCCTCCTGTATTGCTGCCGCCAGAATGATTTGCGGTTGGGGCAGAGACGCTTTTATTATCATCATTATTACCACCGTCATCCGTTTGAGCGCCTTCAACCAAATCTTCAACTTCTTGATTGAGTGTATCCCACATCTTTACCACTCTCCGTATCTCTTCACGATCGGAATTCAATCCGGCACGGTCTTTGGCAAAATCGGCTTCGAAAGCATCTCTCCATTTTCCCCATTTTGCTTCCAAAATGCTCAAAACTCCACCGGCTGCTGCTGCGCCTCCACCAATGGCCAAAGCACCGTCGGCAAGGTCGCTGTCCTCTTGTTTTACTGTAGGTTCTTGTACTTCAGGCTTACTATCTTCCTGAACAGGCTTCTGCTCACTTTCAAGTGATCGGATGCGCTCTTCCAGTTTGCGAACATTGTCGGTTGCCTCGGCATGTTGATCAGCAAGGTTGCGCCCTAACTCTAAAGCTTTTTCCAATTGACTTTCCATCGCTTCCAGCCTTCGAACGAGATCATCGTTCGGTGGAATAGTGGCTGCCTTTCTGTCCAAAGCTTCTGAGACACCGTCAGCAGGCGCTAGAGGACCGATGTGCTCTTTCAAGCGTCTCAAAAGATCTTTGTCGTGTGCTGAGGGTCCCTCTTCCTCGTCCCCGTGATCAAGATGTCCAATCGCGTCGAGACTGTCGATTTCATCATTGCCGACCGGCCCTTTACCGATACTCCTTGTGGGAAGACGATCATCTTCTCCTTCTCCAGGCATGACGGTATCCATCGACATCACACTGGCGGTATCATCATCGTCATCATCATGCAAAGCGTTTCTCTTGGAAGCCAATAGTAGCTTTGCTTCTGCTGCTTCACTTTGTGCATTTCGAACTTGTTCTTGCATTGAAAGAATATCTGCTTTGATCCCTTCATTGTCATCCAAACGGGATTCAAATACGGCCAGTCGATCGATATGAGCTTGTAGAGCTTGTTGAGTTTCCTTTACTTGGTCTTCCAACGTTTTTAGCTCAGCCGCTCTTGCATTTGCCTCATCGGTCCTTTGACGTCTTTGTTCCTCTTCTTTTGCTGCAGCGTTGGGATCGTTGGAATTGGCCGAAGGTACAAGATGTTGATAAGGTGGATTCTGCATTGGTGGAAGTCCGCCTCCGAGAGTTTCTCCGATATCACTCATGGCAGCGTTGAGCGAACCAAGTTCACCTGCCGTTTCCCTGCTCTTTTGCAGTTCTGCTTGTAGTCTATGAAGAATATGGTCGAAGCTCATCATACCGTTGACGCTTCCGCCCGCACCATACCCTCCACCACTGCCCATCTTTCTGCGGAGGCCTCCTTCTGCTCCTGGACCGACGACGTGGTGGTTCAAAGTGCTTCCTGCGATTCCACCTCTGTAAAGTGCGGCAAAGTCATGTCGCAATCCCAATGCCTCTTCAGCGGTCATGACGAGAAAGACGCGACAGGCAACTTTGTGATGGATGATTGATTTGTTATCTTCTCCTACGATATCAATACCGAATTCCACAACGTCATCCGTATGAAGTTCAAACGTGTCGGATTCTTGACCTTCAGCAGACAATCTGGCACCATTGATGAATGTACCATTGGATGATTTGACGTCTTTGATGTATACTTTTCCATCTTGACTCCAAACCTCTGCGTGCATTCTACTAAGAACTTTGCTGTCAAAATAACCATTACTGGGTTGTGGAATGGTTTTGTTGTTTGTCTGTCTTCCTATCTTGATCTTATTTTGTGGACCAGGAGGTGCTAATGAGATTTGTTTGGGTGCAAAGGTATCATTCAAAGGTTGCAAATGCAAAGCCGGATAGATTAATTGACCAACACCATTCCCATTTGTAGCACCATTACCCTGACTTGCACCTACACCATTTGTCATTCCACTTCCATTTGTGTTTTGACTTTGACCGTTACCGGTATAATGACCGTTTGTTTGCTGTTGTTGAGCGCCACTCATGTTGGATTGATACATTGTTTTACGCGACGGCCAAAGAGGCCATCAACTGAATCAAGTCTCCTTTTGATGCAAAGAAGAGATCAGATTGTGGTATTGAAGTGGAAGCGGGGTATCCAATAATGCGCGCGCAATCGAACTTGTTTGCGTTAAAGATTGGTGGAAAAGTGTTTGGCGGGTGGTGATAAGATTGCCAAGTGTGTTGTTGTTGTTATGATGGGGTAAATAAAAGGGGAGGAGGGATAGAATGATTGTGATTCCAATTCTAGATAAAGTAGCCTATACAGACAACAAATGCGTTTCCTGTGTACAAGCGTGTGAGATGGGCCGAATGAATTTGAATGGAGTTCTCCTGTTTTTTCTCTTTTTTTCTCTTTTACTGAGCTTTTGTGATGCTCAATTCTCCTTTCTCTACAGCGGTGCGCGCTAAAAGCAGCTGCTGCTGTTGCTGCTCACAAGGTACGCGCCACCACTCATATGCAAAACAGCAGTATATGCGCAATTGGCACGCGTTTTCTTATGGTTGTTCATACACAATTTCACCTTAACAGCCTCAACACTCCACATATTATTTCTCCTTCGTATACATTCAACAACCATCAGGCTATGTCAACATAAAAATGAGTAACATTTCCATTTCACAAACAGAGAGAGTGTGTTCTTTTGATTGGTGTAGCTGTCCTTAAGCGGGCCGTGCGAATGGATTCATTTCGAGCAGGTCTTTTTTTTTGTGACTTTGAGAGGTGAAACGCCGCACTGAACGCGTTAGAATAAAAAAGTGTGCCTTGGCTTGAGTGTGTTGTAGTGTTTGTATGATTAGAGTTTCAAATGCTTCTCTGAAAAGGTTGATTGTCAAGCATGCTGTTAACTTGATCCTGTTTCCACCACTATCCACCCCTCAAAGAGCACAATCCTGCTCTGCAAATGCAGCATGTCTTTTCAACATCCAAACAATAATTCCATACAACCGACCACAATGAATGATGCGGAGGAAGATGCTTATCCATCAGCATATACTGCACCTCCTCGTCCTCGTCCACAAGCTGAGCCAAATCATTCCACTCGTGGAAGACAAGAAGAACGTGGTGATTTAACGGCAGACAATCTAGAACGCATTCCCGACGCAGATCATGTAGCACCCGGAATTCGATTGCAGGCTTCCGGATATGATGAAGTGGGAGACGATAGATGGGAAGGAGACGTTGCACCTGCAAGACAAGAACCTGAATCGGTCGATCGTATCAAAATTGATGGAAGGGGAAGATTAGATGCGGATTCAGAGAACCATCAGAATCGAACAAAACCAGAAGTGAATATTGTGGTGGGAGGCGATTCCGACATGATGATGCTTGATAGCGATCGAAATGGCGAATCTTTCGCTTCTGGTCGTGCTCCTTCTTCTGTGGACTATTCTGGCAGAAGTAGCACTGGCGCAATCGATCATGAAGGTAGCGAAGGTCAAAATTACCGTCAAGATGATGGAGTGGAGGAAGATATGGTGGATTTCGATGATGAAGATGACGATAAGGATGTTGTTCATGAACGAGTAGGAGGAAGTGGAGCAACGGCTGAAAATGCCAGTAAAGGAACCTCTGTCGGTCATTTTGGACCACGCGGAGAAGCTATTCGTGAGTGTCTGACCAAAGATGATCTAGAAGTATTGTTCTCTGATAGCCTTCCCCCTAAATAGCCGGTGTGCCACCACATCTTGACCCTCGCCAGCCACACTTTCGTCCGCCCAGCCCAAGTGCCGCTTCAGTTTTGTCGGTTGCTGTCCAACCACCTGCATCGCCAAAGTTGCAGGCTTCAGCGGGATCTGGACTCGCTTCTGTCGGGTCTACATCTGTAGGCTCAGCATTGGCAGAAGTGGTGGATTCGGGTGAAGAGACGGAAAGTTTTGATAATGGAGCATTGACGCCAACGCTTTCTGATGAGTTCCCAGAAGATGATACGGAAGAACGCCTGAAATTACCTTCTGACCCATTTTATGCTGGTAATGCAAAATCTGGACCTTCCTTCAATCTACAGAGGATGAATATTGATTCGGATGATGCGCCACCTTCAACTTCAAGTGGTGGCCCTTATCAAGTTTCATTTAATCCTGTAGTCACTTCACATCACCGTGGCAGCGTTTCGGGTTTTAGTGGAAGAGCACCAAGTATTGCTGCCACGGCTGGCTCTTCTCGTGCTCCTTCTACCCGTGGATTATCTCCACCGGCGTCCATGTCTCGAGCAGGCACAACGGAAGGTTCATCCGTGGAAGAATACGAATCTACTGGTACAGGTTTAGATGGAGACGGAGCAGAAACGCCAAGCGTGGGCAGAAGTAGAAGAAGTTCCTATTCTGCTCCAAGTAGTGAGGTGGATAACGGTGGTATGATTAATGATGATGTGAATAATCGTGCAAGAGGTGGTACTCTTGTCCCCTCAATGCATGCAACCGGCTCAAATGCCAATCTGCATGTTAATCAAGGGCAAAGTGATTTGGGAGAAGATGGTGGACCAAGCTTGGCACCTTCAGAAGCCGGTAGTGATTCTACAAGATCGATGACGTACGAATCCAGTATAGGTCACGGCGGCGCAAATTCACACAACGTTTCAGCTTATGGCGGTGTGCCTATCGGACATGCGACTGCAAGTTCAGAAAGATTGCCTTTGGCATGGGCATCAGCTGGAATTGCTGCTGCTTCTTCATCTCCATTGGTTGTTGAACCTCCATCAATCACGAATGATTTGACTGAAGCAGGCATTTCTCCTTCACCTTCTGGTTTCAAAGGTTCATCTACTACGCCCATGCTTCCGAGTTTGTTGGCAATCAAACGTGCAAGCAGACGTCAAGATAGCGGACCGGCAAGTACAGCGGCCACCGCAGGAACAACAAGTCCAGCAAGCAGCTTGAGTGTAGATGGAGATTTTGATGAACCACCAGGAGGCTATCCTAGTGAGAATGTGTAGAAAGGGTAACTTTGTATTGTATAAAGAGATGGTGTTTCTTTGTCGAAATGCATTAATTCGTATCAACTGTCAGTAAATCTAAGCTTTTTTGAGTCTCTCTCTCTCTCTCCGCATTTTGAAATGATCATAGAATCATATGTGTGGCAATCATACAGAGTGAGATGCGTCGTACAGAAAACAAAAAAAAAGGGTTTGGGGAAGGCGAGATTTTTGTGTGCTGATCACATCTTAAACCCGGACCTTACCACCGGCACCACCCTTCATTTGTTGTTTGGAAACCTTCGGTGCGGTAGCGGCTGTGTTACCCTTGTTTGCCTTGCGTTCTTCTTGACGTTTCTTCTTTGCCTCTTTAGATTTGGCCAAAGCATCAGCTTGAGCAGCAGCACGAACTTCTGGCTTTTGGTTACGTTTGGCGGCAATGGCGTCTAAGCTTGCACCAACGATTCCACGTTGATGTTTGACAGTCTTGCGGGAACGCTTCTTGGCAATCTCTTCAGTGATACCCTTTTTGTGCATACGACGGTAGACGATTGTCCATGCGATCTTACGTGGGTTCTTGCGTTGCAAGAAGAGAGATTCGTTCTTGCTGGACACGAAGCGGAAGACCTTGCTGTCACCACGGACGAACAATTTACCCTTGCTTGGGTAGATCTTACGTTGAGAGAAGGCACAAGTTTCGACCTTCATCTTGGACCTGTAGTGTTGGGGGAGTGTGAATCAGTATGCTGAAGACTGGATTGGTCGATTAGTCAAGCTCTTTGGCGACAGCAGATGGTGAGATTGTCGAAAATGTTGAGGGTAGGCGGATCGATGTCGTCCTTTTCCAAAATTCTGTCTCTACCTCATGTATCCCATCAAAAGTCGCACTCCACTCAACCCAATCTTTGCCATCCTTCCGTCTCCACAATAAAGTCTTCCCGTCTGCTGTCGCTGTATCGATTGCTCTGTCGAATGTACTTACCTCTTGTTTGATGGTGTATTATCGGGTGTCGAGTCGGTAAAGAGGAATGATGATCTTGAGAATTTCAAGGTCGTGTAGATTGGAATTGTATGCAGTACCCAAGGCACTTAGGCCCACAGGCGTTGTCAGGCTCTAGTGTGTAGTGCATAGAATCACCACGCGCTGCTTGCTATTGAGGCAAAGCCAACAAGCACTGTAACATCACGTCGGCCGAAACAGCCGCAGGCCCTGGTTCACCAAAAGTTGGCTGGATGTACGCTGCGCAGCATGGCTTTTGGCTTTACACGTGAAGGTCATTGAACAAGCTCGCGCGCCTACCAGGTCTGTCCCCAATCTTCAGAATCCACCGCGCTTGAGAACAATTAGTTCACTTTGGCCATCCTTTTTCATCATCCTTCTTGTCTTCATCAACGATCCGGCACAAGATGGACGCCACATCACCCGTCACATTGCGTACGCGCAAGTTCATCACTAACCGTTTGCTTCAACGCAGACAGATGGTTTTGGATGTCATTCACCCAACCCGTGCAAACGTTTCCAAGGATGAACTTCAAGAGAAGTTGGCAGCAATGTACAAGGCCAACAAGGAACAATGTGTTGTTTTCGGAATGCGCACTCACTTTGGTGGTGGTCGCTCAACAGGTGCGTAGAGAGGGAGGGGGACTTGGCTGGAAATCATGGTGCTGCAGGCGGGGGAGGGTTTCTGTGGGAATTCGACAACTTCAGCATAAACGATGCGACCTTTAAGAATTACTAGCAGCACCATCGAATCCAACTCATATTCCTTTTCGAGAACGACATACTAACATCTTTTTCCCCTTTTCCTCCTTCAGGCTTCGCTTTGATCTACGACTCTCGCGAATCCATGAACTTCGAACCACGTTTCCGATTGGTCCGTAAAGGATTGGCTGCCAAGGTCGAAAAGGCATCTCGTAAATTGCGTAAGGAACGTAAGAACCGTGCCAAGAAGCTGCGCGGAACAGCCAAGAAAAAGGGTGCTTCCAGCGACAAGAAGAAGTAAGCGCAATACCTCCTTTTCGCAATTGTTACCACCACCATTCAATTTGGCAACGACGTCAATCGACATTCGTGACCTTTATTTTGTCGTTTCATGGGTCACTTGTACTTTCACACATACACATGCATACTCAAACACACACACACATATGTCTCTAATGACAGCTCATGCAAAAATCAATTGACCTTCTCCGAAAGGAAAGGCTGTTTACGTACACAGAATAGACTCAGAAGCGATTGCGTAGTTTTGAGTCCAAGTCTTTTGCATTGACGGCTTCTGATGATGGGGAGGATGATGACCAGACTTGGTTGGAGGTATTTTCGACAGGTTTGAGAGGCAGACCTGCCATGACAGCAGAAGTGCCTGTTAATCTTGGACCAGTGAGCATACGTAAGATCCTTCGAACGTATCCAGATAAGATATAAGGAGAATCTTCATTGAGAGAAGATAACATTGCTAATCCCAAAGCCAAAAGGGCCACATCACCATTTCTCACGCTTTTCACTTTGCCTTGTTTTGCTAAGATTTGCCATGAACTATCGAGTGAAAGACGACCTACATAAACGCCCAATTGAGCCCTTCTTGCTGCTGGAACGGCGTAAATGAAGATAGATGATAAGAAACCGTTCAAGAAAAATCTTGATCTTGGCATGAAATTTTTGGGGAAATATTGTTGAAAAAGACAAGTGAATGCCCAAGCAGTTGCAATACTACCACTGATCACCGTTGCACCTTGACAAACGCTCATAACGAAACGAAACAGAGATCCTTCTGGATCACGTTTCCAGCTTTTTAGCTTGAACAGATTAAAAACAGCCGTGATTGCACCGACGAACTTTGCACTTTGCTTCCATTCCGTTGCCCAGTAGTTTAGGTAGTTTGTACGGCAAGATGGCTCGGTAGGATGAAGCATGGCACACAATAAACGAGAATGAGCCGGATGAGCGGGCGACCAGTCCAGCACGGGGTTGATTTTGGAAAAAGGTGTTGTTGGACCGGCGGAAGGGTTGAGAGCAGCCAATGACGGTGAAGTGAATCCGGGGAAAGGTGTTTGATTTTTCTTTGGCGTGCTTAACAATGCAACATGATCGGCAATCTCTCTTTTGGTTGGCCATGCCATCGAAGCAGGGAGGTCTTTCGGTTTTGCAGGAACGTACGAAGTTGAACGTGCAAGGATAAAATCACCGTATGATTTCGGGAAACAATCCGGCTCGAATAGGAAAGCCCACAGCAGTTGACCATTACCGATAGCATACAGCAATGCTGTATCACACCATTCCGGTATCCATGATACCAAAGAAGATCGTCTACGATGCAAGGCATCTACGTGGAAATATAATCCTTTTGTGAACAAATCCAATGCAAACGTTTTTCGAGGGAAAGTGGCCGCTCCAGGTCTTGATGCTACTTGAGAAGGTAAAAGGTATAGAGCAGGTGAGGCGGCCAATGCAGAGAGAAAAGGAACGATTCCATCACCATGAGCTGTACGAACGACTTTTGCCAAGAATCGAGTTCGATGGGAAGCTTCCGGTAAAGAGGAAGGCGACAAAGATGGCAATGAAGACAATGCCTTAATCCGAACGAATGTAAGAAAGTAGTTTATGTTCCGATATAAAAAGGTGAACAAAGCGAAAGCGAAGCCAGTCTTGGCGGCAGTTGCAGAAAAGAGTGCTTTGATTGCTTCTCCAGGAGATTTACGTCGTAAAAGGCCAGGTAGGATTGCCTGTAGTGCAGATTGTATAAGGTAACCAATCATGAATGATCGCAAGGATGTTCTAGTTGTAAGAGGCAGAACATCATCCTCAAAAGCGTTGGCGATTGCTGTTTGAGCGGTTGGTCCGGGTTGTTTGATTGCATCGTTTCCTATTGATGTTAATGCAGTCATTGGCACAAACGGTGAAGCTCCTCTAGGTAATCCTGAACTGGGTGTGGAAGGGTATGAAGCACTTGGAGTGGGAGGATTGGTGGAAGAATTAGAACGAGATCGCAAAGGAGGCGGTGGACGTGCGAATCCCAGCTTAGCGAGCACGACTTGTACTGAACGTGCTTCATTCGCAGTCATGGCAAAGCTTAGAGGGTAAGACAGCTGTGTATTGCCGTCATCTTCGGGATATTCCGACGTGGATCCTGAGCTTCCATTTCCGTTTTGTTTTGAAATCGATCGCCTCTTTTGACCTGGTCTAGGAGCCACCATTTTTTTGGTGAAGGATGTCGTTTGCAATCAAACACGTTTTCATTTCCCCACATGAGTGTGACGCTAAGAAGCAGGTTTCATTTTTGTGCTTTGAGTGGAAGAGAGACGCGTGCGGTCACACTTGGCTGGGGACACACACGGCTTGGGCTTGCTGGCTGTAATTTCTAGTTGGCGTTGTCGCCCTCGCCCTAACACAACAGGTGCAACACTTATCCTTCTCCCCTTCATCAATTGCAAAAGATGCGGTCACAGACATTGTTTGCGGTCTTGATGGCCTTGATGGCTTTAATGGTCTCGCAAGCTGATGGTTTGTACTTTTATCTAAATCCAAAAGAAACCCAATGTTTCTACGAAGAATTACCAGCGGATACAGTTGTTGTTGGACACTATATGGCGGAAACGTGGGATAAGGATAACCACGTCTTTCACATCAATGAAGATCTAGGTATCAACATCGTTGTCAGAGAGGTCAAAGAAGAACATTTGGTCACTTCTACTCTAGGACCCGCCGAAGGAAAGTTTGCCTTTACATCACATGAAGCTGGAGATCACTCTATTTGCTTAAGCACCCGATTAACCACAAACGAAGCCGCAAGACTTCCAATGGACGAACATCATCATCAAGTTCGAATGCATCTAGACATCATCATCGGTGAAGCAAAGCCCGATAACTCTCATGCGGATCGTGCACATATTCGTGATCTTGCTTCTCGTGTTCAAGATTTGAACGATAAATTACGTGATATTCGTAAAGAACAACAATTTCAACGTGAACGAGAGATTGACTTTAGGAATGCAAGTGAAAAGACAAATACTCGTGCTTTGTTTTGGAGTATCGTACAAGCTGTTGTCTTGGTAGCCACATGCGCATGGCAAGCAACACATTTGAGAGTGAGTTCCTGGCCAGCCAGACAGCCAAGATAATGTCATTATTACTAACTCATCATTCTTCTCTAAACAGACTTTCTTCGACCACAGAAAGATTCGATGAATACTACACTGTTTTCCCTCTGCCTCAATCATATGTACCATGTAGCATTATTAGCACAATTTATCAATCCTTTCCACAACCTCAGCACACGCACCCCTTACGGGAACCCCACCCCTTTCTCAGTGTGAATGAGTATATGTGATTGCTAATTGACAAGATGTGGTCGATAGTACATCACGGTAAGCTGGCTTTGGCTGTGTGAAGCGATGAATACCGTGTGAATGATGTGGGAGGCGATCCAACCCATAAGAAGCGTTTTAGGTTCTCGCGCTTACTTGCGTGCAGATTTGGCCTTAACACCGATATCTTGAACGTTCAATCCTGGTGGCAGGGATTGTTTAAGCTTTTCTGCCTTTTCAGCATCATCAACGACCAAGGTGTACAAGTAACGAGAGCAACGGATCTTGAATTTGGTTTGAGAACCGCCGGATGTCTTGACAGTCTTTTTGACACGAGCGGATCTGGCGTCCTTTCTCCTTGCGATTTCAAGGAAATGTTTAATGTCGGTCACTTGCTTAGGCTGTAAGATTGGGATAAAAGAGAGCGGTGTTAGAGAACGGTAAGGTATGATTGGAATGAGTCGAGAAGGTGTGGCTGGACTGCTGTTATTCCATAAAAGTATATCCATCCGATCCTCCCTCATCTTCACTACTCCATAGAACGTCTTGTTCTCCAGCCGTTTGCCCAATCGTGATACTCACCATTTTGATTATATTTGACCGAGAATGTGATGGTGAAGCAAGCTTGAAAGGTTCAAGAAGGATTTTGTGTAAATCTCGTGCAGCTTGAGAAGCTCAGGGCCAAATATAGCAGGCGATAGCGCAGGGCAGAATAACGCGCGCAGTTTAACTTGCATTATAACGCTCTTTTGCCTGTTCAAACCAGCAGCGGCAGGAAGATGAAGCGCACGTGAAGATTATTGCAAGAAATTGGAGATTGTCCTGTCAAGCTTAGTGGGAAGCTGGCACGCTACACGTGTAGACAGGATGGACAGATACACTTCCTGTGCCTGGCCTCAGCATCATCAGAACAAGGACATCTTAAAATCAAGCTTTTCTGATCATGATGTGGGACATATGTGGTCGATAGTCATGAGCTAAAATTTATATGGTATCGAAAATCTCCATTACTGCCCTATAATACATGCTTTTAGACCCTGTTTTGCGCATTTCCCTTTCTCTACGGTTATCCTAAGCTTTATTGAAGATCACGCTCCTTTCCTGGCTTCCTTTGCCTTCTTCTTTGCCGCTTCTTTCTGCATCACTAGTCCAACAAATGCTCCCACCACACCCAATCCTAGCACCAAGATGATTGCCGGCAATCTGATCGCCCAAACTCTGGGTGGAAAGTATGCTTGTATGATCGAATCAGAAGGGAATAGGGGCTGTCAAAGGGGGTTTTTGGGAGACACGGTCAGCCTGATACCGTCCTAAATACACTCATGGCCACCATTTGCTTAGCTCACCGTAATCAGCGCCCAGACTGTGTAATATGAAAACACAAATGTTGCAACAGCAAGCAGTGAGCCGCCCAAGAGTCGATCGGATAGTGCCTGAGAGGTAAAGCAGAGTGTTAGAGAGATTCCAAAAGTGTGATGTTCCCCCCATTTCCACTTACCATATTAATCTTGTGATGATGATGGAGTGTTGTTCTTTGTTCTTTTGCGCACACGCATGCATTCATCATTCCCATTAATTTACACAGGCACTAAACGCGTACGCCCACGTTGTACTCCACCTTGATCAAGGCACTTTGGCAGTCTAACCTGAAAGGGGTCTTCATCATTGCATGTGTCGCGCTCAGACAACTTTTTGTTCAATGGCGATCCATCTTCTCATAAACGCATTCATCATCAAATATCGTCAAATTGCAGGAGTCACTCTTTCCCCCCTTTGACAGCATACCCAATCTCCTATCTAGCCAAAAAGATATAAAGCCCACTTTTTGGACAAACATCTACCAATGAATTGACAACGACCACAAGTTCATAGACACAATACCCAACAACCGCGCCCAACATGCTCGAAGGTGTTCTGGCTTCAGTCTTGAACCGCTTCTTGGCATCGTATGTGGATGGCTTGAATACGTCTCAGCTAAATGTTGGTATTTGGAGTGGTGATGTGAAATTACGAAATTTACGATTAAAGACTTCAGCTTTGGATAAATTTCGTCTTCCGATCGATGTTAAAGAGGGATATTTGGGTGATCTGACACTTTCAATACCTTGGTCAAATTTAAAGGGAAAGCCGGTTCGTGTATTGGTGGAAAATGTTTACCTTTTAGCCGCACCGAGAAATGCAAATGTGGACGTAGACGAAGCAGAAGAAGATGAAAGAGCACAAGCAGCCAAACAGGAAAAGCTTGCCAATGCAGAATTACTCGGTCGCAATGGCAGCAGTTCCGTCTCGATGAGCGCAGAAGATGCACAAAAGAGTGAAAGCTTTACAAGCTCACTTGTTACCAAGATTGTGGATAATTTGCAAATCACAGTGCGAAACATTCATATCCGATACGAAGACGATCTATCCAATCCTGAGCATCCCTTCTCGGCAGGTTTGACATTGGCAGAATTCTCTGCAGTCTCAACCGACAAGGATTGGAATCCGACATTCATTCAAAACAGTGCCGATGGAATTCACAAATTGGCACGGCTAGAGTCCTTGGCTGCATACTGGGACACAGACACAGTCTCTCTAGCAGGCTATCCCGTCGAAGAAGCTCAAGAGAAGTTCAAGAGTCTCATCGCTCGAGAGGGGAATGTTCCATCGCATCAATTTATTCTATCTCCCGTCTCGGGTGCTGGTAGATTGACAATGCGTCGTAAAATGACTCCCGAAACCCCAAAGGTCAATGCAGAGTTGCTGTTTGATCAACTCGGTTTCGCTTTGGATGATGAACAATACAGGGACATCATCTCAGTCACCGATCTCTTCCACTTTTTCACTCGATATGCGCAATATCGACGCTTCCGTCCTGCTCCAGAAGAATTGGAAGAGAACAGACCGAGAGCATTATTGCAGTTTGCGGGAAGAGCAATTCTCAACGAAGTTCACGAGAAACATCGCGTTTGGAGTTGGGACTATTTCCGTCAAAGACGAGATGACAGAAAGGAGTATGTCCGCCTTTTCAAAGAGAAAGAATATGAAAACCAAAAAGCCAACCAAAAGCAAGCTGCGGTACAGCCAACGACAAGCGACAGCGGCTCAGAATTGGCCGAATTGGAACGTAGATTATCCTACAAAGATATCCGCTTCTATCGCTCGATTGCACGCAGTGAATTGCGACGTGAACGATTGCAAAAGCGTAAAGAAGAAGTTGAAAGCGGACATTCAACTGCACAACAACAAGGTGCCGGTGGTGGCTGGCTTGGTTGGATTTGGCGAGGTAATGCAAATGCAGATGAGAACAACGATGGAATGCTTAACGAAGAACAACGTAAGGAGTTGTATGATGCGATTGAATGGGACGAAGATAATGCATCTTCGATCGCACAAGCGGTCGACCTTCCAGGCGATGCAATGAAATTACGCATGACTACAAAGCTTCAAACAGGTTCTTTCACTTTACGGGATCATTCGCGGGGTAATGACGTAATCTCTTTAGTGTTTGATTCGCTAAAGGGAAGTATGATTCAAAGGATTGACAATTTGCAAGCCGCAATCTCTTTGGGTGGCTTGCGTGTCTACGATGGTACACTGCCAAATACTCTCTATCCACAAATTGTTCGTGTAAAGGATGAAGAGCTTGAACGATCTGTATCAAATTCCCGACAAAATTCCCGAGACGAGAATGCGTTGGAAGCCGTTCATCAGGAAAGCGATCCCGAAAATCCATTCTTCGCACTGGAATTTGAGCATAAACCGTTGGATAAAAGGGCGGACAACGCACTTACCTTGCGAATGCGATCGTTGGAGATCATCTATCACAAGACATACGTTGAGTCGATTGTTCGCTTCTTCCAGCCTCCCGAGTCTGAGTTGGAATTTATCGGAGCTTTGATCGATGTGGCAAGCGAGACGTTGGAAGGTATCCGTAAAGAGACTAGAGCAGGTCTTGAGAGTGCTCTAGACAATCACAAAACAATTGATGTAGATTTGGCCATTCAAGCGCCCATTATCATAGTGCCAGAAGAGCCGACGCGAAAAGATTGTCAGCATATCGTTTTGGATGCCGGTAAAATCTCGCTAAACAGTGTCCTGGCCGATCAAAGTGCGATTGAGACAGTAAAGTCCCGACAAGGGAAGCAGTACACTGACGATGATTACAAACAACTTGAAGATCTGATGTACGACAGATTCTTTGTCAAATTAGAATCCACCCAATTGGTCATGGGAAAGAATCTCGAACAATGTATGCGCAGTCTGTCGGGAACATCGCAAGAAGATCATGAAATGCACTTGCTGGAAAGAATCAATTTGGACTTCACCTTGCATAATTCCATCTTGCCAAAAGCACCAAATTTGACAAAATTCAAAATGACAGGTCATTTGCCAATCCTTCGAGTCAATTTCTCGGACCGGAAGTACAAAGTGCTCATGGCCGTCATTGATGTTGCCATTCCAGATTTGGATGACAAAGCAAGCGCTCCAAAATCGGAAGCAAATGGCAAGATTTCCGAAATTGAACAAACACTGGAACCTCCTACTGCTTCTAAACGACGAAGTCGAAGCACGTTGCAAGCTTCTAGCAGCAGTGCTACCTTTGATCTTAACCGAGAGCGTAGATCGAGAATTGCCAGTCAAATGCGTGGAGGTGATGAATACCTCGTTGATTCAACAACAGTGGACGAAGACGATGACGAAAACGAGAATGCTTTCGAAGATGCAGAAGATGCTACGGCAGATCGTATCAATGCTCATCAGAAAACGTTTGAACTGCAATTCGTTGTAGATGCATTGCAAGGAAGCATATACAAATCCAACACTGACCCCTCCAAACCTGATAGATTGCTCGTTGAGGCAAGCTTTGAAGGATTTGAACTAGGTGTGGCAGTCTATCCTTATCATCTTGAGGTTGATGTCGGTTTGAGAAGTTTGGATATTGAGGACAAAATCGTTCAGCAAAAGGGTGATGTCTTTAAACATATCATCACGAGTAAAACAGTGGATGACGGAGCAACAAGAGGTGGTACAGGAGATTCTGTTCATCTCACAAAGAATGATAAAGATTTGGTCCGCGTCAAATATACCCGCGTACAGACAGATTCTCCGGAATTCATGACAGTATATGAGGGTATCGATCAAAGCATCAACGTGGAACTGTCAACGATCAATTTGATGCTTACACGAGTCAGCATTTTAGCCTTGTACGATTGGATCATGACAACATTTGTGCCTCCAGACTCGGCCACGCCAACTGCAAACGGTAACGCCGAAAAGCAAATCGAGGATAGCGAAGATCAGCAAGTGACAGCGCCACCCACTGATGGCCGAAAAGAGAAATTGCGCGTACGAGTGAAGCTCACCTCAATTGTGTTGCGATTGAACAATGATGGAGAATTATTGGCTACCTTGACTTTGTCTACTGCAGACGTTGCCGTGCTTTTACGCGGCAATACTCTTCGGGTTGCATCACGTATTGGCTCATTATCCCTATTCGACAACACACAACGAGAAGCAGCCTCGCCTGAATTCAAGAATTTGTTATCCATTGAAGGAGATGAATTGGCAGACTTTACCTATGAAACATTCGACGAAGCTGATGGTCAGACTTATCCGGGATACGATATGGCTGTTTGGTTGCGAACGGGATCGCTTCGGTTCGTGTTTGTTGAAGAGACGATGGCTGATTTGTTGCGCTTCTTTAGCAAGTTTGCACAAATGAAAGCAGTGTATGATGCTGCAACAATGGCAGCAAGTGCTCAAGCCACACAATTACAGTCCAAAGCCATGAAGATGCATTATGATATCTTGATTCGAACACCAATCGTTGTTATGCCACGCGAAGCAGATGTGTCTGCAGATTCCATCACGGCTCACTTGGGTGAGATTTATGCTCATAACACATTCTTGGCTGATCAAAACGATCCTTCTCGTGCTTTGATCAAGATTGAAGCGGGTATTCGACATATCCGACTGGCATCTCGATTCATTCAAAAACGCAAAGCACATCACGTACAAATGATTGACGATGTGAATATTGAAGTGGATATCACTCAACAAGACGGCTTGACGAGAGAAGCATCAAATGAAGGCCAAGACAACGCTACCGCCTCCACTGCACAAGAACCAGATATGCAAATTTTGGCTAAAATGTCTGATGTCTCGATCAATTTGACCGAACAGCAATATCAATTCATCATGGGCTTAATGCAAAGCATACCAAAAGCCTTTGCTACGATTGATGAAGATGATGAAGAGGGTGCTACAGCAATATCGCCAACCTTATCTGAGAATATGCAGCAGACACAAGAGCAAAACAAGAAACCCGTGGATAAGCCAGCAATTGATTTGTTACCCGAATTAGGCACCACGGGAAGAGACACCGAAGGAGCTACTGTTTCATTGAGTACGAGCATTGATTTGTTATTCAGTGTGAATGCAATCAATGTCGAGTTATTCTCTTCAGCTGCTATCGATCAAGAAACAATGCACAAATCATCTTTGGCTCGCCTGGCATTGACGGGATCAGAAGTGAAGTTAAAGATGCTCTCCGATTCATCTCTTGAAGCAGAAGTAGCATTGAAAGCATTCAACGTCACAGATACACGAATTGACAAACAGACACAATTCCGTGACATCATCCCAGCAATCGCTCATGAAGGTCATCAATTCATGTTGAGTTACTCGATGGGCAGTGATGGTAGTGCATTGGCCTTGGTCACCGTTGACTCTCCCAAAGTCATCTTTTCGTTGGACCCACTGTTTGCATTGGTGGACTTTTTCATGAGCGCTTTCAATGAACAGCAAATCGAACCTGAACAGCCATCTCGAGCAATGTCACGCAAACAACTCGAAACCAGTCAACAGAGCCGCAGAACGACGAACAAAGAACGTCAAGCAAAGAAAGCACAACAGGAAGCACCAGCTAAACCGGAAAGCACAGCTACGCTTGCATTCCGAATCAATGTTGTCGATCCAACAATCATTCTCTTGGCCGAGCCTGAAAAAGCTGATACAAAAGCCATCATTCTCTCCATTCGTCAAGTGTTAATGTCACAACAAGGTATTCTTGCTCTAAAAGTTGATCAATTCGGCATGTTTATGTGCAGAATGAACAGACCAAAAGATACAGTTCGACTGGTGGATAACTTTGATATCGCAATGAGCTTGGATAGCAGAGATGCTGGTGGACCATTACAACAAACCAATACCAATATTGAGGTGAACGTAGATCCGATCATCATGCGCGTTTCCCTCAAGGATATGGTGATGATCAGTAATGTGATCAACAGAGCGATTGAATTGAGCAGCAAAACCGGTTCAGGCTCCAACGCCAAGGACACATCAAAAGGTGCTCCATCTCGCGTGAGCAGCGCAGGAGGTGCTGTTCAAACGATTCGTGCTGGAGAAGGAGAAGGATCTGACGCAGTCGCATCAACGAAAACTGCTGGACTCTCGGAAGATGGTCATAGATTAGAAGCTGCAGAACTTTTGGTCACCAAAGAAGTTCTCAAAGCCGATTTGCAGGGTATTCAATTGATTCTAATTGGAGATGTTCATTCGTTGCCACTCCTTGACTGTAGCATCGCTGCTTTCAGTGTAGATGTTCGTGATTGGACTTCGGATATGCGTGCAGCACTCTCGATCGGAATGCATGTGAATTACTACAATTTGAAAAAGAGTCATTGGGAACCTCTTATTGATCCTTGGAATTTGGATTTCTCAATGGAAAGCAAAGCAGGTAGCAACACCATGACCTTGTCATCAAAGCGAACAATGGAATTGAACATCACCAACACATTAATTGAACAAGTGATGACCAATCTTTCCGTCATTCAAGAAAATGTTCGCGAAGGAGAGGATAATCCTGATCGTGAAAATCAAGCCCCTTTCGTAATCCGTAATAGGACTGGATACAGAGTCAGCTTATGGGGACAACATCAGGGTGATGCCAAAGGACCACGACATGGTGCTCAGCATATTGATGACGGTCACGATTTGCCTTGGCGATTTGAGAGTTGGAAGGTGATGCGTGATCACATTCTCGATCGTACTGGAGGCGGAAACGAGTTAACCGTACACATTGAAGGAATGGCTTGGGAGCGTATCCGGCACTTGAACGTCGATCAACAAGGCGAAAAGATTGTAAATCTCCGTCCAAAGATTGATCGCGTTGCACATAGGCTGTTGTGCGATGTCAGCTTGGAGAACAATGTCAAGGTTGTCACTCTGAGAAGCACCTTCAATATCGAAAACAACACGCTCGTACCGATCGAGTTTGTTGTTCTGGACAGCAATGGAGATTTGACGGATATCATTCGCAAAATTGCCCCTGGTTCAAGCTGTCCTGTTCCGATCGAAGCCGCTTTCCATTCACGAATCCGGATGAGACCTGATCCAGGTTTCGAGTATGGTTGGTCGAATGAGGCTGTTGGGTGGCAAGAATTGATCAAAAAGTCCACCCGAGTCTTGACCTGCAATGACGGCAATGAACACGAAGCGCCTTTCCGATTCCAATGCTTCACAAAGTTTGATCGAAATGATCCTTTGGCAAGACAATACCCAAGACTCACTTTGTGTGTTCGTGCTCCGGTTGAGGTTGAGAACCTTTTGCCGTATGACATACAATATCGCATCTTTGACAAGAATCACAACCGCAATTGGTCAAGCTTCCTAAGAAAGGGAGGCGTTTCACCAATTCATGTTGTTGATCTTTCGCATTTGCTCTTGCTTTCGATTGATGTTCAGTCGTCCGTCTTTTCACCTTCAGAGTTTGCCATCATTTCTACTGATAATGGAGATGATTTCCCTGTGGAGAAATTCCTGACATTGGCCGATGCCGAAAACCTGAAGCTGCAACTACGACTGCATTACCACAAATATGCCGATAGTGGAGGCGCTTTCAAGGTGCAGATCTATTCGCCTTACATCTTTGTCAACCTGACTGGATTGCCTTTCTCCCTCAAGACAAAGAGCTGGATCGGAGGGGCAAAATTGGTAGCTGGTCAAGATCCAGGATCCAGCAAGAGCATTGCCGATGTTCGACGTGAACCTGAACCATTCTTGTTCAGTCACAGTACCCGTGATAGACGTAATCGCGTTCAATTACGAGTCGGTGACTCAAGTTGGAGTAGACCAATGTCTTTTGACGCAGTTGGTTCAGAGACTGAGCTTACCATTCCTTCCAGTAGCCGCAATGAGGAAATCCATCTTGGTTTGACGATCGAAGAAGGTTTGGGCAAGTTCAAATTGAGCAAGGTTGTTAAACTGACACCCAGATACATGGTTCGCAACAATTTGGGGGAAGAGGTAAACATCCGCGAAGTGGGTGGTGCTGATGTTGTCACTGCACAAACGGAAGGTAGACAACCTTTGCATTTCCTTCGTGTTGGGGCAAGTAAACAAATGTGTTTGGCATACCCTGGTCTTAACAACAAGTGGACTTCGCCATTCAATTTGGAAGATATCGGTAGAGTCCATTTGCGTATCGCTCGCGCAGGTCATCAACAACATTTGATCAAGGTGGACGTCTTGCTTGAAGGTCCAACAATCTTTATCTCTCTCGAGCATGAAAAAGGGCCATGGCCGTTCATGCTGCGCAATGAGAGTGATTATACAATCACATTCATGCAAGCCATTGAACGTGGGGATGCAAAACAAGAAGGTGGAGCAGATGAAGCCGTGGGTAAACGATACGAACTCAAACCGCGTAGTAAGATGAAGTACGCTTGGGATTATCCTGCCATGCCGGATAAGACTGTCAAATTGGTAGCAAATGGCAAAGAGAGAAATGTCAATATCCTCGAAATCGGTAGTTTGCTTCCATTCAAATTCCCAAGCGGTGATGGAAGAGGAAACCGCATTGTTTCTTTGGACGTTCGTGCTGATGGACCGACGCAAACCCTCGTGATCAGCAACTGGAGCGAAGCGCACAGCAACTACAAGATGAAGAGACAAAATAGCACCCTTTCACGCACCGAAACCATGCGTACAGATGTAGGTTTCGAAGCTGTGGATGTGGATACAAAGATTATTTCTTCTTTCAATATCGAACTCGAAGGACTTGGTATCTCGCTCATTAATCGTGCACAACAAGAACTTGCCTATGTAAGCTTCCGAGGATTGGAGTTCCACTACAGTGAAAGCGAGGTGACCACAGCGTTCAACGTGATCTGCAAATGGATCCAAATCGATAACCAACTCTTTACCGGGCTGTTCCCGATCGTCCTGTACCCTGCAGTTATTGCCCCAAATCAATCCGCTTTGGAAAGCCATCCTACCTTGCAAGCAAGTTTGATCAGAAGCAAAGATGAATCTCACGGTTTGGTGCACATCAAATATGCAAGTTTCCTATTGCAAGAAGTGACTGTGGAATTGGATGAAGACTTCCTGTTTGCTTGTTTGGATTTCGCAAAGATTGAAAGTGGTGGTAAATCAGAAGATGATTCCGCTACCGATTTCGCAGAAAATCCCCGTGAGATCCCTGATCCGAAGGACTTAGTCGGAGGAGGTCCAGCAGGAAGCAAGGAAGGCGAAGGAGATGTCTATATTGGCATTTTGCATTTGCAACCTTTGGCGATCAATCTTTCAATTGTGCGCAGTGAAAGGAGTGGCGGTGATGAAGCAGAAGATGCTTCTTCAGGAAATCCGCTCTACTTCTTGCTCAATGCTGCCTCAATGGCAGTGGGAAGCTTGGCTGATGCTCCTATTCGTCTTTCTGCATTGGTGATCGAGAATGTCCGTCTTTCTCCAAATGTCTTGACGGAAAGAATCACGATGCATTATACACAAGCGATGTTGTTCCAAGTATACAGATTGGTCGGTAGTATTGATGTGCTGGGTAATCCGATTGGACTCTTTAACAACGTGGGCAACGGTGTCGTATCTCTCTTCTACGAACCATATCAAGGTTTGGTCATGCATGGTCATCGTGAATTAGGAATGGGAATCGCTCGTGGTGCATCAACGGCCGTCAAATCCATCGTCTTTGGTTTGTCAGATAGTGCAAGTAAGGTGACTGGATCAATCTCGCAGGGTTTAGCGGCCGCCACGATGGATCCGGCCTTTCAGGCAAGGAGGAGAATTACGAAATTCCGCAACAAACCTCGACATGCTCTTTATGGATTGCAAGCCGCAGGCGCGAGTTTCTTTACAGGCGTGACCAGTGGTGTCGAAGGTTTGGCGTTACGTCCGCTAGAAGGCGCAGAGCAGAATGGTGCGGCAGGATTTGTGACAGGAATTGGAAAGGCTTTGGTTGGCTTTGCAACAAAGCCAGCTGTTGGTATCTTTGATGCTGCTTCCAATTTGACAACGGGTGTAAAGAACAGTCTGTCCTTGTTTGATGGAGAAATTGACAGGGTTCGACTGCCGAGATTTATCGCTTCCGACGGTATTGTACGACCGTACAGCAGCCGCGAAGCTTTGGGTCAAATGTGGCTTCGTTCCTGCGATGATGGACGATTGATCAAAGAACACTATGTTGCGCATGTTGACTTGGGCAGCGGAAACCATCACAGCAAACACCTTCACCGTGGAAGTGATGCAGAGAACAAGAGCAAAAATGGCAATGGACCCAAATCAAACATGTCCGATTCATCCAATCAAGGCGATAACGTGATCATGTTGACAACAACGCGAATTCTGTTCTTAAAGACTCTCAAATTGCGATGTGCATGGGAAGTTCTATTGAATGATTTGAGTAGCATCTCTTTGGAATCTGAAGGAATTGCTTTGATTTTGAGAGGTGGATTGGCAGGACCTTTCTTACCTTTACGCGATATTGGAAGTCGACAATGGTTCTTCAAACAGATCACCAGAGTTGTTCAAAGCTATAATGCTGCCCATCAACAATAATGAATTGTACGAATATATCTTTTTTTATCTTGAATTTTATGAATGCGCAAAAGGTCGCAGAACCGCCGCTTTAAGGTCGTTGCAAAACTTATCAGTAGTTCCCTAGTATAGGATTTTTGCTATGCACACTAACTCCTGAAAAAGGTCGAAGACTGTTTGTTTAGCGCGCGCATATAACATTAATAGTAGGCTAAGACAGCATCCACCTCTGACTCTCATGCATTGCAGGCCATTCTTCAGGAGGACCATCCCGAGAATCCATTCTTCGCCCTGAAATTTGAGCATAACCCATTGGACAAACGAGCAGACAACGTCCTCACCTTACGAATGCGATCGTTGTAGATAGTATATCATAAGACATACGTCGAATCAATCGTTCGCTTCTTCCAACCTTTGCTGTGGCAGATGCTCAAGTGCAAGCCGCTCCAATCTTGGGAAATGTGGCTACGAAATTGCAAGAGCAACTCTTGTCATCTTCAGAAAGTGTGGCTGACAAGCAAATCGTTCAACCATATGCCGTGCGCGATACCGATTCCGGTCTGGTTGGATATGGTTTTGGTCGTATCAGCGAGTATAGTCAAGATCATTGGAACGAACGTCACCAGCTCCTCTCCAAAGCGGACGATGAGGACTTCTTGGGATCTTTGATCAATGACAGTATCTCCGAGCCGCATCAATACAAGCAAGGCAAAAAGGCAACCCAAAACGATGCTGATTTGCAACTCTTGGGTCTTGGAACACAAGAAAGGAACAATCGCTGCTGGTTCTCTTGTCGCTGCTACAGCCGCAAGTAAGATTGGAGGTGACGTTGATGCTTTGATCGTTGGAAATTCCGATCTAGATCCCGCAGTTGAGGCTGCAACCAAGATTTCAGGTTTGAAGAAAGTTCATGTCGCAAAAGATGCAAAGTATGAACACCTGTTCGCCGAACCTTTGGCACCTTTGATCAAAAGCGTCGTTGAAAAGGGAAATTACACTCACGTCTTTGCCGGCCATTCAGCTATCGGACCTGATGTTATGGCAAGAGCAAGTGCTTTGTTGGACGTAAGCCAAATCAGTGATATCATCGCAGTCGAATCAGAAGATACATTCCAACGTCCAATTTATGCCGGAAATGCATTGTTGACAGTCAAATCAAACGACAAAGTCAAAGTGATTACCGTTCGTGGTACCGCATTCGAAAAAGCAGCAACAGATGGCGGAAATGGTGAAAAGGCAGAAGTTGCAGCTGTGGACGGATCGGCACCAACATCATTCATTGAAGAAAAGATCAATCAATCTTCTCGACCTGATCTTGCAACCGCTCCTCGTGTCGTTTCCGGTGGTCGTGCTTTGAAATCAGGTGAAAACTTTGTTAAATACATTGAACCTTTGGCAGACGCCCTAAAGGCTGCCGTTGGTGCTTCTCGTGCCGCCGTTGATGCAGGATATGCAGACAATGCCTTGCAAGTTGGACAAACGGGTAAAATTATTGCACCTGAATTGTACGTTGCCGTCGGTATCTCAGGAGCAATTCAACATTTAGCAGGAATGAAGGATAGTAAGACAATCGTTGCCATTAACAAAGATGCTGATGCTCCAATCTTCCAAATTGCCGATCTCGGTTTGGTGGCTGATTTGTACGATGCCGTGCCCGAATTGACCGAAAAAGTTAAGTAAAACATTCATGTAATTCATTCCTAGCAATACATTATATAGTACATAATCATATCATCTCTTCGTCCTGGGATTCTTGCTGCACCAAATCCCAGTATGTCAAATGTCCCTCATCATCCAAAGTTGCGCATACTTCTTTGCGTTTATTGAGCGATAGCTTCTTTGCATTTCCTCCGCCTCTTTTTGTGAGATTGATGTGACGGCGGGGTTGCATTGGCTGGAGTGCAAGTTGCTCCCCTTTTGTCTTTGTTGGATTGAAAGATAGGTCGTCTAGTTGCAATGACACAAGCATGGTCTCCTCGCCTTCTTGGAGCAGCAAAAAGATCTCTTCAGCAGAGTAGAAGCTTAGGTCCAACGCTTTTACCTTTTCTCCGAGTTTGACGTTGGCAATTAGCAAATTTTCGTCTGCCTGACTCGTACTTACCGCAATCATAAGTGAAGCAAGTCCCTCATTCGTTTCTCTCACAAATGCAATCCTGCGATCAGAATGGGAAGCTGAAATGTGTTGACGAATGAGGGGCGAAAGATTGGTAGGAGCAAGAATGTCTTGTAAGGGTTTTGCACTGGATTGCACGCTATCATTACGACCGTCAGCCATTGTCGAATCTGGTTCGAGAGAAAGAAGGGGCTGCCATTTGCTTTCATCAACAGCACTGTTATGGGGAGCCCAATTGGCAAGTGCATGATAGAACAGCGGAGATGCGATGCTGATACATTCCACCATCACATCCTTCAAAGAGGGCAATGCCACGGCAGAGGTTTTATCTTTCTTAGCAAGACCATGTGTTGGTCCGATGTGCAAATTTGTGCCTTCACTCAACTTTGCGAAATCGCTCGAGCTTGGTGTCTTCTTTCCCAGTGTGCAAAATAGCTCATCTGCTTTCGGGTCTTCTTTCAGCGTCGAGATCGTCTCTTCAATCTTTCCATGTAGCTTTGCGTCTCGGTACCAGGGCTTGCCAGTATCAAGCATTACATCATCTTCCTCGTTGTTGTTGCGATGCAAAGTGTCGACGGGTTCCTTTGGCAATGCTTTTGCTGGGACTGCTGCACGACTACGGCTTTCTTCTCCATCTTCTTCATCATCATCTTCAACCTCATCTCCTCGAGTTTTGGCATCCATACTGATATTCAGGAGGCTTTCGATGGATCTATTATAGAAGCCCCTCTCAAAGAATTGCACCAGAAGCATTGCATTATATGGAAAATCGCCTACTCCTGCTCCGGCAACTGCTTCTGGTATCGCTTTGGAATCCCTCACTGCTTCCTGCCGTACACGCTCATACATCCAAAAGCGATAAAAGTGTGTCCAAGCTATATGCTCTTTGCCCAGTAATCTTGTCAATCGGATGGCTTCTCTTGTGATGAGTTTGAGCTTTTCCAAAATTGTACGAATCGCCTCTGTTCTATGCGCATCAAACATGTGGCCGTACTGCTCCGACCAAAGTGCACATCCCAACACTTCTTCGAAAACGAGAATCGTTCTTTGACATGCTGATATCTTCAATGAAAGTTGCTTTTGCGTTTGAATATGAAGATGAACCTCTTTCTGATGGCATCTAAGGCGAATTTCACATTTCAAGCTCACTCTCTTCCAGAATTGATAATGATAATTCAAGCTCTACTGCACATGGAGATTATTCAAATGTATCTGAAATGCCTTTCACGGCAGCATCCACCATGGCCAACCAATCATATCCATCTCAACCTTTTCCACAGGCTGACGTACATGACAACATTTGGCAAAGAGATGCACAATGGCCTCAAGAGCAAGCTGTTGGCCACAAGAAGCAAAACAAACATGTTTCTCACTCAGCTGGTGACTATAATCTTGATTCTTGGATCAACGGTCGCAAAGGTGAATTCAAGAAGCATGAAAAGCCAATTCCAAGATCTACACCACTTGCGCAGCAAAAGCCAAACGTCATGCATCGTGTTCCTGAATCAATGCCATCAAAAGACGGCAAAAATATTTAGGATGCTTAACAACGTCAGAATAACACACATACATCCGTTTATTCAAACGCAAAAGCAACTTTCATTAAAGATAAACCTCTTTCTGATGGCATCTAAGGCGAATTTCACATTTCAAGCTCACTCTCTTCCAGAATTGATAATGTTAATTCAAGCTCTACTGCACAGAGAGATTATTCAAATGTATCTGAAATGCCTTTCACGGCAGCATCCACCATAGCCAACTAATCATATCCATCTCAACCTTTTCCACAGGCTGACGTACATGACAATATTTGGCAAAGAGATGTACAATAGCCTCAAGAGCAAGCTGTTGGCCACAAGAAGCAAAACAAACATGTTTCTTTTGAGCACACCGACACGAATGCTACGCATTCACTCAACAAGTCAATCGCTCAGCCAGCTCCAATGACAACTGAGCCTGTTGCATTCAATTTCCCTGCCAATAACAGCGAACAGGAAGCAACAATTCACGCTGCACTAAAGCACATATTCGACGTACAACATGCTTCCGTATCATGCTTGCAAGACGTACAAGTTCTCTTTTCCCAGAATCAAGAGGCTTGCAAGCAATTTGCCAATCAAGTGGTGGACTTGAAAGCTCGTGTCGCTTTCTTTGAAACGCTTTGTAAAGAAAAAGATGCTCAAAGTCAGCAAAAGGACGATGCACTGGCCAACAAGGATGCATATATTAAAAAGAAGGATGACCAGCTAGCTCACAAGGACGACCAATTGGAGACAAAAGATGTCCAATTGGCAGAAAAGGACAAGGAGAACAATAAAGAGCGTCAAAGCCTGCTTGGGTTTCGATTAACATTGGAAAAGGTGAAAGAAACCTGCGAAAACTTTTTCTTAGACGGCAAACATATTTCCAAGGAATGGGAAGACCTTAAGTTGTCTGTCAAAGCTGATTGGCAAACTCTCAAAGAACAGCTGAATAATCAAAAGTCACTCAACAAAGACTTGACAGATGCCTTTCAAAGACACAAATCAAACCAAGAGAGTTTCAAGAATCAGCTTTCCCGACAAGCTGATGTACACAGAAAGAGAGCTACGAGAGGCAAAAGAAGCAAACGGTATCTTATCCGTAGAACTCAGAACGGTCAGTGATGATGCACATAAAGCACAACAAGAATTCGAACGCAAATTAATGGAAAAGGACAACGAGGTACAGATTGCAGATGGAGAACGCAAAAACATGATTCAAGAACTCGAACAAATTAAGGAAGAACGTGAAAGTGCTATGATGAACTCAAGCAAGAAACAGAATAAGCACATCACCGCGCAGAACAAGATCAAACAGATCCAAGAGGCTCACGAAAAGCTCGTCAAGAAGTTCAAGGAGTACGAACGAACAACAAATGAGAATAAGATTCGAATGGAGGAAAAAGCCGAGGAATTCGAGCGAAAAGCTAATGACAGTCAAGTTCGAGTGAAAGAGAAGGCGAAAATCGTTGATCAAATGGCAAAAGAATGTGCTGAGATGACACGCGAGAAGGAATGCATAGAAGACGCATTGAAAAGTTCTCGTGAGCAAGTTGCTGCATTCGAGAAAGCCAAAGAAGGATTCAAATCTCGCGAGGAAGGGCTGAAGACTCGTGAAGAGAATTTGAAGGCACGCGAAGAAAGTTTAAAGTCTCGTGAAGAAACTTTAAAGGCCCGCGAAGAAGCACTTAAAGCACGCGGAGATGGTACGAGTAAAAGAAAGGAAGCGCCGGATCGTGAGTCAGAACCAGTCAAGGGAAAAACCACAACGACACAATCAAATGATGATCAGAAGGCATCCAAGAGCTCCACCTCTTCTCGTAAAAAGGTTCGTACCGAGATCCCCTCAATGGATTCCGATTAAAAGGTCGGCTTGCCATCAGCATGAAACAAGTTGTATGATGGAGGAAAGAATGCGCTTTGCAGGACTGTATATGCCGTTGCTTTGATTTTAAGAGGTGGATTGGCGGGACCTTTCTTACCTTTACGCGATATTGGAAGTCGACAATGGTTCTTTAAACAGATCACTAGAGTTGTTCAAAGCTATAATGCTGCCCATCAACAATAATGAATTGTACGAATATATCTTTTATCTTGATTGAATATTTTTGAATTGAATGATGGCAATGAGTGCAGATCACGTGTATAAAATATCAGCGCCTCTGGACGGAAATAATGTACATTATTTAATCGGCTGAATGTTGAACGCTTACCGGGTAGGCATGCATTGCACCTGTGAAATTTATTGACCAGCTTTTCCTTATCCTTATCACCGAAACCCCGCACGTGTGGGAACAGTTAGCGCGCTCACACGTTTCCCTTTGTTCTCATCATTACTCACATAAATCCCTTTGTTCTTCCTTATTCGTACATATATTAGTTTCACTTATACATATATCAAAACCCTTATACAAATCTCAGCTGATTCTTGAACCTCTCTATTTCTTATAAATACTCACTTCTTGTATCTATTTCTCTATGATTCAATTTGACGTCCCTTACAAAGAATACCTGGCTGTACGATTTGTAAGAAACTCACACCCTAGCAGGCCGAATACGCGTACGGCTCTATGTTTGTAATGTAGATTGGATCGCCTATGATTGGAAGATTGATAGGCTGGTGAGCCCGTTGTAGCCAATCAACCTTGGCCTATTTCGGATTGACCGAGTATATACACACACAACTGCCTGCTGGCAGACGCGTCGCTTTTGTAGGCCCTTGCGGCTTTTCGCATTTTATGAGCCGGTACTACTCTCAGTCTACCCGTGTGCTGCCGCTTTGTCCGCGCCCAGTGAAAGGTTCATCTATCGTCCAATCACACTCTCCCAAGGTGGGAGGTTGGCGCGTATTGCATGTCTTTTTTTTTCTTTCTCATTTTTCAGCCCTTTTTGGCGTGTGAGAGTGATGTTGTGCATACACTGTAATTACGCCTAAACCCTCTCGATCTCTTTTGCTTCTTTTGCTCGCCTATGTCTTTCTTGGGCGCATAGAAGATCTGCTTCGTTCTGATAGGATATTTGCTCCACCCTCTTTTTCAATCATTTCAACCCCTTTTATTCTTTTTTACTCCATCGCCACCAACATCCTACTACCTGTTATCCGGATAGAGTTTGCTTTTACTCTTCTCCTGATAATTTGATCATCATGTTGACTGCATCTATGCGTACTATGCGCACAGGTGCGCTTAAGCGTGCTGCTTGCCAACCTTCCGGAAGCTCTTCTCTTCGTTCAGCTGTTGCTCAACGTGGTTATGCTACCTGTTCAGAAGATGCTCCTGAAATCGACCCAAAGATCTTCGATCGCAAGGTTGATATGAGCAATGTCGAAAAAGGAAAAGGTTACTACATTAACTACAAAAAACTCGACGAAAACATCAACATCGTTCGTCAACGTTTAAACAGACCTTTGACAATGTCTGAAAAAATCGTTTACGGACATTTGGACGACCCACACAACCAAGACATCACTCGTGGTTCATCTTACCTCAAATTGCGTCCCGATCGTGTCGCTTGTCAAGATGCTACCGCTCAAATGGCCATGTTGCAATTCATGTCCGCCGGTTTGCCAACTGTTTCCGTGCCAACAACAATTCACTGTGATCACTTGATCGAAGCACAAGTTGGTGGTGTTAAAGATTTAGAACGTGCAAAGGACATCAACAAGGAAGTCTATGACTTCTTGTCCACTTGCTCTGCTAAATACGGTGTCGGTTTCTGGAAGCCAGGTTCAGGTATCATCCATCAAATCATTTTGGAGAATTACAGTTACCCTGGTTTATTGATGTTGGGTACCGACTCACATACTCCCAATGCAGGTGGTCTAGGAGCCTGTGCGATCGGAGTTGGAGGTGCAGATGCTGTCGATGTGATGGCTGATATTCCCTGGGAACTCAAATGTCCAAAGGTTATCGGTGTTGAATTGAAGGGTTCTTTGTCTGGTTGGGCCTCTCCAAAAGATATCATCCTCAAGGTTGCCGGTGAATTGACTGTCAAGGGTGGTACTGGTGCAATCATTGAATACAAGGGTCCTGGTGTTGAATCTCTCTCAGCCACTGGTATGGGAACAATTGTGAGTAGTAACAAAGAGCTGAGTGTCGAACAATTTGACTGACAAACGAACAATTTGACTGATAAACGAAAAAAAGTGTAACATGGGCGCGGAAATTGGCGCAACTACATCCATCTTCCCCTTCAATGATCGTATGGGAGCTTACTTGAAGGCAACAAAACGTGGTGAGATTGCTGATTTGGCAACTGCATTCCAAAAGAACTTGTTGCCCGACCGTGATGCCGAATACGACCAACATTTGGAAATCAACTTGAGTGAATTGGAACCACACATCAACGGTCCTTTCACACCTGATTTGGCAACACCTCTTTCCAAATTCGCTGAAGCAGTCAAGAAGAACAATTGGCCTACTGAGCTCAAGGTCGGTTTGATCGGATCTTGCACAAACTCTTCTTACGAGGACATGTCTCGTTCTGCTTCCATCGCTGAAGAGGCTGCCGCTCACGGATTGAAGATCAAATCCAAGTTTACCATTACACCTGGAAGTGAACAAATTCGTGCAACAATCGAACGTGACGGACAAATGGAGACTCTTTCCAACGTCGGTGGTATGGTATTGGCAAATGCATGTGGTCCATGCATTGGTCAATGGGACCGTACCGATGTTAAGAAAGGAGAAAAGAACTCTATCATCACATCTTACAACCGTAACTTCACTGGTCGTAACGATGCCAACCCTGCCACCCACGCATTCGTTGCCTCCCCTGATTTGGTCACAGCCATGGTCTTTGCTGGAGATTTGACATTCAACCCTATGACAGATTCTCTAAAGGGTGCTGATGGAAAAGAGTTCAAATTCTCTGACCCATCCGGAAAAGAATTGCCACCTTCTGGATACGATGCTGGTGAGGATACATTCCAAGCACCACCCGCTGATCGTTCATCCGTTCAAGTGGCAATCAACCCAAGTTCAGACCGTTTGGAATTCTTGCCTGCTTGGGATGCTTACAAGCCTGGTAATGAAAAGGATTTGCGTGTTTTGGTAAAGGCAGAAGGCAAGTGCACAACCGATCACATCTCAGCCGGAGGACCTTGGTTGAAGTACAGAGGACACATTTCCAACATTTCCAGAAACACATATTCAGGTGTGATCAGCAATTTCACACACGAAGCAAACCAATCTTACAACTACGACACAGAGGAGTTTGAATCCACTCCCGAAGTTGCCTTGTCATACAAGGAGCAGGGTAAGAGATGGTTGTTCATTGGTGCTGATAATGTAGGAGAAGGATCTTCTCGTGAACATGCTGCTTTGCAACCACGTTTCTTGGGCGCTTTCGGTGCTATTGCTAAGTCTTTCGCACGTATTCACGAAACCAACTTGAAGAAGCAAGGATTGTTGGCAGCAACATTCAAGAACCCATCTGACTATGACAAGATCTTGAAGGATGATGTTTGTGATGTTGAGGGTATCGAAAACTTTGCTCCTGGAAGTGAATTTGTGCTTAACGTTCGTCATTCAAACGGAAAGGAAGACAAGATCCCCCTCGTTCACTCTTTCAACGAAGCACAAATTGATTTCTTCAAGGCTGGAAGTGCTCTAAACTTGATGGCAGCTGCCGCCAAAGAACGTGCTGCAAAATAAACATGAGATGAAATAAAAAAAAAGTATTTCGTTGTCATCACATAGCGTATGACCTTCTCTTCCTTTTGAATTTATTTATATTTTTCCGCTTAAATCTGAAATCATAATGTACCGATTCTTATAAATGTGTGTTAGAGGCCGGGAATTGCACGTGATGTCGAGGTTTGATTGGGATGCACAAGTACATCGGATTAGAGTTGCGTTGCACATATCAGCGAAGGAAGACCGAAAGAAAGATTCTTTAGAACCTAAACATAGTTTAATATGATATGCATTAGCGGGAAGACCAGCGGTTGCAGACAGGCGAGCCGAACGTTATTAAGTCAACGACGCCCGGACCCCGATTTAGCCGGTTGTCTCGATTAATTGCATGAACAAAAAGATGCCGTGATCGTTAGCGTTAATGTCAAAGACAAAGGGACGTCTGTGTGTGAGAAAGATCAGACGTCAGACTTCTTTTTGCGGGGAAGGACGAAGGGTTCTCAGACAATTTTGGAATGTAAAAAGAATACATGGAATTATTCCCTCACAAGGGAGGAAGCATCTCGTATATGATGATGACGGAAAGAGAATAGAAATTATAGAGAAAAGAAAAACAAGATCCGAAAAATAGTTGAGGAAGAAGGAAAAAAATTACGAAATTATACAGAAAAACAAGAAGGATATCCACGGGTAAAAACAGATTAAACAATACATCGTGACAAAATAGGGGCAGCCCTTTTAGACAACAAGAGATTCACCATTGTTTCCATTTCGCATTCCATACCCGGAAAGCGAACGCATTAAACCGTCAATGTTTGTTACGCATTGATTGTTTTGTGCAACGGCCATTGCGAATGCGGAAAGATCACCGCCGTTCGTGGCAGGTAAACTTTGAACACGACCGAATTGTTGATTTGCGAGATCGTGCATGTGAAGGTTATGTTGTTGTAAGGCATGGATGGAGGGAGAAGGGAATGTGCTGTCTTGGGTGAGAGATGCCATTCTGACATCATCACTCAAAAGTGTCCCGTTGAGGTCTTTGTTGGAAGCAGATCCAGAGAATGGAAGTTTGAAAGTGTCTTCTTCTAAGCACAGAGAAGACCAATCAAACATTGGCACGGAAGGGTATTGAGGTTGCATTTGCTGATGTTGTTGAGGGTAAGATGGGAAAAAGTTTGGTAAACCGGCCATGAAATCCAAAGATTTGCTTGAATCCACATATGCATCCATTTGTGGAAGTTCAAATGGATGAGGTGGAATTTGTTGTTGCATTTGAGATTGTTGATAGACGGACAAGACGGGCAATTGTTGTCCCCATGAATTTGCCGGGATTGGACTCATGAATGCGTCACTCATGGTTGAGGCAACACTACTGGCCGTATCCCGACGTGGTCCAGAAAATGACCCGTCATCATCATCAATTGTGACCATAGAAGATGTTGTGGCGATACTATCATGACGTTGACGGGAACGCTTCTTTGATGCTTGTCCGATTGTGGTAGGAGCAGAAGTCGGGGCATACAAGCATGACTCTCCTCCATGATTCGAAACACAACGTGAACAAGGTTGCTTACCGTCACATTTGACGGTGATACTGCTGCAACGAATGCAAGCACGTTTAGATTGCTTTTTGGTCTTTTTACCAGCCATTACGGTAGCCTTGCTTGGTTTGGTTTCTTTGACCATATTCTCATGCAGTAATCTATGATGACGAACGAGAGAATCTTGACGGCTGAAGCATTTTCCGCATCGATCACAACAGTACGGCTTTCCATTTTGATGACGAAGAGCATGTCTTTGCAAATGAACCTTACGAGCGAAACAAGCGTTACAAATATCGCATTTGTGTGGTTTATGTTTCTTTTGTTCTTGTTGTGTGCTCAAAGCAAAATCATCACTGGTTGGAGGTGAAGTTATCGTGGCAAAAGAAGAAGCAAACATCATTTGTTCTGCCGCACTTGCATTGCCACTTGAACTACTAAAAGGTGATGAAATGCTAATCGGAGAAGTGAATTCGTTTGACATCATTTCCATCGTTGAGTTACTTCCGCTTGGAATATTGATTGCGTTTGAAAAGGACATTGTATTCGCGGGGGGGATGACGTTGAGATGTAAGAGAAAAGGGAGGAAGTTATTATACCTCTTCAACGAATATTCGATCTCTGGGGATTGATAGGGAACCTTAAGATGACTGGTAAGATGGCTTCCAGTTGAGGTGATCTTTGAGAGTTAAGCACTCTATCAGTGAAGGGTTGTTTTCTTGATTTTAAACACCTTTCTCCGCACTGTCTAGAACCGTTAGCGTTGAATGCACGTATGAATTATATTGAAGTTTTAATGAATGGTAGGCAAGCAAAAGATGATTTGCATGAGATGGGCAAGTTTTTTTTATGTACGCATAAAACAATCGGGGCGGCGGATGAGCAGTATTTTGTATTGCTTTTTGTCGGAGTCTAAAACGATTTAAATTGAGTCAATGACAATCGTAAGCAACAGCACAGTGTGAAGCATTCGGCCAGGCTGTTTCCTTGTTTTTGGCCGCCGTATCATGCAGTGAAGGGCTGTTGTGCAGTGTAACGCACGTACGATAGTATGGGGTATAGGGTTCTGGCACGGCGTCACCATTGCCGGTAAAAGAAGAGCTAGAATGACGCTATTTTATGCTGTTGCATAAACACAGCTTGAATGCAATAAAGCGGATGCCGACACTGCAATTGTGTTTAAAAAAAAAACTCGCTTGTAATTTATCTCCTCATTTTATCACACAAATTCACACTCCGTCTGTACAAACTCGTAAATCTCCGCTTAAAATCGTTGTCTTCAAAAAGAGAGCGCAATCCTCCGATACAAAATGGAACAGTATGCATATTGCACATCCTCTTTAAAAACTATCCGATGCGCTGCTTCGCCTAAAATGAATAAAAAATTGTTGTTTTGCATGCATTTGCATCATGTCATGGGAAGTCTTGGGTTGATTGATTGTAAGGCCGTTCAATCCGATTCGATCTTGCGACCCTTTCCCGTGGTTGACGTAGTTTTTTGGGTAATCCAAACAGAAATGTGGCTAAAGGATGTCAATCAGTAAGAGATTCGCGTGTGAAAGGGGGGATGACAGGTAAGCTATCCATTGCGATCGACAAAACGGATCTTTGGGAGGACTCCACCTTTTGTTAAAACCTGGGGAATCAAAGCTAGTGAATTAAGCGTATTCTCAACAGGTACCTTTAGCAAAACACAGACAGCATGCCTTGCCCGAAGCAACGCAATGCTATGCGCTGCTGTGCACTCTGCAAAGAACCCGAAGTAACAAGAGACATTACGCCCATTTGTGCGACACAATGACAGTGTCTTAGAAAACAAGCAGAGAGCTAGAAACATAAATAGAGCAAGCTGCATTATAACAAATTAATAATTGCCTTTTTGGTTTGCATTAGCGTAATGCAGTGTATGTGAACTGCATTACATCAGTGTTTAATGCATAAATAGGATGCCGTGCCAAGCTCTCTTTTCCGTTGTAACCAATCAGAAAGCTGCCTTTCAATTTTGGGCATAAAGTCAATTAAAAAAGAAAAACTTTCAAATTCAATGTCCGCACATTGTCAAACTCATACTCGTGTACCTGAACGTAAGGAGGCACAATAAAAATGATCAAATTGGTTTCAAACTCCATTTGTTTATTTGTTAAAGCATTCGTGGCTTCTATAATGAGTATTTGAAAGGCGATTTTAATTTATTTCGTACCTTGCTCTATAAAATCGAACGATTTCAAGGAAAGATGATCTGCTTGAATTTTAAACTCAACACAACGAAAAACCCCGATCCGGTATTCATCGTATCATTTTTCTTGTGCTTCCTATGCGAGATTCCGAAGAAGGGGTAATCCTATTCCGTAATCTTCCTTTATATCATCATCAAAGCAACTCCGCCGGATTGTCATTAGCGTTCCCGTTTAGACTTAGCTTATTAGCCACAAATAAGGTACAGTGTAATGTTTGTACCGATTAAGCTTTTTGCTTCTATTTTGAGAGATGTGCGAACATCTACAGGAACGGAAATATGAGGAAATAGGATAACCCCACAACTTATATTGATAAGACGGACTTCCACCATGCATCTTCTATCGAAGCATCCTGAAACATACATACATACAAACCCTATAAGTCTCATATATGTGTCGCACGTGTTGGACAGCGGGAACGTCACCGTCACCAAGTCAAAGTGAGAAACAAATTGCAGCTCTTAAAATCTTATCAAACCTTATCTTATGTGAACAGGGACACGCTCGTGTTAAAGTCAAAATTTAGGGGGCTGATTCGAAGCTATCATCTCTATATCAGTCTCAGTTGATCGGCCGTGGCACAATTCGGGATGAAGTGCCGGTGCACGCGAGGGAAAAAGTCTTTTTGTCAATTCACCATGACTAAGGCAAAATGAGAACCGAATTTAATCTTTATGAAGAGGGGCAGACTTTGGTAGGATAGAGACTTTATCGTGATCTCTCTATCAGTCTCACCGGATTGGCCGTGATACAATGCACCGTCTAGTCTTGCTTCTTTTTCATTAAACAAAGCCAAAATAAGAAATATATTTTCTGACCTTACCCTTCGAAGGAAGTCAGAGTTATGCTAAAGTTAAGAGTTTACGAGATCATACCAAAGCCATCATGTCTCGATCAGTATCAGAAAATCGGGCGTGAAACAATTGGCATGCAGGTCTTGCTCTAAGGTTCATGATGTCTTTTAATCTTTTCACTGTGACTAGGCAGGAGTGAGCGATATATATTCTAGACTTGTCAATTATGATACCTTACGAGGAGTGATAGACTTGTGCCAAAGTTAATAAATTACGAGATTATTTCGAAGCCATTATCTCTCGATCAGTGTCAGTTGATTGGCCATGATACAATTTAGCATGAAGCGCCGGACCACGCAGGTCTTGCTTAAAAATCCATGATATATCTGACTAAGCCAGAGTAAGAAACGTTCTTCTGAGTTTTTTGTATCTTATTTTGTAGAAAGCGGGTCAGAATTGTGCCAAATTTCAGGGCAGTATCCCTCGATTGACCATGAATCAACCCGCTAGAAAGCGCCGGCGAAGGCATGGCTTTACTTGATGAGTCATGGTACCTCTCTGTCATGGAATATGATTAGGCGATCTCAATCATCCGCATATCATCGTATCATCTTAGCTTGCCAAGAAATTGATCACGGTGGCTGTGGTTTATGTGTTTGCGTATTTTGCTTTTATCCATTTCGACTTTCTCAAAAAGGTGGCGCAATAATGTGTTTCTCAGCTGCGTGTACCAAAATGACGTCTATTCAACGGACTGAAAGCGGCTGTAAAAGTTGCAATCTTTTACGCAATGTGGGGTTAAAGGATAAATGTGTGTACAAAATAAGTAAACAATTTAGGATGATTATTATCTCATTTTCTGTTCTCAAAAATTCAAATTTCAGTGCACGGCCGTACAGACATAGGCAAGCATTGCGGTTAGCCATCAGCACTTATTCCTTCCATCCATCCACCTCACAACTGCCAACACCACCTCCCCCACTGCGATCATCATCTTTTCACTCGGCCGAGGATGGCGTAATAATGGTGCACTGCCAAGGGATTCGGGGGCGCAAGTGTGCGTGCTCGGCCTGGGCCGCGCTAAGGTCCGAAGAAAGACAACAGAAGGCGTCATTAGCAGTGCTACTTCATCCCCCCCTCAAAAAGCAGTGTATGGCGATGAAAGTGAGTGGATATCTATTATCCCTCTCTTAAGTATCACACTGCGACTTAAAAGAAGGGCTGCCCACCAATACACACACCCGCTCGCGACATCCCCTCCTTCAACATGATGGGATCGGTATCGTGGTTGCTCAAGCAGGCAGTCGTTTTTGCCTTGCTTTCCACCTCGCTCGCACAAGCAGCATCCCTCTCCTGCCTGCAAGGACCACAGTTCACCATCACACAAGATGCCGCAATGCCAATGCCAATGTGTGGAGGAACAAAGATGGACTGGTTTGGTGAACAAACGCATTACGTAGAAGAAAAGGGGGAAAACGTATATGCATCGGAAAAGAAGCATATCCATCTCTGGAAAGAAAGCGGACAACAAACCACACAAAGTGAAGGTGTATACGCTTTTCTGGCCTGGGAGCGTTTGGATTTGCCATTCAGTGGGCAGAGTGTCAACGGGACAAGTTGGAATGACAGAATCATGCATGCTGTCGAATCTGCATCCAAAAAACCATCTCCCGTTCGTGAAACCGCCCAGAAGCCTTTCGAGCATCACAATCCCGAGCCCACATATGAGATAGCGCAAATGAAACCAACCTATGCGATCATTCGAATGAACTCATTGCAAGATTTACTCAAATTCTCAATGCACCTGCAAAGAGATACCCGCATAGCTCAATTGACAGCGATCCCAAAAACAGACTCTCTCACAACCAATGCCACACTACCGAAACCCACCTTCAACCCTCCCCTTCATGCTCTTCTCTTCTCTGACACGCTGGACGTACCGCAACTACGAGAAGATGCAAGAATTCTTTCCGGCGAAGATGAAGCAGGTCAATGGATTCCTTCTGGGTCGTTAGATGATTCCTTGTTAAGCAGTCCAAGCAATCATTGGCATTCTCGTCATAGTGCAACACAAGAAGCACGTTTGGCAGGCGCTTGGATTCGTGCTCGTCTTGCACGTTATTTGGCTCCTGTTGATGGAAGATGCATTGAATGGACATATGATGATGCATATGCACCGAATATCGTTTGTACGATTCCCGTCGCTGGATCTAAAAAGAAGCATGAGCAGGAAGGAGTTGCGATTCTTTCTGCTCACTATGACTCACGTGGCACTTTTGGCTCCACCCGTGCGCCTGGAGCAGATGATGATGGATCGGGAACGACGATGCTTTTGGCCGTTGCACGTCATTTAGGCAAACATCGAATCGAATTCAATCGTGAGATTCGATTGGTAGCCTTTTCGGGTGAAGAACAAGGATTGGTTGGATCTAAGAATTATGCAAAACATTTGCGAGATAAGAAAACACCTGTTCATTTCCAATTACAAGCTGACATGCTGGGTTACCGTAAACCAGGTGAACCGTTGCAAGTCGCTTTCCCGGACAAGTTGGCCACACAAGCTGCAACGGATTATGTGATTGATTTGGCGCGATTGTATGTGCCAGAGCTACAAATTGGCTATACTCCAGCATGTTGTAGCGATCATCAAAGCTTTTGGGAACAAGGATTCACATCCACTTGGGTGTTTGAACGTAGAGCGCCAATTGCAGATCCATGCTATCATGATAGTTGTGATTTGACAGAGAGAAAAGGTTATGATTTTGAACAAATTCAATCCATTACAAAGTTATGTTTGGCGACAGTGTTGGATGTTGGAGGAGGAGTGGATTGGCCGTATTGATTGAATGTATATATCACCAGAAAGTGTTGTTCTTTTTGAGCTTAATTTGACGCGCTGGTAAGCACGCGCCTTTTGTCGCATTCCGGGCACAAAGGCTGTGATTGATTGGCGTTTTGATTTGTGTGTGTGTGTGTGTGTGTGACAAACAGTTCAGATCACTTGGGAGACGGTTTTCCGCTTGGACCTTCTTCACTCTTTATCACAAACACGCAACCCTCATTGCAATTGAGTTGTTGTGTTTCTGTTGTTTCTCTCCTCTTTGTTGAATTTGTGCTCAACGCTCGTCACTCAGACGGAGGCAAGGCACCGCTCATCATCACTTCTCCCTCCTTTCACTTCCCCCTTGACATCGCTTCATACAACGCCGATTAGGCTCCTGACATTGCAAAGAGCAACGACGCATTCAGGCTCAACATATCTCAAGCACATCTCCTGGCATCAATCAAAAGGATATCCAGCCGAATACACAGCCGAATACACAGCCGAATACAAGCACAACAACATCGCGCATACAAGCAGTCTCTTCCTCACCACCCACAATGACCGACCGGTACGGATACTCCTCCACTTCTTCAACCAATCAAAGTGAGGCAAGTGGCTCAACCAACAGAACAACTATGGGAAATCGAGCAAGAAGTGATTCACAATGGAGTACTGCAAGTCATGGAAGTCAAGGAAATCCCACGCAGCAACAGCAGCAAACATTACAACAACCACAATCGACTGATGAAAGAAATCATGTGATCATCAAAGTTGGAATGGTTGGCGATGCAGGAACGGGAAAGACTAGTTTGATGGTTCGATATGTTGAAGGAAATTTCAACGAAGATTATATTCAAACTTTGGGTGTCAATTTCATGGAAAAGACAATCAGTATACGGAATACAGAGATCACCTTTAGCATCTGGGATCTAGGTGGTCAAAGAGAGTTCGTCAACATGTTACCATTAGTGTGCAATGATGCGGTTGCACTGTTGTTCATGTTTGATTTGACGAGAAAGTCGACACTGAACAGCATCAAAGAATGGTACAGACAAGCACGTGGATTTAACAAGACAGCGATTCCATTCTTGGTTGGAACAAAGTATGATTCATTCAGTGCATTCGCAAAAGAAGAACAAGAAGAGATTACCAAGCAAGCAAGACGATTTGCACGTGCAATGAAAGCACCTTTAATCTTTTGTTCAACAAGTCATGCAATTAACATCCAAAAGATCTTTAAGATCATCCTCTCCAAAGCCTTTGATTTGAAGTGTACCATACCGGAGATCAAGAGCGTGGGTGAGCCATTATTGCTTTATGTGGATACTTAAAAAGCCTTTGGTAGAGCGAAAGAGAGCTTGATAAAAAATGTATTTCTATTACACAATCATACCATTCATCTTTATATATTATCTAATCAAATCCATTATACCTTCAGGGAAAGCCACTTGCGTAGACTATCAATCGGGCATCTACAGTTCAATCTTATCAGCGAGCCGCCAGAGTGTGTTTTATAATAACGCGCACTGTTCTCACGCTTTCAGCCAGGGTTTCGGTGTTAAGCTTGTTCGCCATCATATAATGTCATCTTGGTACCCTTTATGACGTCCATTGTCCAGAATTGTATGGATGATAACCCTAGACTTTATTTTTTGAACCGAATTGAGGATATATCCTAGATGACATAAGCTCAATATTGCACGGGTCTCGGGTTACACTGGCACGCTTAGAATGCAGCTAGACAATCTTTAGCGTGATTGAGATTGAGACATATCAACAAATCATTTCAAAAACCGTTGCCAAGGTGACAGACACTACTTCCGCGGTTGTCTTTTCGTGTGGCTGCTTTCCGAATTCCGCGTGTACTCATGTTCAGCCGGTTCCTTACTCTTCAACGTCACAGCCACCATATCATACCCGCCATGATCATCACTCGGAGTCTCGGATAGAACAATAGAATTCGACGTTCCGGCACTTCGGCGATGGCTTGGCGCTGCGAGCTGCCACGTTCAGCGGCAAAAGCTGTGTCACTCCCATTGCCAATCTATAAATATGATGTTTTCGTTATTACCTGCGATGTAGTGTACGTAGGCAGACTAGAGGTTGCAGTTTGTTTATTTTAAAGTCCGAATAATCTTTCTTTTTATCTCTATCGAAAAGTGCGAGAATGCATTTTCGCTGCCGAACAAAAAAGAGCGCGTAAGCCAGACAAAAAAGACTGAAGAACTGCCTAGGGAAGCACAAATCGGAAAATAATTAATCTAACACTAGTTCAGCTGCAGCTCATTTTATGCTCATTACGCCGAGTTCATGCACACAGCACAGCATACACGCGAAAGTCCATTTTCTGGCTTAAAATCAACGGTGTTTATCATTTTGTTCTTCTACAAAATAAAATCCGAATCCCACAAATCGGGAAGAAGTACTGTATCATGCACACTCTGACACCCTCTTCTCACAAGCAACAACAAATATTGGACTCGGTCTAAAGATGACATCGAACTGCCATTTCCATCGAGAAGGACTTGGATGCATATATAACTTGCTCATTTTTCACCTTTTCCCTCTATTACCTCCCCATCCTCACCACCTTTCACAATGTCAAACATCATTCTCTTCGCCCGTAAACACCACAACAACGCCGATCAAGATCAAAATTTATCTCCAGATGTTAGTCAAGCATTAATGCGAATTAGTGAATATGGTCCATACGGCTATCGACCAGAATTAGCAGGTGCAGTTGTATTCTGCGTCGTGTTTGGCTTACTTGCAATCGCTCTCACATTCCAAGGCATTCGTGGGAAACGCTGGTGGTTGCTGGCCACCCTGGCATTCGGTTCTTGGTGTGAATGCGTAGGAAATGCTATTCGCATTTACGGTCATTTCCATCCATCAGCGATTAATCCTTACATTGCACAACAAGTTATCCTCGTTCTCACGCCTGCCTTCTTTGCTGCTGCTCATTTCACAATTTTGACAAAGATTTGTCAATTGTACGGAGCAAAATACGTTTGGCCTATTCGTCCTTCTTGGATGATTCCGGCTTTTGTTCTCTTGGACGTCGCTTCCCTTGCCGTTCAAGGTGGTGGAAGTGGAGAAGCAGCCATTGCAGAAATTAATGGCAGACCTGTTTCTGATATCAACAGCAAGGGAAATATTGTGGTTGCCGGTTTGGCAATTCAATTAGCAGGTTATTTAGCTTTCAATGCTTTGTACATTCTGTTTATCACCCGTGCAATCAATGCTCAACGTAAAGGAAAAGCACAATGGTTCAACGCTCGTCAAAAGCTCTTCTTTGTTGCCGTTTATGTTTCTGCCTTGTTTGTCTTGGGTCGTTCGGCTTTCCGTACAGCAGAGATGGCATCAGGATGGGTTGGAAAGATTGCCACGACAGAATGGTATTATCTTGTCTTTGATGCAACGTTTGTTGCAATTGCAGTCTTGATCTTGACTGTAATCTCTCCTGTCAATTATATGGAAAGAGTTCAACCGTCAAAAAAGCAAACACAATCACCCGAAGTTGATCAAACAGGAGAAACTGCCGCAAGCAATTCATTCGATCATGGAAGTCCTGATGTAGAAAAAAATGCTTGAGAGATGTGCACGTGTGTTCGATTCATTGTAGTTTTAGTGAAGCTTCTGTATATACTTTTCTCTCGAATAGATTCGTTGTGTTTTGATCGCAACGGTCCGTTAGGAAGAGTGACAAATCCGAGGAGCGCCACGCTCGTATTGCGCCGCGTGGCTTTCCGCCGAATTCCGCTTTTTTGCATCATAATTTGACAGCTTGGCGGAATCACGGAATGGTATTGACAAGATATGGTCATGATCAGAAATATATAAAGGACCTTTGAAGTCATTCTCCACAACCCCTTCCCTATCAAACCCCTCCCTCACCCTGCTCGCAACAATGGCAAACACACTCATCGCCCGTGAATATACCATCGACCCAAACGCAAATCTAACGTCAGACATTCGTGCTGCATTAGAACGTATCAACGAATTCGGACCGTATGGCTATCGACCTGATTTAGGTGCTGCGATCGTATTCTGCGTCGTGTTTGGAACACTGGCAAGCATTTTGACATATCAAGGTATCCGATCAAAACGTTGGTGGCTATTGGGCACTTTGGCATTCGGTTCATGGTGTGAATGCGTAGGAAATGGCGTTCGAATTTATGGTCATTATCATCCTGATGTCACCGATCCATACATCGCACAACAGTGTATTTTGGTACTCACACCGGCATTGTTTGCGGCTGCTCATTTTACAATTTTGACGAAAATGTGTCATCAGTACGGCGCAAAGTATATCACTCCATTCCGCCCGGCTTGGTTGGTTCCGTTGTTTGTCGTTATGGATCTGGCTTCACTCGCCATTCAAGGCGCCGGAAGTGGCTTAGCAGCAACTGCAGAGATTGATAACAAGCCAGTATATACTATCAACAATAACGGAAATGTCGTGGTTGCAGGTTTAGCAATTCAATTAGCCGGTTATTTGGCTTTCAATACACTCTTTATACTTTTCATCAAGCGTGCCATCGAAGATAAACGGAAAGGGGAAGCACCGTGGTTTAATGCCCGTCAAAAGTTGTTCTTCACCGCCGTCTACTCATCTGCTCTTCTGGTACTAGGCCGTTCAGCTTTCCGAACAGCAGAAATGGCAAAAGGATGGGTAGGAGAAGTTGCAACGACGGAATGGTATTATCTGGTATTTGATGCAACTTTTGTCGCTTTGGCCGTGTTGATCGTGACCGTGGTTTCTCCTATATACTATCTGGATGAAACGAAAGCATCTCCCAAAGAAAGTCAATCAGAAGCACAATCTGGACAAGCTACCACGACAACCTCATTTGAACATACTCGTGATGCTTCCGAAAAGGCTTGAGCCTGGTTCCTCTTTATGATCCACATTGTACATTAGTCTGTCCCAATAGAGTTTATGATTTTAATGAATATCATTGTTACGATGATGGTGGTGAGAGCATTTGTTCGAATACCGCCGGCTTTGGCTGCACGCATTCCTGTAGAATTCGCAAGATGAACCCTTTAGTGCAGAGTACTGATGTATTCGATCATCTGCCTGCATCATGCACTGTTTTTGTTATTTCATTCTCGCGCGTAAAGTGCCTCTTCCAACTCATACAGAAAAGGGGTTCATGTGGTGTGTTTTGCCCCTTTGGCGCGGCGGCGGCCTTTAGCCCAGAGTAGAGGAGAGCAAGCAGCAAGTTTACAAATCTCACAGGCAGGCTGGCTGGCTGGGCGCATACACACAAAAAAGCAAACGTGACGGTTATGAATGGAATTCAATAACAAATTTTATATGCACTGCACTATTCTATACAGTGTACATACGCACACTAAACGGGCAAAAAAGGGAGCGCGTCTTTGGGCTACTATTATTAGCGAATTGTTTAGAGATCATCATCCTTTTGTTATCGTCATCATCATCACCAGTCCATCATTGACAGTACCCCAAACAAACACTCATTCATTCTAAACGGGACTAATCACATCGACACTCCAACACACCACCTCACCCTGACCCACGAAAATGGGGTTCACATTCGGAAACTATGACGGAGTTTGTAAAGAAGTGGCATTGATCGTTTGTCCAATGTTGGGATCAGATTTGGGAATAGAAGCAGTTTGTTATTCAAGAAATGTAGAAATAAACAGCACAATCATCTTTCAACCTGCAACCTGTTTCATTCATATCGCAGCTCTAATCATGACCGCAATTATGGTCTATCATATTCGATCAAAATACACAGCCGTCGGAAGGAAAGAGATCGTGCTCTTCTTCTATCTCTACGCCGTCTCCGAGGCACTCGCCATCTTTCTCGATTCTGCCATCATTCCAACATACTCTGGCGCATATCCAATCTTTGCTGCAATTTATGTTGGTCTAGGAACGGCAATCTACTGGTGTTTGCTGATTAATGGTTTCGTCGGCTTCCAATTTGCAGAAGACGGTACACCCAAATCACTATGGTTCTTGCGGATATCATCCATCGTCCTATTCGTCATCGGATTCTTGGTCTCGATCGGAACATTCAAATCAGTAGGAGGATTATCACCACAAAAGACAACCGGATTGTTTGTCGTCCAATTAGTCTTCCCCGTCATTTGCGTTGCCATTTACGTTATATCACAAGTGATCCTCGTCATTCGTACTTTGGATGACAGATGGCCATTGGGTGATATCGCATTCGGATGTGCTGCTTTTGTTGCAGCATGCGTTCTCATGTTTGGATTCTCTGCAGAAATTTGTGTTGGTGTGAAGCATTACATTGATGGAACATTCTTTGGAACGCTTTGTTTGTTGTTCGCCGTTATGATGGTATACAAATACTGGGATTCAATCACAAAAGAAGATTTGGAATTCAGTGTTGGAAGCAAACAAAATGTTTGGGAAATCAAAGATCCACTTTTGGGACCGAATGACGTTGATGTTGTTGGACCTCCAAGTCTGTCTACCCATGAATCTTCTTATGGTCGTCATAATGCTTCCTCTGGCAAACTTACACCAGGAAGTTTCAATACTAGCAGCGGAAAGAGTTCAGGTTATCCACCATCTGGTCCAACGAATTATGGAAATTCGCCTTATTAAACAGACATTTCCTTCTGAAATCCTACCACCGGACAATATGTAACATGCAAATCAAACTGACATATGAACAATACCTCGAGAGCGGAGCTCCGACACACAAAATCACAATCTCTCTCAACACATTCAAGCACAATCAATCCACACTTTTTTTTCTTTTCTGCTCTTTCTTCTCGAATCTATGTACTATTTATCTCTATTTCTAACTGTCAATACATATCATCGATGTGGTCATGTGCACCTTGAAGTTGTTCCGTTGGGTAGAGGCATCGTGTGCGCGGCGCCTAATGAAAGAAAGGGTAACCACAGTGCAATTGCTTAATGACCCTTTAAAAGCACAACGATACGCCACTAGAGCAGTTGATTGATTGTGCCCGATTGCACAGCATTTAAAGTAAACGCAAGTACCCTTCCTTTTCCCCACACTCAACGAGAGTCTCTCTCTCTCTCGAACAAATTCTAGACTCAATCAAACAAAGTTCTCACGCCTCGCTCTCCAACACTATATGAAGCAAAAGCCCCGATCTTTATCAAAAATGCTCTCGTAACAAGCAATACTGTTTCCGATCTTCATCACATCGTTCACACCGGGCCAAGATTTTTTTGAGATAATCGCGGCTCCTTTGATTTTACGCCAAAAGAGAGAAAAGATGATAATCGAGAAATAAAGACGAGAGAGAGAGAAACATTTTTCCGGGGACCAAATCACTCAGCGTCTTTTATTTCGTTTTTCGGTTCCTAGCCCATAGCTCATATACCCTCCTTTTGAGCGAGCGGTCTTGGCAATTGCAACGAAACATATATAATCCGGTCAAATTATTCATTCCACTGCAATTACCTCTCTGAACAGGGGTCATTCCAGCATTCCGAACATCGAAATCGTCAATCAATCTTCTCGCGCTTTTACGTACACACGTTGCGTCATAGGTCACTCCTAAAAATTCAACAAATCGAAATTTTTATTAACTTGAAGGCCATCTCGGTACCTTAAGATCCGAAAAAGTGTATTGATTCATCTGCATATAGCCACCGAGTGTAGGGTACAGCCTTAAACACAGCTTCCGCATTTTGGCTATGAAATTGGAACGAAATCGAACTCAGCTTACTCACAAACAAACAACCATCTCATCATGATTCTCAGTATCATTCCCTCTCACGGCTCTGGAAGCGTTGAAGTCAAGAAGCCCAATTTGGGTGAAAAGAGATTCTCGTTCAGTTCTCCATTCAGTCAAATCGCCAAGAACAAGGCCGCCAATGACAATACCCACGACGGCCACCCCCAGAAAAATATCGGAATCCATGTAGCTGGTCCTGAAGTATTACTCCCGCTTATCAATCGACCGAAAGAAGTCAAGATGCTATTGCAAGACACTTCAATTTATCAACAATTACAAAAAGTACATCTTCCTTACCTCAAAGAATGGGAAACCGTCCAAGCATTGTTATTTGAGAGAGAACGTGAAGAAGTGAGCGATCGTGAATGGCTTCGAGAATTGCACTCGATCATTTTTGCCAGATCTCCTCGATTGTGGTGTCATTTTAGCGAGTGTATTGGAGCAAGAGATGTACATTTCGGCACAGAAAGCTTTGATGATGGAATGGAGTCGACAATTGAAAGCGAAGACAATTGCATGTCAGACACATTTGAAGAGGTACAAGTTCCAACAATTGAAATTCTCAAACAGCTCCCTTCCACTTACCGCAAGCCGGTGGATCAAATCAATACAATCTCAATCGCTGATTGCCATAGTGAACATCATACAACATCCGTTGATGAAATGACAAGCTCCCTCAAACAACAAGAAGTTCGACATATCTCAAATCAGAACACAGAGTCCTATCTCGGTCTGCGGATCCGTTTGCGCTCTCAATCGGAATCAACTGATGCGAATCTGACAGGCAACATCTCACCTTTGAGTATTGGAGCAAGTGCTGATACTGGTCTTGGCCTTCGAAGCGGTTCAAGCATTACTCGTTCGGCCACATTACCGTTCAAAAAGCAAAGAAGGCTTAGCCAGCTATTCTTGTCAGAATTCCCTTCATCCTCATCCCCGATCGAAATTCCACAAAAACCTCTTCACGGTCGTCATCGCAGTGCAAGTTCAAAAGGTCAAAGTGAAATGTTTGATGATGAAGCAGCGCCAAGTCAACAATGGTATCGTCAATACCGTCAAAGAGATCTAGATTGTGGAAGAACGGAACCTGTAAGTCTTTTGTTGAACAGGAATCCAACTTGGCAGCCATTCGCGCCTCCCATTGAAATCACCACCAAACAACCAAGCAGCAAGAATGAAAAACGCAAAAGTGCAAATATGGACGGTCTCTTACCCGATGGCCGTACTCGTCATCCTTCAGCAGGTTCTGGTGAGATGAAAGCGTCTCTGGCAACGTTTAGGAAAGAGAATCAAAATGGTGAAACATCAAGTGGCTCCAGTAGTCCAAATAGTGTCGGTTTAAGTCCTTCCATGCAAGTAGAAGTTGACACCAGTGCAAATTGTCTAAGATGGCCTTCGAATGATGTCTTGCCAATTTCACCCATCACAGATGCAAGTGATCGTTCGATGCCACAAACACCTGGAGAAAGTCATCCATCACTTTCACCCTTGACTGCATTCACGCCGATTGAATCAACGACGAAACGTCCTTCAATTGAAACTATACCTTACTCCGAAAGTACGTTTTGCGATCCATTAAATTCTGTATTACGATCACCAAAAACGCCCAATCTCAATACCGGATCCAAGCAAGCGCCTTCAACTGTGATCTTTCCCGTTCCTCCTTGTGCGGAAGTATCACGGGTGAATGAATTGACTCACCATCTCAATCACATTCAAGAAAACACTTATGAGAATGAAGACGAGAGAAGGGCGGCACTGGATGCATTTGCCGTACTAGAAAGAACGATTGGAACGGAAGGAATCACACAACTCAACACTCTCATCCAAACAGCCGGCGAACGTGATTGTACAACGGACGAGGATCTTTTACGTGCGATTGCAGCCAATTGTTTCGGTTTAGTGGATATGGATTTAGCAATCGAAAATGGCGGAAAGATTTTATGTGGTTCTTCGGGTTTTGATAAACATAAACGAATCGAAGCAGAAGAACAAATGCGAAAACAACCTTGGTATATCTTTCAACATAATCTCGAACCCATACCCAATCCTACTACCAAAGACCCCATCAAACAAACCGATCAAGACCATGAAGCTCGTGTTCAAACATTTTATGAAGATGTAGACGCTTATGCAAAACGTTTTGTAGCTTTTGACGCTTTGTTAAGTACAATTTGGAACGTAGACTGCACAATCATGCATACCGTTCGTCAACGTTGCGGTCCTGTTGGTCAATACGACCCCAAACAACACAATACACGAATGGCAGACAAGTATTTAACAAAAGCTACTTACTGAGATTTTTTTCTTATACTGTATCATATAACGACACCACTCATCAATGCTCCAATTGAAATATAATTACGTGATCTAAAACCTGTCTACATGGCTGTTTAATTTTCTTACAATCCAGCTTTGGATGGATCTGCGTTGTTTGGATGTGTTTGAGCATCCTTTTCGTTAATGTTCTCGTACTCTTCCTCTTCTGCCAAAAGACGCTCAGCTTCCAAAGCGGCAATACATCCTGATCCGGCAGAAGTGACTGCTTGACGGTACTTCTTATCTTGTACATCACCAGCAGCAAATAATCCCTTCACGCTCGTTTGAGCTGTTCCGGGCACTGTGGTTATGTATCCATCTGAATCACAATCAACTTGTCCCTTTACCAAATCCGTTGCAGGAACGTGTCCAATAGCATAGAACAATCCGTTTGCATCCAAATCACGCTCTTCTCCTGATTTGATATCCTTTATCCGTAGCTGTTTCAATAATTCTCCATCACCCTTTGCTTCTAGAGCAACGTGGTTGAACAGGATTGTAACCTTTGGATGGTTCAATAGACGCTTGGCCATAATCTTGGATGCACGCAATTCATCACGACGAACAAGAACGTAAACGTGAGATCCGTATTTCGTCAAATAAGTTGCTTCTTCTGCGGCTGAATCCCCTCCTCCGATCACAACCAATGGCTTGTTGCGGAAAATTGGAACGGCACCATCACAAACTGCACAAGCAGAGATACCGCTTTGCCAATATTTCTCTTCTCCAGGCAAGTTCATTCTTCTGGCACTTGCACCTGTTGCCATGATGATTGTGTCGGCCAATTCAGGTTCGCTGTCCTCCGAGAATTCTCTCCAGAATTTGAATGGTCTTGATGATAGATCCACCTTTGAGATCGTTTCCGTGAAAATCTCCGTTCCATGTTTGACAGATTGCGCTCTGAATTTGTCCATGATTTCAGGACCACGAATACCATCTGGGAAACCCGGGAAATTCTCCACATCCGTCGTTGTTGTCAATTGACCACCTGCAGCAATTCCATTGGCCAACATACCTTCGAACAAAACTGGTTTCAATTCTGCTCGGGCAAGGTAAATCGCAGCTGTATGACCTGCTGGACCTGAACCGATAATGACAACTTTGTGTCTTGGTTTGGTCGATTGACCGTTTGTTGATGCTGCAACGGGTGCCATTTTATCTTCAGTGGCTGCTTGTGAATGAATTTGATGAGTGTTTGCTAATGCGGCAAATGCTAAAGTAGAAGTGGCGATTGAAGCTCCTGCTGCTTTCCAATTTTTGGGAGGTCGATGTGAAGTGAATAAAGTTCGACTAAAAGCCAAAGATGGTCTAGATGGAATTCGATTTGCGTATGAAAAGATTGGTCTGACACTTGTACGAATGTTCATACAAGCCTGTATAACGTCGAATATCGATTCTCGCGACGTGATGATAGTCAAAGAGAGAAAGTTCGTCATGTTCATCCTCTTTTTTCCTCAAACCCGGCAAAAGTCTACGCGCAGAGGGAATTCGGCTTTTGGATGGGAAATTAAGACTCAATTTTTGCCCTTTCCCCAACTTTCGAAAGGTAAAGAAGATTCCAAGTCTGAAAGCGTAGCGCAGCGCGTATGAGTGAATCAGCAATTCCGCCACCGCTGCCTAGAGCCGAATATAGGCACTTGGCTTATCCCCGTGGATAATTGACAAGGTACACACCATACCGGCTCTATTTAACCCGTGTGCCTGTCACATACACAAAAAGGTGCGGGTGACCAAGATAAGCAAAACGGAATGCGGACTTTGTCCAAGCAGGGTGTAGTGGAGCGTATCTGACATCGTTTGTGTTACTCTTCTATCAGAACACCTATCGTGACTAATCAATATTTCTTAAAAAGACCGCTCGCTGGATTGATAGAGAGTTGTACCTCATCACGGAAGATAATCGTAACACATAAAATTGCAAAACATAAGAAACAATACAGAAGAAGTATAGAGCACATCACTTGCGTCCTAAACTGACACCAAGAGCTCCGTTAACGGTAGCACTTGCTTTGCTTGGAAGTGTCTTGGTGGTTGGAAGAGGGACAGACGTAGAGGGAACGGGAATAGCTTTGAACGCATCGGTGACCTTTTGTAAAATACTTCCATCAGGTTTCGGAGCAGATGGAATAGAGAACGTCGGACGTGCGTTTGCTGAAGTGGAAACGGTGGACTTGGGTGTTGGAGTATCAACAGGGGTTGTGGATGGTGTGGAAGGAGCGGAAGAAGGAGTGGATGGAGCTGATGGAGGCTTGGCGTTGTTCAATGCATCTTGTGCCTTTTGTTGAGCAGAGGCAGCTTGATCTTTTAAATTTGATGAACCATCAGCAACCTTTTGCTGTGCTCCTTCTGCGATATTGCCAGCCAATGCTTTGAATGCATTAAAAGCAGCGTTAGCTTGATCAGCACCATTTTGAGCACCAGAGTTCAATTGAGATGCACCATTTGTAATCGCTGTACTTCCTGTATTTTTAGCGTCTGTGATCGAGCTTTGTGCTTGTTGAACGTTGTTCTGAATTGATGAGGAAGTTTGATCAGCTTTGTCTTTCAGATTGCCAGCGGCTGATTCAATATTTTCCTTACCCGAACTGATAGCATTTTGTGCTTGTGCTGCTCCTTGTGATGCTGTATTTTTGAATTGGCTGGCTGTATCGGATGCCTTTTGTTGACCGTTAGCAACTGCTCCTGCTACAGCTGACTGACCGCTAGAGGCTGCATTTTGTAACTGTGCTGCTCCATCAGCTGCCTTTTGTTGGCCGCCGGCAACTGCACCAGCTAAAGCTGCCTGACCATTAGAAGCGGTATTCTTTAATTGACTGGCACCGGAAGATGCTGCATTTTGTAATGGGGCAGCTGCTTCTTGAGCTTTTTGTTGACCGTTTACGATAGCACCTGTCAAAGCTGATTGACCATTAGCAGCAGCATCTTTCAATTGACTAGCACCCGAAGATGTAGTGCTTTGTAATTGTGCTGCTCCATCAGCTGCTTTTTGCTGACCGCTGGCAATTGCACCTGCTAAAGCTTGCTGACCGCTAGCAGCAGAGTTTTTCAACTGGCTGGCACCGGAAGATACTGTATTTTGTAATTGAGCAGCTCCTTCTTGAGCTTTTTGTTGACCGTTAGCAACTGCTCCTGCTACTGCTGCCTGACCGCTAGAGACTGTATTTTGCAATTGGGCTGCTCCATCAGCTCCTTTTTGTTGACCGATAGCCACAGCTCCTGCTAAAGCTGCTTGACCGTTAGAAACGGCGTCCTTCAACTGATTAGCTCCCGAAGATGCTGCACTTTGCAATTGTGCCGCTCCATTAGCCGCCATTTGCTGTCCAGATGCAATAGCACTCTTTGCATTATCACCGTAAGAATTCAATTGAGAGGCAACGTTTGATGCATTGTCAGACAATGAATTCTTCAAGTTTGCAGCTTGTTCTTGTGCTTGTTGAGATCCACGCATGATGCTGTTTGAAACAGTGTCTTGGAATGCAGTTGCACCTGCTTGTGCTTGTGCTACTCCTTGTTGAACAGCACTTTGAACTTGAGCTTGGCCGGCTGTCAATGCATCTTTTGCATTGTTAGCACCATTTGACAATTGTTCAGCTCCATTTTGGGCTGCGTTTGTCAATTGATCTTTACCGTTTGCCAAGGCATCAGCTGCTTTACCTTGAAGTTCTTGACCAGAAGATTGTGCTTGTTCGACTGCGTTGGCAAAGCTTGATTGACCTTTTGAAATTACACCTGTCAATTGAGCTTGACCTTGTTGAGCTGCATCAGAGAGCTGTTGTTGACCGTTTGCAAATGCGGTCTTTGCTTGGTCTGCTGCATTGTTCAATTGACTTGCACCGTTGGCAGCACCCTGTTGAATTGCACTTTGTCCATTGGCAATACCTTGTTGAAGTGCAGCTTGACCGTTGGTGACACCTTGTTGAACTGCAGCTTGTCCATTTTGGGCTGCGTTTGTCAATTGATCTTTACCATTTGCCAAGGCATCAGCTGCTTTACCTTGAAGTTCTTGACCAGAAGATTGTGCTTGTCCAACTGCATTGGTAAAGCTTGATTGACCTTTTGAAATTGCACCTGTCAACTGAGCTTGACCTTGTTGAGCTGCATCAGAGAGTTGTTGTTGACCATTTGTAAATGCGGTCTTTGCTTGGTCTGCTGCGTTGTTCAATTGACTTGCACCGTTGGCAGCACCCTGTTGGATTGCACTTTGTCCATTGGCAATACCTTGTTGAAGTGCAGCTTGACCGTTGGTGACACCCTGTTGAACTGCAGCTTGACCGTTAGCAACACCTTGCTGAGCTGCAGCTTGCCCATTGGCAATACCTTGTTGAATCTGTGTTTTTCCGGAATCGATTGCTGCTTGTGCGTTTTGTGCTCCTGTTTGTGCTGAAGATTGAATAGCATTAGCTGTATCTTGTGCTTTTTGTGTGATTCCAGGAACGGCTGCATTTGCAAGGGCGGCACCATTCTGTTGTCCAGAAGTGATTGCATCATTGAAATCTGAACTGTAACGAGAGATACGATCATCAATAGCTTGTTTGGTTGAAGCAGCACCTTGTTCGATAGCCTGTTTACCAGAGGCAGAAACTTGTTCACCAGCTTGCTTTGCAGCGGCGGCAATTTGTGCACCAGCTTGTTGAGCAGCAGCAGCAGTTTGCTGACCGGCTTGTTGGAATCCTGCTAAAGATGCTTGATCAGCGCTAATTTCATTGTTCAAATCTCCTTGGCCTTGTTCAAAGCTAGATTGACCAACTTCTTGAGCGGTACTCGAAACGGTTTGAATGCGATTAGCAACCTTTGAAGCGGCATCCGTCAACTGAGCTTGACCTTGTTGAGCGGTATCCGTTAGGGCCTGTTGACCGGCAGCTGCAGCATCTTTTGCTTTTTCTGCACCGGCTTGCAATTGTTGTTGACCGGAAGCAATTCCATTAGTCACGGCATCTTTGGCAGAATTGGCACCGTTTTGCAATTGTGTTTGACCGTCTTGAGCTGCTTGAGCTAATCTTTGTGCAGTTGCTTGTGCTTGTTCTTGACCAGATGCAATTCCGTTAGTAACGGCATCTTTGGCAGAGTTGGCACTGTTTTGCAATTGTGCTTGCCCGGCTTGGGCAGCTGATGTCAACTTTTGTGCACCATCTTGCACTTGTTGTTGACCGGAAGCGAGACCAGCAGCGGCAGCACTT